AACAGTACAGCATTAAATATTAAAAACTTCCCTGAACAGGGCTGCCTTCAGATGTCTTTTAAAGATAAGATAGCTGCTTATTTCTTTGACATCTGATGGGAGGGAGTTCCACAGGGCAGGTGCCACTACCGAGAAAGCCCTGTGCCTGGTTCCCTGTAACCTCACTTCTTGCAATGAGGCAACTGCCAGAAGGCCCTCGGCGCTGGACCTCAATGTCCGGGCTGAACGATGGGGGTGGAGACGCTCCTTCAGGTATACAGGACTGAGGCCGTTTAGGGCTTTCAAGGTCAGCACCAACACTTTAAATTGTGCTCGGAAATGTACTGGGAGCCAATGCAGATCTCTCAGGACCGGTGTTATGTGGTCTCAGCGGCCACTCCCAATTCCTTTTAGAAGACATCTGAAGGCAGACCTGTTTAGGGAAGTTTTTAATATTTGATGTTTTATTGTATTTTTAATATTTTGTTAATATTTTGTTGGGAGCCGCCCAGAGTGGCTGGGGAAACCCAGCCAGATGGGCGGGGTATAAATGAATTATTATTATTATTATTATTATTATTATTATTATTATTATTATCTCTGCACCATTAACAAACTACAGCTCCCAGAATTCTCTGGGAGACGCCACGACACAGCACTTTAAATATGCAGTATGAACGTGTAAAGTGTACAATTCTTCCAAACAACATGCATGTGATTTTGAGTTGTTCCGTGTCCCTTTTCGAACGATTAATTTTAAGGAAAAAGGAACCCACCATTTTAGAGCAGCGCACCATATAATCTATTAATAATCTCCTACAAGGCAAGGCAACTGCCTTGTTCACCCACCCAGGGATCCACTCTGGATAACACCCCAACATAATACCTGAATACGGTCGTACCTTGGAAGTCAAACGGAATCCGTTCCGGAAGCCCATTCAACTTCCAAAACGTTCAGAAACCAAAGCGTGGCTTCTGATTGGCTGCATGAAACTCCTGCAGCCGATCAGAAGCCGCAGAAGCCCAAAAATACTTTGCCAACTGGAACAGTCACTTCCGGGTTTGCAGCGTCCGGGAGCCAAAACATTTGAGAACTAAGCTGTTCAAAAACAAAGATACGACTGTATTCAGTGCATCAGCAAGCCTTACAACTGACAAATTATTTCAAGCTTTTCTCCTGCAGGCATGAATCTAGTCCTCATGGTGTTTTGAGAAAGAAAGAAAAAGTTGCTCTCGTGAGCAGATGCGAAGGAAGGGGGTAAACTCTCTTTCCTGGGAGGTTTTTAAGCAGAGGTTGGACGGTTGGACGGCATCCTGTCATGGATGCTTTAGTTGTGATTCCTGCATTGCAGCGGGTTGGACTAGATGACCCTCGGGTCCCTTTCCAACAATTCCACAATTCTACGACTGTTAACCACACATGTCTCCACACTGCCTGACCAGGAAGCAGGATGGAGAAGCCAGCCCTTGCTCGACCACAAAGGAGCACGGGATCTTACTCGTTTGGGAGAACAGCTCCTGATCCCAAGAAGATTCCCAGAATAAATGTGTGAATCACGGTAACAAAGGACAGGCAGACATTGCAGATATACAACACCGATGTTATATCAAAATGTCGGCGGGGGTGGGGAGGCTATTGCTTTTATTTTGATTATGTATTTTGTGGTTTTATATTTTGATTTTATTCTGTGAACTGCCCTGAGACCTCTGGGTATAGGACGGTATATAAATTCAATAATAATAATAATAATAATAATAATAATAATACAGTGGTACCTCAGGTTACATACGATTCAGGTTACATATGCTTCAGGTTACATACGCTTCAAGTTACAGACTCCGCTAACCCAGAAATAGTGCTTCAGGTTAAGAACTTTGCTTCAGGATGAGAACAGAAATTGTGCTCCGGCGGCGCGGCAGCAGCAGGAGGCCCCATTAGCTAAAGTGGTGCTTCAGGTTCAGAACAGTTTCAGGTTAAGAACGGACCTCCAGAACGAATTAAGTACTTAACCTGAGGTACCACTGTAACAACAACAACAATATCATCACACAGAATCGGGCCCTTTTCCACATCTCGCCTCTCTTGGGTTTTAGGAGACCCCACTGAGGGTGTCATACAATGGGGGATTTTCTCAAAGGATAAAGCTTGCTTGATCGACGGACAATCCATGTATCTATTGGCCTATTTCAACCTCTTTTTCTCCGGCTCAAGGCAGCCCAGAAAAAGCATTTCGGTCCCAGAAATTCATTTCGACCGTGCAGATAAAATATAACTGATGGAATTCTACAGGACGGGGTATTAGTGTGCGAAAACAGTCGAGATCCATGGAAGAAATTTAAAGACTATTTACAGAAATATTGCAAAATTAATGAATGTTAGAATGATGTTGGATTGAAGTTAAGTGGTTTCTAGCTGTACTGGTATAAAAGAATATGGAAATTTTGGTTTTTAATACGTAAAAATTTAATGTTATAATATATCAAGAGTAAAGATCAGGATTAAAAAGGAGGGAAAGGAATTGCTGGACTAACAAATTGAATTGGAATACAAAAGAGGGAGGTATGAGGAGGTCCGGGAAACAAGTAAACGTAAGAGAAGCGATGAAAAGATGGAATTGTTTTTAACTGTTTTTTCTTTTTTGTACTTTGTATTTTTCTTTCTTTATTGTTATTTTTCTTATTAATGTAATCTTTTTCTTCTGAAATTTTAAGAAATATTATTTTTTTTAAAAAAAGAAAACAGTCGAGATCCAAGGCTCTCCAGGCCTGTAAAGATAAAGGGACCCCTGACCATTAGGTCCAGTCGCGGACGACTCTGGGGTTGCGGCGCTCATCTTGCTTTACTGACCGAGGGAGCCGGCTTACAGCTTCCGGGTCATGTGGCCAGCAGGACTAAACTGCTTCTGGCGCAACGGGACACCATGATGGAAACCAGAGCGCACGGAAACGCCGTTTACCTTCCCGCCGCAGCGGTACCTATTTATCTACTTGCGCTGGTGTGCTTTCGAACTGCTAGGTTGGCAGGAGCTGGGACAGAGCAACAGGAGTTCACTCCGTCGTGGGGATTCGAACTGCCGACCTTCTGATCGGCAAGCCCAAGAGGCTCAGTGGTTTAGACCACAGCGCCACCCGCGTCTCTCTGCATTAGAGAAGAGCAGGCGTCGAGCAAGGACCCCGAGGAAGGTTCTGGAGGACGAGAGGAGAGGGGACCGCATGTGTTTGCTCTCACTCGTGCATCTCTCTGGAGACAGCAAGTGGGAACAGGTGGTCCAGCTTCAAGGGGACAGACGGCAGCGCAGAGAGCGAGGAGAGGTTTCTTCTGCCTGGGTGGCTGCAGCAGTTATTCAGGTGGATGATTGCCTTGAGCAGAGCGGTTTGGAACAAAATGTTGCCTAGGCTACAGTCCTCAGCCCACCTTCTGTCGAAAGCAAAGGGCCTTGCTTCCAAGTAAACAGGAGGAGAGGAGGAGGCCAGGCGAGGGAAAGGGGGAGACCTTTGCTTTTGGAACGAGTGTAGCCAAAATGGAATATAACTGACATCTTCCCTGGCTGCTAGCTGGAGCTCATGGGGGTCAGAGTCTTGCAATGTCAACAGGCTGCATCAAATTCATTATTACTTTGCCTGCTGTAACTTCTTATTGGTTTCCCCCATTATTTTTTTTGATTTAAAAGTGGCAAACTGCCTGGGCAGAGAAGCAGGACGGAAGCGAGCAAACAAGTAAGGTTCCGATCCTGACCCCCTTTACCTGGGAGGAAGCCCTGGTGAATGTAACAGGTAAAAGTAAAGGGACCCCTGACCATTAGGTCCAGTTGTGTCCAACTCTGGGGTTACGGCACTCATCTCGCCTTATTGGCTGAGGGAGCCAATAAAACAGAGGGAGCCAAAAGACAGCTTCCGGGTCATGTGGCCAGCATGACTAATCCGCTTCTGGCGAACCAGAGCAGCGCACGGAAACGCCGTTTACCTTCCCGCTGGAGCGGTACCTATTTATCTACTTGCACTTTGACGTGCTGTCGAACTGCTAGGTTGGCAGGAGCAGGGACCGAGCAACGGGAGCTCACCCTGTCAAGGGGATTCGAATCACCGACCTTCTGATCGGCAAGTCCTAGGCTCTGTGGTTTAACCCACAGCGCCACCCGCGTCCCAAATGCAACAGGACTTGCTCCTAAGTAGACACGCCGACAAAGGAAAATGCCTCTGATGAAACCTGGTCTCCCTTCTTTTTATACATAAGGGATGAAGCTCTCCCACCAACCACACAAAACTGCCTGTGGAGAATCAATATGGACTGTCAGTGTTTTAAGACCATGTAAAACAGGAACTCCCAAACTCGGCCCTCCAGATGTTTTGGGACTACAACTCCCATCATCCCTAGCTAACAGGACCAGTGGTCAGGGATTTTCTGGGCCTGTCCTACCATTGGGCAGTTGGAATATCATTACAGCAAAGCAAAGTGAACATTGTTAAAGGGATTGTTGTATTCTACCACCTTTGGGGGAGTGCTGATGGAGTTTCTGCTTCTGGTACCAAATGCCCTAAGATAATAATAATAATAATAATTTATTTATACCCCCACCCATCAGACTGGTGGCTCCCAACAGAATATGAAAAACATGATAAGAGTATGAAAAGAGCCTTTCTGGATCCGACCGTACCTGGTTCACCTTCCCATTTTTGACAGTAGTCAGCCAGCTGTGTCTGGGAAGCAAAGACAGCTTTGTCCATCTCTAGCTGGTTTTTCACAATCTTTTGCAAGCTTACCTCCCAAGCAGACACAAACGGGCTGTGTACTGATTCGGGGCTCGGGGTCCGAACTGTGCAAGGAATCCCAAGACATAACTGGTCTCTCAAGCACCCCATCATGAACCCAGCAAAGGCAGCAGTCCCAGAAGCTTGCCCGCCTCTCTCGGAAGAAGAAAGGGCCTCTTATATAGTCGTAAATTCCCAGGCTAAGACTTACTCTGTCTCCAGAGCCAACCGCATTTCAGCAGGGCCATTTCTGCAGCGATCTCCAGGCTGATCTATCCCAGCAAGAGAAGAACTTAAGAAGGAGAGGAAAGGCAGGAGTTAGGAATGCAGAACTATCAGACTGTAACATCAGATCACCTTCACTCCTCTCCCAGAAAACAACTTGTTTTTTTTTCTGCTGGTGGGAATTTTCCAACCGTGGGGCGGAGAGGAGGGAGGAGAGCGGCAATTGGGGTCACTGGACTTCTAAATAAAGGCACAGAGTGTGCGGCTAACCAGATCTTTTTTTAATGCTCCTCTCGAATTATCTCTGTTATGTAAATTACAAAAGGGTGGGGAGGGGAGGCTGCGGCGCCTTTTCCCTCTGCGGGATTTAGAGATTAGCATTTTGCTTCTATCTTTAACTGAAGCTCTCTAGAACATACCTGGAGCGCAGGGCATCGCTTCCAAGCAGCCTCCCCCAACCTGGGGCCCTCTAGCTGTTCTGGACTACAATTCCCATCATTCCACCCCTAGTGGGGCTGGTGGGAGTTGTAGTCTAAAACACCTGGGTTGGAGAAGGCTGCTTTAAACTGCTTTCTAAACGTCCCGGCTCCTTTCTGCTGCTGAGCTGTTGCAAAACACCCCTTTGCTGTGCAGTCAGGCTCACAATGAAAACCAAGTTGGGGGGAGACAGGGAGTATAAACACCCACCCATTCAGGGCTCTGCCACGTAAACAAACCCACACCACTTGAAAGCATATGATTTTGCTAATTTGCGCAGACACACAAAGCGCAGAACTTGGCAGAAGTACAGAAATGGAATCAAGACAGTGGGGAATATAAGCATGGCGCCACAAAGTGGCCAGGCAAGTAGGTTGGGGGAAATGTGGTATAATGGTTAGTGTTGGATTTGGACCTGGGAGAGATAAGGGTTCAAATCCCCCCACTCAGCCACGAACCTTTCACTGGGTGAGCCTGGACCCAGCCACTGCCTCCTTCCCCTTCTCTCTCCCCCCTTCTCGCCCCCCCTCAACCCCACATTGCTTACGACAAAAAAAATAAAATGCCTCATATTGACTGTAATTGACCTTTATGAAAGACTCTACAATTTGAAAACAGAGACGCTGAATGTACTATTGTTCCTTATGGGAAATCTTTCAAAAAAATAATAATATTTAAAACAATAATAATAAGGGGGGGAGGAACCATGTAGGCCACTTGGAGTTCCTTGTAGCCAATCAGAGGGGATATAAATGCAATCAATCAATCAATCAACGAACGGGGTGGGTGGCCAGGACCCAGAGCAGAAAGGGGAAGGAAGATTCGGGTCTGCAGAATCATAGGAGCACATGGAAACACATGGAATCCGAAATTAAACAGTTTTTAAGAATAACAAAAAATCTGTTTTTAGTCTATGAAATAATGAAGATGAAAACGAGTGGTGAAAAGTCCAGGAGTTTCGTTCAAACAGGGCAGCAAAAATACTACAGAAAAGTACCATTGAGGCTGTCGCCCAATATGCGCTTATAGGGGAGCAAGCCTCATCTAACTCTTCCTGGCGCTTCCCCCCGGGTAAACGTGCCTCGGATCTACCTGGCTGGATGAAGCCCGCAAGGCGAGGGAGAAATGGGGAGAAGAGAGGAGATATATATATATATATTTTCGGTGCCGGCAGGAGAAACCCAAAGCCTGATGGAAAAGGATCCCCAAAGTTTATCTCTGCGTTCCCGTCTCTGCCCGCACAAATCTGCCCCGCTAATCTGGAGCTTGAAACTGGACCCAAACTCTGTTTGCGATTCCACCTCCGGCAGAGGAAAGAGAACTCAAAATGAACCCGGGTCGTCGCGCTCTGACGTTGTCTGGACCAGGGTTCGGTTACACCCGCTTGCTGGACCGCCCAGATCACTCACATTTCTCCTGAACGAAGGGGCTGGATGCGCCTTAGGTCTGGGTAAGGTGGATCAGCTCCGCTCCCTCCTTCCCACACCAAGCCTGGGATCGGGGCGGGTGGCTACAAGGCTGCCTTGTCGCCTCTCTCTCTCTCTCTCTCTCCCTCTCTCTCCCTCTCTCCTCCCTTCCCACCTGGTGGATCCGTTACAAATAAGAAGCTGCGCCGCCTCTCCCGGGGTTGCAAAGATGCGCACGCGATGGCCAGGTGCGCTAGCGCCTGCCAGCCTTCTTGCGCGCAAAGAAACTCCGCCACGCGCCACCCCTTTGCACCATCCCTCGCCCAGCCCATCAGGTCCAAGTCCTCTCTTCCCCACCCACCCACCTCACCCTGCTTTTTACCTAGAGAGCCCCCGCCGCGCGCTGCCACCTTTCCCGGGACTCGCCGGGCAGCCACATCAAACCTCTGGCAGATGGAAACACAACACCCTCCCTTCAAACGCCAGCTCTTTCTCTCTCTCTCTTTGCACAGAATTCTGGGAGTCGTAGTTTGCACTGGGCAGCGCAGCCCGGGATGGACTCCAGCTCCCAGGATGCAAGAGGAGGAGGAGGAGGAGGAGATGCTCGCCTTCATTCCCCCAAAAGGCCCCCCTCACCTGACTCCCCCTGTTTCGTTGTGCATCCGTTGCAAAGGGGAGGAAGGTCCTTAATGCGCTCTGGTGCCTACTCAGAAATCAGCCCCATGGCTTTCTCATAGGGCTGACTCCCAGGTATACGGGCATCTAGGATCCGCAGCCTTGGAGAAAACAGAAAACTGGGGAGCTAGATCTCCCTCCGTCGTCATCTTGACCCAAGAAAATCACAGTTTTATAGTTCAAATCGGGGGGAAATAAATACAGTAAATGGACAAAAGTACAAAGATTCAAAAATGTTTAGGGGTTTGGTACTGGAGAAGACTCTTGAGAGTCCCATGGACTGTAAGATCAAACCTATCCAAGGAAATCAGCCCTGAGTGCTCACTAGGAAGGACAGATCCAGAAGCTGAGGCTCCAGTACAGTGGACGCTCTGGTTGCAAACGTGATCCATGTGAGATGCACATTTGGAACCCGCAGCAGTGCATCTGCGCACGCACGGGTTGTGATTCGGCGCTTCTGCGCATGCGCATAGAGCAATTTAGCACTTCTGTGCATGCATGACCTCTGAAACCCAGAAGTAACCCGTTCTGGTACTTCCGAGTTTTGGAGCATCCGTAACCTGAAAAAACACAACCTGAAGCGTCTGTAACCCAAGGTATGACTGTACTTTGGCCGCCTCATGAGAAGAGAAGACTCCCTGGAAAAGACCCTGATGCTGGGAAAGATGGAGGGCGCAAGGAGAAGGGGACGACAGAGGACGAGATGGTTGGACAGTGTTCGCGAAGCTACAAACATGAGTCTGACCAAACTGCGGGAGGCAGTGGAAGACAGGAGTGCCTGGCGTGCTCTGGTCCAGGGGGTCACGAAGAGGCGGACACGACTAAACGACTAAACAACAACAACAAATGCATCCCCCTGCGTCCCTCCCCACGGAAAAAAGCACTGGGCATTCCAATCTTCCAGTCCGAGTGGGACTTTGTTCTTTTGCTGGCTGAGTAGCAGGTTTTAGATAGGAAAGAGCCACAAGCTGGGTCCACGCCATACATTTAAAGGACACCCCGCACACCCCACTCCCATAGAGAATGCTGGAAACTATAGGGTTTTTTAAGGCGCTGGGAATTGTAGTTCTCCGAGGGGGTGAACTACGTTTCCCGGGGTTCTTGATGGAGAGGAGATGCACTTTAAATGCACGATGCATACGCAGCCTGGGCAGGTGCAGTTGAAGCAGCTGGAAGTGTGTGAAGCAGCGATGCTCCCATCTGTTCCCCGCAGCGTGTTTCTCATTTTGCTCTATTTTTAGTGGCGCTTCAGCACATCGGCTGCTCAAATGATGCTCCGGTGACTTGCCCCCCCCTCCACGCCGCCCTCTGGCTTAGAGAAAGGACAAGAGGCACTGACCGTGCCAAAAGAGAAGCCCACCGAGGCCCACACTCTTGTGTCCCTCCTTACGTAAGGCTTTGGCAAAACAGAGGAAAAGGATGGCCGGATGAAGCAGACAAAGGCAACCTTCCTCTGCCTCGGGGCCACGACAACCAGGCGTGTGCCAGGCATGCGTCTCCTCGGGAGGAGGCGCCCCAAGTTGTTTTCACCACTGCTCACCCCGGCTCGCTAAAAACAATCGTTTAAAAGTAATTGAACTCTAATGGAATTAAAATAATATAAAAATAATATTTAATAATATTTAAAAAACCCAGCCTATTGAAATATAGGTGATGAAAACAGCACAGTACTATTTAAAGCCCTTTAAAAAAAGAGGGGGGGGGAGCCAGTTCCCAAAGGCCTCTCGGGATAAGAGAGTCTCCACCTGCTGGTGGAAGGACCACAAAGAGGGAGCAGGTCTGGCTTCTCTAGGGAGGGAGCAGCCACCACCGAGAAGGCCCTGTCCTGCGTCCCTGTGAGGATGAAAGAAGGGCCTTCCCTGAAGACCTCAGAGCCTGGGCAAATTCCTGTGAGAAACTATGGTCTTTTGGATAGTCTGGACCTAACTAGCACTTTGAATTGCGCCCAGGAACTGATCGATAACCTGTGGTTACCTGGCCTGTTCCTTACCCAGCCAAGAGATTGGCCTGTTTCTCCCTCCGGGATGTGGGGAAAAAACAGATCCCCCTTCGTTCAAGAGCAAAGATTGAACAGGGAGAATTTACTACAGTGTTGCTCGTGCCTTCCCACGGACAGACACTGACGCCATCTGCTTATTTACCATGCGCATGAATGAGACACTGGGGAATCTGCGCTCTCCCCCAGAGCTGCAATCTGCATCCAAACGGTTCTGACGTCGTGAAGAAAACGAGTTTGTTGATATCAAGGCTCATTTTACAAGGAGGAAGAGCACAGGGGCAGGTGGGAAGAGGAATCTTCAAGAGCGCCATTGCACCAAGCTGTGTGAGAAACCGGGTGTGCAATTGTTTCCGCTGGAGTTGTGATGGCCTGGGACTCGGGCTCGGGCTCGGAACCAGAGAAGTCTCAGTCTGCACCGGATCCTTTGCCTCAGGCATCATCTGAACCAAGTCTGGGGCCTGATCCTGAAGAGTCCCAGTCTGCACAGGTTCCCCTGCAACAAACACCAGCTGGGCCGAGTCAGGGGCCTGAGCCTGCCCTGGCTCCAGATGTGGGGATTACCTTGTTGCCTCCAGCTGGGCCATCACTCACAGCTGCTCCACTACCAGTTGGGTCAGGGGAGGCTGAGGCGGCCTCTGGGTCTAGTCACCCACCGATGTCTCCCGAGCTGCAGAGACTGAGGTCTGAGAGACCTGAGTACTTGCAGGAGGAGTGCTCACCTTTGGGCGAAACAGGGAGGTGAGTCACCGGGGAATCAGGACCGGCCGCTACCCCAACAAAGATAAAAGGCTGTCGGACCTTGCCCCAGGTTGCGGGAGCAACATTGCTGTATGCTAGATCCTGCCTGAGATCCTGTACCTGTCCTTGCCTCGTGTCCTGCCTTGACCCTGTCGGACTGACTCCTAGCAGAACCTTTGGATTCTAGTCTGGTCCTGGACTGCGATTCATGGGTTACTCCCGGGGCCAGCACAGGAGTTTTGCTGCTGAAAACAACTGGGGAGAATTACCTCCGAGCACGGATAGTGTTCGTTCACCGTCCTACCAATTAGCTACAGGCATTGCGGACATATTAGGAATTTGGAAGGAAGTCCACGATGACCAGCTGTCGGGGGGAGGGGTCTGCGTCCATCCTGCCTCCTCTTGTGGCTGCTACGCCGCTTGATCAGCAGAAATCAGCAGGCAACATTTTGCACGACTGTTTTATACTTTATGATAATTTAGAATTTAAATGTATTTTCATGTAATGTTTGATACTTCCAGCTGATGAAGGTATTTGAATGGATTAGTTTTTGTTACAATTGACTATTGATTTGCGAGTAGGGACCACTCCCACTACTGAAACTTATATTGGCCAGAGTTCTTGGTGTGCTTTTTTCTTGGTATATTTAATACCAAGAACTCCAACTTATTTAACGACATGGGAGATCAGCAGGATCAGCTGCTGATGCCTGAAGTTCAAGCCGTGGTTGATTGTATTTGTATTTTTTACATCGATATATCACCTTTCCCTTCCAAGGTGTTGCATGTGCTTCTCCCCTTCCCCATTTTACCTTCACAACAACCTGGTGAGGTAGTTTGGGTCAAGAGACAGGGACTGGCCCAAGGTCACCCAGTGAGCTTCATGCCTGATCTCCGGTGGTCAAATTCTGGTCTCCCAAGTCGCAGTCCAGCACTCGAACCGTTATGCAACACTGGCTGTCTGGTAAAGACGCAGCCGCAGGCAAGAGTCAGAAAGTTGGAAATCATCGGCAGAAGGCTTCCATGCAGGAAGGTGAAGTATCAAGACTCAGCTCTGGTGACCCTTGTCAGAAATTCACCAATACCTTACAAGGGACGCAGGTGGCGCTGTGGTCTAAACCACAGAGCCTAGGGCTTGCTGATCAGAAGGTCAGCGGTTCGAATCCCTGCGATGGGGTGAGCTCCTGTTGTTTGGTCCCAGCTCCTGCCCATCCAGCAGTTTGAAAGCATGTCAAAGTACAAGTAGATACAGTGGTGCCCCGCAAGATGAATGCCTTGCAAGACGGAAAACCCGCTAGACGAAAGGGTTTTCCATTTTTGAGTTGCTTCGCAGGACGAATTTCCCTATGGGCTTGCTTCGCAAGACGAAAATGTCTTGCGAGTCTTGAGATTTTTTTTCGCTCCCCCCCCTTTCTAAGCCGCTAAGCCGCTAATAGCCTTTTAGCAGCTAAGCCGCTAAGCCTTTAATAGCCGCTAAACCGCTAATAGCGCTAATCCGCTAAGCTGCTAATAGGGTTGCTTCGCAAGACGAAAAAACTGCTAGACGAAGACACTCACGGAACGGATTAATTTCGTCTTGCGAGGCACCACTGTAAATAGGTACCGCTCCGGCGGGAAGGTAAACGGCGTTTCCGTTCGCTGCTCTGGTTCTCCAGAAGCGGCTTAGTCATGCTGGCTACATGACCTGGAAGCTGTACGCCAGCTCCCTCGGCCAATAAAGCGAGATGAGCGCCGCAACCCCAGAGTCGTCCGCGACTGGACTTATCGGTCAGGGGTCCCTTTATTCCCTTACAGGGGTTCCTTACAGCAACCCCCGATAACTCAGTAGGTAGAGCACGAGACTTCTGATGTCAGGGTCGTGGGTTTGATCCCTGTGTTGGGCAAAAGATTCCTGCATTGCAGGGGGCTGGACTTAGGTGACCCTCGTCGTCCCTTCCAACTGTGATTCTATCTGCGATCATATTTTACAATGAGCTTGCCGTTTACTTTGGCTGCTCAGCCTAGATGCTAATGTCCATCCTGCTCTCTGGTTGTTTCAAAGGCCTGTTTGTCTTGCTAGCGGAACAGCAGAAGAGGCTTCTCTCAGGGCTCGGTTTAACAAACAGGCAGCCACTGTTGCTGCAGCTCAAATAATAGAGCTCAGTCCCAACATCTGTGGCCCTTTTGCTTTAAAAATAAGATTTAACTCAGGGGCAGGGGACTTCTGGCCCTCTGGAGGTTTAATGGACTCCAACTGCCATCAGCCCCAGCAAACAAGGCCCACGGTCAGGGATAGGTAAAGGTAAAGGGACCCCTGACCATTAGGTCCAGTTGTGGCTGACTCTGGGGTTGCGGCGCTCATCTCGCTTCATTGGCTGAGGGAGCCGGTGCACAGCTTCCGGGTCATGTGGCCAGCATGACTAAGCCGCTTCTGGTGAAACCAGAGCAGCGCATGGAAACGCCGTTTACCTTCCCACTGCAGTGGTACCTATTTATCTACTTGCACTGGTGTGCTTTCGAACTGCTAGGTTGGCAGGAGCAGGGACCGAGCAACGGGAGCTCACCCTGTCGTGGGGATTCGAACTGCTGACCACCTGATCGGTCAGGAATAGGGTTGCCATATTTCAAAAAGTAAAATTCCTGACACCCACAAAGTTGTTGAGCTTCCCAGTGCTTTTCCCATCACGTTGCCTTGCAGCCGTGTTCCCCCTGACATTCTGCAGATTCGGCAAAATTCCCCACGGCGCCTTTTTTACACCCGAAAATCGGGACGTGTCTGATTTGGACAGGCATCCTGGAGTCTAGCAGGCTTTAAAAAAACTAATTAAAAAACAAAACAACTTTGAGTATACATGCATAACACAACCTAGTTACAGACACACATTATATAATGCCTTCTACAGAGTCAGATGAGCTTGCAGCAAATGATTAAATCAGGCATAGGCAAATTCCGGCCCTCCAGATGTTTTGAGACTAAAATTCCCATCACCCCTGATCGCTGGTCCTGTTAGCTAGGGATGATGGGGATTGTAGTTCCAAAACATCTGGAGGGCCGGAGTTTGCCTATGCCTGGATTAAATGATCTTAGAAGAGTCGTTACCAGTTTTGTTTGATTTTTATGCATCTGTGCAGCCCCTCCAAAGTGAGGCACAGGTGTTTGGAGGGTCTGATCATTTTTTAGTCCTTTTTTAAAAGGGGAAATAATAATAACAAAACACTTCCTGGAACTGATCTTTCTTTGTTTCACCTCTGACTAATCCTCTGCATTGTGAAAGATGTTCAGACAAGGCTATGTCCCATCACTGAAGAAACATTCCTCTTTAGGGAGCGTTGCACATGACTTCCATTGCTGAGCCGTCTGAGAATCCACCACCAATAAAACGAGGCAGGTTCTTTGTGTTTAACTGTTGGACTTCAACATCAACTTCGTTGGACTGGTCATGTTGTGCAGATGCCCAGTTATCCTCTTCCAAAGCAACTACTCTATTCCGAACTGAAAAATGGAAAGCGTCATGCTGGTGGTCAACAAAAGAGGTTTAAAGACTCTCTCAAGGCAAATCTAAAAAAATGTAATATAAACACCAGCAAGTGGGAAACACTGGCCTGCGAGCGCTCCAGTTGGAGAACAGCCTTTCCCAAAGGTGTCACGGGCTTTGAAGACGCTCGAACTCAGGACAAAAGGGAGAAACGTGGGAAGAGGAAGGGACGCTTGGCAAATCCACACCGTGATCAACTCCTGCCTGGAAACCAATGTCCCCACTGTGGAAGGATGTGTGGATCCAGAATTGGCCTCCACAGTCACTTACGGACTCATTGTTAAAGCCATGTTTATGGAAGACAATCTTACTCGGCTACGAGTGATCACAGAAGAAGAAGAAGAAGAAGAAGAAGAAGAAGAGTAATTATCTCACATTTGATGTTGCAATGAATGTTTAATATTCGTGCATTGATGTTCTAGTACATTTTTAGAGTACATGTGAAAAGGGTCGCAGTGGTTCTCAACCTGTGGGTCCCTAGAAGTTGTTGGACTACAACTCCCATCATCCCTGAGCTCTAGCCTTGCTAGCTAGGGGTGATGGGAGTTATAGTTCAAGAACATCTGGGGACCCACAGGTTGAGATAGGCTGGGTCTTAGTAGACCACATGTTTCACATGAGTCAACAGTGTGATGCAGCAGGAGTTCTTTGTCCAGTTATGGGCACCATAATTTAAAGAGGATGTTGACAAGTGGGAACGTGTGCAGAGTAGGGTGACCAAGATGATCAAGGGTCTGGAAGCCAAGCCTGATGAGGAACGGTCGAAGGAGCTGGGTATATTTAGCCTGGAAAAGAGGAGACTGAGAGGAGATATAATCACCATCTTCAAGTATCTCAAGGGCTGTCACATGGGGGATGGAGCAAGCTTGTTTTCTCCTGCTCTGGAGGGCAGGACTCGAACCCATGGCTTCAAGTTACAAGAAAGGAGATTCTGATGAAACACCAGGAAGAACTTTCTGATGGTAAGAGCTGTTTCCAGTGGAGCAAATTCCCACAAGAGGTGGTGGATTCTCCTTCCTTGGAGGTTTCTAAGAAGAGGTTGGGTGGCCACCTGTCTTGAATGCTTTAGTTGAGATTCCTGCATTGCAGGGGGTTGGACTAGATGACTCTGGAGGTCCCTTCCAGCTCAACAATTCTACACTACAATGACTCTGTGTTCTTGACAATATGTCTGTCCCAGCTATGCACTGCAGCTATTTTTAGTTCCCACCCTGTCAGCTCAGTTTATGCTCTGTAATACCTCACTGTCATGCTCAGGAGACAGCCTGAGAGTTATTCATCCTAATGCCTTAAGCATTAGAATTTCACGCCAGCAGTGAGATTTTCTATACTTTTGGGTCCATCTTGCCCACCAGGACCGGACCAAAGATACCAGCCAGCTGCTCAGGGCAGCAAGAGATTGAGAAACAACAGCCAGGAGGTTTAAGTCTGAAGCTTATCCCAGGAACCTGGTGTCAGGGACGTGGAGTCAGATTCCTCTTCAGGTGATGTATACCACACACAGAGAATAAGATCATTCTTCTTTGGCGATCACTCATAGCCAAGTAAGATTGTCTTCCATTAATGAGATCTTAACAGTGAGTCCGTAAGTGACTGTGGAGGCCAATTCTGGATCCACATGTCCTTCCACAGTGGGACGGGCGGGAGTTGATCACGGTGAGGGTTTGCAAAATGTGCCTTCCACTTTTTCCCTTGCGTCCTGAGTTCGAGTGTCTTCAAAGCCCATGACACCTTTGGGAAAGGCTATTCTCCAACTGGAGCGCTCGCAGGCCAGTGTTTCCCAATTGTTGGTGTTTATACTACATTTTGTTAAATTTGCCTTGAGAGAGTCTTTGAACCTCTTGTGTTGACCACCATCATTACACTTTCCATTTTTACGTATGGAATAGAGTAGTTGCTTTGGAAGATGATCATCAGGCATCCGCACAACATGACCAGTCCAACGAAGTTGATGTTGAAGAACCATTGCTTTGACACTGGTGATCTTTGCTTCTTCCAGTACAGTGACATTAGTTCACCTGTCTTCCCAAGTGATGTGTAAATTTTATTGGAGACACAGTTGATGGAATCTTTCGAGGAGTTGGAGATGGCGTTTATAAGTGGTCCATGTTTCACAAGCATACAGTAAACACACACCCACACTCACACCCACACACCGGTGCTTATGACTCCAAGCCTTAAAAATGAATCCCCTGGTTGAATTATTTATAGTCAATCAAAGCCTGGCTTGATAATAAAGTTGTTTAATAACCACTTGGCAACTCTTAAATACTTAAGCCCTCTATTCCAGGCAAGCAGTCTCGCTATCTAAAGCTTCCCCCCACCCATTTTGTGCGCTGACGGGACTTGCCAAGTGAAATCGTCAGAAGGAATTAGGTTAACCCTGCGACATAACCAGTTGATTACAAAGCGGGATGTGTGTGTGTGCTATCTTCTGCTAAGGAAGGGCAGGCAAGCCTCTAAACATGCCAGCCTTTTGCACGGCTTGGAATTAAGCGAAGTGCTGAGCTCCCCTCCCCACCCTTAAAGCGAATTTATAACAATAATTAAAGTCGCTCCCGTAGGCAAGGAGTGCGGAAGTTTTAGCAGGGTTTTTTATCCGCTCCAGGCTATCTGCTGACTATTAGCTCAAAACTCAGCAGGGATGTGGGCTCTGCGGTTGGGTCCAATTATTCTCAACCGTCCTTCCTCTGCCAGCGTTGCAGGTTTCGCTTAAGCGCTGCAATAAGTTGTTGCCTTAGCAAAGGGGCCACAAGCTTTACCGGCCATGGGCAGTGTCAGGGAACTGCCATCAGCTCAGAGGAGAGAGGTGGAAGGGCAGTTGCGTTACAGGGAGCCTCGGAAGATCTTGGGAAGCTGTTCCTCCTCTGGCGAGGAGGAAAGCCCCACCTCTAGTGGAGAGGAGGTGCAGCGACCAGGGGATGCTAGGGAGCGCCCCAACACTGAACCTAAGCAAACCGGAGAGGAGGGAAGTCCCCCTTTGCCAGCACCCACTCTGCGCAGGAGGTCTGGGCGCATAGAGGGGAGGAGAAGGATGGGGGTCAGACAACTGTTATGCTGGGGGAGGAACAAAGACCAGCCGCGCCCAGATTCTGCTAGCGACTGAGCAGGCATGGACTTGCGACGTTCTGCGCTGTAAATACCGTATTTTTTGCACCATAACACTCACTTTTTTCCTCCTAAAAAGTAAGGGGAAATGTCTGTGCGTGTTATGGAGGGAATGCTTACGGGTGGCATGCCTACGGATTTTCCTCCTCTAAAAACTACGTGCATGTTATGGTCGGGTGCGTGTTATAGAGCGAAAAATACGGTAGTTTGTATTGATAATAAAGCCTGGAAAAGAGAGGTTGGAGTCTCGCCTGTTTGCTCTCGAGCAACCACAACAGCATCTGACAGCCAGGATCACTCCCACGGAGATTGTGGGCTGGACTGGCGCAGCACGATGCCAGAAATCGCTTCTGCACATGCCCAGACGCTGAAAATCGCGCCTGCGCAGAAGCAATTTCCGGCGTCTGGACATGCGCAGACGCCATTTCTGGTATCTGTGCATGCGCAGACGCCATTTCCGGCGCCACTATGTGAGTCCCCGCGCTGCGATGCGCTACTTTAGCGCAGCACATGGAGGACTTGCTGAGCTTGGTTTGCAGGCAGCTCGTGGGGCTGGTAAAACAGTCTTGGTGGGCCACATCCGGCCTATGGGCTGCATGTTGCTGACCCCTGCCTTCGCATAGCTTAGCCTTTCTCAGCCTGGTGCGCCTCCAGATGTTCTGGATGCTAGTTTCCAGCTCTGCTGATGGGAGTTGTAGTCCAAGATTCTTGCATTTCAGGGAGTTGGACTCACGATGCTGGCGAGAGAGAAAGAAGGGGTTAGACGCTGCCTCTGAGGGCCTTCTGGCGGTTCCCTCGCTGCGAGAAGCCAGGTTACAGGGAACCAGGCAGAGGGCCTTCTCGGTGGTGGCACCCGCCCTGTGGAACACCCTCCCACCAGATGTCAAAGAGAAAAACAATTACCAGACTTTTAGTGTGGGAGTCATAAAGCTGGCTCCGACATTTTAGAAGACATCTGAAGGCAGCCCTGTTTAGGGAAGCTTTTAATGTTTAATAGACTGTTGTATTTTAATATTCTGTTGGAAGCCGTCCAGAGTGGCTGGGAAAACCCAGTCAGATGGGCAGGATATAAATAATAAATTATTATTATTATTATAGAGAGGAGCAGCAGGGAGAGAGCGACTCAGGAGCCCCAGTGGGTGGGGTGTGTTTGTGTCTGTGTGGGGGGCAAAGAGAGGAAGGTGGTGGAGTCTTCCTTGGAACCAGAGAGACCCCCATGAAGGGGGAGAAGGCCAATGGCATTGGGCAGATGGAGAGATGCAAGATGGAGCCAGGCAGAGGTGTAGCGGTTGGAGGGCTGGACTAGGAGGACCTGGGAGAGCAGGGTTCAAATCCCCACTCAGCCATGAAGCTCCCTGGTGGACCTTGGGCCAGCCTAGCCTACTTTGCAGGGCTGCTGGGAAGATAAAAATTGGTGGCAGGGAGAACCATGAAGGCCACTTTGAGCTCCTGGGAGGAAAGTGGGCTAGGAATGTCCTAATAAAAGCGGATGATGAGAGGGGAGAGAAAAGGGGAAGGCAGGGAAAGAGTGGGGAGGAGCTGAGCTCTCTGGAGAAGACGGACTGGGTCAATTTCCAGAGAGCCAAGACTGTGCAGGGGACCCCAGGACTCACCCCCCCAGGGGAGCAAGAGAAAGGGGAGGAATCCTACTTACAGCCTGCCCATTTTGTCCAGGAAAAAATCCCACCCTCCTCTCTAAACTAGCTATCTAAAATGCCCATCCAAGCCTAACTCTGACCCCAACCCCAGCCCTAAGCCTAACCCCAACCCGACACCTAGCCCTTACTACCCCTCTATGTACAAAATGTATACCAAATATATACAAAATGTGCACAAATGTGCACAACATAAACATCTAAAATAAAAAATATTAAAATAAAGAACAAAAAATTAAAATTTAAGTGTTAAAACAAAAAACTAAAATAATAAATCAAAATGAATCAAATCAATCAAATAAATGAAATCAAAATAAGAAACTGAGAAAATAATCAACTCAACAGCTCTCCTAATCTGCCAACTGCCACCAACTCCTCTGTCCTCCACTCGCCTCACTCCTAACCCACAATGGCCGCCTGCAAGTCGGTGGCTTTTAAGGGAGAAGCAAGAGAGGTCACAAAAGAGGGCGGGTCCTTGTCATCGTGGCGACCCCCCCACCTGGCCCCTCCTGAGAGGTGATGCTCCTCCTTCAGAACTCGGAGGCCCCTGCTGTTCCACCTGCAGCTGGGCTCCATCTTCCTCTCACATCCTTCTTCCTGCAGCCCCATTCCCAAAGGGACACCAGCCCCACATCCTTCCAGGCAGGCTAGGGGTCTCCATAGTGCAGGATTGGACCACCTGCTTTGCATGCAGGTCTTCCGTCCTGGGCGGCATCTCTGGGAGGAGGGGGCTGGGAATGCCTCCCCGTCTGAAACCTTGGAGAGCTTCTGCCGGTCAGTGCAGGTGCTACTGAGGTCGATGGGTCACAGGACTGACTGTGTCCGAGGCAGCTTCCTAGGAATATGGCGGACGCTCAGGTTGCAAATGTGATCTGTTCGGGAAGCACGTTCGCAACCCGTAGTGTTTGCAACCTGCAGCGCCGCGTCCGCGCATGCGCGGGTTGCGATTCGGAGCTTCTGCGCATGCGCCCAAACCTGTTCTGGTAGTTCCGGGTTTGGCGCAGTGCGCAACTTGAAATCACGCAACCCGAAGCGTCTGTAACTGTACAGCGATACCTTGGTTTACAACCATGATCTGTTCCGGAGGTCCAGTTGTACAGTGGTACCTCGGGTTACATATGCTTCAGGTTACACACTCCGCTAACCCAGAAATAGTGCTTTAGGTTAAGAACTTTGCTTCAGGATAAGAACAGAAATTGGGCTCCGGCAGTGCAGCAGCAGCAGGAGGCCCCATTAGCTAAAGTGGTGCTTCAGGTTAAGAACAGTTTCAGGTTAAGAACAGACCTCCAGAACGAATTAAGTACTTAACCCGAGGTACCACTGTAAACCAAAACAGGTTGTAACCCAAGATGCGCTTTCACCAATGGGGCCTCCAAAAAAAAATTGGTTGTAATCCCCCAAAAATGGGTAGTAATCCCAAAAAAGGGACACATACTTCAGGTTTTGACGCGATTGTAATCCAAAACGGTTGCAAACCAAGGTACCACTGTATTCCTCTTAAGTTACAGAGCTGAGGAGGAGCAAACTAACTTCTGCACAAGACCGACCATCAATTCCTTTCTTTAAGAGACAATATGGAAAAATCTCTTAATGCAAGTGCAAAAGTTCTGAATATAGGAGGAAGCTGAATTCCTCCCTCCCTCTGCAATAAAGCCCTAGGCCAAGGGATGCCCCCCCGGTGGACTAGATGACCCCCAGGGTCCCTTCCAGCTCTACCATTCTCTGACTCTGTGATCACAGCAACCTTCACTGGTGCACAGTTTGGGGGAGCACAGGAGCATGGGCAAGAGCACATAATAATAATAATAATAATAATAATAATAATAATAATAATAATAATAGTTTATATCCTGCTTTTCTCCCTGCCAGGTACTTAAGGCGGCCTATATTTGGGATAGAAGCAGCTAAACACATTGGAAAAAAGTAATAAATACATATGAATATAATTAATAGAGAAAAACAAAACACAAACTCAGAGTCACCTAACTTCTTTTATGGAAAATTATCAAAAATTCCAAAAATTGCCCGACTGTGAGGATGAAGCTTTGAAAATGATAACAATACGCATGCATGGGGTGGGTTTCTGGCAACGGGCAGTGGCCGGATTAAGGCCCTAAGCAGTGAAAATATGTTGGTGTCCCCATATATCTATATATTTAAAGAAAATTAGGGGTTGAGAAATTCTATTTCTAGAATCTTAGAGTTGTAAGGGGTTCAACGGCCATCTAGTCCAACCCCCAGCAATGCTGGAATCTCAGCAAAAGCATCCACAACAGATGGCCATCCGATCTCTGCTTAAAAACCTCCAAGAAAGGACAGTCTAGCATCTCCAGAGGGAAGCCATTCCACAGTCAAACAGGCTCCAGGAGGAAGTGAATCAGCAACCTGATTGGCCTGCAGGAACAGTCCAATCAGGCTTCAGGAGGGGAGTTGAATCAGCCAATCACACGGGACCTATTGTGTAAAAAATGTATATATAGCCAGCGGTTTTGGGAGAAAGAACTCACTCACTGTTTACCATGAGCTGAAATAAAGAGCATGAAATCAACACTCAACTCCGGGTATATTTCACCCTCCATCCCCACTTTTGTTGGCGAAGAAGAAGAAGAAGAGTTTGGATTTGATATCCCGCTTTATCACTACCCGAAGGAGTCTCAAAGCGGCTCACATTCTCCTTTCCCTTCCTCCCCACAACAAACACTCTGTGAGGTGAGTGGGGCTGAGAGACTTCAGAGAAGTGTGACTGGCCCAAGGTCACCCAGCAGCTGCATGTGGAGGAGCAGGGAATCGAACCCAGTTCACCAGATTACGAGTCTACTGCTCTTAACCACTACACCACACTGGCAAAGGCGAAAGGAGGAGGGCCTCAGGAATGCAGAACTCCCAAGCAGGTCCATGAAGCTGTTTGAGATACCCTGATCCCAGGTCATTTCGGGCTTTCTGGGTAAAAATATGATACCCTGAGGCATTTCCTGTTGCAAGCCAATGAAATTGATTTAATATGGTCCGTCCTGTCGGCCGCAGAGCACGCATCTCGCTGTGGCCTTGCCTCTGCTGAGGTCAATGCTTGCAGAGTAGGACCGGCCAGAAACCAGACCGTAATCAGGGATCTAAAACAAAATATCAGTTTCGTCCAAGAGAATGTGGAATTTATGGACCAATGGGCACTTGCCTCAAAAGGGCATGTTTGAAACAGGGCAATAATGGTTTAAATCAGAGGGTTCAGGAGCCGGTATCACTCTTACTATATCCCTAATGAAATGATCAAGCGTTCCATATTTTATGAAGCCCTCTTTGTGCATAAATCACATTTTTTCTCTCCGAAGGCTGGTGTTTTCACATCAGCAAAGCTGCTAATAGCTTGAAACAAGCGCACTGCCATTTCTGGTGTATCTAAATGGTCGTTTGAGGTTAGCATCTAAATAAATTTGCATGCACATTTAGGGATGTTTGTGCAGGCAATCTTTTTTTCCAAGGCCGCTATTAGCATTTATTTATTTATTGGGCTTATTAGAGCACACAGAGAACACAGTCGGAGCAGCTCAGAAAATATATTCCGGAGACAATTAACACAGGAAGGGAAGCCAGAAGAGGAAAACACTTCAGATGACTTTGCAGCCTCTCACTTAATAATAAAAATACTTGACTGGGAGCATATGCATATGCAGTGTTCAGAGGCATTCCAACAAAGCTTTTGCGTGCTTTAAAAGGTTAACCTGAGATCAGTGGATCTACAACATGGGTAGGCAACCTAAGGCCCGGAGGCCGGATCCGGCCCAATCGCCTTCTCAATCTGGCCTGCGGACGGTCCAGGAATCAGCGTGTTTTTACACAAGTAGAATGTGTCCTTTTATTTAAAATGCATCTCTGGGTTATTTGTGGGACCTGCCTGGTTTTTTACATGAGTAGAATGTGTGCTTTTATTTAAAATGCATCTCTGGGGTATTTGTGGGGCATAGGAAATCGTTCATTTTGTCTTCTTCAAAATATAGTCTGGCCCCCCACAAGGTCTGAGGGACAGGGGACCGGCCCCCTGCTGAAAAAGTTTGCTGACCCCTGATCTACAACAATAAGCTCCACTCCCAGTCACCAGTCTAGCTGCCGCATTCTGGATTAGTTGTAATTTCCGAGTCACCTTCAAAGGTAGCCCCACGCAGAGCGCATTGCAGTAGTCCAAGCGGGAGATAACCAGAAGGAACAGAAATGAAACTCATGCTGCTTTGCTGAGGGGAGATGGGCAGCCTGGAGCTCACCTATGATGAGTCCATCTCCCTTCACTTTTTGAGCATCTGTTTTTTAACACCTTGTGCTAACAAGTCGCCTAAGAAGCCAACTCTTTCACGCTCTGCGACGCAGGAATCTCAGCTTTAAAAGCCCTGACAGAGGGCCATCCAACCTCTGTTTTGAAACCTCCAAGGAAGGAGAGGCCACCACCTTCTGAGGGAGCCCATTCCACCATCGAACGACTTTTCCCTCAGAAAGTTCTTCCTGGTGTTTAGCTAGAACCTCCTTTCTTGCTTTCTACGTAGGGCTGCCTCCGAAGACGGTTCGGAAACTTCAGCTGGTGCAGATTCAGCGGCCAGTTTGTTCACGGGAGCAAGACGGTTTGAGCATATTACACTGATCCTGGTCCAACTGCACTGGCTACCCATTAGTTTCCAGGCCCAATTCAAAGTGGTTTTAACCTATAAAGCGTTAAACGGCCCAGGACCGCAATACCTCAAAGACCGCCTCTTTCCAGATGAACCTACCCAGACCCTGAGATCACCTTCTGAGGTCCTCCTTCGTGTGCCTCCTCCTTGAAAGGTCCAGAGGGTGGCAACACGAGAACGGGGCCTTCTCTGCGGTGGCTCCCCGTCTGTGGAATGCTCTCGCCAGGGAAGTTCACCTGGCACCTTCATTACACACCTTTAGGTGCCAAGCAAAAATGTTCTTTTTTAACCAGGCCTTTGGTTGATCTTATTGACATCCTATGCCTTTTTAAAATGCAGTTCTTTTCTGGGAGGGGAGTGTTATTGGGTTATTGTTTGATGTTGTGATCTTTTCTGTGAAACACCCTGGGACCTCCAGGTATAAGGCGGAATAATAATAATATATAATAATGATAATGATAATAATAATAATAATTTAAAAAAAATTTACACCCCGCCCATCTGGCTGGGTTTCCCCAGCCACTCTGTGTGGCTTCCAACAGAATATTAAAACGATTAATCAAATATTAAAAGCTGGACCTCAGTGTCCGGGCCGAACGATGGGGGTAGAGACGCTCCTTCAGGAAAACTGGGCCGAGGCCATTTAGGGCTTTCAAGGTCAGCACCAACACTTTGAATTATGCTCAGAAACATACTGGGAGCCAATGTAGGTCTTTCAGGACCGGTGTTTTGTGGTCTCGGCAGCCACCCCCAGTCACCAGTCTAGCTGCTGCGTTCTGGATTAGTTGTAGTTTCTGGGTCACCTTCAAAGGTAGCCCTCGTAGAGCGTGTTGCAGTAGTCCAAGCGGGAATATACAGTGGTACCTCTGGTTGCAAACAGGATCTGTTCTGGAGGCCCATTCGCAACATGAAAAGAGCACAACCTGCAGCGGCACATCTGTGCATGTTCGGGTTGCGATTTGCCACTTCTGCGCATGACATCATTTTGCGCTTCTGCGCATGCGGCAAACCTGGAAGTAACCCTTTCCTGTACTTCTGGGTCGCCGCAGGACATAACCTGAAAGAAGGTAACATGAAGTGGACGTAACATGAGGTATGACTGTAAACTCAATAAAAAATAAAATAAAATAAAATAGGAATAATAATTGTCATTTGAATTTGTTGGTTTGGCTATATATAACTGCCCTGGCAACATCATGAGCACGAATCATCACAAACGCACCGTAAAAAGGACTCCTGTAGCACATACGCAATCTGAAGAATAGCTGTGGTGAACTAATCCACAGCAACGCACCGTGGAAAACATCACCAAGGGCGGAAAGCTTGTTGCTCCAACCGTTCTGTCCATGCGCAACTCCCTCCTTCCCATCGGCAAATCCTCCTGCTCTTCCCTGTTTGAGGAGTGGATGCAAGCAGCAGATGTTTGTGCCCAAAATGAACCGGGCTTGCTCTTGTTTTGTTCAGCGAGAAATGGCTCCCGCAGGGTTTCATTTAAATATTGCATGCCTGTTGCTTTATAAAAAATTCACACAAAGGGGGGGGGAACATTCTTGGAGGCTACGAGCCACAGCGTGGCGCACTTAAATGACTGCTGATCGTCCTCTGTGTCTTTGCCAGGGAAAGTACCCCTGGAGTCATGGCTCTTCGCTGGTAGCGGGGTTTCTTAGCAGTAAATATTTGTATTAGGAGAAGGGGATCTGATCTGCGAGAGTCACGTGTCTCCCTGCCACCACCCTCTCTATTGCACAGGGTGCTGGATAGACAGGGCAAAGAGATCTGAGAATCACAGAATTGCATAGTTGGAAGGAACCTCAAAGGTTCTCTAGTCCAAACCCCTGCAATGCAGGAATCACAGCTAAAGAATCCCGGACAGAAGGCCTCTGCTTAAAAACAGCAAATGAAGGAAGGTTCACCACTATCAGAATCTGAAGAAGGGCCTTCTCGGTAGTGTGGAACGCCCTCCCATCAGATGTCAAGGAAATAAACAACTACCTGACTTTTAGAAAACATCTGCTTAGGGAAGTTTTTAATGTTTGTTGCTTTATCGTGTTTCTAATATTCTGTTGGGAGCCGCCCAGAGTGGCTGGGGAGGCCCGGCCAGATGGGCGGGGTATAAGTTATTATTATTATTATTATTATTATTATTATTATTATTGCAGTCATACCTCATGTTACGTTTGCTTTAAGTTACGCTTTTTCAGGTTGCGTCCCGTGGAGACCCGGAAGTAGCAGAAAGGGTTACTTCCGGGTTTTGCCACTCACGCATGCGCAGAAGCGATAAATCATGCTTCCCACATGCGCACGAGCACCAAATTGCGCCACGCACCTGTGCAGATACAGCGTTTCAGGTTGCGGGCTTTTCATGTTGTGAACAGGCCTCCAGAATGGATCCTGTTCGCAACCAGAGGTGTTGTTGTTTAGTTGTGTCCGACTCTTCATGACCCCCTGGACCCCCAGAGCACGCCAGGCACTCCTGTCTTCCACTGCCTCCCGCAGTTTGGTCAAACGCATGTTGGTAGCTTCGAGAACACTGTCCAACCATCTCGTCCCCTGTCGTCCCCTTCTCCTTGTGCCCTCCATCTTTCCCAACATCAGGGTCTTTTCCAGGAAGTCTTCTCTTCTCATGAGGTGGCCAAAGTATTGGAGCCTCAGCTTCAGGATCTGTCCTTCCAGTGAGCCCTCAGGGCTGATTTCCTTCAGAATGGAGAGGTTTGATCTTCTTGCAGTCCATGGGACTCTCCAGAGGTACCACAAAGGTACCTCTATATTATTATCCATAGCAAGCACAGAAACTGCCTCCTTGACCATTGGTCCCACTCTAGGTCTCATCCGCTCCATCCACTGGAGCTTGACTTCACATGCAGGGGGAGTCCCTAAATCACAGACGATTTGAGACATATTGGCTACCCTCACCCGGTTTAGCTGTCCAGTCAAAGCCTTTCCCAAAGTGTGGCCACATGTTGGCAGCTTCCAGGAGCCACAGGTGAGAGCTGAGTGGGCAAACTGGCAAACCCCTGAAGGAGAACAATGTGTCTCCCATCAGAGGTACTATGCCCTCCCAACACTCCATACATATGGACAGCAGTATAATGCAGAAATGTTTTCAACAAATTATCTATCATTTGTCCTTAAAGAGCCGGTGGACTGGAATTGGCAGCCAGCCTTGTGAGCTGTGACCCCCTTCAGCAGGCTGTAGTCCACAAATACCTTGTACGCTAGAAAGGTTTAAGGTTCCACAATACCTTGGTCAGGGCCGGATTTAGGTTTGATGAGGCCCTAAGCTACTGAAGGTAATGGGGCCCTTTATATGTCTAGCTGTCCTTTGTCAACAACAAATGGTCGCTGTTTTTTGTGTGGAATATATGCTAGATGGTAATTTATGGACCTAATAGGTATCTAAAGACATCTGCATATGATGCCATGCAAGCAGTCCATGCAGAATGTAAAAAGGTAAAGGTAAAGTTATCCCTGACCATCAGGTCCAGTCGCAGACGACTCTGGGGTTGCAGTGCTCATCTCGCTTTACTGGCCGAGGGAGCTGGTGTTTGTCCACAGACAGCTTCCAGGTCATATGGCCAGCATGACGCTTCTGGCGAACCAGAGCAGCGCACGGAAACACCGTTTACCTTCCTGCCAGAGCAGTACCTATTTATCTACTTGCACATGACGTGCTTTCAAATTGCTAGGTTGGCAGGATCAGGGACCGAGCAATGGGAGCTCACCCCGTCGCAGGGATTTGAACCGCCGACCTTCTGACTGGCAAGCCCAAGAGGCTCTGTGGTTTAACCCACAGCGCCACCCAGGTCCCATGCAGAATGTAGGCACCCTATATAAAGAAATGAGCAAACCAGTGATATTTTAGGGAGCAGGCTAGCAGGCGGGGACCATGACTTACATCATAGGAGCCTACACAACACAAAACACTGTTGCTGCATGTAGGTTTTATTGTACATATTAGTTTTTTATCTTCTATTTTGGAAATGTACATCCAGTTTTTTCACCCTTTAATTTTTTGGGGGGCCCCCAAGAGAGTGGGGCCCTAAGGCTATAGCTTGTTTAGCTTACACGAAAAACCAGCACTGACCTTGGTGTTTCTGCTGAAAGACTCGAACACGTTCACCAGTCAGGAAACTGATTTTTTGTTTTTGTTTTCATTAGCCATTCACTGCTTGCAGTTCTCCCCCCGCCCTGCCAGAATGCATGTATCGGCTGAGAGCAACCCTGAACGCATCTTGCAAAATAAATATATTCTTCCCCATAGAAAAAACTCTTGCAGCAACTAACCCGTTAGGGTTAACAAGACTCTCTTTTCCCCCATCTCCTCCGCGATCTGACATCCTTTGCTCCTTGCTGCCGCCTATATTCTTTGTCCATCAGCCACCCAAGCAGATGAGAGACTACATTACCCAGCATATGAGGAAACCTTAAACTAGGAAAATGGGTGGATTATTCCAACTACATCTCCCATCGGGCTCTGCTCGTGGGAAAGCGCCCGAGACCACACTGGGTCTCTCGCTTGCAGCCTCTGCAGCCGGTCCATTTTATTGCATTTCAGGGCTCATTTTGAGATGCTTGCAGCAATGCTCGCAAGTTGCAAGGAGGGCAGCTCGGCACCGCTCCGCTGCCAGAAAAGAATAATGTCTTATTTATTCCTCCAGAGCCGCGCAGGGGCATCGTTTTGCAATGTTTGCAGCAGGTCCCAAACGATGGAGCCTCCGCGCAAGTTCATTTCTCTCCCCGCAAGGCGTTTTCAGCTCCTGGAACATTAAAAGGTGAATAGTTTTCCTCCTAACCTTTTCCAGGTCTCGCCTCCACAGCAATTATTATTTTTCCCAGACGTTGTTTACCGTACCCACATCGCAAGGCTCGAATAACCCGTCCTTAGCTTCCACGCGACCAGGCAGCCGCTTTATTATTAATATTATTGTTATTATTTGCATTGCATCCTCCGATTATTAATATTATAGAATGGTTCTCATTGCATGCTTTGAGCCGAACTGTGGAGCCTTCGGTCTGAAAAGCGGCAGGGAGAGAACAAACCAACCGCTCAGATGACACGTTTCGCTTATATAATAATGATAATCATAACGATAATAATAATAATAATAATTAATAAGAGATCTGCACAGAAAACAATAGAAGTAACGTCCTTTATCAATTCATATAAATACGAACAATATTTTCCAATAGCACTTCCTAAAAGCCAAATAAGGCTTAATTAATGAGCACCATAGAGATGTAAAAGATGTATAATAATGATAAAAATATGGATAAATGTGCAATGGTGCGACGTGGAGACTGGCAAGTGCATCTCTCTCTGTGTGCGTCTCTCCGGTCTTTTTAGCGCCGAGTGAATACCATTTTTTATTATTCAAGTAGCCTTTTAACTGCGTTTTAAATCTCGACTTCAAACAATTTCACGGAGCCTCCGCGCAAAGAAGTTTGTGGCTGCCTTTCCTTGCTCATTGTCTAAACAACAACCACAACGACGTTGTGCTTTTCACATTTTAAGCCGCCCAGGAAAACCCATAATGACGGCGATCGCCATCACCGGCGATGTCGCTCCGTTTTATTAGCTCTCCCAGCGGCTATTAATAATCTGTGATTCGCCTACTACAACTCCCAGCATGCCCCGCGGGCCCCTTCCCGCCCCTTTCCGCCGAAGCCCAAGAGGAGGAGGCGGAGACGCCTCGGCGACTACAACCCCCGAGATGCCCCGCGGCGAGGCGGGCGCCTCGCGGGGCTGATCCCTGTGCGCGCGGGGCATGCCGGGATCTGTAGTCTCGCCGCCCTCCCGGCTCTCGTAACGGTTCTGCCGGCTGGCGCTGGCCCCGCCCCCTCCTCCCTCTCCGGCTCCCTCCTCCCTCCCTCGCCCGCCTCAGCCAGGAGCCTCGGCGCTGCGCTCCCTCACAGCCCCGCTCGCCCGCCGCTCGCCCACAAAGCTCCGCGTCCTTGGCTCCCTCGCAGAGGCCTCCTGCTCCCTCCTCGACGCCCCCGGAGGACGCTGCTGCTGCTGCTGCTGCCGCTGCTACGCGAGGGGAGGCTGGAGCCCCGGAGCCCCGCCGACGAGGAGAAGCCGGAGGCGACGAGGACGAGGAGGACCCCTGCTCCCAGACCCGCAGGTGGGAAAGGGGGGGCGAGGGGGAGGGGGACACCCCCCGCCAGAAAACCCCTCAGCCTCCCCCTCACGCGTCGTCGAGTTCCCCTCCCCCCTTCGCTGGGGGGGAGGGGAGCCCCTCGAAGCCCCCCCATGGGGCCCCTCGGTAACCCCCCTCGATATCCCCCATAGACCCCCTCAGCTTCCCTCATAGACCCCCTCGATGACCCCCCCTCAGAGCCTCCCTCATAGATCCTCATAGACCCCCTCATAACCCCCCTCGATATCCCCCATAGACCCCCCTCAGCCTCCCTCATAGACCCCCTCGATGACCCCCCCATAGACCTCCCTCAGAGCCTCCATGATAGATCCCCATAGACCCCCTCGGTAATCTCCCCTCGATATCCCCCCATAGACCCCCTCATAGCCTGCCTCATAGATCCCCATAGACCCCCTCGGTACCCCCCCTTGATATCCCCCCATAGACCCCCTCAATAACTCCCCATAGATCCCCTTGGTAACCCCCCTTGATATCCCCCCATAGACCCCCTCAATAACTCCCCATAGACCCCCTCGGTACCCCCCCTTGATATCCCCCCATATACCCCCTCAATAACTCCCCATAGATCCCCTCGGTACCCCCCCTTGATATCCCCCCATAGACCCCCTCAATAACTCCCCATAGATCCCCTTGGTAACCCCCCTTGATATCCCCCCATAGACCCCCTCAATAACTCCCCATAGACCCCCTCGGTACCCCCCCTTGATATCCCCCCATAGACCCCCTCAATAACTCCCCATAGATCCCCTTGGTAACCCCCCTTGATATCCCCCCATAGACCCCCTCAATAACTCCCCATAGACCCCCTCGGTACTCCCCCTTGATATCCCCCCATATACCCCCTCAATAACCTCCCATAGACCCCCTCGGTACTCCCCCTTAATATCCCCCCATATACCCCAATAACCCCCCATAGACCCCTTCGGTAACCCCCCTTGATATCCCCCCATATACCCCAATAACCCTCCATAGACCCCCTCTGTAACCACCCCCTTGAAACACCCTCATAGCCACCTTGAGTTCCGTCAGAGAAAAAGGTGGGAGATAGATAAACAGATATAATATGATAATATATTAAATATATATAATGCATTATATTATATCTATATGTATGTATCTATCATCTATCAATCTGTCTATCTGTCGCCCCCTTAGCCTCAGAGAGTGTGGGAGAGAGGGGAAACCCTAGCAGGGTCAAGTGTAAGGGGTCTCCTCGGTTTTCTCCCCCTTTTTCTGTGCCCCCCCCCGCCAAGTTCTTGCAGTCGTGGGGGGCGGGGTGTGTGTCTGGGAAGCTAATGTGGGGTCGGGCTTGTTAGTGGTTTTATTATTTCTGGCCTGCAGTCTCAAGGTATTGGCGTGTTTAGGGGGATGCCGAGGATGCTGGTGGTGCGTATGTGAAATGTGTGTGGGGGTATGCACAAGAGAGGGATCAAGGCAAGTTTTTTTGGGGGGGGGGGCGGTGCAGAATCACTGAGGAGGGGCTGCCTCAGAGTGCTTGCTTTGTTAAGGTTAAAGGATTGTTTTTTTAGGTGGGGGGGAGCAGAGGCAATTTGTGCATGCGCATGCATGTTATGTATGTATGTGTGTGTGTATATATGTGTGTGTGTGTGTGTGTGTGTGTGAGAGAGAGAGAGAGAGAGAGAGATATTGTGTACTCTTATTAATTTGTATGCACCCTTTAAAAATATTTTAGCCGGGAGATCTGGGAAAGAGATGCCATGCTGCGTGAGGACAGGGTTTGTGGGTCTGTGTTGGGACCCCTGACCTCTAGTGACATGAAGGGTGGGAGAAATTGTCAGGAGTGTGTTGGGGTTCATTTGTGTGTTGATGGCTCAGTGCATAGCTGTCAACTTTCAGATTTGAAAATAAGGGATCAGCAGCCTCACCTGTCCCGGACGGGATATCTAACAATCCGGGATAGCAGCAGGAAGCAGCGGGAAACGGCGATGGAATAAGGGAATTTCCCGTAAAAAAAGGGAAGGTTGACAGCTATGGCTCAGTGTGGTGTGGAACATGCATCCTTGCACGTGAATCCTTTTGTGTGTTGTGAGACGGTGGCGGCGGTGCAATGGGAAAATCCAGAATGGTTGACTGAGAACCAGAGAGGCTCTAGGTTCAAATCCCTGATTAGCCACGAAACTCGCTGCATGACCTTAGGCCAGCCTCTTGGCGCACACCTGCTTCACAGGGTTGAGGATCACCTTGAGTTCCTTCGAGGTGGAGGAGAATCAGGATACGTATAAATTTAAGAAGGACGGAAATGTCAAAAGGCCTTTACAGTAAGCATTGGGGGACATAGCATGTTAGCATTGGGTAGGGGCAGGATAATAAAAGGATACTGATCTCAGTGGGGTTTGGGGGTGGGTTGATGTAGATGTGATACAGGGTTTGGCAAGATGTTTGGAATCTGGCACTTCCACAGGCTGGTTGTCTTAGAAAGTGGCAGTATCCCATGGGCAAGATGGCTTTAACAGGTGGCATTGGTGTGCCTGCGATAGGGACAGAGGAAGTCCCTGTTAGAGTTAAGGGTTGGGACGAGGCAGATGATGGCAACAGGCACTGAGGCAATGGGAGATGGTAAAGGGCATTGGCTTGGCATTGACACAGGGCCCTGATATCTGGTGTAGCAGGGGCAAAGGAGCATAGCAGGGGTGGGAACGCCGTGTGCTGGTACAGGGGTATCACAAAAGCCCTGGGTTTGGGAAGGGGAAATGTGTTTGTGGGTGAGACAAAAGGTATAATTAAACAAAAGGGATAATTAAACGGATTTGGGATAATTTCTGGATGCTTGCTGGGCGTTATGGAGGAAAAGCAGGATGGTAATGCGTTGCCCACAAAAGGTTTAAGGTAGATGGCTTTAGAACACTGTGGATTAGTACAGGGCCATAGCATGAAATGGGGAATCTTTCTAGGTGCTTAGCAGGATGGACCAAGAAACACTGTGGTGGAAATCATGAGGGAATCAAACAGCATGCTTTGGGGGTGGATGAGGGGGATGCACCAAAAGCCAGGGTGAGCATGTGAAAGGAGTGCACAGGAACTAGGGATTGCAAGCCCGCATGCCGGCAATACGTTTTGAAAGAATTCCAGCATGGTGCCATGAGTGAACTTGATTATGGCACTAGTATAGGTACGATATTGGCCACTGGGCGAGAACTGGATGGGCACATCATGTTTTCTGTCTTAATGAAGCAGTTGTTTAATATGATTGTTTAGGCAAAGGGTAAATTGGGGTATTGCTGATAGTGAGATAGGTAACAGCAGGTGAGGGTAGCGAGAAAACAACTTGATGGGACGGGTCTGGGATGGGGTATCTAAACTTGTTCATACTCAGCATGTATATCCTGCCATCAAAGGTTAATATTTGGGGAAGAGATTGGGAGAAATTGGTGTTCGAAACTCGCATTGTTCTAGATGCGTTTTGCGACAGGGAATTTCATTAATGCGAGCAGTTTCTGAGCTCTGGGCGCAGTACTGAGCCTAAGATTTCAGATTGAAACTGCCACTTCTGGAAGAAAAGGAGGACCTTTTTCTGCCTCCCCACATCCAGCCACTCTCTGAAGACTGGAGAAGGGACCCTCAAGAGAATATTAGGAGGATGGGCAGGGAGAGGACTCAGCCATGTGAAAAATGAACATAAGATTTTAGCTGCAGTTCATTCATTTTCAGCTTTGTATTCTTGTTATAGAAAAGCGTGCATAGACACTCCATTGCAGTGCCCATAACCTCGGTTTAAGGCGCCATTCAGTTTCTAACACTGGGAAGAATGCCTTTTGGAGCGATGGTGGCAGTGGCAATAGGGAGAGGACCAAATTACAGGAGTGGCTGTGAAAATAAGGGAGCGTGTAAAGATGGCATACATCCAGCTGAATAGTGATCAGTGCAGTGTAATTTTGCCCATGCCCGCTCAAAAGTGCCCCTTGAGTTTGGTGGGACTTACTGTCAGCTAAGCGTGTATGGGATTGCAGCCTAAATATATGCTTCCTCAGCTGAGCTTCCGCAGCAATGTTTCATAAGCATAGCACCTCTTGAGCGTCATGAATGTTCAGTGCAGAGTATTGGAATGTGCACACTTAGAGAATGACTTCTACGTGTACTATGCCAGACTGATCTGTGATGAGGTGCTGTGGGAGTTACATGCACATTTTAGATAGAGGAACGCTGCATTTTGCAAGAGCGTGGGGAAGGTAAGAACTGGGATTCTAATTTACCTCCCCTCCTCTTGGGAAGGAGAATTAAGAGCACACATATACTTGCTTAGCATCACTGCAGTTCCTGAACGGCAAATACTCTGAACCTTTACTACCTCGTCTGAGCTTTGCAAAGGGCAACTCTTGGAAGTTACTCCGGGGCTGTGCAAGAAGGATTCTTTTAGAGAAACTGGGGAATGTGTGTGTTCTGCAACGTTCCTTTTTTGCATGTAAATCACTTTGGACATTGTGTGGATGGTAGTGACCACATAAAATAAAAATCGGCATCAGTATATTTGCCTAAAATGTAGCTAGGGCTGCCCTTGTACGTACTGGGAAAAGCAAATGGATGGGTGTTGTGTAACCCTATGTAGTGGGGAATGAATATGGTTTCTGCCTTGTCTTTAATGATGTGCTGGAACCCAAGCTTTGGATTTGATGTGATTGAAAATGTCATCATGTAACATCCGTGGGCTGAAAGCAGATATATTGCAAGACTGAGAAATGTTCAGCTGCATTAATTTTCTATGATGAATACAGGGCTGGAATGGGGATAAAAGGTTTTTTATATTTAAAGAGATTGCTGCAAGAGTTCATTTATTGGGACAGCAATAATAAGGGCAATTAAGTTTATCATTATATTGCTGATTAATAGTGTTGAGGTGAAAGTAGTCCTGTGTTCATCCTTCTTTGTAAACAGTCATGAAATATGGCAAAAAACCCCTATTCATTGCTGAAAGGCTTTTTTGCTCTAGCAGTTCCTCCCACCCCTGCCCTGTTTGGTGATAAGCATTCAGGTTATAGCTTGTATTTCCTGTTGATTGAATTTCATCCAGAAGGAATTCAGTTTGTGCTGAAAACTGTCAAATGTGGAAAAATGAGCAGGTTGAGTTTTTCCTCTCATCTGTCTCCCTGCCTTCCTTCAGACAAAGGCATGTTGTGTTAGCCAACGAGGGGGAAAGGCAATTGGTTCCATTTATGTTTTAATCAAAATATGATTTCAGATGCAGCAGAGTATTTGTTCTCACTGAGAAGTTGCGATGGTGAAAGGAAGGGCATTTCTTCAAGAAATGCAGATGATGAAAGCATCTTAAGGGAAACATTTTGCTGGGCTTGATTGAATCAACAGTGTTATTTGGTGATGAAATGTTAACTGTGAAGTGGCTGCTGATTATAGTCTGGTTAGAGCCAGAGGGGAGTATAATGAGGCAGAATACAGGCTGCAGACCAAAAATCATTCTGCCATCAAATCACATCTTGGCCATTTAATTTTTCCCCCAATTGCCACCTTTTTTTTGCAATATCTGCCTGGTTTATTAAATTATACATATTAACTACTTACAGGGGTTGGAACATGTATTTCAGTTACTAATGAATTCATAGAGAAATAACATTTAATATTTGTAAACAATTTTCCTGAATGCAGGTAAGCTTAATAACTCTGTGTTAATCCCTCAATAAACAATATTAATTGTTGATTGGCAATCCAGTTCTAATCTACATAATTATTTTTAACTCCTGTTTGAATCAGTGGAATTTGTTCCTGGTGATAACATGACTTACGATCATAATACTATTGGGAAGGGGGTATGGTTGAACCCAGGTTATCTGGTTCATTAGCCTTTGTTCAGTGCTAAGCAGTTACCCTATAGCAGACTGCTAAATAGTTGACTGGGGGTTTTTTGGGCTTCATTTTGCACCTGGAAACAATTCACTCCTTCCTGGCTGGTATTAGCTGTTGATAGTATAAATTCTGCCAGCTAGCAGTAGCTGGGACCTCCAGTCTCCTTTACTGCCCTGCTTTCTCTGCTTGCATCCGTGAGGCTCCAGCTCTTTCTGGTCTTTGGTGTTGCAGTCAGCCTTTCATATTTTCTGAATGCAAAGAAACAATCCCAAGCTGTTCCCTATGTGATAGTGCATAGAAGGACCCCATTTCAGGACCTTGACCCTCTGTACAGACCATGGGTAGGCAACCTAAGGCCCGGGGGCCAGATCCGGCCCAATCGCCTTCTAAATCTGGCCCGTGGACAGTCCAGGAATCAGCGTGTTTTTACATCAGTAGAATGTGTCGTTTTATTTAAAATGCATCTCTGAGTTATTTGTGGGGCATACAAATTCGTTCATTTTCTCTCTCTTCAAAATATAGTCCAGCCCCCCACAAGGTCTGAGGGACAGTGGACTGGCCCCCTGCTGAAAAAGTTTGCTGACCCCTGGTATAGACCTTGGACCTTATGATTCACCTGCTATTGTAGTATGCCTCTTGGCCCTGATCCTGCAAGGCTGTTCATACTCTAGCCTCTAGCAGATTAACTGTCAGGATAGCTAACTGATTTTAGTAGGTTGCACCTGTAGCAGAGGGTACTCTGCTGTGTCCCATCATTGTGCACTGGGATTTTCCCCTTCTTCCCCAATGCCTTCCCCAGATCTGCTCCAGAACAGATTTTGGGTGCATGCTGGGGGGTCAGGGGAAACACTCCTTTGTGAAAGCAGAATTCCTTGCACTGTCGAAACTTCAGGCGTAGTTGTTGTTTAGTTGTTTAGTCGTGTCCGACTCTTTGTGACCCCCTGGACCAGAGCACGCCAGGCACTCCTGTCTTCCACTGCCTCCTGCAGTTTGGTCAAACTCATGTTTGTAGCTTCGAGGACACTGTCCAACCATCTCGTCCTCTGTCGTCCCCTTCTCCTTGTGCCCTCCATCTTTCCCAACATCAGGGTCTTTTCCAGGGACTCTTCTCATGAGGTGGCCAAAGTACTGGAGCCTCAGCTTCACGATCTGTCCTTCCAGTGAGCACTCAAGGCTGATTTCCTTCAGAATGGATAGGTTTGATCTTCTTGCAGTCCATGGGACTCTCAAGAGTCTCCTCCAGCACCAGAATTCAGAAGCATCCATTCTTTGGCGATCAGCCTTCTTTATGGTCCAGCTCTCACTTCCATACATTGGATTCCACCCAGACTGTGTTCATAGGCTTGAGCTGCAATCATCAAAATAATAGAGGTAGGGTTACCGTATTAATGTATATGTTTGTCACATTTACATACTGCTTTTTCACCAGTTTCCATTTAAAAGAATGGGCACACGAGAAAGGCAGGAAGAAATTAAAGCAAACCCATACCATGGACATTGAGGGGAGAGTCCAGATGGCAGTTTATTTTATTTTTACATTGATATTCCACTTTTTTCTCCAAGGAGCTCAAGGTGGTGAACATGCTTCTCCACCTCCCCATTATATCACCACAACAACCCTCTGAGGTAGGATAGCCAAGACTGTGACTGGCCCAGCGTAACCCAGTGAGCTTCATAGCTGAGTAGGGATTTGAACCCTGGACCATGTATTTCCCCCCCCCCCCAATAATAATACTGGAGTAAGCAGATTCGAAGGGGGAGATTTCGTTCGATTAATAATTTGTTACTAATTTGCTAAGAAATAGCTCTTGGGAATAGCTTAAATGTTAAATCTGAGCAACACTATAGTTATGATGTGAAATGTCTATTTGATTATTTTTCTCTAGTGAGGCTGAATAATGCACCTGTCAGTTTCTTTATTCAAATGCTGCTGTGTCACTTGTCGGATTGAGCTTTGACTAAAGTACATCTAAAAAGAAAAACTGCCTGTAATGAACTTTTTTGTGTGCGAAACATATAGTGGTTGGTATGCCCCCCTCCCCCAAAAGTGAGAACAGCATTGATGGCCCTCTATACTTCTCCGACAATTGAGAAATCCCAATGAGGAATAATTGCTGTTGTCCGAGAACACAAAACATCTCTTAGGCAACAACCCAGGATGTTTTAGAAAATTGTCCCTGTTCTGACTCCCTGCAGTATTTCGGCTCAAGCATAGCAAAATTTCATCTAATCAGTCTTGGAAATGCAGGTAAGCCCTGAAATGGCCACAATTGCAGAGGCACCCTGCTTAGGCAGCCTGAGTGTACCCTTCAGCCTAACAATTGTTTCTGACTCATTTTTAAAAATGCTACAATCATGGTTGGATATTTTATCTTCTTTCATAAAATGCTGGGTGGCTGGAGATGATGAGCTTGTTAAAAGGGAAACACTATTTATGTGCTTTCCCTCCCAAGCGCTCTGTCTGCCCTTCAGTCCAGTTTACAATCTTCATTTGTCTTCACTTAATGCCTTTCAGCCTTGATTATATCTGCTGGAGCTCTTGATTTGAGCTCTTTTCCAGCCCTTTTCTATGCGTCCCAGGTTTTCCATTCGGAGATCTTGCTCAGCCGAGATCTTCTTTGGTTTGATGGCTGGAAGTGAGCTGGCCCCAGGTTTTGTGGGCGCTGGGATGCAGAAATGTTTTCAACAAATTATCTATCATTTGTCCTTAAAGAGCCGGTGGACTTGAACTGGCATTCAGCCTTGTGAGCTGTGACCCCCTTCAGCAGGCTGTAGTCCACAAATACCTTGTACGCTAGAAAGGTTTAAGGTTCCACAATACCTTGGTCAGGGCCGGATTTAGGTTTGATGAGGCCCTAAGCTACTGAAGGTAATGGGGCCCTTTATATGTCTAGCTGTCCTTTGTCAACAACAAATGGTCGCTGTTTTTTGTGTGGAATATATGCTAGATGGTAATTTATGGACCTAATAGGTATCTAAAGACATCTGCATATGATGCCATGCAAGCAGGCTAATATGATGACTACAAACATCATATTACATGTACATATTGTTTGTGGTCTTAACATAGGGTACTGTTTATTTGATGAATCACTTCCCATTGAAGCTTGAAGTGATTTCATAGTAAAAACAGTTCCACTCAGGGAAGAGTGGGGCCGTAGAAATTATGTTTTAGAAATGTGTCTATCTTACATATAGACTACAGTCTGTAGCAAGAGAACATTTTTCAGTAGGATGACTGTGACCTGTAAGCAACAAATCTTACAGGGCTGTGTGAGGACAAGACGTGTCTTTCACTCCAGATAGTGGATGCTCTCATCCTCAATGATAGGAATCACGTGTGTGCCTCTGCATGTAGACAGATGCATTACCTGCCCCCCTCAGTCTTAGCAGCTATACAAATCATCCCTATATGTGCACACGCACACTCACCCCACTATAACGACAAACATTTTGCTAATACTTAATTTTATTAACAAGGGACGCGGGTGGTGCTGTCGGTTAAACCACTGAGCCTAGGACTTGCCGATCAGAAGGTCGGCGGTTTGAATTCCCGCGACGGAGTGAGCTCCCGTTGCTCGGTCCCTGCTCCTGCCAACCTAGCAGTTCGAAAGCACGTCAAAGTGCAAGTAGATAAATAGGTATCGCTCCGGCGGGAAGGTAAATGGCGTTTCCGTGCGCTGCTCTGGTTCGACAGAAGCGGCTTAGTCATGCTGGCCACATGACCCGGAAGCTGTACACCGGCTCCCTCGGCCAATAAAGCGAGATGAGTGCTGCAACCCCAGAGTCAGCCACAACTGGACCTAATGGTCAGGGGTCCCTTTCCCTTTCCCTTTAATTTTATTAAGACACATTTATTTCCTTACCTTAAATGACAACTTGGGGAAAATAGCAGGGAACTTGGTCTTCACCCTAAATCAGTATTTGCTCGAATGGGAAAAGCATAGACTCGAATGGTGCAGGTTAGTGCTGTAACATTCGTGTTGGCATTCACGCTTACTGGGAGCGTCGAACATTCCTTTACAGATGTATTAACAATGTTGTCATTTAGTTGTTTAGTCATGTCCGACTCTTCGTCACCCCATGGACCAGAGCATGCCAGGCACGTCTGTCTTCCACTGCCTTCAGTTTGGTCAGACTCATGCTGGTAGCTTCGAGAACACTGTCCAACCATCTCGTCCTCTGTCGTCCCCTTCTCCTTGTGCCCTCCATCTTTCCCAACATCAGGATCTTTTCCAGGGAGTTTTCTCTTCTCATGAGGTGGCCAAAGTATTGGAGCCTCAGCTTCAGGATTTGTCCTTCCAGTGAGCACTCAGGGCTGATTTCCTGCAGAATGGATAGCTTTGATCTTCTTGCAGTCCATGGGACTCTCCACAGTCTCCTCCAGCACCATAATTCAGAAGCATCCATTCTTCGGCAATCAGCCAGGTCCAGCTTATGGTCCAGCTTTCACTTCCATACATCACTACTGGGAAAACCATAGCTTTAACTATACAGACCATTGTCAGCAAGGTGATGTCTCTGCTTTTTAAGGTGCTGTCTAGGTTTGTCATTGCTTTTACCCCAAGAAGCAGGTGTCTTTTAATTTTGTGACTGCTGTCACCATCTGCAGTGATCATGGAACCCAAGAAATTAAATCTCTCACTGCCTCCATTTCTTTCCCTTCTATTTGCCAGGCGGTGATGGGCCCAGTGGCCATGATCTTTGTTTTTTTTTATGTTGAGCTTCAGACCATATTTTGCACTCTCCTCTTTCACCCTCATTAAGAGATTCTTTAATTCCTCCTCACTTTCTGCCATCAAAGTTGTGTCATCTGCATATCTGAGGTTGTTGAATAGGAATACAGTATTCATTTGCCCTTGAAGCATGGTGATTCCTGTCTAGTGTTGTGATGAGCTTAGGTTTTCTCCCCCCCCCCCAAAAAAATATATTATTGGGACTACAAAAACATGCCTTGAGTATGAGACATCATTAATCAGCCCTTGGTAATTAAACCCAAGTAATTCAGATAGCAGAATGCTAATTAACATTTTTTCCCCATAAAGCTTGACAATTTCAGAAAGAATGCAAAGTCTGACTTCCCAAACACATTTGAAATTTGGTTGTGATCTTCGGGGTTCATCCCACTTCTCCACACCCCTGGGGCAGGAACATCTCTCTCAAGGCATAGAATCTGAAAGGGGGCTTGTGGGTCTTAGGGAGCCTGGGGCCAGGTGACTGGTTCCAGGGAAGCAGCTTGTTGTTCCAGATCAGGGGTCAGCAACCTTTTCCAGCAGTGGGTCGGTCCACTGTTCCTCAGACCTTGTGGTGGGCCGGACTATATTTTGAAAATAAAAATATGAATGAATTCCTATCCTCCACAAATAACCCAGAGATGCATTTTAAATAAAAGAACACATTCTACTCATGTAAAAACACTGATTCCCAGACCATCCACGGGCCGGATTGAAAAGATGATTGGGCTGCATCCGGCCGTGGGCCTTAGGTTGCCTACCCCTGTTCCAAATGATAGCATAACTTCCACAGCTTCCTTTCACTAAAGGGCCGATAAACCCTTGAGGTGATGATCACTTCCACTGTAGTGTCTCTCCACTCTTTGAATCCCTGTGATAACAAAGATGCACTACAAGTGTTCCCTAGAGAGTCAGGAATAACAGGCTGTTTCATTTAGGAGGTACCAGCCGATCAGAAGCTCGGCGGTTCAAATTCCCACGACGGGTGAGCTCCCGTTGCTCGGTCCCAGCTCCTGCCAACCTAGCAGTTCGAAAGTGCGTCAAAGTACAAGTAGATAAATAGGTACCACTCCGGCGGAAAGGTAAATGGCATTTCTGTGCGCTGCTCTGGTTTTGCCAGAAGTGGCTTAGTCATGCTGGCCACATGACCCGGCTCCGACGGCCAATAAAGCGATATGAGCGCCGCAACCCCAGAGTCGTCTGCGACTGGACCTAATGCTCAGGGCTCCCTTTCCCTTTCCCTTTAGCCCTTGAAAGCAAGTTGATTGGACTATGTCAAGAACTGCTAACTGGACTTTTGAGAAGATTGTCCAGTAGCACCTTAGAGACCATCTAAATTTGTTCTGGGTATAAGCTTTCGTGTATATGCACACTTCTTCATTAATCTTCAGATATCTTCAGGTGCTACTGATCTGAAGAAGCGTGCATGCACACGAAAGCTTATACCCAGGACAAACTTAGTTGGTCTCTAAGGTGCTACTGGACAATTTATTTTATTTTATTATTTATTTTGACTGTGTCAGACCAACATGGTTACCTACCTGAATCTGGACTGTTGAGGGAATAGGACTTTAAGATAAATGGGACACTGTTTTTGTTAGATTTCTCCTAATGATTAGGCTTTCTTACCATATTTTGGTTTTTATAGATCTGGTAATTGAAAGCCATTAGGTGCAGGTTTGAAACTGTTTTGAAAATACAGAGAACAATAAACTGCAGTTACGTTCAAGGAAGGATTTTAGGTTAGATTTTTTTTTTAAAAAAATGTAAGTTAAATGGGTGTCTTAATTTAGAAATGGGCCTTTCAAAGCAGCTAGTGAAAATAACGATGAAAGGTACCTAAAATACAAAACACTAAAATTAGCATAAAAAATAATGTTGCAAATAACAAAAATGGAGTGGCAGCCACAGTGGCGCAATCACATCTTCCCTCTGCCTTTTTCTGTTAATTGAAATGGAAGTGAAAAATAGCAGAGCTTCAGATGGCAGACTCTTTATTTGTTTTATAACACTTGTATCCTGCCTCTTGGTAAGCTCAAGGCAATTCATGACAGGAAAAAAGCATCCCAATATAATTATTAATAACTCCTTAATTACATAGGAAACCATAAATATAACACACTGTTAATTATAGCACCCAGCTCCAAAAGCAGCAGTAAAGTTTGAAACCTCCCTGCAATCTCCAGACGTTAAGCAGTGTCAATGAGCTTTATAGAGGTTCCTCAGTGAAAATACTGAGGTAAAATTTTGCAGCTCAACTCAGGGGCCACTATTAAGAAGGTCATGCTAATTCCCATCATGGTCCTTTCTTCTCTTAAAGTTAGTACTTGAGCAAGCACTTGCTAAATTATCTTATTCTCCAGCACAGGGGAGGCCTAAGAGGTCTGCAAGCCTCAGGCCATATTTAAATATTGCTTTTGCCCTGTTAAATATGATTATTTTGACCATGTAGAAATCCCTTACTAGCAAGGTTAGTGGTACATAATTTGAGTAGTGTTTTTCCTAGGGATTCCTAAAACTGTGAACACTTGACCAGATCAACATTTCCCCCCAGGCTGATTGACTCTATACCCCATAGGACTTTGCCTGCTTATCTGTATGTCTTAATAAGCTTTCCATTTTTATCTCTCTGGGGTTTTGGTCTGTGTAGTCATGTAAAGCCTCAAGCCAGTTAATTTGTCCATAATCCAGTTAAGAAGACGTTCTTAAATTTAAACAAAGTTAAAAACTAATTGCCTGATCCTGCCATGTTAATAGAAGCACCTCAGGGTAGATTTTCCTGGTGCACATAGAACATCCACTTTATCAACAGAAAGAGTGATATGTTTGTCTACCCATTTGTTTTAGCTTATAATGAGTTACAACGTACAGAAATTAGCACCTATATACCATAAGTAATATAACAATATGGGTATCTGAGTTTTCAAAATCCTAGAGTTTATATTGGATTAGAGCAGCCTTTCTCAACCTTGGGTCCCCAGATGTTGTTGAACTACAACTCCCATCACCCCTAGCTAGCAAGGCCAGAGCTCAGGGATGATGGGAGTTGTAGTCCAACAACATCTGGGGACCAAAGGTTGAGAAACACTGGATTAGAGTAACATATTTATTTATTACGTATGTGCCTTACCCTGCCCCCTTCACCCTAGAGAAGGCTGGGTACAACAGTTTGAAATGGGTACTCCTGGCAACCTGTAACCACCTGTGCTTCAGGTGACAGTACTGCATCAAGGACCACCCCAAATAATGCCCCTGTGCAACCCCGTCCACACCTGGTAGTATTCCTACTTCCTGTGCTCAGGAACCCCGAATACATAGCATGTCTATCTTGTCTAGATTCAGCTACAGTTTATTGGCTCACAACCAGCCCATTATTGCCTCCAGGCAATGGCTCAGCAGCTCAACTGCCACTCCTGATTCGGATGGAACAGGTAGAGCTAGGTGTCACCAGCATATTGATGGTGTGCCTCATAAAAGTACATTGCCCCTCATAAAGCACATTGCAGTGGTCCACCCCTGAAATTACCAGGACATGGATAGCTGTGGCTAGGCTATCTGTACCCAACAGGGGTCAAATGCACACCATGGCATGTGGAACTGTGGATCCCCTTTACGTATATTCATCTCTCCTGTGTCACTGGTGAATGTACCAGCCATGGAAAGCAACACACAGACTCTTGTTTTAGCCCTACAGAGAGCAGCAAAATTGTACTTGCTCTGAAGGGAGCAAGCACAGCTTCCCAAGAGCCTAAATGGGGAGTTGGTAACCATATCCCAAGAGATCTTGGCTGCCTTCCTCTCTGCCAAATTCCCTCAGCCTGACCCCTCTGATTTGTCCACAAAACAACTCTGATGGAGGGACTGATGAGATCAGAATCAAGGTGTCCTTTTGTATTTACTGAACATACTAAAAAGTTTAAAGTGATATAATCTCACTTTGTAATTATTTTATTACTAAACTTTATTATGTAGGCTCTATAGATTTCTTGCCCTTGGTTTTGTACTGCAGAATTGCTATTAATTTTGCAATCTGTATCACACCGTTCGCGTCACATCTGAGTGCATTAACAAATCATAGCAGAATTAAGCCCAAGGAAACAAAATGATAATTGTTTTCAAATGGGGATAAGTGATTCCCCCAGCCCTTCTTATCAAAGTTGATAATGCCCTCCCAGATATCCTCGAAGGCAAATTATGCTGATGTCTTGTATCATAACCCAGAAGACTACCAAATGTAGTCTTAGCAAATTATAATGTGGAACTGATAATGAAGCAGAAGTATTTCCATTGAAAATGCCTTGGCATTTCAGTGTCTCTGATCAGCCCCAAATGTAGCATGCTGCCATTTGCAAAAACACAGTTCTGCTATGAGCCGACTTTGAGCTACCTGATAAACAGATGGGGACAGGACAGCTGAAGCTGTTGTACCAAACCCAAGAGCTTTAGCTCCAGTTCTCCTCTTCCCAGAGTGATTGTGCATCACCATTTACCGTATTTTTTGCTCTATAAGACACACTTTCCCCCTCCTAAAAAGTAAGGGGAAATGTGTGTGCGTCTTATGGAGCGAATGCAGGCTGTGCAGCTATCCCTGAAGCCAGGAGAGCGAGAGGGATCGGTGCACACCTGGCTTCAGGGATAGCCGTGTGAAGCCTCTTCAGGGCAATGGGAGGAACGCTCCCCCTTCCCTGAAGAGGCTTGGCACAGCTATCCCAGAAGCCAGAACAGCAAGAGGGATCGCTGCTTTCACTGCGCAGCGATCCCTCTTGCTGTTCTGACTTCGCTTCGCTGGAGAGGTGCTGTGCAGAGAGGGAAAGCTGCGCAGCGCCCCTCCAGCAAAGCGGGAGGAGATATGGAAGGGGCTCCGTTTTTCCTGCCGCTTCGCTGAAGGGGCACTGCACGGAGAGTGAAAGCTGTGCAGCGCCCCTTCAGCAAAGCAGGGGAAGAAACGGAGCTCCTTCCATTTCTCCTCCCGCTTTGCTGGAGAGGTGCTGCACAGAGAGGGAGAGAATATTTTTTTTCTTGTTCTCCTCCTCTAGAACTAGTTGCCTCTTATGGTCGGGTGCGTCTTATATAATGCGTCTTATGGTCGGGTGCATCTTATAAAATACGGTAAATGTTCACTCTGTATTTATCTAAGAGGAGTGACTTTGAGGCATAGAATAAAGTGTAAAATAAAAACATTCACTTGTTGGTGCCGTGCAAACCCTTGGGAAATAGTCATAAAAAGGCTTTGCCTGGCACTGGAATGATGACAGTGGTGCCAGGCAGGCCTTCCTGGAGAGAGCATAGATGATGATGATGATGATGATGATGATGATGATAAGTTATTATTATATGCCGCCTATCTGATGGGGTTGCCCCAGCCACTCTGGCCAGCTTCCAACAAGACGGAGAGCTAATACAGAAAAGGACCATAATCTTGCTGCTGTCTCCCAGGCCTCCCTTTGGAGGTGATGTGCAGACAGGGGCCTCGAATGATGATCTTGGGGTCTGGGCCGTAGGTCAAAGCAGCACTCTGCATAGTGCCCAGAGAACAGATTGTCAGCCAGTGCAGTTGGGCCAGAACCAGTGCTAAATGTTCATGCCTTCCTGTCCCAGTTAACAGGCTGGCCACCATGTTCTGCACTATAATTTCTGAACTCCGTTCAAACGCAGCTCTATAACACATTGCAGCAGTATAACCTAGAGGTTATTTGAGCATAAACAATGGAAGCCAGGATCTCCCTGCTCAGACAGTGTTGCAGCTGGGTTACAAGTCGGCTCTTTTTTCCAGACTTAGAAATTCTATCTTATGAAAACACAGGCATTGATACAGTAAAATAAGCCCTAACCGTTGCAGATGCTGTGTCATAAGAGGATAGTTTATGTATGTTGCTGTGCAATTTTTCTTCTTCTTTCCCATGGACTATATATCTGCACATCACAAAGGGAGTAATAAGATGGAGGTTTGAACTGCAATTTCCTAGAAATTGCTCCTTCTGGTAAACGATCATTCAGTCTCAAGCCCTCTGCTGCAGTGGATGGAACAATAAATACAATAATGCTCTTTTATCTTACAAATAGTTGCTTAAATGGGTTGTTTGTTTTTAATGATAGTATGATCCACAGGACTCATAAATGCCTGTGATTTTATTCTCATGGAAATAGCTTGCGTATTTTGGCTCAAAAGTCTCCTGTTGTGGTTAATTTCTATAATATGCTAGCTAATCTACTCTTTTTATCCTCTGCAGATCTAGTCTAGTGTTTCCCATATGGTTTGGTACTGTAATTAGCCCAACATACAGTCCATTCTCTTTTGCGTTGGGCTGCCAGGTGGTTACTAGGTAACTGGCTAGTCTCCCTGAGTAAGAATTCATGATAGCCCTGTGATTAAAAGGTTGAGTTGCAATTTAGAAATGTGTGTTACTGTTGCTCTTGGGAAGTCACGAAGAAATATTTGCCAGTAGCAAAGGCCACCTTACATATGTCATGACCTATTTTGCTGCAGCAACTTTGCATAATTGAAGTGTCCTGCTGGTGCCAAATTATGGTTGATAGATCTGTTAGGATAGACCTACCGTTTGGGCTCTGTGAAAGGGCCAAGAGGTGGCCAGGAGAATACCTGTGCCGCTATCACAGTTTGCTAGAAAGACTTTAAAAACCTATATGTATCTGAAAAAGCTCTAAAAATGTCTATATTTTAAGAGCCTTTCCAGCTGTTGTGGCAAACCACTGCAGCAGGACAGGTGATGCCTGGCCACTTTACCCGTAATGCCAGCCTCTGAGAAGGATCATCTTGGCCAGGCATCCCCAAACTCAGCCCTCCAGCTGTTTTGGGACTACAGTTCCCATCATCCCTGAGCACTGGTCCTGTTAGCTAGGGATGATGGGAGATGTAGTCCCAAAACAGCTGGAGGGCCGAGTTTGGGGATGGTTGATCTTGGCTCTTTTGCAGAGCCCAGGCAAGGGAGGTGGTGGTGAAGAAACTGCCAGTGCTATTGCTCAGATAAAGCAGGGAGGACAGAGGTGAGCAGCTGCTGCGGATGGGAGTCTGGCCCAGTGGTGAGTGAATGGGTGGCAGGTTGGGCCAGTGAGGGGTCCTCAGCAAGTGCCCTCCATGACTGAATGCCGGTCCTGGTCCTGGTCTTGACACCTTGCCATTGTGAATTTCCCCTGGAAGGTGATAATGGGGAGTTGCTCATAAAAGGTTTTCTGGAGAGGATTTACAGAGAAGTTACTTCCTTTCATGTTTATAGGGTGAATTAAATAAATGTTTATCTCCTGTGCTCTGCATGATGTGTTGGGCTGCAGCTGTTCAGGGTGTGCCTTATGTAGTCCATTATCTAGCCCGCAAGCATCTGACAGCAGTCGAGGCAGCTGAAGTCCTGAGTGTTTCAAGAATTATGTCCCCGAGATACTTTCTCCTGCAAGTCTCTTCCATTTCTCAAAGTACTGCATGCTTTGAAAGGATCATGTTCCTTGCCGTCTCTGAGGAAGATGTTGGATGCTCTCTGATCTGTGTGTTATGTAGAAAAAGAAACTAAGACTCTTTGGTTGTATTTGGTAGGCTGTGTGTAAATACGCATGTATAAATGTGTGTGTGCAAGCTGTTTAGTGTATTTTAATGAAACACGAGTGTTGCCTGTTTTTGTTTTTTTCAGGATAGGGTGAGCAAGAATTTAGGAAATGTTTGTATAAAGGAATGCTAGGGATTTGCCTCGCAGGTTAGGCGCCTAATGTTTGCGTGCCACTTTCCCTCTTCATTTTGATTGAGTTGAACTTTTTCACGTTTTGGGTCTTTCAGAAGCATTGCCTTGCCTGAGGTGTTTACACAGTGGAAGAACAGGATGATGTAGGTTTGCTTCGAAGGATGTGTATGTATCTTACTCCTCCGTATATGCCAGTAACAATTCAATTTCTCCTGTGCTTTCTCTTATTGTAGCAAAAATGGCATTGCACACAAATAAGAAAATGGTATCGGAAGTGGCGCCAGAGTTTGCAGAATACAAAGAAATCTGCAGGCAGGGTGGGGGGAACCCCAAGGAGGATGAACTGCCTCATAAAACAGCCCCACAATAACTCAAATGGTGTGGGGTTTTGTGTGTCTGGGAGGGAAGAAACTGTCCGTGGGGAGAGGCAGGAACTGGGATAGAATGGAGGCGTTAGAATGGAACCAAAAAACATATAGATAAACAAATCTAACCCGCAGCCCTCCAGATGTTGGACTGCATCATCTTTGGTCATTGCCCATGCTAGCTGGAGCTGATCCAAGGCCATTTGGAGGGCCACATGTTAGCCAGTTTCCAGTATATGGAAAAGTGCTTAGCAGTCTGGCCATAACCATCTGGAGCAAACTACCAGTCAACATATTATTGCAGGTCCCCCTTGCAAGCTTCCTTGTAGTAAGGGCCGTCTTACTCATAGGCGCTAGGGGTGCAGGATGCCGGGCTCTCAGGGGTGCCAGGCCGAGAGTCCGGGGCCCAAGAGTTGAGTCCAGTGAAGAGTCTGCTCATCGGTGGAAGCACCATGACTGCCTCTTCTGCTGCGGGCGGCTCTGCGCCGCAAGTTCGGGCCAGCCAGTGAGACTGGGCAACCTGGGGGCGGGCGCCGGGCAGATCTTTGCACCCCAGCGCTGCATAGCTGCTTGTAGTGGTTGGTTGTATGATCATTAAGATTATTTAAGTGTGCCTGTATCATTGTTTTACCCGCCGGAGCCTAAGGAAGAAGGGGATGCTGGAGATTTATATAAATACATAAAATTAGATTATCTTTGGGGGCTCTCCATTCCTTAGAATTTCCAGGGCCAAGTAATAATTCCTTCTAGGCAAGTAGCTTACCTGTTCCTTCCTAATCTACTACATGTATCCATGGACCACAATGCTCAGGCATCTAATCCATGAAAGTCTGTGCCATAATAAAATTTGTCTGACTTTAACATTCCACGAGACTCTATTCTGGCTTCAACAGACTAGGACAGCTATCCCTCTGGAGATTATATTGTCTATATTTCAATGATGTGGCTTATTTTTTTATTGGTCATAGCCATTATTTTGCCTTGAATTCCTCGTGTAGCCTATTTAACGGCTGAACATTGCTGAGAGAAATATAAGCCTCTCAAAAGAATTGCCTTCACAGAGTACTCCTCCTCTGGAGTTAATTGTGTGCCACCTTGAGTGTTTTTAAAGAGGAATAAATTATCTAGTCAGCTGTCTTGGGCTCTGGTTGAGATAGTCACATGTGTATAGGCTTGTGGAGGACTTCCTTATTAATTAGGAGTGCCTCTTTGGTGTCATTACTTAATTGGGTGCCACAGGAGCTTGATGCAACAAGTAATGCTCTTAATTAGGGGAGGAGCCATAGCTTAGTGTAGAACATCTGCTCTGCACGGAGAAGGTCCCTGATCTAGCACTGGGCATCTCTTGGGTATCAGGACTGGGAAGAGTGAGACAGTGGAGGACTGCTGTCAGTTAAGGGAAACAATATTGGCTTAGAAGGACCGAAAGTATAAGGCAGTTCTGTATCTAAGAATCCAAATCCTTTACAGGGTATACAATAACTGGTGTGTATTGCTCAAGCCTAGTATTTTAGCACCTAACAGCTGTGGTCTTCTGTGAGTAAGATCTGTTATTCTGTTTGCTGAAGTGCTTCTCCTGATAACAGTTGGCTTCTCGGGTCTTTCACCGTCTAACATTGTGCAGTTGAATTTAAAGTGTGATTGTCCAGCAGTTGTACCGCTTAGCACAGGGGTCAGCAAACTTTTTCAGCAGGGGGGCTGGTCCACTGTCCCTCAGACCTTGTGGGGGGCTGGACTATATTTTGAAAAAAGAAAAAAAAGTGAACGAATTGCTATGCCCTACAAATAACCCAGAGATGCATTTTAAATAAAAGCACACATTCTGCTCGTGTAAAAACACCAGGCAGGCCCCACAAATAACCCAGAGATGCATTTTAAATAAAAGGACACATTTTACTCATGTAAAAACACGCTGATTCCTGGACCGTCCGTGTGCCAGATTGAGAAGGCGATTGGACCTGATCCGGCCCCCGGGCCTTAGTTTGCCTATTCATGGTTAGCAGAACTGACTTTATCAAAATTTTAGCACACAGCGTTCTAAGGTTAGACTTCTCTCTGGTATGTTTGAGAATGTTAGACTCTCTAGAATATGTGCAACGTATGTTACACTAAGGACGCGGGTGGCACTGTGGGTAAAACCTCAGCACCTAGGACTTGCCGATCGCATGGTCGGCGGTTCGAATCCCCGCGGCGGGATGCGCTCCTGTCGTTCGGTCCCAGCGCCTGCCAACCTAGCAGTTCGAAAGCACCCCCGGGTACAAGTAGATAACAGGGACCGCTACCCAGCGAGAAGGTAAACGGCGTTCCGTGTGCTGCGCTGGCTCGCCAGATGCAGCTTGTCACGCTGGCCACGTGACCCGGAAGTGTCTGCGGACAGCGCTGGCTCCCGGCCTATAGAGTGAGATGAGCGCACAACCCTAGAGTCTGCCAAGACTGGCTCGTACGGGCAGGGGTACCTTTACCTTTACCTTTACCTATGTTACACTAAACCATGGTTTACTGCAGGGGTTGGGAAACCTTAAGGCCACAGGCTAAATGTCACTCTCCAGGCCTTGAGGCTCTACCTAGGCAATGCCTATGTCCAAGGCCACACCCACTCCTTAGGCCACACCCCTTACTAGCCCTGCCCTCTGCCTTCCTCAGGGGCTGCAAAGTGTTCTTGAGCTGTGTTAATGCCTCTTACTTGCCTGGATGGAGAGGGTTTGTGTGGGTGTGTGCATATGTGTAGAAAAAACACTTTTGCATGGCTGAAATGTAGCCCACTGTACAAAGACAGCAGACACATCCATTGCTGCACCCACTTTATCCTCTTGCCCCACCTACCATTGGTATGTGGCCCCCAGAAAGCTGCCCACAGTGGAATGCGGCCCTTGAGCTGAAAAAGGTTCTCTGGCTCTGTTTAGTGCTATTTAGAGGAGCCCGAGCGTAGTCTTGGCCTCACACATTGTGCCCCCTCCCAAAAACGAGTAATGAAGCTGGCTTGTTAAACCAGCCATTGTTTGAAACAAGGCAGAAGCTTTAGCCAAGCTACTGTTTTTCTCCATTTCAACCCCCCCCCCCCCCCGGCCTGCGATATAAGGCTAATACTGACCTACAGTACCAAATTGTCGTGTGGATGTCAAACTTTGAACAATGTAAAGAAGTCTGGAAATCCCACAAGCTCGTAGCAAGCATGTTAGTAGCCTATGTGAAATTCCATTGTGTATGCCTTTGTGGAACGCATGGTCACGCACCAGGTAAGTTGTAAAGTTCAAGGCTTTTCTAAAGTACTCTATATTTTAGTATTGGCTGGAGCTGGAGCTGGAGTTAACCGTTCCACTGAGTATTTCTGTATTCTTGTTCTCCAGTTCACCTTAAAAAGGGCTAAATTCTGTAAAGCTTCATAGATCTGGGGTATAGATCACCCCACTAATATTGGGGTGATGAGCATTAGAGTTTGCAGATGTTGCAATTACATAAGAAGGAAAGGAAATGGCATGACGTGTTACAATTATCAACAGATATAAAAATGTTAACAAGTATATTATGGAAATACTAACATGCCATGTCAGAGCATCTGTTTCGCTGATCATGTTAGAGTTTCAAAAAGAGAGGATGATAGGGAATTTTCCAGCTTAAACCTAGTTTGCTTTAACCGCTGGGAAATATACTTTTAAGTTAAAGAAATCAGTGATTCTGATTCTCTCTTTCTTTTACTACCAAGGAGAGATATTTACAAGAGATAATCTCTCCACTGCAGTGATTGATTTGTGCCATGCAAAGTCTTATTATTCCTCTGAGGAACTCTGTTGAAGACATCAACATTGGACTGACTAGTGGATGTGAATATAAATGAGCATTAGTGTTGACATAAAATCCTGCACGCAAAAAACGCAGCATTGCTACAATGACAGCAGACCATAGGCAGTCCTAGAAGTAATTTTCTCGGGACACAGAATAGCTTTCAGGTGATAAACCTCTGCGTGGATAACACATGTTGTTGCTTTATGGGGCTTTTGTCAAACTTTGAAAATAAATCAATATACAGTACTTAGTGGGACATGGACAGGTAGTGTCAAGATGGGCAGGCCTTGAATTTAGGTACAGTGGTACCTTGGGTTAAGTACTTAATTCGTTCTGGAGGTCCGTTCTTAACCTGAAACTGTTCTTAACCTGAAGCACCACTTTAGCTAATGGGGCCTCCCGCTGCTGCTGCGCCGCCGGAGCTTGATTTCTGTTCTCATCCTGAAGCAAAGTTCTTAACCCGAGGTACTATTTCTGGGTTAGCGGAGTCTGTAACCTGAAGCGTATGTAACCCGAGGTACCACTGTATTTGTGTTTCTGCAACAGTCCTCCTTGCTGTTGAGATCTAGCCGTGCACAAAAGCTGCATATTAAGAGAAACTGTTTTGGGCAGAAGACAAAGAGCTTTCAAACTTTTTCTATCTGCTTCAGTTCCACTTTGGTGTTATCATTTTCAGTACTAAATACTAGAAGTGTAATGGTTGGTTGTTGCTTGTTCAACAGGAAGATCCTCTGCTCTTTTGTTCCCAAGTGATTTTGTCTGTCTCAAGTTCCCAACCTGGTGTCTCCTATTTCCAACTCTGCTTTATGTCTTCCCCCTTCCCCCTTTACTTTCCAACCCTGTGTGCCTGCCCTGCTGCAAGCTTGTGACTTCTAGCAAAATGACCCTGTCTTCCCCCCACTGCACTGTTGCACCGACCTTAGACGCTGCCGCTTAGAGGCTGCAACCTGGCACTTTAGCCTGTTGAACTTGCCAATGCTGTTCTGATAACCTGGTTTAACATCTGCCTTGGCAGCTCTGTGAATAAGCCTGGACAAGTTATTAGATTGCACCATTTTTACTAGTCCTTTTATAGACAGAGCAGAATTGCAAATTGTGTACAACACAGAAGTTAATTGCCACTTTATTCACTTGGACGAAACCCTCCTGGGATGGGATGGGAAAGTGTGTGGCTAGGCACTAAAGGGGAGGGGAAGGAAGGACTAGGGATGGAGAGAACCAGAGTCTTGATTCTTATGTTGTTGTTGTTTAGTCGTTTAGTCATGTCCGACTCTTCGTGACCCCCTGGACCACAGCACGCCAGGCACTCCTGCCTTCCACTGCCTCCCGCAGTTTGGTCAAACTCATGCTGGTCTCTTCGAGAACACTGTCCCACCATCTCGTCCTCTGTCGTCCCCTTCTCCTTGTGCCCTCCATCTTTCCCAACATCAGGGTGTTTTCCAGGGAGTCTTCTCTTCTCATGAGGTGGCCAAAGTATTGGAGCCTCAGCTTCAGGATCTGTCCTTCCAGTGAGCACTCAGGGCTGGTTTCCTTCAGAATGGATCAGTTTGATCTTCTTGCAGTCCATGGGACTCTCAAGAGTCTCCTCCAGCACCATAATTCAAAAGCATCCATTCTTCGGCGATCAGCCTTCTTGATGGTCCAGCTCTCACTTCCATACATCACTACTGGGAAAACCAGAGCTTTAACTATACGGACCTTTGTCGGCAAGGTGATGTCTCTGCTTTTTAAGATGCTGTCTAGGTTTGTCATTGCTTTTCCTCCCAAGAATCAGGTGTCTTTTAATTTCATGACTGCTGTCACCATCTGCAGTGATCATGGAGCCCAAGAAAGTAAAATTTCTCACTGCCTCCATTTCTTCCCCTTCTATTTGCCAGGAGGTGATGGGACCAGTGGCCATGATCTTAGTTTTTTTGATGTTGAGCTTCAGACCATATTTTGCGCTCTCCTCTTTCACCCTTGTTAAAAGGTTCTTTAATTCCTCCTCACTTTCTGCCATCAAGGCTGTGTCATTCTTATAGCCTACATCAAAGATTCCTCCTTACCTGCATTCAATTCCTTATGGCTATCACCTGAGTGCTTAAGTGCAGTAACTTGTATGCCATACCTCTAGCTGAGAGTATGCTGTCCTGGACTAGATCCTTTGATGACCAATTGCTTAGCTGCTGCTGTTTAATTTTATTGTGATTGTGTGGTTTTATTTTTAACCATTTTTCCTTATGATGTTGCAAATGTGTTGTTGTAATATATTGTTGTAAGTCAGCTTGCAAGGAAGTTTCCCCAAAAGGCTGGATGTAAATTTATTAAATTAAGAAAGAAAGAAATTTCTCGTTGCAGCAGAAAGTGGCAGAGCTAGTAAACAAGTTTAAAAACCATGGTTTTCTGTTGTACTCATCACAGTGCTAGAGGGAAAATTATATAGAAGGATGGTTTGCTTGGACTGTATTCTAGGTACAAACAGAGGCCCCTAAAGGGAGAAGATCTCTCTGTTCTGTGTTTTATCAATAACAGACTGAAAATACATTTAGTGCCTTATTGGAGCTGGGTTTTTGTACTTGCAGGTGGAGGATGAATTAATAATTACAGAGAAAATTGCAATTTTTTTTCATTGTCACTGTAATTTATAATAATGGTATGGCACACTTTAAAATATTGCTGAGAATGCATAAGGGCTAATGATGCCTAAAACTACCAAATAATCAGTGGAGAGAAAGAGCCTGAGGAGATCTGTGTGCAGAAAACATTTGAGTTCCAAAATGAGGTTCTGATTAAGAGGGGCGACTTAAAGGATTGGCATCTTTTATGGGTGACAAACTTTTCTTTCTACATCATAAACTTAAGCAGTGGAAATGGTAGCATGGTTGGAAATTCGTTGTGATGAGCAGAGAAAACACCTACAGCTCTGTTAATAGTTCAGAATATGAAAAGACAAGTAAGGTTTTATGGTTGTGTTGTACAACTATTCCATCTTACATGAAACACATGTTTTATTTAAACATTGGACTGCCCTCCCTTCCCCTCTTTTGCTTTAATTGTGTGTTCAACACAACAGTGGTTTTCTAAGTCCTCGATGTTCTCACTTGGGAGATGAGATTAATATGCAGTTGTAATTTCTGAAGCTGTCCGTTGGTACTAACTCACGGGTTGCATTTACATGCAGTGCTAAACCATGTTTAGTGTTAAAAAGATGAGGCTGTGTGTGGGTTGCGTAAAATTCAGAGTGGATCCTATGCTGTAGTTTGGGTATGGGAGTTGAGTCCCTGACCTAAACAAACACATAATATAACACTGGAAATGAAGCTGTCTCTGTACATGTCTAATGCCATTATTAAAAGAACAGCAAGTCCTAGAAGAAAAGTGTGTGAGCATGTGTGTGAGAGAGAACGTATTTCTGCTTTGACTGCATTTCTTTCTCTGTCACCGGAATGTGACCACTTTGTGTAAAACTGCAGTCAGTGTATCTTTTCATGAACACATAATATATGCTCTTTTGAAGTGCTGTGTTCTGATGAACAGAATGGCCTTAGCTTTCACCTAAAACACACCAGGGTGAGTTTTTGTTGAGATTTCTGCTGCCACAACCGTCTCCTGCTGCAGATGGAAAATAAGAGCTGCCGAAGAGCAAATAATTTGGTACAACATTCATTCAGCCATAGTGTGCATTGTCTTGCAGCCCACATTTCAGGGGCTCATTATTTCTGGGAGTATGGGGTAGTGACCACATGAAAGTTAGCGATTTTTTCATTGAGATGGGCAAATTGGAATGGCTTGGAAACAAGTAGTGCTCTTCCCTCAAAAGTCAGAAAAGGCTTGTTTTTCTGAGCCAGTTTTACTCTGGAAATTGCCCCTCCATCCCTCACATTCCTTCTCCCCTTAAACCCTCTCCTCTCATCCCTTTAAATTATACAGTGGTGCCTCGCAAGACGAAATTAATCCGTTCCGCAAGAGTCTTCGTCTAGCGGTTTTTTCGTCTTGCGAAGCAAGCCCATTGACGGATTAGCGCTATTAGCGCTATCAGCTGTTTAGCGGCTATTAAAGGCTTAAAGGCTTAGGGATTAGCTGCTAAAAGGCTATTACTGGCTATTACAGGCTTAGCAGATTAGATAACGGGGGGGAAAAGCGAAAAAAAAATCTCCAGACTCGCAAGGTATTTTCGTCTTGCGAAGCAAGCCCATAGGGGAATTCGTCCTGCGAAGCAACTTCAAAACGGAAAACCCTTTCGTCTAGCGGTTTTTCCGTCTTGCGAGGCATTCGTCTTGCGGGGCACCACTGTACTTACTGAGTGAATAGGAGAAAGATGGCGTTCAGATGTTCTTATTTCCCTCTCTGGTTACATTCGGTGGATAAGCTTGGAATTCTTCTCTGGTTGGGATTTTATTCCAAGCTAGAGAAGAATTTGGGAGCTTGAGAAGCTCTCCTCTCCTTTGAGGTAGGTTTTTAATGGGCCACAGAGCTCAAATCTGAGCCAGAGCTTTCTTTGGCAATTTTTTTGGACATCTCTACTTTTTAAGGACATTGGAAGAGCCTTCTGGATCAGACCCCTGTTCCCATAGTTGCCAGTCAGATGCCCGTAGGAAACCCGCAAACAGGATCCAAGCACAAGAGTAGTCTCCTTCCCATGGTTTCCAGCAACTGGTTTTCAGAAGTACTTGCACATCCGATTGTGAAGGCAGAGCATAGCCAGCATGGCTAGTACACAGTACATAGTATTCCAGATGTGGTCATGCCATAGATTTATATAACAACATTATGATTTGGTCAGCTTTATTTTTAGTTCCTTTCTAAATGATTCCTAGCATGGAAGTTGCTTTTTTCAGAGCCGCCACACTCTGAGACTGATGTTAAGTAGACTTCTTATTTATTATAACATTTATATCCCTTTCCTCATGGGAGCTCAGGATAGTGTATTTGGGCCCCCTTCTATTTTCATCCTCCCCATAACCATGTGAAGGAGGTTAGGTTGAGAGATAGTGGCCCAAGGTCACCCAGTAGTCCTCAGAGAATCAGAGAATTGTAGAGTTGGAAGGTACATCAAGCACCATTTAGTCCAACCCCCTGCAATGAAGGAATCTCAGCTTGCGGTGGGGCCCCCATCCAATCTGAAATCATACTGGGCCCTGCTTAGCTTTGCAAATGTACTAACAATTTTATTATGAGGAATTCAATGGTTCTATGATTTACACTATGGTTACGAGACGTCCCTGTTTCTCGGGGACAGTCCCCGGATTTACAAATCTGTCCCTGGACAAAATCCATCCCCGGAATGTCCCAGGATTTCATTTAATGTCCCAGGATTTATATTTTAAGTGTTGTAGATTTATTAGTAGGGAAAGAATGTTGCGTGGTTGGTTCAACGGCATAAGATACATCATTTGGGGACTTCCGGCAAGGCAAAATGGCGGGTGCCACTGCCAAGGGGGAACTGGGGACACCCGGCACGTCAACTTGGGGAACCGCTCTCACACACACACACCCCAGTGACCCAAATCGAGCCAGGAGAGAGAGCACCCGGCCGACTGCCCAGCGGTGCTCCAGGGCCACGAAAACCCCAGAGCCAACGCAGGGAGAAGGAGGAGAGGAGAAGGAGAAGAAAGAGAGAGAAAGAGGAAGGAGAAAAAAGAGGGGAGCCCCAACCTTGCCACGCTGCTGCTGCCGCTGCTGCTGAGAAGAGGTAGGAGAGCACCAGGAGGGCATGGACTTGTGGCGGAGCCCAGGCCCGACCAGAGCCTACTCCATGGCAGCTAGCGCTCCAAGAGAGCAGGCCGGGCCCAGAGGAAGGCTGTGCAACAGAGGAGATCACAGAAGAGAATATATTACTTCTTTAAATTTTTAAAAATAACTTCTTTTTAAATAACTTTTTTTTCTCCTTTCCAAAAAAAAAGTGTCCCTGGATTCTTTGGAAAAAATCTGGTAACCTTAATTTACACCCAGGTCTCCTCAGTCCTACACCAACACTAACTACTACATCTACATTTGGCAACTGTGATTGCCACAAACCATCCCTTGGCTCCAAGTCAGAACTGGCAATCTATTTGAAACCATGGTTTCCATTTCTGGTCCTAAGGCAGGTTATGACACTGGGGAATTTGGTTCACAGCACAGGGACAAGATAATGCACAGCACTTGTCTTCTAAATACCCTTATTTAAATACCTTTTGTACTCTTGGAGAACAAGTGTATTATGGTGAATATTTTTAAGCTGTGAACTAGGAGGATGAGAATTTTTTTGGATTAAAGAGTACGATAGCTTTTCAGTCTCAGCCAGCAACTCAGCCACTCAGCTTCCTTCCCAGTTGCTAAGTTTCTGCACTCAATTTAATGCTTGCATTTTTTCTCCAGTGTTGCAGCTTTGCTTGGTTTCCAGGATTCTGAGCTTCATGTGTTAACATGCAAATCATCTGAGGGCACTTTCCATAAAATAGGCTTTTATCTCAGTTAATATGTCCCTGGGTGTGCCACCTCTGTCCTTCCCCTATGGTATTATATATTTTTTGTTCTCATGCGTGCTCTTCTTCCCCACCCCCAAAAGGAGTCCCTTAACAAATGCCTTTTCATCCTCCTCAACGTGCCAGCCTGCTTCTACTGGCTATAAATCTAGCCAGACAGCATCTGTGGGAAAAGTACACATCCTCAGACTCTTGCCAATAATCGTGTCCACATCCTGCAAGTCGAGAAAGGAATTTCATTAAATTGCAACCCCCCCCCCCAAAAAAAGCACAGGTGAAGAAACACAACCAAATCAAATATCCTTCCAGTAAGCAAAGTTTATTGCTGCCCCTGTGGAAGGTGGGGCTCAAAGGTTCAGTTGTGTTGAAGTTGAATCTTAAGTTTTCCTTGTTTAAAAAGAAAGGGGAGGATCAAACTTGGATTTGAAATTCAGTTAATATTTCCCAGTGAATGTATGCCACACAAAATACAAACCCAGAATGGCTTGCACTTATTCAGGGGTAAGCAACCTAAGGCCTGGGGGCTGGATGCGGCCTTCTCAATCCGGCCCATGGATGGTGCGGGAATCAGCATGTTTTTACATGAGTAGAATGTGTCCTTTTATTTAAAATGCATCTCTAGGTTATTTGTGGGGCCTGCCTGGTGTTTTTACATGAGTAGAATGTGTCATTTTATTTAAAATGCATCTCTAGGTTATTTGTGGGGCATAGGAATTTGTTCATCCCCCCCAAAAAAAATATAGTCCAGCCCCCCACAAGGTCTGAGGGATGGTGGACTGGCCCCCTGCTGAAAAAGGTTGCTGACCCCTGCACTTAATATTATTACTACTACTACTACTATTATTATTAATAAACAAATGTATACTTCACAGTATAAAGCCTTCAAAATGGTGTGCAGAGTAAAAACAATAAAGCTGTAAAACAATAAAATCAATTCAACAAACTCTAAAACAATAAAACTGTCCATACAAACTCTAAAAACGATGAAACAGTTTTATCAGATATAAAATTGATCTTTCACAAATGGCTGGGTTACACCTCAGGGAATGCCTTTGTAAACAAACATGTATTCAGTAGATACCTAAACACCATCATTCTAGGTACCTGCCTGATTTCAGCCTCAGCTGCAACACTAAAAGTCTGGTTTCTTGTACAGGCTAAACGTACCTCTGAGGCTTATGGTCCTTTGAGTTCCCCATAGCATGGACAAGGCAGTCCCTTGGATATCCTAATCCCAAGTTGTTTAGGACTTTGATTGCTAAAAGCAGAACCTTGATTTGTGCCCAGTCATTGGGACCAGTTCACTAAGAACTGTTGAGCTTACTCAGGAGTATAGTCAGGATTTTGTACAGTGAGCCTGCGTTAATTTGAAAATATGGAAAAATCCATACCTCTTAATGCTTTTTGACAACCAGGTTGTGATGACAGAGTTAAGGAGCAACCTGCCGATTCGGTAAATTGAGTGATGGGTCCTAATTTGTGTGAAGGGATGTGAGATCTTGCTTCCTTAAACAGTCTTGGCTATGAAAGGCAACAAGGTGTATCATGCAGGAGTTGGGATTTCATTTATTTATTGAAAGCAAGAGAACCCAGAAGACAAGGCTGTATGATAGGGGTGAAACACTGTAGCCGATGGCCACATAATATCTGTACTTTTCTCCTTTTGTGTCTTCTAAAATCACTAGGCTGCAGGTATTGCTGTCTCTCCACTGGAAGAGGAAATAACCTTCCAGCAGGCATGGGGGAAGAATAGATTGAGAAGAGGTGTGTGTGTGTGTGTGTGTGTGTGTGCACGCGAGCATGCATGCCAGCTAGTTTAACAGATTTTAACATCAGCCTCTGCCATGAATTATTTGATGGGGAGACACTTGCCCATTTCACTTCATCTTATTCTTAGCTCTCATAAAAGCATAGGTTTCCATTCCTGCTGTGTTAGTGATGAACCTTCATTCCGACAAGAAAAAAAGGAAGCTCTGAAAAAAAGGCATTTTTTTGCCACCCATTAACATATGAAGCATAGCTACTGACAGGCACCACAGGCTATTTTTACGTTCTTATGTAAGCTAGGAAACAAGGTCTGTTTGTGGCACAAGAAAATCCCTCCTCTGAAAAGGAGACTCTTCCCCTGGTGGCACAAGAGTTGGGTGATGGATCGAGATGTGCAAGGGATAGTGGTAGTGTGCATGATGGGGCTGAGATTAGAGGCTTAGGTGAGCCACTCAGCTCCCTGGAGATGGTCTAGGCTCTCCTTCTCTTTGGCCTGGTTATTTTTGTTTTGTCTCTATGAGTGCCTTCAGATTATGTGTTTATGTGATTAATGTTGAATGCAGCCACCTTTGTGTCCTTTCTGGTGAGCTTTGATGGGGCTTTTGGCTGGCTGCTGCTAGGAATAGCATGTTGGACTATATGAACATTGGTCTGAGACTGCAAGGCTATATGGAATCATCCCCCCAGGCCCTGAGTAATGTTGGAAAATGTCTGGAGTTGCTGAGCATGACCTAGAACCTGGGTGGCCAGAGTTGCAAAATCAACTTGGAGTCACCTGCTGAAGACTTCATAAGGCTAAGAAACAGAAGACATGGAACTTCTCCCTGTCAGCCATCTCACAATCCTTTCTCCCGCAAGTGGCGCTGTGGTCTAAACCATTGAGCCTCTTGGGCTTGCTGACCAGAAGGTCGGCAGTTTGAATCCCCGCGATGGGGTGAGCTCCTGTCACTCTGTCCCAGCTTCTGTCAACCTAGCAGTCTGAAAGCATGCCAGTGCAAGTAGATAAATAGGTACCACTCTGGCGGGAAGGTAAACAGCATTTCCATGTGCTCTGGTTTCCGTCACAGTGTCCCGTTGCTCCTGAAGCGGTTTAGTCCTGCTGGCTGCATGACCCGGAAAGCTGTCTGTGGACAAACCCCGGCTCCCTTGGCCTGAAAGCGAGATGAGTGCCGCAACCCCATAGTTACCTTTGACTGGACTTAACCGTCCAGGGGTCCTTTACCTTTACCTTCTACCTTTCTCCTGCTGCTGGTACCACCTCTGCTCTCCTAATGAATCCTCCTTCACTTCTTAATCCATTCTTGATGGTGTTATTTGTAGCCCATTCTGTCAGTGTTCCTCAGCAGACCTTTTGTGTCTTGATCAAACACCAACTGATTGATCTCCTTTGGCAACTAGATCCCTGTCCATGTATTCTAATTCATGCCCACCTCTGTGCTTTTGCATGTGTTCTCTCTTTCACTGCAATGCACCCGGCTACATATTCAAATATGTAACCTTAAACCAAAGGAAATGGAGCAAGAGTGACAGGTTATGCATTACTTCATGATCTTTCACATAAACTTTCATCTGAGTTGCTTAGTACTGGGCTGTTCAGGCAGTTTGTTCCAAGAGTCTTGGATGTGAGCCTGTGTCCCTAGTTGCCTCCACAAATGTGTGTGCGCGTTTGTGAAACAAACTTAATAAAATGAAGTTGAATAACATTAGAGATGGCTTTCTGAAATTAGGAATGCAACTTGGATGAAGGTGCCTGAAGGGAAATATGCCAAGACATCACAGAGGGTTGATATGATGGTGTTTGCCCAGGCTGTTGCCTGTGTTTATGTTACTCCTTGAAAATGTTGTTTGGCAGTTTGTGTGCATGTGCACAATTTGGATTTTGGGAAGTCTTTGGACTGTCAACAATACAGTACCTGGAGTCTGGGATGCGGGTAGCGCTGTGGTCTAAACACTGAGCCTCTTGGGGTTGCAGATCGGAAGGTCAACGGTTCAAATCTCTGCGACAGAGTGAGCTCCCATTGCTCTGTCCCAGCTCCTGCCAACCTACCAGTTTGAAACCACACCAGTGCAAGTAGATAAACAGTTACTGCATCGGCGGGAAGGTAAACAGCGTTTCTGTGCACTTTGGTTTCCATCACAGTGTCCCGTTGCTCCAGAGGCAGTTTAGTCCTGCTGGCCACATGACCTGGAAAGCTGTCTGTGGACAAACGCAGGCTCCCTTGGCCTGAAAGCGAGATGAGCGGCGCAACCCCACAGCCGCCTTGGACTGGACCTAACTGTCCAGGGGTCCTTTACCTTTTTTTACCTGGAGTCTGTTAGTGCAGGTGCTGTGATTTATCTTTGTCCCATGTTAAGCTTTTTTTTGTTAATAGCTGAGATCTGCCCTACTGCACTCCTATCCGAGAATATCTCTTTTATTTTCCATGTCATATTCATTTTACTGGAGTTAGTTTTGGACATAATTTGGTTGGCTGAATAGTGAGGTGCTTTTTTAGTAGCCTTGATTTTGAGTCTGAAGATAAACGTGGGTTTGAAAGCAAGTGATCTTGACCAGGCTGCTTCTTTGATGCCTAATGAACTTTCCGCCAAAGTTTATTTCCACCCCCCACCTCCCAGACATTTTTTGTTTTGCAGGATCTTCTATGATACTGCTTTTATATGGGAATTTTGGAAGCTGCTACTGGGCTGTCACCAACTGGTCAAAGTCTTTTTGAAAATAAGTTAAAAAAAATACTGGCAAGATTCTCCTGCTTTTAATAGTTGTATAAGAAATTCCGCAGCTGATGCTTTTCCCAGTGTGGAGATTCAGTCATGAGGAAAGTTTTTTGGCTATATGGGGAAATAAGCTGGTAAGGCTACAACTAAAAGGCATCAAACTGCTCAAGATGGTTCATGTCAGATGCTGCCTGGTTTTGAAGAAAGACTCTGTGTCAGGGAACTGCCATCAGTGCCGGAGGGAGAGAGCAAAATCCAGAGGGATTCCGGGGAGCGTCCCGGGATTGGGAGAGGCAGCCCATTTTCGGGGGAAGAGAATCAGCGTAGCACCAGTGGAGAAGGGGGGCAGATGGGGGAAGCGGCGAGGCGGTCCCATGACTCCTTGCCGGGGACCAGCGGGGAGAGTAGGGGTCCTCCGCTGCCTACGCCCTCCTTGCGCAGAAGGCTTTCGTGCAGAGAGAGTAGGAGGAGACTAGGCGTCAAAGAGCTTCTTTGCTGGAAGAAGTTTAAGAAACGCCCACTGACGGATTCTGCCAGCGATTGAGACAGCCACGGGTGAGTGGCTGTCCGGACAGAAAAGGTTCACTCAGGCAACCCAGCCAAGTGTTTGCACCGGCTTACGCACGAGCAACCCCTAGAACCACTACACTCTGCTTCATGCTTTTGCTGTTATCTACACTGTTAGGTAAATTTAACCAATCACTCTTCACAGGGCCATGTCTTGCAGCAAGTTATGGGCGTGTTTTCACCTCTTCCTTTGTTGTTTGCTGTTTTAGAGTTGTGGAATGCTGTGAAGACTTCCCTGGCTCCACAGTCATAGACGAAATACGTTTGGAACTATTTTCATCTGAAGGATATCTTTCATCTATAAAAGGTACCAAACTTTATCCTTACTGCCTCAACAGACTTCATCTTTGTTCGGAATTTCAACCAGTTTTTCCTCCAGATCCTAAACCACACAATAGAACGTATATCTGCAGAGAAGGGCCTTGTAAAACTCTGGTATTAACTGGGCACTTTGCAGAGATTTTGAGATTATAACATGCAATAAGATTAAAACATTTTAAGAACCTAAGAAGAGCGGGACTGATGTCCAAGGCCTGTCTAGTTCAGCATCCTCTTTTCATGGTGCTCAACCAGGTGCCTACAAGGCAAGTCGGACAGGACAGCTCTCTTGCGACTTGTGACTCTCAGCAACTGGTATTCAGATGCATACTGTCTCCAAAAGTGGTTATAGAACGTAACCAGCATGGCTAGTAGCCATCAATAGCCCTCTCTTCCATGATTTTTTCTTAAAAATATAAAGTGATGTAGAAACGAAATGAAAAACAGTAACAATCTTCTTTTAAAGCCATCTAAGTTGGTGGCACTGTGGTCTAAACCACTGACTCTAGGGCTTGCTGATCGGAAGGTCGGCAGTTCGAATCCCCACAGTGGGGTGAGCTCCCGTTGCTCGGGCCCTGCTCCTGCCAACCTAGCAGTTCGAAAGCACACCAGCGCAAGTAGATAAGTAGGTACCGCTCTGGCAGGAAGGTAAACGGCATTTCTGTGCACTGCTCTGGTTCGCCAGAAGCGGCTTAATCATGCTGGCCACACGACCCAGAAATACTGTCTGTGGACAAACGGCGGCTCCCTCGGCCAGTAAAGTGAGATGAGCGCCGCAACCCCAGAGTCGTTCGCGACTGGACTTAACTGTCAGGGGTCCTTTACCTTTATGTTGGTGGCCAGCAGTGCCCCCAGTAGGAGTGAGTTCCATAGTTTGGACTATGTGCTGCTCAAATAAGTACTTTATTTTATCTTGTCTTGAATATTTCAACATGCAGCTTCCTTGGATGTCCACGAGTCCTGTTGTTAAGAGAAAGGAAGAAAAACTCTGTCCGTTTATTTCAGGATTTTGAAAAATGAGGGTTATATAAAAACACAAAAATACATAACATAGTGACAAACAAACAAAAATAGCCCACCCCCATTTTAAAAGGCCACAGATTGTTTAATTATCCAAAGGCCTGGCAGAAGAGAAATGTTTTTGCCTGGCACCTAAATATATTTCACTTCTTGGTTCTTTTGTGAAGCTCAGGAGACCATTCTCTGTGAATTTGAGATTTTGAATCTGTGAACTGAATTGAGCGTCGTTATCTTTCTATGGTTGGAGAAGACCTCTTACCCAGGGACAGGCCTGTTGTAGATCTTTTGCTCAGCAGCTCACAGATGCAACGGAGACAGCCTTCATGTTGAGAAGGAATTGTCTACATTGTGTTTAAAGGTAAAGGGACCCCTGACCGTTAGGTCCAGTCGCGGACGACTCTGGGGTTGCGGCACTCATCTCGCTTTACTGGCTGAGGGAGCCGGCCTACAGCTTCCGGGTCATGTGGCCAGCATGACTAAGCTGCTTCTGGCGAACCAGAGCAGCGCACGGAAATGCCACTACATTGTGTTTAGGAAACATAAAAGAGAAGATGGCCTAGGCTGGTGGGTGACTTGGCATGAAATAAATAAATGGGTTAGGATCACAAAGTGAACCAGGGGAAGCTGGCAGAGGGTCTTCTCGGTAGTGGCACCTGCCCTGTGGAACACCCTTCCATCAGATATCAAAGAGATTAAACAAGTACCTGACATTTAGAAGACATCTGAAGGCAGCCCTGTTCAGGGCAGTTTTTAATGTGTGACATTTTAATGTATTTTTTAATCTTTGTTGGAAGCAGCCCAGAGTGGCTGGGGAGGCCCAGCCAAATGTGCGGGGTATAAATAATAAATTATTATTATTAGTATTATTTATTTGGAAAAGAACAGGAAGCCAGTGGAGCAGCAGCTAGACCACTGGTCTCTACTGGGGGATTTTGACACTTGCTGCTAGGCAGATGGTTGAATATCGTATCCTAGAACTTCATGTATGGGAGAAGTAGGGGTCCAGTGTTCCTCCAGACATTGCTGGACTCCAGTTTCTATGAGCCTCTGCCAACTTATCCAGTGATCCGGGATTAACGGGAGCTGTGGTCCAGCCATGTCTGGAGGGCCACAGGTTTCCCACCCCTGATTCATGGCTTTCTGGTGCCCAGGCTTTTCTCTTTAGCTCTGCAGGGAAAATGACTTCAGCTTAGCTCATCTGTTTGCTCTTCAGATCTTGCTCCTGAGCCTCTGTAGATCACGTGATTTGGTAGCTACTGCTCAGCGTGAAACCAAACCCTCTGAAGCAGCTCCGTCCTTTCTCTATGTGGCTTTTGAGCAATTTGCTTTGTGATTTTCTCTTCTGAAAACGAAACATTTGAAGCATAAGACTGATGGGTTTTGGCAAGGATTGGGAGAAGAGCGCGGTCAGTCCAAAACTTGAGTACATAAATATCTTCTCAAATCTAGTGCAGAATGAAGGATGCCGAGAGACCTTATTGAATAGAGCCTGGTAGGTGACCAGCTTAGTGATTTCCTATTTCCTGGAAAAGTGCAGCAGGCTTCTCAGCAGTGGGAAATCTTTAAGTGGCTGGGATGAGATTAGAACAAGAGGTTTGCTCGCTTGTACCTGCTTTTTCATGGTGCCTTCCCACTGAGCATGTCCTACATAGTTCTGCCTTCAAAAGCCTGGCTGGAAGTAGCAGCTCTTTATTTCTGATGTATAATTTACTGTGTTTTTCCTGGCGCGCCAGCCTTGTTTGTATTGGTAAGTGTGTGTTCACTGCGTACAGCCTGCTGACAATTTTGTAGGCTGAACATGCTGTGCTTGAATATACCTGGGTCTTTGTGAAGTGCTTTTGAATCACAAAGTTGAGTTAATAAGCTGGGTCGTCTTAGCCCATAAACGCTTCCTGTTTCCATTGGCCTTACTTTTGTTAAATAGATACCAAAGTTGCAAGTCTGGTTTCCTTCAGGTTAGTCCCATGGACATCGTATGACAGCGCTATCTTGGTTAAAAAAGGAAAAAAAACCCCACAAATTCTCTAAAATAAAATCCAAAGCCAGCCTCAGAACAAGGTTTTGGGGCTCCTTATAGCTTGTCATTCTTGTTTTGTGGCGTCTTTTAATGCCAGGCTGTCATGAAATCTGAAAGTTTCTGAGCCACTACAAATTATTGTGATTAAGTGCCTCCTCCAGACATGCCCCATAAATGCTGTGGGTCAAAGAAACAAGCCTTTGTTGTTTAGTAAGAGGCAAATTAAGATTTCAGCTTTCTTGGCAAGTCCTAATTTAAATTTTAGACAGCTTACGTGGGAGAGCCACTGAGATGCGTTGCCTGAGAAAGACAAGCAAATGCGGCAGTGCCTGTGAGAGATGAGCGAATGCTGAAGCTTGAGTCAAGGGTGGGGAACCTTGTCCCATCTGAGGGGCACATTCCCTTCCAAGGAAGCTTCTGGGGGCCGTATGCCTGTAGTGGACAGAGGCAAAAAGTTGGTAGGGGCTGTGATTTGTACAGTAGACTGTATTGCAGCCATGCGTAATTCAGGTTTCTACACCCGCCCACCTCTTTTCATCAAGGCAAGCAAGAACCACTATCACGTTATTAGAATACATTCTTGCCTGGCAAAAGCACCTGAAGATGTGGGAAATGACCTTTGTGGCCTCGGGATACTTCCAAGGTCTGACTAGAGAGGCCTGCATTTGGCCCCTAGGCCTGAGGTTTTCCACTGCTGTATCAGTAAATAAACCTCCTGTCTGGGAGCAAAACAGTAGAGCGGGCAGGAAAGACTTTTGGAACACTCTTGGCATCTTCTGTGGATTTTTAGATTGCTCTTTAGGGCCAAGTTTTGACCTGGGTTCGCATTCCCATCACTAAGTGCTTTGGAGGCAGGTGCAGGTAGGTAAAGGTAAAGGACCCCTGGACGCTTAGGTCCAGTCAAAGGCGACTATGGGGTTGCAGTGCTTGTCTTTCTTTTCAGACTGAGGGAGCCGGTGTTTGTCCACAGACAGCTTTCTGGGTCATGTGGCCAGCAGGACTATACTGCTTCTGGCGCAACAGGACACCTTGACGGAAGCCAGAGCGCACAGAAACGCTGTTTACCTTCCCGCCACAGCAGTACCTATTTATCTACTTGCACTGGTGTGCTTTCGAACTGCTAGGTTGGCAGGAGCTGGGACAGAGCAACAGGAGCTCACCCCATCGCTGGGATTTGAACCGCCAAACTTCTGATTGGCAAGTCCAAGAGGATCAGTGGTTTAGACCACAGCGCCACCCGCGCTGTGCATGCTCACGCAGGCAGACACAGCACCTAACTTACTCCCACATTGAGTTTTTTTGGAGAAGGCAGGATTAACTAAATACTCTCTCATAATATATATTTTTTAATAGATAAGACACTAAGGGATATAAAACAGGAGTCATCTCCAGACTGACCTCTGTGGGGAATTGTGTTCTTCCTGATCCTTTTATCAGGAAATGCTGGGGATTGAACCTACATGCAAAGCTTTGCCATTGACTCATGGTCCAGCCAAGAAGGCTTATGGCCTCTTCACACACACACACACACACACACACACACACACTATGCAACAGCACATCCATCTTTTATTCCACAGGGAAATGAGGCCAATCCCAGCTTTTGGGTTTGAGTACTCCTATCACATATCTGTGAGCACCCCCCCCCCATTTTTTAGCTATACGTGTAAAGAATTTTAGGTATCCGCCTTAATGTGTGCAGCAACCTTAATGATTTGTGTTAGGATATTTTGGGAGGTGTGTGAAAGAGACAGAGCAGGTAAACTGTTTAAGCTCAGGGTGGATCAGAATACGCTTTGCTCAAAAGTGGACTTTGAGGGGAGGCTTAAGAAGAGAGAAAGGAAGGCTGCTGTAAAGAGACTGGAATTAAAGGCCGAGACAACTGGAGGAATCTGAAGTAAGCAAGAAGGGATGTAAGGGGAAGGAAGGGACACAGAGGTGGAGAGGCTTAAAAGTAAGCTGATGGGGAGTGACACGATCATAGCAGGAGCAGAGAGGTGAGCTCAGAGGCATTCTGAATGGATTAGAGATGTGGGAAAGGCAGGAGGGAAGACCAGGCAGAGAAGATGTTGCAGTGGCAGAGTCAAGAAGAAGTTTGAGGGAGGAAAAGGATTGAGCAACATGAGCAGATTTCCGAGAAAGTTTGGGCTGGAGGAAACATTTCAGATCTCTGGGTTCCAACAAGCACTTGTAAGATGCTAGCAAGGAAGAAGCCATTTAGGGTTGCTCCGGTAATGGTCCAACCAATGAACCGGTTCAGGACAGAAGGAAGACAGACAAAGGGAATATCTGTGGTATGGTATGAATGGTGCCAATACTAAAGGGATACCATTGCTTTTGGTTGATTACTACAACAAAATGAAGAGATGCATGTGGGTGAAGAGATGCTTTTTCTCTTCTCACCCCTCACCATCCTTTCTAAATTGCCCTTCTTCAGAAAGTGCCCAGGGCAATGCACATCAAACTTACGAACAAAGCATAATAAAACAGCACTAAAATGCATGCATGAATTATATCTTAGTAGATAAGTTAAAACAGAAATACATACAGTGATAAATAAGAAGTGTATTCCTCACCAGCAAACTGCAAAATCGTGGGCAGCTGTTGTCAGTTGGTGCCTGCTACCCAACAGTACCTAGTCATTTCCAACTAATTCCTTTCCAGCCAAATGAGCCCAGTCTTGCCAACCTTCAAACTCAATTGTCCAATGGCTCTGGAAGTCCATCTGTCTCAGGCCCACACCTCTTAACTCAAGGTAGTTGGGGAGACTGAGCTTGGGGTACCATGTACATGCACAGCAAGGATTATTTCCATTACCCTTTAACCATTGGAGGTAAAACAAGAGGTTTAGTGCTAAACCAGAAAAGTATCTAGAAGAGCTGATTTGCATGAGAGTCAGTTCAGTGGAGTTTTGTGGGGCACGTCTTAGTAGATCAGGAACATTCTGAAATAAATTTTCTAACCGTTATGCATTCCATATAGTAGATAAGATAGTCTTTGAAATTGCTATTTTTAAGCCTTAGGGCTTTTCAGTGTAATTTCCACTGTCAGCTCAACATTCTTAATTGTTGTGGCTCCTAGGTAGGAATATTGGGGTTTTTTGTAGACCTTTTCTTCAGTCTCCTAACAAAGTAGCTATTGGAATTTTGCCAGGTTGTTAGCCCCAAGTGTCTTAGCTTTCACGTGTAAGAAGGAATGGCACTGTCAGATTTGTTTAATCCCTATTTTTAGCAGACAAAGAAATTAGTTCTGTCTAGACTCTAGGGCTCTAAAGTTGCAGCTTTTAAGGAGTGCCATAATTTGGGGAATCCCCTCTCCTCATTCTCTCTTCTGTAAAGGGGCTTTGAGCTGCCAAACCTGTTCTGGCTGTATTAAGGCTCTGTATCTTACCTATTTAATAAGAATAATTTATTCTGCCTTCCCAGGTAGCAAAGCTGCTTTTAAGGCCACTAACAACATACCAGTGTTTCAACATTCAAACAACTAAACAGGTGCTTACATATGCACACACTCCAGCATGGCAGATAATTAAAACATCAGAGCTGTTGTAAAATACCAGTGTTATTAAAAAACATTGAACAAAGTTATCTTCTTTTAATGGTGAAAGCCGAAAAGGAAGGAGCCAAATGCACATGGCGCTGTAGAGAACCTAAGAATGTCTTGTTCCATTCTAAACAACTATGAGGTTTTCAACCTTTCGTTTGCCCATAATGCTGAAGTACATAGGATGATGCCTTATACCAGGGGTCAGCAAACCTTTTCAGCAGGGAGCCGGTCCACTGTCCCTCAGACCTTGGGGGGGCGGGGCGGACTATATTTTGAAAAAATAATAATGAATGAATTCCTATGCCCCACAAATACCCCAGAGATGCATTTTAAATAAAAGGACACATTCTACTTATGTAAAAATGCACTGATTCCTGGACTAAATCCGCAGGCCGGATTTAGAAGGGGATTGGGCTGGATCCAGCCCCCGGGCCTTAGTTTGCCTACCCATGCCTTATACTGAGTCAGACCATTGGTCCTCCTAGCTCAGCATTGTTTACATTGAGTGGCAGCGGTTCCCTAAGGTTTCAGAGAGATGCCTTTCCCAGTCTTCCTGGGAGATGTTGGGATTGGACCTAGGGCCCTCAGTCAGCCGTATGGCAAGCTGCTGTATAGTGATGGCAGAGCATGTAGCTGCAGTTTGTGCGTCAATGCCACAGCTATGCCATTGGAGCTGCTTTCATGGTTTCCTGGGAAGGCAGAATAAATTATTCTTATAATTTCCCCCCACTTTCATGGTTTCTCCCCATCTTGACAGGAGGGTGGTGAAGACGGGGGAATTTATCATGCAAGTGGTTCTAGCTATGTAGTTCTGGAATTTGTGGAGCTCCAGTGGTGCTGTGGGTTAAACCACAGAGCCTCTTGGGCTTGCCAATCAGAAGGTTGGCAGTTTGAAAACCCACGACGGGGTGAGCTCCCATTGCTCGGTCCCTGCTCCTGCCCACCTAGCAGTTCGAAAGCACGTCAAAGTGCAAGTAGATAGAAAGGTACCGCTCTGGTGGGAAGTTAAACGGCGTGTCCGTGCGCTGCTCTGGTTCGCCAGAAGTGGCTTAATCATGCTGGCCACATGACCTGGAAGCTGTACGCTGGCTCCCTCGGCCAATAAAGCGAGATGAGCGCCGCAACCCCAGAGTCGGCCACGACAACCTAATGGTCAGGGGTCCCTTTACCTTTAACTGCATGAGATCTCAGCCGAGAAAGCTGCTCCTGTTCACCTGGAGGCCAAAAAACCCCAATGACCTCAATCCCAAGGTAAAAGGCAACTCTGGGATTGCTTACACCAGGGTTGGCAAGGTTTACTTCGCTTGGGCCGGTTCACTCCAGCGGAGACCGCTCCGTGGGCCGGATTGCATCTGCACAGAAGCGATTTTCGGCATCTGCGCAGATGCGATTTCCGGTGCTGTGGAAGTGAGTCCCTGCTCCATGCTGCGTCGGTTTAACACAACAGGGACTCGCCGAGCAGGCGGCTCGGTTCAGGGGCGGCTTGTGGGCCGTTTAAACGACCCCAGTGGGCCGCAGGTTGCCGACCCCTGACCTACACAGTCAGGATACAGACAGGCTCCTCTGGTGAGTTTCTTCTCTGAAAGCTTCTCCCAACACCCATCTTTCCATAGCAAATTATTTCAAACCATGTAAGAGGACCGAGCTTGTTGCTCCCTGTTCTGCTCAGTTGGAGTGGAAGAGCAAGGTTCTGTTTCCGCTCTTTCTGTGCAGCTTTTGCAAACACTAGGGAAGCCTGGCTAGTCTGCCGGCTGAGTGCAATGCATCCCTGAAGTGTTTGACTCCTGTTGCTGTGACTTTTGGTATTAAAGTCAGAAGGGAGAGGGGCAGAGTCTGTGGGTGTCAGTGCCTCAGCACCTACTTGCCAACCTCTATGCTTACCAAAGGGGCAGAGAGGGAGAAAGCACAGCTGGCTGCCGGCCCGAGAGTCCTGCTGTGTTTCCTGATTGGGAAGCTCAGCAGGGTACATCTAGTGATTGCCAGAGGGGCTGCAGCCGGCCCGTGTTGAGCTGTATATCTGGCTACAAATGCTGCACGAGCACTGCTAGATGTGCTTCACGGTTCCAGCTTCCTGTGTCCAATGGTGTGTGCTCAGATTATTATTATTTTATTTATTGCTCGCCTTTCACTGCAAGGCCCCAGGGTGGCTTGCAGTATTAAAAAGAAGTTCAAAACACATCCACAAGCATATTAGCTGTGATTTCTGGAAGATCTGTTTCCCTGCCTTGCTGGCCTTTTCCCACCTGGCCTTGCAGAGTAGGGCCCTGACTGACTCCAGCTACAAAAGCTGAGGCTCCTGAACAGACGCTTGCTGTTCTATTGCATAGGGTTTTTTTTGTTGAGGAGGTGTTGTTGCTGTTATTCATATAAATTGATATTCATCCATTGATGTTTGATTTGATGATTTAATTGGTCAGTTTACTATACCTTTGTTTGTACCTTAGTCATGATTTATGTGGAAACTACAGTGGTACCTCAGGTTACAGACTCCGCTAACCCAGAAATAGTACCTCGGGTTAAGAACTTTGCTTCAGGATGAGAACAGGAATTGCACGACGGCACCGCAGCGGCAGCGGGAGGTCCCATTAGCTAAAGTGGTGCTTCAGGTTAAGAACAGTTTCAGGTTAAGAACGGACTTCCAGAACGAATTAAGTTCTTAACCCGAGGTACCACTTTGTTCAATTTGGTTGTCTACTTTTTGATGTTTTATTGTTCACGGCTAATTGTCGTGTTTGAAATTGGCATATTTTTTCATGTCGTCAGCCTCCCTGAGCGTGGTTTTAACTGTCGAAAGGAGGCATACAGATAAGATGATGTACGTGTGTAAAAACAAGATGCATCCTATGAGCCCACAAGCAGCTCACAAAGGCAGCAACCACCTCCTTTTTGTCTGCCAGCAACTGGTATCCGATCACAGGCTCGAGGTAGGATGTCCTGTGGTGGCTTGAGCCTCGCAGGGGAAGCTGACCACAGCATGCGCCATATATGTGGTGCCGGTGGAAGCCCCTATGGAGCAGTCTGCGTTGGGGGTGATGGTTCCAGAGTGCTAGCCCAGGAGGTGGACCAGCCCATTTTACCAATTCCTTGAACTGGTTGCTTTGGGCCTCAAAGCCCAACTGATGCAATGCAACCTCTCGGAAGGGAAGTGTTGGGGGTGTTTCTCCCGTGGCAGCTTGTATCCGTTCCGTTGTCTCCTGCCGGGTTGCCCTTGGTTTGAGCATTCGCTCCCTCCCGGGCTTGTGTCTCGTGTCATGTCCGCGCAACATCCTCGGCGTTCCTTTTCCCTTTCAGCTCCGTGAAGGAACGACCAAGCTTTTCTCCTCAACGTCGCGTTTGTTTCCTTCCAGAGAACCTCGCTGTAATTCAGTTATGAATCATTGCTTTATTTGTCATGTCAAGCTCCAGGAGGATGCTTTAAGTGCTTCTAGTCGGCAGTAATTTGAGGCACTCTGCCAAGCCGTGTTCAGCTGTTGTCAGGCCTGGCAGTGGCTGCAGCTGATATGGCGATAAAAACACATTCTGACTACAGATGAGTTTGGTTGCTGCCTGCTCTGCTCTGTTCTTTTTTTCTTTTTCTTTTTGCATGTGGCAGGCAATAAGTGCTAATTAACAGGCATATGAATTGGTGCGGCTTATCCTCTGGGATTATGGAAATGCTGGGAGCTGGGAGAATGATAGTCCTGTGCTTTTTATAAAATGGCATAAAAATGATTGTTTCCCCCCAGTGTTATTTCCTTCGCGTAACTCTTTTCTTTCAGCCGAAAAAGTTGTCAGCATAATGTATGTCTCTGGAGCATTTAGTTTTCAAAAGTATTCAGAGAGAAAGAGAGCTTATTTAAAGCATTTTTACCTCGCTCTTCAGGTCACAGAATGGTCTCAAGAGTTATAATAACAATAATAATAATGATAATAATAATAATACATTTTTATTTATACCCCGCCCTTCCTGGTTCAAAAACCGGGCTCAGGGCAGCTAACAACAAATTTAAAACACTTAATTAATTATAAAGGCAGCGTAAAATACAGTATAAAAACATGAATAACAATAAAATTCAAAAATCAAATATCAATTTAGGGGGAATAAGCATTAGATAATCCCCAGGGCTAGCTGGCTGAATTGGTCCTACTTGGGCCAGCGAGGAGGCCAGGGCAGAATTAGCTGTGGGGTCTCAGAGCGGGTGATCCTCATAAAAGGGGAGGGGGAGGGAAGAGAAGGGAAATAAAAGATCAGACTGAATTCAAATTAAAGGCCAGGCGGAATAGCTCCGTCTTACAGGCCCAACAGAAGGAGGTTAAATCCTGCAGGGCCCTAGTCTCGTGGGACAGAGCATTCCACCAGGTCGGAGCCATCTCTGAAAAGTCTGGCTTCCTTAGGGCCTGGGACCTCTATAACTATGGTTATTCGTGGACCTTAAGGTCCTCTGTGGGGCAGACCAGGAGAGGCAGTCCCCTAGAAATGAGGGCCCTAAGCCACAAAGGGCTTTAAAGGTCAAGACCAGCACCTTGAACCTGACCCTATACTCCACCGGGAGCCAGTGCAGAGTTGCAGTCAAAAGGACCCTACACAAAAGAAGGAAGAGGGATTGTCAGGGAGGAGGAAAATAGAAAACTGTTTCTTAGTTACAGTTAAGAACATAAGAAGAGCCAATGGCCCATCTAGTCCAGCATCGTGTTCTCACAGTGGCCAACCAGATGCCTGCAGGAAGCTTGCAAGCAGGACCCGAATATAAGAGTGCACTCTGCTCCTGGGGCTTCTAGCAACTGGTATTCAGAAGCATTGACAGCCCTGTGGAATGGCTGCTGTAGATGTAGCCTGAAAGAGCTGATCTTCCAGCTGAGTGAATGGAGACGCCCTGCAGTCCCGTATCTCTCGCTTTCCTAGAGCTTGATGGAGCAGCTGCTGTAGATAATTTCTTTCCAAGAAAGCAGCTGAGCACAATGTAAGGGAGATTTCAGGGCGCTTAAACAAACAAACAAACAAACTTACCTGGAAGTTCATCTGTGCGCATCCAGATGCTGTGCTTAGGTGACAAGCCCCCTCTGAATTTGCTGGCCAGAACGATTGCCTTCAGTTTGGCGTTTAAAGGGCAAGTTGTTCAGAAAAGAACTGCAGTTCTCATGGGGCCTAACATTTTACTTGGAGAGAAATCATCTCATTACTACACCAATATCTGTGTTTGCACCGTGTAAAATTAGATGATTATTCTTTTGTGCTGTGTCCTTGTAATTTGGTTCTGCCGTCTTAATTTCAAAATAATAAAATTTTAAACAGGCCAGCTATTTTTATTTATACTTGATATAGGCTAGAGGATGGTAACACTTCTTAAATGCACGGTGTGATAAAAGAATAAGGAAGAGGGCTGCAAGGGTTTATGCAGATGGTAGAGGTCTTTTGGCAGCAACTATATGTGATTTGTACAAACATCACAACCTTAAAGATGTGTTAGCAAACAGCAGTGGTAGCAATTGACTTCTTACTTTAAATAAAGAGCTTGGGAAGCCCACTCCCCCGACAAGTGTCTTGCGCAAAGGTTGTCCCACTGATCTTTGTGGCTAATTATCAACGTACAATAGGACGCGGGTGGCGCTGTGGGTTAAACCACAGAGCCTAGGACTTGCCAATCAGAAGGTGGGCGGTTCAAATCCCCGCGACGGGGTGAGCTCCCGTTGCTCGGTCCCAGCTCCTGCCAACCTTGCAGTTTGAAAGCATGTCAAAGTGCAAGTAGATAAATAGGTACCGCTCCGGTGGGAAGGTAAACGGCGTTTCCGTGTGCTGCTCTGGTTCGCCAGAAGCGGCTTAGTCCTGCTGGCCACATGACCCGGAAGCTGTATGCCGGCTCCCTCGGCCAATAAAGCGAGATGAGCGCCGCAACCCCAGAGTCGGTCACGACTGGACCTAATGGTCAGGGGTCCCTTTACCTTTTTATCAACGTACAAACGGCAGACCAACCTGAATCTAGGCCTGGATAGTTTTTAGCTCGGGGGTAGAACTTGAAGGTCCTATGCTGTTGACTAGAAAAGGATATTTGCACCCAGCCTGGCCGATACATAAGCCATGTGGTGATTCTAGGCCACACACCCTTATTCTCTCCTGTGCCTGAAATGTTCTCCAACTGCTTTATACTGTGTAAAAGGCTGGATCCCAGCCTCAGATTCCCAGTTGCAAGCGCTGAGCTCCCTGGCACAGCAAGATGTGCACACAGCCTAAAAAGGTAAAGGTAAAGGACCCCTGTATGGTTAAGTCCACTCAAAGGTGATTATGGGGTTGCGGCTCTCATCTTGCTTTCAGGCTGAGGGAGTCGGCGTTTGTCCGCAGACAGTTTTCCGGGTCATGTGGCCAGCAGGACTAAACCGCTTCTGGTGCAATGGGACACTGTGATGGAAGCCAGAGCGCATGGAAACGCCGTTTACCTTCCCGCCGCAGTGGTACCTATTTATCTACTTGCACTGGTGTGCTTTTGAACTGCTAGGTTGGCAGGAGCAGGGACCAAGCAATGGGAGCTCACCCCGTCGCGGGGATTTGAACTGCTGGCCTTCTGATCGGCAAGCCCAAGAGGCTCAGACCACAGCGCCACCCGCATCTCTAACACAGCCTAACTGTCTTGTGTTGTGGGAGGAGGATGTAAGCAGGTTCACACTGAGCGCCAGGCTGGATGTGATAGAGCAGCTCCGTTTCTTCATGATTGTGCCCGATTCAGGTGTAGAACAGGGTGAGGGTGAAGTCTTACTCAAGCCTCAAAAGGGGTTCCCCTGCCTTGCTTTCCTTTGCTCCCTCAACCTCAGCCACTTTCTTTCAGCCTGGATCTGATACCTGAACGGAAGCTAAGCCTAGAGCAGAAATGATCTGAAGCAGCAAATCATGAGGAATTGAAGGTGGAGTGGAAAGACAGGGCTGTCCTTATGTGACCCTTTTGATGCTGCAGCAAGATTCCCTCATTTCATACGCAAATAGGGCAGATACAGGGCTTTTTTTTTCAGCCGGAACTCACCAGAATTCAGTTCCGGCACCTCTCAGGCGGGCGCCATTGCTGTTATAAGAGAACATGGTGGAAAAACAGCACCAGGCAGATGTATTCATAAGGTGATACAGTAATAATAATAATTTATACCCAGCCACTCTGGGCGGCTTCCAACAAAATATTACAATACAATAGTCTTTGTTGTTGTTGTTGTTTAGTCGTTTAGTCGTGTCCGACTCTTCGTGACCCCCTGGACCGGAGCACACCAGGCACTCCTTTCTTCCACTGCCTCCCGCAGTTTGGTCAGACTCATGCTGGTAGCTTTGAGAACACTGTCCAACCATCTCGTCCTCTGTCATCCCCTTCTCCTTGTGCCCTCCATCTTTCCCAACATCAGGGTCTTTTCCAGGGAGTCTTCTCTTCTCATGAGGTGGCCAAAGTCTTGGAGCCTCAGCTTCAGGATCTGTCCTTCCAGTGAGCACTCATGGGTGATTTCCTTAAGAATGGATAGGTTTGATCTTCTTGCAGTCCATGGGACTCTCAAGAGTCTCCTCCAGCACCAGAATTCAAAAGCATCCATTCTTCGGCGATCAGCCTTCTTGATGGTCCAGCTCTCACTTCCATACATCACTACTGGGAAAGCCATGGCTTTAACTATACGGACCTTTGTTGGCAAGGTGATGTCTCTGCTTTTTAATACAATAGTCAATTAAACATTAAAGCTTCCCTAAACAGGGCTGCCTTCAGATGTCTTCTAAAAGTCTGGTCGTTGTTTTTCTCTTTGACATCTGGTGGGAGGGTGTTCCACAGGGCAGGTGCCACTACCGAGAAGGCCCTCTGCCTGGTTCCCTGTAACTTGGCTTCTCACAGCGAGGGAACCGCCAGTTGCCCCATCATCCCTACTACATTGTCCTTTAGCCTTCTGTTGCATTGAAACTGCCCACTGGCAATACTCTGGGGCATGGGTAGGCAAACTAAGGCCCAGGGGTTGGATCCGGCCCAATCGCCTTCTAAATCTGGCCCACGTACGGTCCGGGAATCAGCGTGTTTATACATGAGTAGAATGTGTCCTTTTATTTAAAATGCATCTCTGGGTTATTTGTGGGGCATAGGAATTCATTCATATATTTTTTTCAAAATATAGCCCGGCCCCCCACAAGGTCTGAGGGACAGTGGTCCGGCCTCCTGCTGAAAAAGTTTGCTGACCGCTGCTCTGGTGATTTGACACTGCATTTACTGGGCATTAAGGGCATGTGCAAACGGCATATTTACTTTGGACTACTCATGTAGTTAACAAATCAGTCATCACCCGTGCACCCAAAATCTAATGGATTAGTCTTCGGACTTGGAGAATACATAATTTATAAACCTGCCTTGTAGAGTGTTTTGTGAAATATGAGCTTTTCTTCTCCTGATTACCCCATCAGATCTCCTTAAGCTTTGGGTGGGTGTGGGGTGCATGATGCGCCATGTCCAAATGACACACATGCTGCTTATACAACCACTCTGTTTTGCTGTATCTGCTGTTAGTGGAACAAGAACACTGCTGAATGGTTGAGAATTCTGCAGTATCATCACACTATTGCTTGTGCAGTTCTAAAGAGATCTCTTTTCCTTCTCTCCATTTATCTAACAAAATTTATGTATCACTGGATTGTAAGAGCAACAGTCACGTGCAAGTAGAACGTAAGTGTGTCGGGGGGATGCTTGGATTGTAGTTACTGGTAAGTGGTATATGAATTGTTTAAATACATAAAACAATAAATACATTTCATTTAAACAATAAATACATTTTATTTTTAAAAAAATCTTATCTCAAAGTGATTTTTGCGTAGACCCACACACAACCTGCTAGTGCTGTTCTTGTTGAATGCAGGTTCCTTTTTTCCACAGCTGGAATGTTCTTCGAAAAAAGTGCTTGCCAATTAAGCCTTGCATTAGTTTTGCCTAAAGCGTTAATGGCACTGGCTTTGTGTGCCTGCCTGAGTTGTCAATGACCATGTTTATTTTATTTTGGTCTTTTTTTGGGGGGGGGGGGAGTGCTCGCTTCCATATTAGGAGAGCTCATATTGTTGGTTTTGCTTGCGTAAAGGATTATCTGGTGTCAATTAATGTTTCTCAGATTACAGCTTTGCACATTTGTTCCTGTCCAGCAGCAACTGATGGGCCTGATAGATATATATCTCTACTTTCCTGAGCGCTAGTCAGGCAAATGCTCAATTTCACAGAGAGGTGAAGTTTAAGCAATGTTGGTTGAAGAGGAGATAATGTCTAAGTAGAATGAAATAAAGAATATATGTGGGGGGGGGGGGAGAGACTGACATTTCCCCCTCTAGCACCAGAACTCCATCTCTTATTAGCAGCCTGCAACCAGCATGGCTGATGGTCAAGGAAAATGGGATTGTAGACCAGGTGCATTCACAGGGCACCAAGTGGATTATCTCTAGCTCATCTTGCCTCTAAAGTAAAAGTAAAGGGACCCCTGACCATTAGGTCCAGTCGTGGCCGACTCTGGGGTTGCGGCGCTCATCTCGCTTTATTGGCCGAGGGAGCCGGCGTACAGCTTCCGGGTCATGTGGCCAGCATGACTAAGGCGCTTCTGGCAAACCAGAGCAGCGCACGGAAACACTGTTTACCTTCCCGCCAGAGTGGTACCTATTTATCTACTTGCACTTTTGACGTGCTTTTGAACTGCTAGGTGGGCAGGAGCTGGGACCGAGCAACGGGAGCTCACCCCATCGTGGGGATTCAAACTGCCAACCTTCTGATCGGCAAGTCCTAGGCTCTGTGGTTTAACCCACAGCACCACATTGCCTCTAGTGAGAAACAAATCTAAAAATTTAAAACTCTACACGAAAACAGCATCTGATACAGCTAAAATACATATTTTTGAATATTTTTGTTTTATTAAGGTGATTTCAGTTAAAAGAAATAAAGTGATACAGAAAAAAAAATAACGAAAAGTGAGAGGGAGAAAAACAATGACAAAGATACATATTAAAGCAAAAAAAATAAAGGCAAAAAAGAGATCAATATTCCCTTACATTCTTGTATAAATTGGTATAGTGTTATTGTCCTAGTGCTTATGTAAATGTTAATAGCCCTACTACATTTTGTATAAATTCATTCCAATTGTTATCGTATTTATCCATACAGAGTCTGTGCCTGTAAGCAGTCTGTTCATAAATTGCCAGTGATGTCATACCGTCAGTCCATTGATTGAAGAGTATCATATTTATTTTTCCAATTCCTCCGTATCAATCTCTTGGCGGCCACCATTAGGGCGCAGAAAATCCATTTCCATTATCCCGTTGATAATTTCTGAAGGGCAGATGTGCAGGCGCTGAAGCTGGTCTCCCAGTGTGTGGTTTCGTATCAGTGGCATTTTGTCCGGCAGGAACCGCTTGGCATTTCCCATTTTTAATTTGGAGAGGCGGGATGGAAATGGCGCACATAGGGAGGATTGCTTGCACCTGTAATGAGCCCCACCCTCTTCACCCCTGAAAACCCTCTTCTCCATTTCACTGCCTGCAAATTGGGTGGCGAAATTGGGACATTTTTGTTCAGCCACATGTGTCTGGCATCCTGTGAGCAGCTTGGGAGGGCCAGGTTTTTTTTTGCCCTGGATGAAGCCTCCAGAGGGGCGCCATGGAGGCTCCTAGCCTGTGTATGTGTGTGTACACAAATGTGCATGGGTGTGTGTGTGTGTACCAAACTGAGTCTTGGACCCAGGTGAAAGAAAGCCTGGTTTCAACCCTGCAATTTGGAGTAGAAAAACAGGCTGGGGGAAGGAGCAATTGTCCCCTATTGACTTCCCAGACACCTGACCTGCTGATAATAATAAGAAGAAGAAGAGGAGGAGGAAGAAGAAGAAGAAGAAGAAGAAGAAGAAGAAGAAGAAGAAGAAGGCATATATAAAAACATAATTGAACATTAAAAAAATTTCCCCAGACAGGGCTGCCTTCAGAGGTGTTGTACAAGTTGCATAGTTACTTTTCGTCTTGGCTCGGGGGTTGCATAACTCCATACCTTCCAAAAAAAATCCAATGAAAATAACAACTAATAATAATAATAAAAATAAAACAACAACAACAACAACTTTATTTATACCCCATCCATCTGGCTGGGTTTCCCCAGCCACTCTGGGCAGCTCCCAACAGAATATTAAAAACATAATAAAAGAGCAAACATTAAAAACTTCCCCAAACAGGACTGCCTTCAGATGTCTTCTAAAAGTCAGAGAGTTGTTTATTTCCTTGACATCTGCTGGGAGGGCGTTCCACAGGGAAGGAGCCACCACTGAGAAGGCCCTTTGCCTAGTTTCCTGTAACCTCACTTCTCGCAGCAAGGGAACCACCAGAAGGCCCTTGGAGCTGGGCCTCAGTGTCCGGGCTGGATGATGGGGGTGGAGACGCTCCTTCCGGGATACAGGACCCGATTTCAATTAAAACATCAATTTGGTGCAGTAAAGTATTGGTGCAGGCATTTGCAAGTAGTACAGTGTTACCTGCTTCTCAAACTTAATCCATTCAGGAAGTCCGTTGCAAAACCAAAGCATGCTTTCCCATAGAAAGTAATGCAAAACGAGTTCTACCACATGTGGTGGACATGCAGGAAAGTAAAAGGCTTTTGGGAATTGATCTACAATGAGCTTAAAAGAATTTTTAAATATACTTTTCCCAAAAAGCCTGAAGCTTTCCTGCTAGGAATAGTTGGCAAGGAAATTAAAAAAGAGGATAAAAATCTGTTTCTATATGCCACAACGGCCGCTAGAAATATGTTGGCCCAAAGCTGGAAAACAGAATTAATACCTACTATAGACGACTGGCAGAACAAGATGATAAATTATGTTGAACTAGCTAGAATAACAGGAAGACTAAGAGACCAGGATGACCAGAAGTTTCATGAAAATTGGAATAAATATCTGACGTATATAAGAGATAAGTATAGAACTTTGAGGACTCTGGCAGGGTTAGAATAACTCTAACAGTGTTTGGCAAATATGTAAAAGAGATAAAACATGTAACTTTAGAAATTATCTGATACTTATCAATAAAGTGAAGGGAAGTCCGAGGCTCGGCGGAGCCTATAAATAATTGTGTACTATATATATGATTTTTGTAACAGCTATGTTATATGCAACTTATGTAATCTAGACTGTATATATGTATAATCAATGAAAATTAATAAAAATGTATTAAAAAAAAAGAAAGTAATGCAAAACGAATTAATCCATTCCAGACTTTTAAAAACAACCCCTAATACAGTAATTTAACATGAATTTTACTATCTAACAAGAACATTGATCCATAAAATAAAAGCAATAATCAATGTACTGTACTATAAAAGAAATAAGACAGTATTGTAGATGATAAACATGAAAATTTATTTTTTTTCTTCCCTGCACTGATGATAGTCATTGTTTGGATGGGGGTCTTTTATCCATTTCTGCAGTCACGCATACAGTCAGTAGCTGAACTGGGTTCCACACAGTCACAAAAACAAATGAACCAAAAAAGCCTCAAAAACAAAAACGCAAAATAAATAGCAATAACAAAAGCACCGAACTTAATCCGTTCCGGAAGTCCGTTTGACTTCTGAAATGTTCGAAAACCAAGGCACAGCTTCTGATTGGTGCAGGCGCCCCGGAAAAAAATACGACAACTGCATCAGATGTTCACCTTCCAAAAAATGTTTGAAAACTGGAACCCTACTTGTGGGTTTTCGGAGTTTGAGAACCAAAGCGTTTGAGAACCAAGGCGTTTCAGAACCAAGGTACCACGGTATATTGCTTTCCCTAAGACTCTGTAAGTGAGCCTTCCCCCAGCCCAGTGACTTCCAGGTGTTTTGGACTGCAACTGCTGACTAGAGCTGATGGGGACCTGCAGTCCCTTAATTTAACGTAGGAGGACACCAGTTTGCAGAAGGCAGGGGTGGTCATGCAAACCCATGTCCCTCTTTCAAATCCTGACCCATGAATTCCACTTGGCTGGCTTTGAGCAATCCAGGTAGCTTCTGCCTCAAGTCTCCTGCCTGCAGTGTGTATATGACGACAATGACAACAACAACAATTTTATTATTTATACCCCGCCCGTCTGGCTGGGTTTCCCCAGCCATGCTGGGCAGCTTCCAGCACATATAAAAACATAATAAAACTTAAAAAATGCTGGTGATGATGGCGACATTTCAGGGCTATTAAGATGCTTGCTAAAATAACAATGCTACACATAGATAATATTCAGCAACTGTACAGTGTACAGTGTACTGTACAGCAACTGATTTTATAATGAAATGATTTTAGAATGTTGTATCATTTTACTGTTGTTAGCTGCTCTGAGCCCGGCTTCGGCTGGGGAGGGCGGGATATAAATAAATTATTATTATTAGTTATTTATGTTCGTAATAAAAATTATTTTAAGCCCTTTGAACATTGGAATGGCTTATACTAATGCTAAGTAAATGATGAAAGTGTGCTGATTTACTTCTTCCATTCCATTAAGTCATCCCAAGTCTCGCAGGTTACAATATTTTTCTCCTGGTTGTTAAAGAAGAGGTTTCGATCCCTGTTGGAGTAGCTGAAACTGCTAGCTCTATAGCAATTCAAAATAATTAGACCAGCCTCTGGCTCTTTAGTTTTGAAGTACAGAAATAACTTAGAAGGTTTTCTTGCCTCATTTCTTTGCGTCTGTAGCACACCAAGGTAAAGGGTTTCAAGGTGGTGATTTTTCTTCCGCAAGCATGAAATCAGCTGTGATTGTTCTCATTTAGGAAATGTGTCCATTCCAACGAACTTTGCCTGTTTGCTTAATATTCCCAATTTTTGGCAAATGCTTTTTGTTGAGATCAATCAATATTCAGCTGTAAAATCTTCCCACCTGTTTTAATAAGGCTTTAATGCTTCTTTAATGAAAGGACAGAATGATGTGGGAGATGAACATCTCAAGAAATTCTCCCCTTTTCATCTTTTAAAAAGCAGGTGTTTATTGATATTTATTTATGTGTAGAATTGGCAGTCTTCCAAACTTCGCAAGACATATTGATGTTCCTTGCCGACATAAGCAGTTTTTCATAAAAAAAGAAAAATTGTGAGACAGTTGCCCTATATTTGTCTTGTATATGAGCAAATTCCCCACCTCAAACTGGTGTTCAGGTAAAGCAAAGCATTAATCAGAACATTAATAATAATAATAATAATAATAATAATAATAATAATAGTAGCAGTAGTAAATATAGCAGAATAAAATACAGAAACACAAGAACAATAAATCTTTTAAACAGACTCTGAAACAATAAAACTGTCCGTACAAGCTCTAAAAACAAGGAAACAATTTCATCAGATGTAAAAGTGAGCTTTCACAAATGACTGGGTCACAACTTAGGGAAAGCCTTCCTTAAGCAAACATGTCTTGATTCTGGTTTCTAGAATAGGTGGTACTCTGAGCAGTTCTCCATAATAGTGGGCAAGGCCGTCCATTAGATATCCTGGTCCCAAGTTGCTCAGGGCTTTGAATGCTAAAAGCAGAACCTTGAACGATGCCCAGAAGCGTACTGGCAGTCATTGAGACCAGTTCACATAGACCTGTTGAGATTACACAGGACCTGGGGCCGTCCATCTGTCTTGTCTGGCGTCCCCATAAACCCCTCTGACTCTGTCCTGAGCCCTGCCTTGATCCCTGATTCTTCCCAATTATCCCCCGGGTCTCGAGAGCAAAGGTGGTAGTGGACCCAACAGGAACCTCAGAGTTGTTGTTGGGTGGCCCAATTGGCTGCCAAGCCGTTGTGTTGCCAGGTGTGAAGTTGGGAAGAAGGGTCTATTCAGGCAGTGACCCAGTTGCAAGCAACGGTTGAGCTGAGGACCAAGTAGAATGGGAGTTTGAGTGACAATGTGTTTGTGCCTCTGTTTCAGTCTTTTCTGAACATTTGCTCAGTTAACAGATACCTTTTTAGCTCATTAATTAATTTCCAGTTCGTTTTCTCCTGCACTGCAGTTCCCTGGCTCAGCTCCTGCTCTGACTTTGGCCTCCGTGCCTGGTGGTGGTAATGGGCTGATGTTTGTAACAAATTTCTTTACTGGTTACTTCCTAACATACAAGTCAAGTCCAGGATGTACACCATATACAATCCTTAAGCAAGGTATATAACCTATTTAATTAAATCCAATGCAGATATATTTCTTCCTTTCTTAATACATTCTTGTTTGAGTTCATATATTACACAGTCCTCGGATGTGGTTAAGGAAAGCTCCCCGGAAGAAATATATCTGGAAATCTGCATTCAATTTTCTGTATCTTTCACTATTTCCCTTGCATTTTGCTTGCTTTCTCTCCCCCACTATTTGTAAGACCTCGTTGGACAGCCACTTTGCTTTTTTGCATTTCCTTTTCATTGGGATGGTTTTCATTGCTGCCTCCCGTATAATGTTACAAGCCTCCATCCATAGTTCTTCAGGCACTCTGTCCACCAAATCTAAATCCTTAAACCTGCTCCTCACTTCCACTGTGTATTCATAAGGGATTTGATTTAGATTGTATCTTACTGGCCCAGTGGTTTTTCCTACTTTCTTCAGTTTAAGCTTCAATTTTGCTATAAGAAGCTGATGATCTGAGCCACAGTCAGCTCCAGGTCTTGTTTTTGCTGACTGTATAGAGCTTCTCCATCTTTGGCTGCAGAGAATATAATCAATCTGATTTCGATGCTGCCCATCTGGTGATGTCCATGTGTAGAGTCGTTTTTTGTGTTGTTGGAAAAGCGTGTTTGTGATGAGCAGCTGGACCCTAGATGGTATTAATGAGCAAGATGGCTGCCCAGCACTGCTTGGTTGAGAAATCCCTCTCCACCTGAGCACCATTGACACAGGTGGCACTGTGGTCTAAACCACTGAGCCTCTTGGGCTTGCCAGTCAGAAGGTCAGTGGTTCAAATCTGCGTGAAAGGGTAAGCTCCCATAGCTCTGTCCCAGCTTCTGCCGACCTAGCAGTTCGGAAGCACACCAGTGCAAGTAGATAACTAGGTACCGCTCTGGCGGGAAGGTAAATGGCATTTCCGTGCACTCTAGCACTTGTCACGGTGTCCCGTTGTGCCTTCTCGGTAGTGGCACCCTCCCTGTGGAACACCCTCCCTTCAAGATGTCAAGGAAATAAGCAACTATCTGACTTTTAGAAGACATCTGAAGGCAGGCCTGTATCGGGAAGTTTTTAATGTTTGATGTTTTAGTATATTCTGATATAGGATGTGAGCTGCCCAGAGTGGCTGGGGAATAAATATTATTATTATTATTATTATTATTATTATTATTATTTAATTAATTTAATTAGTGGTCTAGTCATGCTGGCCACATGACCCGGAAAGCTGCCTGTGGACTCCCTCGGCCTTAAGTGAGATGAGCACCGCACCCCATAGTCGCCTTTGACTGGCTTTAACCATCCAGGGGTTCCTTACCTTTACCTTTTTACCTTACCATTGATTAGAAGAGGATTGTATACTTTTGATAATATCAACACCATTTTCTGGACTCTAGTGAGATTCCATCTTTTGAAAGCACCATAAGAACTTTATTAGTTGTTGAGTTGGGAGTAGAAATCATGCCTTAAAATGTTGGGACTGAGAGAGGTAGAAATTCAGATAATTCTACTGTATGCAGGCAATCCAGATCTTTTAGTACCCGTGTTTCCTTTCCAAAGATGTTAAATGCTTAAAGGTACACATCCAGCTACCTGCTTCCCTATGGCAAATGGATTGCCTTAGGGTGAAAGTAAACTGTTGCACTTGGAAGTCTTTTAAATTACCCCCAGATAGCCTCCAGACACATTACAAAGAACAATCCTTTGCTTGTTTTTAAGATCTAGAGCTAGTAAAAATTAATACCTGCATGCAACTTTCATCATAGATATCTGAGTATCTAATCTTTAGAGTTAGTACCTTTCCAGACACTTGTTTTTGGGGAGGATAACATGACTTACCTCTTAACACTGTCCTAGTCCTAATGGTGTAGATCAATGTCCATTAAATGGGAGGAAGCAGAGGTGTGTGTGTGTTGTCTGGGGGGTGGGGAAGGCTAAGCACACATTGTCTGATGTAAAAAAGGAAACAAATTGGGAGGCTATTTTAAAATTGCAAAAAGAGGCTGGGCAAGGACTTGTGGCATTGGTGACTGTCCCCCTGCAGGAAAACATTGCAGAAGTTTCCGGTTCTGGGTTGAGAATCACCTTTTGCCAGTAACAGCAGTTACCAGTGCTGGGCTCTGGGAAACTTAAGTTACTGACTACGGCTGGGTTCAGGTGTGATGCTGAACTATATTTAAATATAATGCACACAAACTCTGTGCTCATGCATGTCTGTCTCCTTCAGTGCAGCCATGACCAAGAAATCAAATGTTTTCACTTCTGTTTTTCAACTTAGCATGGTTTGTTATACATAAACCAAGAACTATGGCTAGCCTCAACTATGACTTAGTGTAGACTTTCCCAACCAGCAATTTCAACGGTCAAGGGTGATACATTATGTTATGGTTTCTTTATATACTGCTTTTTGGCCTTAAATTTTTCAAAGCAATCCTACAAAAGAAAAGAAAGCAATAAAACGGGTGATGGGAATTCCTGTCATATTTGCAGGCAGCACACAAAACTGGGAAGGATAGTTCACATCTCAGAAGAAAAGAATGAAATTCAAATGAGCTGGATGGATTGGAAAATTGGGCTGAAACTAACACAATGAAATTCAACTGAGACTAATGCAAAGTTCATTACTTGTATGGGCAGAGGGAGGGAAATACTCAGGCATAGGATGGGGGACAACTGGCTTGGCATTGTGGTCTAAACCACTGAGCCTCTTGGGCTTGCTGATTGGAAGATTGGCGGTTCAAATCTACATGATGGTGAGACCTCTCATTGCTCTGCCCCAGCTTCTGCCAACCTAGCAGTTCGAAAACATGCCAGGGCAAGTAGATAAATAGGTACCACTGTGGCAGGAAGGTAAACAATGTTTCCGTGCGCTCCGGATTCCATCGCGGTGTTCTTTTGCACCAGAAGCGGTTTAGTCCTGCTGGCCACATGACCCGGAAAGCTATCTGTGGACAAAGGCCGGCTCACTCAGCCTGAAAGTGAGATGAGTGCTGCAACCCCATAGTCGCCTTTGACTGAACTTAACCGTCCAGGGGTCCTTTACCTATTTGAAAAGGCTCTCAAAATTCCAGTTAGTCAGAAGCAGAGCACGAGTTAGCATTGATGCAACTGCATAAAAAAAGGTCTAATGAGATTTTAGGCTCCATGAATAGGACCATAGTTTCCAAGTCACTGGAAGTAATAGATCCCCTTTATTCTTCACCGGTCCAATTTTCTCTGGAGTGCTGTGTCTAGTTCTGGGTGCTGCACTTTAACAAAGATATAGACAAATTGGAATTGATTCAGAGGAGGGCAACTGAGATGGTCAGCGATATGGAAAACCGGCCCTATGAGGAAAGGTTGAAGGATTTAGGATATTTAGCTTGGAGGAGAGAAAATAGAGGACTAACATATAACACTTTTCAAATCTCTGAAGGGCTATAATGTAGAAACGGACAAAAGTTTATCCTCTGCAGCTTGAAAGTCAAGACTAGATGTAATAGGCTTAAATATCAGAGAGTAGATTTGGCTTGAATATTAGGAGCAACTTATTGATGAGAAAGAGCAGTTTGAAAATGGAATCAATTGGCTAGGAAGGTGTTGGGATCTCCCTAACTGGAGGTCTCCATACAGAAGATGCTCTCTCTTGTTATGGATTTCCTGTACTGAGGTTACTGGGGTTAGACTAGATCAACCTTCACCAACTTGGTGTCGTCCAGATGGTTTGGACTCCCAACTCCCATCAGCCCCAGCCATCACTGTTGTTTCAGAGTTGAGAACAAAGAGAGGGGGATACATCATTCAGAAGTCATCTGCTTGTGTGAACAATGTTAGTGTGGGAGCCCTAAACTCAGGGGTTTTTTTTGGTTTTTTTGCTGCAGTATGCTAGGAATCTTTAGCATACTTCCTGTATTCTGGCACCAGCAGCTGTTTTGTGTGTGTGTGTGTGTGTGTGTGTGTGTGTGTGTGTTCGTGTTCCATGTGAATGGAGACCAATGCCAGTACAGAGTCTTGCCCATAGGATCACATCCACGGGCAAAAATAATATTTCTATATTTAAATTGTTAACCTACCACATCTTATGCTCATTAGATTGTCTCCAAACAAAAGCCTAGCTATAAAAGATGAACTATCATGGATCAGAGGTGTAACATGAAGAAATTATGCAGAGGATAATTAAGTCTTTCTAGACACAATTATTACTTTGGCAGCATGTGTGAAAGACTTGGAGTAACCTATTGATTCTAATTATTAAAACTAACTGAATCACCGAATTTTTCTAAAATTGGCTTCTGGTAATGGGGATTAATATGAAATTAAGCCATTATATTGAAAAGAAAAGAAATTGACCCCCATCCGTGCATAGCATCAGAATCTTTGATTTTTAAAAATCACTGTTGAATTTTTATCACTTGTAGTCACTTGTAGCATTGAGGACTTTGCTAGAAATGATAGTCAGATCTGTGAACTAATGAGATTTAGGTGATTTTTGATGGTGGTAGGATTTGGGAACGATACTTTCACTGTATCGTTTGACAACGAGGCAGATCAGCTCTCTTCAAATTTCAGACAATGCCTTGTTAGGAGTGTTCCAACAGACCTTACGTTTTTATAAGGCTTATAAATAGCTGTTTGTTTCACCACCTGTGGCAAGAAAATATTCCTCCAATCTCACCTTTCCTTAAAAAAAAATAATGTGTGTGTGTGTTCATTGACTGGGGAAGCTTCTGAACCCTTTAAGATTATTTGATCCACTCTTATGGCCTTAAGTCATGTGCATCTCTCTATGTGTAGATCTGCATCCTGCCCCTTATATATAAGACCTGTAGTCTCACAAGACTATACAACATGATTCCAGGAGTTCTGAAAAGCATCATTGGAAGTGAGGTGTTTGGGGTGAGAAGCTGATAGACAATCCAGAACTGTTGCAGTGGAATTTGACAAGAGAAGGAATAACATTATTTGAAACTTAACTCTTACGTTAAGTACTGAAGCAAACCATCTCCCTGTTTTACTGTGAGAGCATTAGCTTTGTGCTAAGTAGTAAAAATGCAGTGAAACCTGTGTGGATAAAGGTGTCAAGTCTTATTCATGAGTCTTTCAGATCTTGAAGAAGAAACACATTACCATCCCTTTTTTCTCCCAAAGTACATACAGTGGTACCTCGGGTTACATACGCTTCAGGTTACATACGCTTCAGGTTACAGACTCTGCTAACCCAGAAATAGTACCTCGGGTTAAGAACTTTGCTTCAGGATGAGAACAGAAATTGTGCTCCGGCGGCTCGGCAGCAGCGGGAGGCCCCATTAGCTAAAGTGGTGCTTCAGGTTAAGAACAGTTTCAGGTTAAGAACGGACCTCTGGAACGAATTAAGTACTTAACCCAAGGTACCACTGTACAGTCATACCTCGAGCTGAATGCGCTTCGGGTTGAGCGCGTTCGAGTTGCGCTCCGCGGCAACCCGGAAATAACGGAGTGCGTTACTTCCGGGTTTCGCCGCTTGCGCATGCGCAGATGCTGAAAATGACGTCATGCGCGGAAGCGGGGAAACGTGGCGTGCCGTCGCACCGTCCCATCTTGCGTTCTGTTTGGGATGCGAACGGGACTCCGGAATGGATCCCATTCACATCCTGAGGTACCACTGTACATAAGTACGAAATTTTAAATGGAACCAAGAGCTCTTATTTAGAGGATGGATTCTCATTCTAGTCTCGTGTTGGGTCATAGCGGCAGGTGGGGTTGTGGGTGAGGAAGAGGAAGAAGGGAGGCAAGAGGAACCATGGGGATTGCATAGTGGAAGGTGAGAATGTCACACAGGCAGCTCATGGGGCAGGAAACATTTAATAATCTAGGGAGAAGTACATTTTTTAAAAAAGTTGCTTGGAAAAGACAGTCTGTTTTAGAGTTGCAAAATGAATCTGCCAGCTCCCAGACTCTCTAGAAAGGCCTGCTGTGGAAATAAGGGAGTGCTTTACCAGGCTATGCTATGATGTGTGGGTGGCCTGAGTCATGGTGACTTGTCCAAAGCCAACCTAGAGAGCTTTGTGGCTGAATCAGGATTTGAACCCAGATCTTCCAGATCTAATATGCTACTTCACAGTCCTCTTGTGTGAAGAGGGACAGAGTAGACTATTTTCAGGCTTGAATGTTGCGGGAAAGGGTAGAGAGGGCTTGGGGTTTGTTTCTCTGTGCTTTACTTCATTGTCTTCCCATCTTCTGATGCATATTTAGCGACCAAACCTTCAGGACAGGCATTGTATATTTTATGTTTGTGGAATGTAACGTTACTTCTCCTAAATCCTTGGAATAGGCTGCAGGATTGCTGAACTGACCATCCCATAGACACTACTTCCATTCATTGTATCTGTGTGACAAAATAGGCTCCAACTTGGTCTAGTGTGTAATTATAAATACCCAATCACCATGAAATTTGCTTTTAATTATTAAATCTAGAGATGGAAAACTCTCTAATGCAGTTAATAATTCTTCCTATACAGTACTTCTAATTTCTATTAGAAATGGGCCCTCTCAAACAAAATTGTAGCACTAATAATACTTTATTTATATATAGTCCGAAAAGTACCTGGTATGGTATACAGCATAATCAGGAAATTATATAATATAAATCAATAAAAAGTGCAAATGCAACTAGCAGTCCATTTCTGAAAGCAATAACAAGGAACATAAAATGTGGCTAACACTTAAAAACAAAGCAACAACTCAACAGCGGCAAGGGTAAAAGATGTTACACATTTAAAAAGTGGAAGCAATAAAATGGGATGTTTTAGCGTTTTAAATGCCTGCTGAAATAAAGGGTCTTCAACTGCTTTATCTGCGCATAACTTACCCTAATTGGAATTTTACAAAATTATACTTAGGCTGTTGTTGTTTTTTGGTTACCTCTTTACAACTCAGACGCTTTGTAAAACTAAAGCGTGGAGTGATGGGTGTTTAGCTGCACAGCTGTGATTCCAGGCAAAAAAATGTGGTCCAATTTAAGCTGGAGGACCAAATGGTATGAGATCCAACGGAAGATGGCTGTTGGTCATTCAGAGGCTGCAGGACCTTGGATAGCTCCAAGTCTGTTATCTTGCCTGTGTTCTTATATACTTCCCTAAGCCCCACATCATCAGACTGTGGGTTGCCTCTTAGGGCTTGGAACCTGGCACTTCTTTGGGGAGGGGGCGGGCTCCAATGTTCGGGGTTGTTTGTATGATGGGCCTCTGTTTGATAGCTTGGACATGCAGGAGATACCAGCTAGGGATGCTTGAGGAATTCTGACGTGAACAGGCCTGATCCCCAAATCCTGAATTTCACACTTCTCCAGATTTTGTAGTGCAGTGAAACGGCCAACCTCAGATAGTGGATTTGGAGCAGTATTTGATGATCTCCTTCTTTTGCTGTTGTCGTTTAGTCATGTCCAACTATTCGTGACCCCCTGGACCAGAGCACGCCATGCACTCCTGTTTTCCACTGCCTCCCGCAGTTTGGTCAAACTCATGCTGGTAGCTTCAAGAACACTGTCCCACCATCTCGTCCTCTTTCGTCCCCTTCTCCTTGTGCCCTCCATGTTTCCCAACATCAGGGTCTTTTCCAGGGAGTCTTCTCTTCTCATGAGGTGGCCAAAGTCTTGGAGCCTCAGCTTCAGGATCTGTCCTTCCAGTGAGCACTCATGGGTGATTTCCTTCAGAATGGATAGGTTTGATCTTCTTGCAGTCCATGGGACTCTCAAGAGTCTCCTCCAGCACCAGAATTCAAAAGCATCCATTCTTCGGCAATCAACTTTCTTTATGGATCTCCTTCTACCGGTCCACAATAGAAAGTGTCCTTTCATACTGCGTCATGGTGTGGTGCGCTGGTTAGACATCAGTGGATAGGAAGTGCCTACAGAGGGTGGTGAATACAGCACAAGATATTATGGGTTGTCCTGTGAATCCGCTGGATGACATCGCGGAAAAACGTTGCCTCCGGAGAGTGAGGAAAATTCTGAGGGATGATTCACATCGTGGCCGGCACTTTCTTGCTCTCCTGCCCCCGGGCAGAAGATATAGAAACATGATTAGTTGCACCAACAGGGTAAAGAATAGCTTCTATCCGTGGGCTGTTAGGCTGTTGAATGAAAAGATAACAACAGGGCAACTGTCTTTTGGGTTTGGTGTGTGTGCGTCAGTAAACGAGGGGAATTAAGACTAAGAGAGCTGAGTGGGGGGTGCTCGCGTAATCTCACTGTATACAAGTTGTACAAGTGACAATAAAGTATTACAATTTCAATTTCAGTATGGTGCACAGCAAAACTGAAGACAGATTTAACCAATGGAGCATGGTTTGGCCAGGGATCTCCCCACTGAAATGAACCAGAGTTGTGCAAGAGTAGGAAATCGTCCTGGTGGATTGTGAAAGAGAAGGATTGGCATTTATTTTCTTCTTTGCACAGCCCTGGTGTGAGGCTCTGAGAATCAGCTATGCCGCACTCCCTTGTAACTCTTCCCAAATGGTCTAAAAGCGGAGAGGCAACCGAACCTCTCTTACTGCCTTACGGATGCTCCTGGATCGCCCATCTGCAGCTCTTGGTGATTGCTGAGCAAAGCTTCCATTTTATCACGCACAGCCTTTGAAGCGCACTATTGTTCAGCGAGGCGAGAGCATCCGAGTGTGACACCGCTGCCACTTAATAGCGTGGAAAGTTCAAGTTGAGTGTTTACAGTGCTTCCTCTCCCCTTTCTCAAGGCATATCCTTCATATCCACACCCCCACCTCCTCTCACCCCCTTTGACTGACACACGGGCCATTGAGTGATGGCGCGACCTCTGTTGTGTTGCTATTTACACTTCGTCTGAAGTAATTTCCTTTGCCGGCGACTGCTTTCACAGCAGAGATGTGATAGGAGAGTCACCAAGTTGCGGTGGACAGGTTGCTGGAGGTTGCCCAACAGTAGGGGCCTCTTAGGATTGTCGTGCTGGAATTCTTGCTCCTCTGGGTATTTGGCAGTTTCTAAGCAAACATAGCACTGGAGCACTTCTACTGTATGTCTTCTAGGTCTGTCTTTTCTATTATATTCAGTCTTGCTCTGTTTTTAGTTGTGTGTTGTCTGTCCATTCCTATTGTGTCTGCGGTGCAAAGCTGCTGTAATAAAATAAGTTTCTTTTTAAAATTTTTAAAATTTTTATTAGCAATTTCAACATAACAAATTATCAAACCATATAATCACATACTGTATTTTTTGCACCATAACACTCACTTTTTTCCTCTTAGAAAGTAAGGGGAAATGTCTGTGCGTGTTATGGAGTGAATGCCTGCGGGTGGGATCTGCTGCAGTCGTGAGCAGAGGATCCATGGTTCCCCTTCCTTCCCTCCTCCGTGGTTACAAAGCATGGATCCACATGGATCCTCAGGATTTTTGCATTGGGCTACTCCAAACTCACTGTCAGATCACATGTCTGTGGCCACAGCATGAACCACAAAAATCATATATCCACTATTTCGTTTAGAATATTTTTTTTCTTGTTTTCCTCCTCTAAAAACTATGTGCGTGTTATGGTCTGGTGCGTGTTATAGAGTGAAAAATACGGTACATTATTTTCCCCCTCCCCCCTCCCTCCCCCACCAAAGACTTCCCTCAGCTCCTCTCTCTGATTTCTCAGCACATATTATTCTCTGCATGTTACAAAATTTTACATATCCTTGCATTATCTATCTAACATGTTATCAACCAATAAATATGTGTATGTTTATTCAAAACCTGCCAAGGAGTCCAGTTTATTTTGTTGTCTTTTTAGATAATTTGTAAAAAGCTCCCATTCCTCCGTAAAGCCACAGTTGTCCTTCTCCCGCAATTTGTATGTCAGTTTAGTCATCTCTGCATAACTCATCAATTTTTCTTGCCACTGTTCTTTCGTTGGGATTTCCTCATTCTTCCATCCTTGTGCTATCAAGACTCTTGCTGCTGTTGTAGCATACATAAATAAATTCTTTGTTTCTCTTGGCAGGTCTTGTCCTACAATCCCTAACAAAAATGCTTCTTGGTTTTTTTACAAATGTCATTTTAAACATTTTTTTTTTCAGTTCATTGTATATCATTTCCCAATAATTTTTAAGTAAAAAAATAAGTTTCAAGCCTGCATCTGCTTTGGTGGGCTCTTGCCACAATAAAATGTGTTCAGACTTTAAGGTGTCCCAAGTTTATTTGCTGTGTTTGTTGCATTGAACTGGCACAGCCCCTCTCCTAGATTTTACTTGTCTTTCTGACTTGTTTCTTCTCCCTGCCTCTCCAGTGCCAATGTGAAGTTGAACTATGTATTTGACTAGGTAGAAGTGTTGCAGAAACTATTTCAGGCAGACCCCGTTTGGTGCAAACATAAGCAATGTAATAATCAGTTACTGAACTGAGAAACAAATGTTTCCAGTGCCACTGCTTGTCCACACTTATAAAACAAAAATGATTTTGTAAATCCCGCTTTTAAATGGGTGACGTGGTCGCATGGTCTAGTGAAACCAGTGCAGCAGATGAACTTAGCATCTAAAGACCTGTATGGAATGAGCAAGGAATAGATTTGGATCTCCTAGTGCAGTCCTCTTCAACCTTGGACTACAACTCCCATCATTCACGAGCTGGCTACGGATGATGAGAGTTGTAGTCCATCAACGTCTGGGGACCCAAGTTTGAAGATCACCCTGCTGTAGATCACTTGGTGATTTGCAGTAGGTGGTTAAAGTAGGGGTGGCTAACCTTTTTGGGGCTAAAGACTACATTGACCCCAAGATCTACCCTTCTGGGGGCTGCGTGGTCAAAGTGGGCATAGCCAAAATGTGAAAGTGGGTGTTGCCATTTTGGGGTGGGCTTAGAAGATGGCATATTTGGAGTTGGGAGATTGAGAGCTCAAAAACAGGGGGGCGGGGTGAAGGGAGGAGTAGAACAAGTGAACTCAAGCGCCAGTTCTTATAATGACTACTTTGGATGGGAACAGTGGAAAGCCACTGTACCGCAGTCTGGCAGTCCTGCCTCTCAGGTTGCAATGGCTGCCAATAGATCAGTTCTGGAACCAAATGGAAATGAGTTTGAATTACAATAGTCGAGGTACGTCTCCAGGTCTTCACGCATCCTGGCCAGCACAGCAAATAAGTGGTCTGATTACATAGTACTTGTAAATATTACCTGCTGAGGCTTGCAGCAAGAGGACATCCCTGCTGTGTTGCCTGTCATTGTACCCTGGTGGTGTGCTGAACCCCTCTCCAACCTCGTAGCCGCTTGCTGGAATTGCTGGGTGTTCATAATTCTCAGACTTGGTTCACTGTCTCTATTATGGTAGATTTCTTTTTCTTTTTCTACTTTATTTTCAACGCAAAATTTCAACATAAAAGATAAACAAAATAATACATTAGTCAAAAAATCAAAGAAAAAAAAAGAACAACCACAAAAACGTAAACAAACATACATATACTTTGACTCCCTCCCATCCTTTTGAGACTTCAACTTTTCATTTTATCTTAATTGTTGTGTTATATATATATTATGTTATTTCTAGCTTTAGACCTTTTATAACCATTTCTTCATTCCCTTGACCTTGCAAACTTCATTTATTACATACCGATATGTTAATTCCAGAACAATGTTTATTCATATACTCTTTAACACAATCCCATTATTTTATTAATTGTTTATCTGATAGTCCTCTTAAGACTGCCATTAACCTTGCCAAATCTATGTATTATGGTAGATTTCATGAGCCCATGAGCTGAGGATTGGAGGTCCACCATGCAGACCTATGACAATGGCACTTTGTACTTTATGCAAATTTTAGCTTTCCTGGAATCTCATCTCAAGAAATTTGGGGGAATTGTAATTGCGGGTGGATAGGAGTTTCTTAACTGTCAATTTTGGGAGGAGGGGGCGTGACTGTTAAATTACTTTAACATTGCGTTTGTAGCATAGAAGTATCCATGATATTTCTCTTTGAAGTCATTCCTTTTTAAATCAAAAGACTCTTATCTTCGGCATTAAAAGATTCTATCTGCGAAGCACTCTGGTGGACAATTTTAAATTCACACCAGTCAGAAAATTGAGACTTATGGTCCCTGCGGCAAAAGTAACGGCCACAGTGCATACATATATTACGGTGTAAACTTAATGGCTCTATAAATACAGTAGCAAAAAAATACTGCAGACGGGCAGGAGTGCCAAGCTGCAAATGCTGAGAGGACCATAAACTTGGCATGTGTGACATGTAAATCTTCGGCTGCAACGTTGTGTGGCGGATGAGGCTCACAGACAGGGAACACACATTCTTCCAGTTGCGAGGGGAGGCTTTTGCAAATATTCATTGATTTGGACTGTTGGAGTCTCTTTCCCGGCCATCCTCTCCACCCCCAGGTTCTTTGCTTTTTTATAGCCTCCATCTTCTCCCTCTTTAAAGGTAAAGGTAAAGGTACCCCTGCCCATACGGGCCAGTCGTGTCCGACTCTAGGGTTGTGCGCTCATCTCACTTAAGAGGCCGGGAGCCAGCGCTGTCCGGAGACACTTCCGGGTCACGTGGCCAGCGTGACGAAGCTGCTCTGGCGAGCCAGCACCAGTGCAGCACACGGAAACGCAGTTTACCTTCCTGCTATAAAGCGGTACCTATTTATCTACTTGCACTTAAGGGTGCTTTTGAACTGCTAGGTGGGCAGGAGCTGGGACCGAAAGACGGGAGCTCACCCCGCCGCGGGGATTCGAACCGCCAACCATGCGATCGGCAAGTCCTAGGCGCTGAGGTTTTACCCACAGCGCCACCCGCGTCCCATTCTCCCTCTTTAGAGAGCCGCTGATACAATGCTAACTTAGAAGTGGCAGGAAAGCTAATTAATTAAGCACTAATTGTTAAGCCAATTGTTGCTAGGCTTAACATTTGACTTGTTTACTATCTGGAAATAAAAAGGAAAAGAACTAATGATCTAACAAATTGCTCATCGCTCATAAATGTCCACATTGTTGTATGTATGAATGATTATTTTATGAAGTAAGCATCTTTTTTTTCTTTTCCTTTTAAAGGCAATCCAGAAGTGGTGTAAATGTGATGGGTATGATGTTTAAAATTGTCTAGGTAGCCGTGGAGACAAATGGTATGCCTAATAAAGCTTAATGACTGATTTTTCCCTCCACTAATCAGAGCTAAGAATGTGCTTCATTAAGATAATTAACTGAGTAGTTGCTTAACTGTCAGTCCTAGACACAAATTCCCAGGTTCCTTGCTTTTCTCTAAATAAAAGCCAGAGAAAAGAAAGATCCTGGCTCCCTTTAATCATCTTTATTAGTAAGATGATGGGCAAAAGGGTTATTAATTTTTTTAAAAGGCAGCTCTCTGCCTGGAGCTGCGACATTTCAGATAGTACGGAACATACTGTTGGTGTGCACGCCAGAAAGAATATTTTAGTTCATATGTTGGTCTGGCAACAGAGAGATAAATTTGAAGCTAGCTTTTTGTTATGAAGAGCTGAGCTGCATCCAGCCAGACATTTAACACAAGTAGGCCATCAAACCTCGGCACTTCCTCAGTGCTGCCAAAGCTTGAACTATAGAGCAGAGCCCAAAGCTCCACTCAGGATGCTCCCTGGATAGTTGGTTTAAATGTATCTGGAAATCTGCATCTTTATGTGATTTGATTATTTGTTCCACTTGTACATTCTCCGCCCCTCCCCAAGCTCAGGGTGGCATAGATACTCTTCTGACTTTTTAACCATAGTTCTAGTTACAGGTGTTGGTCTGCCGTAAAAACAAAATAAAAATATATAATATAATATAAATATCTGAAGAAGAAGTGGTATCTAAATAAGTGTGCATGCACACGAAAGCTCATACCAATAACAAACTTAATTGGTCTCTAAGGTGCTTCTGGAAGGATTTTTTTTATTTTGTTTCTTTTCACCATAGTTAGCCAATTTGGGGATCATTCTGTTTGCTTGAGAGCTCAACTCCCTTCCGCGGTGTGTTGCATCTATGTTGCAGCCATGTTTATCACTTCCCAGATTCTTTCCTAACAATGGCTTGCCAGTGGGATTGTGGAGCACTGAAACCATGATGCGTGACAGAATTTCCACCAGTCTCTATTTTTCCATGGATATTTTAGAGTAATAACTGGTGTAAGTGAAGGCACCAGGTGAGTCTCCCTGGGGAGAGTGTTCCACAAATGGGGAGCCACCCGTTCTAGTGTTGCCACCCTCCAGACCTCTAGTGCAGGGGGCAAAGAAAGAAGGGTCTCAGGTGATGATGGCAGGTCTGCCCGGGTCCCCATTGTTCTGCCTGGACACTGAGGTCCAGCTCTGAGGGCCTTCTGGTGGTTCCCTCGCTGCAAGAAGCCAAGTTACAGGGAACCAGGCAGAGGGCCTTCTCGGTGGTGGCACCCGCCCTGTGGAACGCCCTCCCACCAGATGTCAAAGAGAAGAACAACTACCAGGCTTTTAGAAGACATCTGAAGGCAGCCCTGTTTAGGGAAGCTTTTAATGTTTAATAGACTATTGTATTTTAATATTCTGTTGGAAGCCTCCCAAAGTGGTTGAGGAAACCCAGCCAGGTGGGTGGGGTATAAATAATAATAATAATAATAATAATAATAATAATAATAATAATAATAATTTATATTGGGGGAGGCAGTCCTGGAGGTATTGTGGTTCTGAGCTTCATTAGGCTTCATTAGGTTTCATTAGGTCAAAACGAGCACTTTGAACTGGGGCCAGAAACTAATTGGTAGCCAGTGCGGTCAGGTCAGGATCAGTGTAATATGCTCAAATTGTCTTGTCCCAGTGAGAAAGTTGGCCGCTGAATTCTGCACCAGCTGAAGTTTCCGAACAATCTTCAGAGGCAGTCCCACATATAGCACACTGCAGTAGTTGCGTATCACAGCTGACCAGAACCTCAAGCCCAGCGCTCCAGCTGCTACACAACAATAATAGTGTAATGAATGTTGCTTTATGATATGGGTATGATTTATTTCCCGAGAAATGAATCTTACACTCAGTGTACAACATGCACCTGTGGCCCAAACATTGTGGGGTTTTTTGGCCTCAACTCCCTGATCTGTCCTTTGGCTTGGACTCCCCCTGGTGGAAGAGGGGAATTGTTCTTTCTGATTTCTTCCAAATACCATTTCATCGCAGTACTGAAAAACGCGTTTCTTGCAATTCTTTTGCTGTAATTAGGAGGACAGGTAAGTCACCCGTGAGAATAATTTAAGAGAATTAAGTGAAAGCTCCAAAACTTGAATAACTGAGTAAGCTGTTGTCTCTTCGTAAATACTTATCTTTGAAGATTTATGTCATGAATCATAAACATAGTCCTTACCATCTTAACGTAAGAGTGGGAAATATTTTTCAGTAATCACTTTCCCCCTTTCTCTTTCAGAGTTTTCACGTCTTCCACAATGAATCCAGTTTACAGCCCCGTTCAACCTGGGGCTCCTTATGGAAACCCTAAGAACATGGCCTATACAGGTAAGGTTGCTTCTATTACCATGCTCAGAGGCCTAGTTCCCATGCAGGTCATGTGCCTTTTTATGGGATGTACCATTTCAGATGGAAGGTGGGGCTAATCAAACAATGCTCTTTAATACCCCCACCTCCACTCTCTGCATGTCGAAAGCTAGATCCGGGATGGCAGGTCTTAGCTGGGTTTTAGCCTTGTGATGTTCTCTCTCTCTGTGTTTTGCTTTGTACATTTGTTCCTGAGAGCAGCTCCTATTGGGAGCTTGAAGTGGTATAGTTCAGATATAGGTTTTCCACGCAGCAGTGTGTGTACCAGGCAGCTGGTTAATTCAGATAAGTTGAACCCTTCCAAGAAGTGCGTTGCTATAACCAAGTTTTGTTGTTCTTCTGGGATCTTGTTGTTACCCCTGGAGTTTCCTTCAGTGCACCAGCTTTTGTTTGATAAGACTTCTCTCCTCAGGCATGTTCTAATGTGATGCTTCAATTTGTGCTTAACATTTGGTATGTCTACCCTATGGGATCTCATCACTTATCTCCAGTCTGCACGCCTAAAAAAAGTCAGTGGTTTCTCTCTCTGCTGATGGCTGTTTCCTTCTGCATAAATAACTCTCTGTAGGTTACAGTGATGAACTTTGCCGTGAATTACCACTGATGTAACCTGTGAATATTGCACAACAAAACTCAATCATATGTTAGCAATTACATCTGCTGAAAATACAAAATGAAAAAAAGAGAGGCCCCAATCCAGTTATTTATTGCTGATGGTTTCTTGTTTTAGTTGCATGCCCGTGCCTCTCAACTTTATAAAGATTTCCTCATTAGGGTTCCTTAGTGAAAAACACAGCTAAAATTTCCCTGTAATTATTGGAAGTTGTTTATTTTCTGCAACTGTATTGATGAATCAGCAGCTAGATTTGGAATATATGACTTTTTCTTTTTCTTTTTCTTTTTCTTTTTCTTTTTCTTCTGTGCCCTGTCAGCAACAGTAGACTTAGTAGCAGGGCAACACTAGTCACTCTTGGAAGGAACTGTTTTTCCAAATCCCTTTTGGTTCCAATTCAGGCCGGGTTGGGGGAGGAAAACTGCCTTGGTTGTTCTGTGGGGTGACGTTTGCTGAGAGAAAGATAAGGGATATGCGACCCTGACGATTATGTTAGACCAGGGGTCGGCAACCTCAGGCCGATGGGCCACAAGCTGCCTACAGGGGTCGTTTAACCACCTCACAAGCCGATCCCGAACCGAACCGAGCCGCCCGCTCGATGAGTCCCCGCCCGCTGCGCTAAAGTGGCGCGGGGACTCGCTTCTCAGATGCCGGAAATTGCATCTGCGCAGACGCCGGAAATCGTGGGCATGGGCGCTTATGTGCGCCCGCAATCCGGCCCACGGAGGAATCTCCGCTGGCGTGAACTGGCCCAGGCAAGGTAAACCTCTGCTGACCCCTGTGTTAGACCTTTTGATACATTTGGCCATGGTATCCTTCTGGGTAGGCTGTCTAGGTTAGGTGTGGGAGATGGTTTTTGGCAGTGATTCTCTTCCTACTTGGATGGCTGTTTCCTGAAGGTGGTGCTGGGAGCTTACTGCTCAGCCCCTTGGCTGTCATACAGCCCTTACAGTCAGAAAATTATTCCTGGTGTTTACGCGGAATCTCCTGTTTTGTAACTTGAATCCATTGGTACTGGTTCTACCCTCCAGAGCAGGAAAAAACAAGCTTGTTCCATCTTCTACGTAGCTTTTTATTTGTTGTTGTTGTTGTTGTTGTTGTTGTTGTTGTTGTTGTCATCTACTTATCATTATCTACTTATTTAGTGTAAGCCACCCAGAGAACTTGATGTTATGGAATGGCATACACATACCATAAATAGGTACAGTGGTACCTTGGTTCCCAAATGGCTGAGTTGTCGAATAAATCGGCTCCTGAGCACCGCAAACCTGGAAGTAAGTGTTCCGGTTTGTGAACGTTTTTCGGAAGCCAAATGTCTGACGTGGCTTCCGATAAGTGCAGGAAGCTCCTGCAGCCAATCAGAAGCTGCACCTTGGTTTTCGAACTGTTTCGGGAGTCAGACGGATTCCCAGAACAGATTAAAGTTGAGAACCCAAGGTACCACTGTAATAGAAAATGGGGCCAGTATCTATATGTCCTAGAGCTTTTTGTCACTTTGCAGACAGGAGTGATGCTCAGCTGTTCTGGGATGCTGTTCTGGGATGCACCAGTTGCCACATTATAACAGACTATTGTAAGTCTTGCCAACAAAGGTCCGTATAGTTAAAGCCATGGTTTTCCCAGTAGTGATGTATGGAAGTGAAAGCTGGACCATAAAGAAGGCTGATCGCCGAAGAATTGATGCTTTTGAATTATGGAGCTGGAGGAGACTCTTGAGAGTCCCATGGACTGCAAGAAGATCAAACCTATCCATTCTGAAGGAAATGAGCCCTGAGTGCTCACTGGAAGGACAGATCCTGAAGCTGAGGCTCCAATACTTTGGCCACCTCATGAGAAGAGAAGACTCCCTGGAAAAGACCCTGATGTTGGGAAAGATGGAGGGCACAAGGAGAAGGGGATGACGGAGGACAAGATGGTTGGACAGTGTTCTCGAAGCTACTAACATGAGTTTGACCAAACTGTGGGAGGCAGTGGAAGACAGGAGTGCCTGGCGTGCTCTGGTCCAGGGGGTCACGAAGCGTCGGACACGACTAAACGACTAAACAACAACAACAACATTGTAAGTCTACAACTACTATGTTGTAGATCTTGAAAGAAGCTGCCATGTGTCCTACAGAGTCTAGTTGTTTTGTTTGGAAGTGTCTTCATTGCAGCTGCCGCAGCCGGTAGCAAGAGACTGTCTCTGAAAAACCTTCTCAGTAGGAAATTAGGAAGATGGGCATTTTGACCAATGCCAGTTGGCATGCAGGGACCTAAAATATGAGCTGAGCATCTAGTGCATAGAAAGGTGACGGAATGGGGCAGCTTAAGAGGTGCAGATACCTGGGGAGAGAGAGACCTGAGGAGGAATGATGTCATGGCTGGTGATCCATATGAATTGCATAAGAGGCAAACCTGCACAGGATCTGGAAACAGAACGATATATTGGAACAGACAGAGTGTTCCAGCAGAAAATCAGGAAATGGCTATAAGGGAATAAGAGTTCAGGAGAGGCTGAGAATAAGCATTCATGCCATGTCTGAGCTTGGTTCTTTGTGTGTCTTTGTAATATGCATGAAGATAAATGTTGTTTAATAGCGTCAAAATATGTTAACCTCCTAAACGTAGAAGACAAGCTTATGGGGCTGTGATAATCTAATGTGTTCTGTAGCCAGCTGTATGAAAGAGATGCATTTAAAACTCATAGGGAAAAATAGGAAAATAGGAGGTTTTCTCTGTGGCCTTGGCTGCTGAAGGAGCAAAGGGTTTTATATGCTAAAATAACAAATAACCCTGTTGCATTTAGACTAACAAAGGTGCCACAAGACACATTTGTAGTTGACAAAGGTAGCACTCAGTCTCCTGGCATTTGTAAATACTTGTTTTCTCTCAAGTGATCCAATATACATTTTGTTCAGAGTTTTCCATGAACTATCTTCTTCTGGCTGAAGTTGTATATTGAATAGCCTTTTAAAAACCTCCTTATTTCGATGTGCTTTCTCCTTCAAATTCAGCATTATTATTCCTGCTGAATCTATATTGTGAGATAGCGTGCAGCAAAATGGCTGGAGCGATGCTGAAATGTTGAGTGAGCCTTATGTATTGGAACGGGTGGTTGCCTTCCTTTTGCATGACTGCAGTTTAGCAGAAATGTCAAGTGCCTTGACTTTATTCTGGCTGCATGTCAATGACAGGTAACTGCTCTGTCTGTCTTAACATCCGATGAATCAAATGAGCTATATGAATTGATTACACCAAAGTGTTTTATTTGAGCTACCTCGTCTTTTGAAAGGGAAGGCTGCAGTTTTAGTAGCTGTTGGTCCAAATAAAAGGCATTTACTCACTTTCAGGACCAACACTGTTCCAGTGACATAGACCTGCTGAAAACCCTAGTGCTCTATCTAATTTGAATTGATTTAAAATAGATAAGCCCCCCCCCCAAAAAAAAACAGGGATAGAGAAGCTGGTATCCTCTAGATCAGCCATAGGCAAACTCTGGCCCTCCAGATGTTTGGGACTACAATTCCCATCATCCCTAGCTAACAGGACCGGTGGTCAGTTTCACTTTGCAGACAATGTCAATGTCGTTTGTGCAGGTTCTCTTTGCTATTTGCTTGTGTTCTTTTGGAGATGAGAGAAATTGGGGTTGGCCTAGGGTGCGGTTTCTTGTTGTGATTGGCTGTGGCGACCTTTGTTTTCATGTGTGAGTGGTGTGTGTGTGTGTTTTTGAATCAGGTTCACCATATTGATTCATATGCTGTTGGTGGATTCTTGTCGTTGTCTTGTTGGGCTGTGTATGTACCCTTGGGGTCTTATGATGCAGTCAAATGTCACAATTATGTACCTTTGGCTAACACTATGGGTTCCTTGCTCAATCTTTCCAGGATTATGGAATATAAAGGTGGATTAATTTAGAAGCCATAGCAAAATGTTTTTAGGTATGTTAGTATTTGGTTCCATTTTGTGTTTTTCTATATCCTGCTTCTATTACTATTATTATTATTATTATTATTATTAATAGGGAGTGAAAAATTCAGTGAAAAATTGGGGGATATGCTTTGATAAAGTATTGTGGGCAGTTACAGAAAATAAAACCTGATGCATGGATGCAAGCAAGCAAGCAAACACACACACGTACACACTTATGAGAGTTTATGTGAATATGCCATGTTTGCTGATTCAGGTATTTGAAACAAACACCATTTAAAAGTTTAGGTATGTGCAGAGAGCTCTTTGCTTCCTTGCTTGACTCCGATTTGGATGAGCCCAAAGCTCCAGTTTACTGTCTTCTTCTTCCCATTCAGCAAATATCCTGTGGAGTATCAGCCATTCTGTTACCTAATTCTATTGCCATGGATTTGTGGCAGGCCAAAGGACTAACCTCATCATAATGAACTCAGAGGTGCTCCCCAGGGCATCCCATAATATAATTTAGCTCTTCTAGTAAGAGCCACAATTTGATCTATTTCTCTTTGCCATTGAGTGGCGATAGTAATTAAATAGTGATGTTTTGAAAAATCAGCAGAGGTAACTTAGCTGGATAAAGCGTTCACCAATAAATGCACTCATAATTTTTTCCCTGTTGATGAAGTGTCTCCTTGATTCAACAGGAAAAGTATATTGACAGGGCTAGAAAAATAATTCTAGTGTCTAGGCAGTGCCACCATCAATCTTTCATGCGGCCGACTTGCAGAAGCTTGAATAAATATTTCAAAGTAGTAAGACTCAACAGTAAACTTCTACGAGTTCACGCACCTGGGATTTTTCAAGCCTTGCATATTGAGCAACTGTGAAGTTATTTTCTCTTTACATTGCATTAATGAATGTGTGTGGCATTTACAGAAATATCCCAGCTTGATACTTGAATATATGTACGTACTGATGATTTCACTTGCTTTAGGTCAGGGGTCAGCAAACCTTTTCAGCAGGGGGCCGGTCCACTGTCCCTCAGACCTTGTGGGGGGCCGGACTATAGTTGGGGGGGGGAATGAACGAATTCCTGTGCCCCACAAATAACCCAGAGATGCATTTTGAATAAAAGCACACATTCTACTCATGTAAAAATACCAGGCAGGCCCCACAAATAACCCAGAGATGCAGTTTAAATAAAAGCACACATTCTACTCTTCTGAAGGAAATCAGCCCTGAGTGCTCACTGGAAGGACAGATCCTGAAGCTGAGGCTCCAAGACTTTGGCCACCTCATGAGAAGAGAAGACTCCCTGGAAAAGACCCTGATGTTGGGAAAGATGGAGGGCACAAGGAGAAGGGGACGACAGAGGACGAGATGGTTGGACAGTGTTCTCGAAGCTATCAGCATGAGTTTGACCAAACTGCGGGAGGCAGTGGAAGACAGGAGTGCCTGGCGTGCTCTGGTCCATGGGGTCATGAAGAGGCAGACACGACTAAATGACTAAACAACAACAACACACATTCTACTCATGTAAAAACACGCTGATTCCCAGACCGTCCGCGGGCCTGACTGAGAAGGCGATTGGGCTGGATCTAGCCCCTGGGCCTTAGTTTGCCTACCCATGCTTTAGGTAGTGAAATGGTAGTTGTAATAGTGGTGGTAGTAGTAGGAGTAGTAGTAGTAGTGAGTATGTGGTTTTTATTATTAGTATTATATATATGCCACCTATCTGGGCAGCTCCCAGCCAAACTTGAACTTGAACTTACTATTTGAGCCTCTTTTGAGCCAGTCATGATCTCTCAGCCTAATCTATGTTGTGAGATACCTGTGAATAATCAGAGCCCTGTTGGATCAGACCAAAAGCCTATCTAGTTCAGCCTTCTTTGCACACAGTGGCCAACCAAAGGCCTGTTGGAAACCACAAGCCGTCTTTGTGCAACCCATTATCTTTCTAGAAAGCGTGGGCCAAATTTCCACAGTGGGTGGTTTTGTTTGTCTCTGACCAGTGTCACACTCTGGCTCCTTGGCACCAGAATCGGAGACAATGCAGGATTTAAGAGAGAGGAGATAACAAAGGATTATTCAGGAGAGGTATGTTGAAGGCTCCTCTTCAAATGTCTGCTAATTTCAGCTATTTGCAGTTGTAGGTTTATTATTTCCTCCCCTCTCCAGTGGCTGCAATCCACCTGAAGCATCTTTTGTTTTCACTAGCAGAATTGAGAGAGGTAAGAGGGTTGAGGTTTGATAGGTGGGAGAGTCAGCCTGCTAAGATGTCTAGGAATGAGGCTGCTGGCTCTGCTGAGTGCTTTTGAGCAAAATTGTATGGAATTGAGGGACCAAGTGAATGTGCATTCCAGCTAATCAGGTACTCAAATGACCTTTATTTGCCCTGCTGGAGGTCCCAGGGAGAGATGGAATCGCTTGAAAAGGAAATGGAAGGCAAATTCAAACACGGAAATGCTTAACAAGGTCCCCAGGAATGCAAGTGAATGCACAAAAGGCAGGGAAACTTAGATGTTGCCAGTGTGAGAACCCATACACAGAGCACTGATGAATCAATTGAACCACTAGAGTCCTTAGATGTTTGTCTTGGCTGCCCAGGAGGCAAAGAGTTGTCATAAGAGTGGCTTTTATTTTAAAAACCATGAAACAGAAAACTTCAGGATGGAGAAGAAAAGCCCAGGCACAAAATATATCAAAAGCTCTTCATGTCCTACCATTTTTCTTGCATGGGGTGAGCTAAATCTGAATTACAAAAGAGAACAGAACCCTAAAGATCGCTCGACGTTTTAATGAAAAAGACTCCCATTTATTCATACGAGAAATATCTGTGCTGTTATCATAAGACTGTCCGTGCTGGGCCAAGGCAACAGTCCACAAAAAACAGCCGCATCAAGGTTTTTCATAACTCTAGGCTGGGTGACAGTTCCTGTCCGTTAGCAAGTCCCCAGAATTCTTAAAAACCAGCGTTTTGGAATGACAGAATCCAAATTAGCAAGGGGCGGGAGAAGGAGCACAACAGCACCAATGGCAGCAAGAGCAGGCAGAGGACTGGGAAGGAGGTCTTGGAAAAGCAGCATGTGCTACCACCAAACAGAGCCACATGCCATGCCCATAGCAGCAGCTCCCATCTACCCACCAGGCTTGGGGCCTGCTTTCATTATAGGCTGCAGCTGAGGATCATGTGGGCCAGAGGCAGAAGGCATAGTCATGGATGGGCTAGTGGTCAGACAGTGGATTTGGCAAACAAGAGGAAAGATGCAGTCAAAAGCACACTTGTGGTCTAGCAAAAGCACACTAGTTCTAGACCAGGGGTCAGCAACCTTTTTCAGCCATAGGCCGGTCCACTGTCCCTCAGACCATGTGGTGGTCCGGACTATATTTTGGAAAGAAAAAATACAGTGGTACCTCAGGTTAAGTACTTAATTCGTTCGGGAGGTCCGTTCTTAACCTGGAGACGACTTTAGCTAATGGGGCCTCCCACTGCTGCCGCACGATTTCTGTTCTCATCCTGAAGCAAAGTTCTTAACCCGAGGTACTCTTTCTGGGTTAGCGGAGTCTGTAACCTGAAGCGTATGTAACCTGAAGCGAATTCCTATGCCCCAGAAATAACCCAGAGATGCATTTTAAATAAAAGAACACATTCTACTCATGTAAAAACACCAGGCAGGCCCCACAAATAACCCAGAGATGCATTTTAAATAAAAGGACACATTCTACTCATGTAAAAACACGCTGATTCCTGGACTGTCCGCGGGCTGGGTTGAGAAGGCGATTGGGCCACATCTGGCCCACGGGCCTTAGGTTGCCTACCCCTGTTCTAGACCAGGCTTCCTCCAGATGTTTTTGGCCTACAGCTCCCATGATCCCTAGCTAACAGGACCAGTGGTCAGTGTTGCTGGGAATTGTAGTCTCTGAACATCTGGAGGGCCGAGGTTGAGGAAGCCTGTTCTAGACTATGGTCTGAAGGCCCATGAATCTAAGCAGGCCTGGATGGGTGACTGCCTGGGAGCCACATGTGCTATAAACATACAAATAACATGGAACAGTAAAGTATTAATACATTATCATAGTCTTCTTCTAAATGCATATGAAACAAAATTACCAAAGTGCTTTTTTGTTGAAACATAAACAGAAATGTGAAATTTATGAAATGTGGGTGTGGGTGTGGGTGTGGGTGTGTGGGTGTCTCAAGAAAACATATTTAACAAAACCAAAGTAAAAACAGGACGCTTAAAGGTGATACGACCCTCCAAAATTGAGAACAATAAAAACCTGATTAATAAAACTCAAAATGTCATCTTTAAAACCCTCTCTTTAACAATATATGCAGAGATAGCTAAATCACAATCATGAAAATAAACTGACAATTTTTAGTGATGCATTGGACCTATTATATAAACTGGAATCAGCTGTCTGTGCAGTCAGGTACTACTAATGAAACCAGCTTTCTGAAGATGAGAGGTTGTAGCAGGTGCATTGTTTAAGCTAAATGGAACGGAATGAAGAGGTGATTTTAACCACTTACTGGTATAAAGTACCTAGAACTGAATAAATAGGTGGTATGTTAGAAAACCTGGAAACACGAAGCAGAGAAGAAACAATGAAGGAGAAAATCCTACATGTGTGTTCACAGCAAAGGGAGGAAATCTACTTCATCAAGGAGTTAAACCGTAGGGTAAGGACCCAGTACAGCTTCCTCTTCATCAGCAGTTTGACAGCCAGCTGATGTACATTTTTAATGGTCTCAAGGACGCGTGCTTGTGTTGATGCTCTCAAATTCACCACCAGAAGAGTGCCAGATCTACAAGTGCAGATGTTGCCAGTGTTTTCAAAGCTCTGACCAACGTAAATATTTTCACATGATCATTTGATGGCATGAACCAATGAGGGCAGCCAAAAGTAGTGAAAGTTTTGTACATTTTAATGGTCAACTGGACTACTGAATGAATGCATCCTGTTGGTGCATTCTGAATCGAAACAGTTTCGACACTGGTGGCGTCCGTAAGGTGCCAAAGTGGACTGTTGAACTATGCACATCATTACGAACCAACCAGTCTTTGCAATTCCTGGCTCTTTTATAAGCATTTAGAGGTTTCTTTTCATGGCTGCTACATTGCGTAGCAAGTGCCAATATTTATATATATAGTCACCGCAAAGATCTGCTTACATAATCAAAAGTAAAGCAGCAAGTGACTGACTCTATTCTGGGCACTTTTTGAAGCTTTCTGAACCAAGCACATTCCTATTTGAGCTCAAAACTTGGGATTTGGCTGATGTAATTATGTTCTTAGAATAGTCTCTGCTCAAAAGAGAAACCTGTACTTGCAAGGCCTCTGCGCTGAAATCTCTTAAATTAGCACAGTTACATCGGAGTGGAAGGAATTGCCCAAAAGGGAAATTCTGTGTAATCATGATATGGTACAGATAGCTGTCAGATCTTAGATGGAAATTTCTATCTGTTTACTCCCTGTATAGTCCGATGCGGAAATACACTCCTTTAATCAGTCTCTTCAACTGAGAGAGCAAAACATCTAAATTCCACTGTTGAATTTATAGTTCTCTATTTACTTCTCTTTTTTGGCTAGAGCTTGGTGCTGGTCGATAGGCTAAATCCCTGCCCTGGTCAGGTTCAGATCACCAGTTCAGGATCTTCTGCAGACCAGAAGGCTAGAAACACGCTTTTCTTACCACAAGAGAAAGGCGAGGTGCTTAGGATTCAGGGACAGATTGTGAAAGTTCCAGCTTGGTGACCTTTGTGGAGAATTTCAGCCTCATTGACCTTGATTCTCTTTAGCACACGGGAGTGCATTTTTGCATCTGTTGTTCACAGCGTTACAAACCTGTGCCTTAATTCTGGTTTGCAGTGTAACTTTCCAAATGATTTCCCGGGGGAAGGTGCTGCGCTGCTGGCCCCAATTAAAACAAAGGGCGAGAGGGAAAACTGCTGGCTCTTATGCCTTCTGGTGTTCAAGCAGTCTAATCCTCTGCTTTTAATAAACAAAACAAAAAAAGATTCTTTGAGGATCTTACAAGGGCAAGCGCATTGTGTTCCGTTGCTCCTTTTTAATGATAACTATGAATGACTCACAGCTCTGAGGTTTCACAGGTAAAAGCCAGAGTAGGGTGTGTGTGTGTGTGTGTGTGTGTGTGTGTGTGTGTGTGTGCGTGTGTGTGTGATCGTTCCTTGTCTTGAGGATGGCTTTGAGCAGGGTCAGGCAATTGTTTAGTATCCCCAGCCAACAAGTCCAGTCACTCTGTACTTGTTTCTTGACCTCAGGCCAGTTTTTTGCTGATATGATTAGCAACTATATTGACCCTTGTGGTGCCTTCCAGCTCGACAGTTCTGTGATTCTGTGAATTGATCACTGTAATGTATTAGAGCAGGGATCAGTAAACTTTTTCAGCAGGGGGCCGGTCCACTGTCCCTCAGACCTTGTGGGCCGGACTATATTTTGGGGAGAAAAATGAACTAATACCTATGCTCCATAAATAATCCAGAGATGCATTTTAAATAAAAGGACACATTCTACTCATGTAAAAACACGCTGATTCCTGGACCGTCTGTGGGCTGGATTGAGAAGGCGATTGGGCCTGATTGTTCGGTTCAGGTTACGTCTTTTCAGGTTGCATCCCGCGGCGACCCAGAAGTACCGGAGAGGGTTACTTCCGGGTTTCGCCGCTTGCGCATGCGCAGACACTCAAAATGATGTCACACGCATGTGAAGAAGCGGCAAATCGTGACCCGCAGACGTCGGTTGCGTTCTGCTCATGTTGCGAACGGGGCTCTGGAACGGATCCAGTTTGCAACCAGAGGTACCACTGTACCATTAGGCTGTTGACTAAAACCTATCAGTGGGAATATAAATCTCCTTGGTGCTGAAATAACTTCACTGACTCCCAGATACTTCCCAGGCACAGTGCTTTTTGACTAACCTTCAGTACCTGTAGGAATGCCTTTTCCCCATAACAACCTGCCTGTGTATTATGGCAATCTTTGGACAGTTTCTTTCGGGGACTCCTGCTATCTGAGGCAAGGTGGCAGTTACCAGAGAGACCCATTTCTGTGATGTGACATTTCCTTCCTACGGAAATTTGCCTGGCACCATCATTGTTATTTTTTGCACCAGGCAAGGACATATTTATTCTCCCAGTCTTTTAAAGTTTTTGTTTACCTGCTGCAAGTGACTCTATGCTACTTTCAATTGGGTTTTTGTTTTTCGTTTTGCATTGCAATGTTTCTATTGTGTGTTATCTGGATCTCCCTGGAAGCATGTCCGAAGAGCAGTATATAAATCTTTAAGTAAATGAAACAATTACGCTTTGGGCAATGACACTTCAGACCATAGGTGGGGGGCACATTGCTAGCTGCTGTTCAAAACAAACCCCCTGTCAAAGAAAACCAACATGTGAATAGGAAAGGATTTTAGCGTAGCCTTTTTGCTGAAATCCTAATGTTCTATGTTTGGGAGGTGGTGGTTTGATATGGTAAAAAAAAAAAGAAAAAGAAAAAAGGGGTAAAGGACCCCTGGATGGTTAAGTCCAGTCGTCAAAGGTGATTATGGGGTTGCAGCACTCATCTCGCTTTCAGGCCGAAGGAGCCGGCGTTCGTCCACAGACAGTTTTCTGGGTCATGGGCCAGCATGACTAAACTGCTACGGGCGCATGGAGGACCGTGACGAGTGCCAGAGCGCAGGAAACGCCGGTTACCTTCCCACCGCAGTGGTACCTATTTATCTACTTGCACTGGCATGCTTTCTAACTGCTAGGTTGGCAGGAGCTGGCACCAAGCAACAGGAGCTCACCCCGTCGCGGGGATTCGAACCGCTGACCTTCCGATCGGCACGCCCAAGAGGCTCAGTGGTTTAGACCACAGCGCCAGGTTTGGTATGGAAGAGCAGTCCATCACGCAAGCCCCACCTGCAGTCCAAAGTTCAGTTCAGTTTGGATGTAGGCTTACTAGTCAGTGAAAGCCAGGCCTCAAAAGTCCCTTATCTGGGTATATCATGTGGACATATAGCAGGCCTTTTACCTTTACCTTTTCAGCAGGTGAGCTGAGAGTGCCAGTGGCCACTAGGAGCAGCACTGGCAATGTCAATGGGAGCCTCAGGCTTCTTATAGAGGAACAGCAGATCAGATATTTGCTAGAGGCATACAGTAATTGGATTCATTCTTGGAAAAGGGAGCATTCCTGCCTCTGGTAATCTTCTTTTTCAAAAGAAATATTTTTATTGAGATGACAGATTATGAGTGGAGCAACGCTTGAAAATGCACACTTTCTCATATACAGTGTTAGAAACAAATATGAAAGCTAGGAGCTAAATGGCACCTTAAACCGAGGTTATGGGCGCAACAGCGGAATGCCTAGGCACATTTTTTAATAACAAGAGTACAAAGCTGAAAATGAATGAATGCTGCTAAAATGTTACGTTCATTTTTCGCATATATGTTCACAGCTCCGAACATATAACATTGGCGCTGGACTATCTGCACCGGCTTGCATTTGGTTTCTGAGCTGAATTTGGAGTGCTGGTTTTCGATTTACAAAGCCTTATACGGCTCAGAACCCCATTAACATGTAGCGCATTGTTTCCTTTATGAGACTTCTGGGACGCTTACTTCATCTTTTGAGGCCCTTCTCCAAGTACCAGACCCAAGAGAGGTGTGGAGGGTGGCTGTATGAGAGAAGGCCTTTTCTGTAGTGTCTCCCCGTCTTTGGAACATTTTCCCCAGGGAGGTGAAGCTTTCCCCAAGTCTAAGATCCTTCCCCCGCACCCCATGATTTTTTTTTTTAATATACACTGAGTGGATGGTTTAGCTGCTTGCTGTTTTATGGTGATTGCTTGTGATGATTTTATGGCAGTGGAATGTGTACCTGGGGGATATTTAGTGTGATCACTTTTAACTGTTGTTGTGTATTTTAAATATTTATTTATTTACTAGGTAAGTCACCATGGTACCTTCAGGCAAAGGGTAAGTAAGTATTTTTCTGGGCTGCTGTTATCTTCTGAATACCAGTGGCAGGAAGCCACAGGAGGGGAGGATGCTCTTGTGCTTGGATCCTGCTCAAGGGTTACCAAGAGGTGCTCGCTTGGTCACTGAGAACAGGATGCAGTCTAGATTATGGTTACCAGATTTTTTTCAATGAATCTGGGGACACTTAAAAAATAAATAAATACAGTGGTACCTCTGGATGTGAACGGGATCCTTCCCGGAGCCCCATTCGTATCCTGAAGCGAACGCAATCCACGCATGCGCGGGTCACGATTCGCCGCTTCTGCACATGCGCGTGATGTCATTTTGACCGTCTGCACATGCGCGAGCGGTGAAACCCAGAAGTAACACGCTCCGTTACTTCCGGGTCACTGCGGAGCGCAACCTGAAAATACTCATCCTGAAGCTACTTCAACCCGAGGTATGACTGTAAAAAATTACATGCTTTATAATCCATAATTACATCTATACATCAGCTGTTTTGCTGTCTTGAGAAGTCCAGAAGAGGAGAGAAACCTGGGGGGTGCAGTTGGAAGCAGAGTTTGAGAATACGACTGTGGGAAGATCACAGATTTGGAAAAGGCCTTTGAGGGGCATCTAGGCCAACCCCCTGCAATGGAGGTATCTCAACTCAAGCAGCCTCAACTTAAAAGAACATAAGGCTTCCCTGCTCCAATTTGACTTCTGCAGTTCCCGGCCGTCGGTGACATGCTCTCGTTCACGCTTTCTCTCACGCTCAGCTGCCCAGCTCCGCCACCGTTCCAGTTTGCCAAGAGGATTGAAGTCATCTCACCCTTTGTGCCTTGCCCAGCAGAGAAACCGCAGATCTTGCGCCCCTCCTGGACAACGGTGTGGCGGCCGCCTGTGACTCTCGATCCTCACCCGATCTCCTGCCCCCTTCCTTTTGACGGATTGGGGAAGGCTTGGGAATCTTGGGCGGGCGGCCCTTTCCCGGAAGGGGCGCGGTTTCTCTGCTGGGCAAGGTGCAAAGCTCTTCTTTTGCACCCTGTGAAACTCTCAGAATGAAGGGGGAAGGGGGCAAGAGATTGGGGGAGGCTTGGGAGTCATGGATGTGCAGCGTGCCTTTGCCCAGGAGGGGTGCAAGGCGCGCGGTTTCTCTGCCGGGCAAGGTGCAAAGCCCTTCTTTCGCACTTTTCGATCCCACCTCTGCCTCTGCCTGCGCAAAAACTATCTTCCCACCCCTCCAGCTGCATATTACTCCAGGAGAGCAGGGTGTCAAATTTCCCAGGAACATTTAATGAAATCCAGGGACAGAATTTTTCCGGGGGCAGATTTGCAAATCCAGGGGACTGTCCCCGGGAAATGGGGACATGTGGTAACCCTAGACTAGATGGGCCCTTGGCTTGTTCCAGCAGACTCTTATTTTGTTCTTAAGGCAGGGGCAAAACTAGGCTTTATTTCACCCGGGTCAGAGACCCAGTTTAGCACACTCCCATGCACATTTGTGTACACACACACAGTGGCACCCCTCTGGGGGCTTCAGTCAGGGCAAAAAACCTGCTTAGTCCCCCGTCCTGTAGCTATGGCTGTGCTTAAAGCTCTTGCCAGACTTTTTGTGTTCGTCCATCCAGAGCTCTGTGAGCTTTCAGAGCAGTAAACCTCTGAAATCTGCACCTCTACAATCTTTAGACTTCCGTGAGTCATGCACAACAACTTTCTTCCCTGCAAATTGTAGCTTTAATAATAAATTGGCTTTCATCTGTCCTGATTTGCATATTCTTTTTTACAGGCGAGGGACTGTTTTCTACCTGAAGATATAGGAACATACTGTGGAAGTTAGGTCCTGCATGAGACTTGATTCTTGACAAATATATATTTGCAAGACCAGTTTTGGAATCTTGAAAAGTGTCTCTTTGACCATCCTTCATAGAGAGGCTGTCCTTTACTGGGCTTTCACAGTTTGTAGATTCCATGAAGGAACAAATGAAAATTGGATCCTGCTAGCAGTCTGCTGGAATTACTTCTAATCTTGCATTCAGGCAGGCTTAGCAATGAGCAATTTGGGTAATGTTTGCACTGTCTGTTTCTATGAGTAGTGAATTAGGATTTTGTATTTGGAAGGGTGTATATTAAATATTGAAATTTTCTCCACCGCAGGTAGACAATTAAAAAAAAATTTTTTTTTTTACATTCTAGGCAGGCATTACAATTTTGTTGAAAGGTCAGCTTTTATGGATGGAAATCTGATCCAGTGCTGGCTGGTAAAGCCTCTGTTACAAGTTGTCAAAGTAATTCTTTTGAGGAGTTTGGATTTGATATCCCGCTTTATCACTACCTGAAGGAGTCTCAAAGCGGCTAACATTCTCCTTTCCCTTCCTCCCCCACAACAAACACTCTGTGAGGTGAGTGAGGCTGAGAGACTTCAAAGAAGTGTGACTGGCCCAAGGTCACCCAGCAGCTGCAGGTGGAGGAGCAGGGAAGCGAACCTGGTTCACCAGATTACGAGTCCACCACTCTTAACCACTACACCACGCTGGCTCTTTTGACTAAGTTGCCGCATGCCAGCCCCTGAAGTTGTGTGGTACCATCATGCCTGTAGCTGGCCAGCCAGATGTTTGCATGGGGCACACAGGACAGACACTGCTCTCCTTCTTAAACCCTCCACCTTTGTTGGCACAAGGAAGAAGGAGCCAAGTGAAGGCTTCCTTTCCTTTCCTTAGTAAAGGTAAAGGGACCCCTGACCGTTAGGTCCAGTCGTGGCCGACTCTGGGGTTGTGGCGCTCATCTCGCTTTACTGGTCGAGGGAGCCGGCGTACAGCTTCCGGGTTATGTGGCCAGCATGGCTAAGCCACTTCTGGTGAACCAGAGCAGCGCACGAAAACGCCATTTACCTTCCCGCCGGAGCGGTACCTATTTATCTACTTGCACTTTGACGTGCTTTCGAACTGCTAGGTTGGCAGGAGCAGGGACCGAGCAACGGGAGCTCACCCCGTCGCAGGGATTTGAACCGCCGACCTTTTGATCGGCAAGCCCTAGGTTCTGTGGTTTAATCCACAGCACCACCCATGTCCCACCCTATCTTAATTAACCCTTTTGCTGTTTCTCTTGGTCCCAGTATTCTGCTCTTTGCCTTGGTTGGGAGGACGGCACCGTCCACAACTTTCTGTTTCTTTGATTTGCTCTGAGTGTTGCAGCTTCAACCATGAAAGAGGATGAATGTTGTGGAGGGGAGCAGGCTGTCATAGATGGGTAGGCAAACTAAGGCCCAGCGGTCAAATCCGGCCCAATCGCCTTCTCAATCCGGCCTGCGGACAGTTTGGGAATCAGTGTGTTTTTACATGAGTAGAATGTGTCCTTTTATTTAAAATGCATCTCTGGGTTATTTGTGGGGCCTTCCTGGTGTTTTTACATGAGCAGAATGTGTGCTTTTATTTAAAATGCATCTCTGGGTTATTTGTGGGGCATAGGAATTCATTCATTATTATTTTTTCAAAATAGAGTCAGCCCCCCCACAAGGTCTGAGGGACAGTAGACTGGCCCCCTGCTGAAAAAGTTTGCTGACCCCTGCTTTAGCTTTATACACGATGCATGGAATTTGGCTTTCTATAATGGTTTGTTTCGTTTGCACAGAGCATGCACATCCCGCCTAGAGCATTCTGAGAAATCAGTTTCCTCCGGTGCTTTGTATCAGATTTCTGTGCTGCACTGTAATGCAGATCTAATTGTTCTGAAATGTAAGCTTTGTGCTGGGTGGCTTACCATGCTGGGTCTGGTTCATCTGTCCTGGGCTTCAAAACTGCCACCTGCCGGTCCTATCCATTGCTGCCACCACCTCGAGTGACAGTCTTGTTTGTGGCACCAACATTTCTGAAGAAGGGGACAATCGCAGATTCATTGAAGGAACTGGATTGTTTATTTTTAACAAAAAATTATGTACTGCTTGATTGTAAATAAAACCTCTTAGCCATTTACAAAAATGACACAAAAATGGAAATTGTAAATAAAAGCCTTTGTTTTTTAGAAAAGCAGATATATTTTTAAAAATCAACAGTTAAGCTAAAACAGTTTTTAAAACAATTCAAATCCTACATCTCTAGATAGATTTGCCTAAACCAAAATGTTTTAAGCAGGTGTCAGAAAGAATGCAGCGAAGGTTCTTGCCTGATGTCAATAGGCAGGGAGATCGAAAGTTTGGGTGCTGGCACACTAAAAAGTCAGTTGGTTCTGCAAACTGAAGTGGCCAAGCAGACATATATGGGGCAAGGCGATCCTTCAAGTTGCCTGGTCTCAAGGTGCCGTCGGTTGAAGTAAGACTGCCACGGTTGTAGAAAAATGGTTGCAAGATTGGATGGGGAGGTAGTCAGTCTTTTCAACAGGGCAACATCAGCTGTGGGTTTTATCTCTCCAGATTTAAAACAACTTCACTGGTTATCCATTTCTGAGCCTAATTCGAAGTGCTGACATTTACTTTTTAAAGCCTTATGGTCTGGAGGTTGTGTAGCTGTGGGACTGTTTTCATACATGATTGAGCTCATTGTCAAAGACTGTTCTTCAGATTCTCCCACCTTCTGAAATTAGATAGTTGGTGACTATCTAAACAGTGAGAATATTTTTTGGCTCTGACTCCCTGCTTGCCTAGCACTGGGGATGGAATTTCCTGAAAATCTCAATAGATTTATTCTAATAACTGTCCTGTTCCTTAATCCTAATGAGGAATTTTCCTCCCTCTTCTGCTTAAAATACAAACAATTCTCACATATTATACATAATATTATGTAGATAATACTATAGGCATTTATACTCCAGGTTTCTTAAAGTAGCCAGAAAATATACAGATACATATAACTGAATTTAAATACATATTATTAATATACTTACAAAGTCGTGATGCAGAAGTATAGCATGGGGCTTGACACTTTTGTATGTATTGTATGCAGATTATTCTTATTTCTGTGCATAATTTTGCGTATAATTTGCTGGGTTTTTAAAACAACAACCCACAGTGCAGGAGTAGCACAGACATAACTGAAGGAGGCTTGATGGAAGAGGCTGTTTGATGCAGTCAAAGCTCATCTGGGTCAGAACTACCAAAAACTGTGTATAAATCCATTTAAAGCAGATTCCTTCATTCTTACCTGGCACCAACTCTTACTTCCTTTTGTCTTCCTTTTGTTACTTCCTTTCCCCATACGCTGTCTTTTAAAACATCAGCTGAATCAGGTTTTATTTTTTTATTCTTGTTTTATTCCCTCTGTTGTCTTTAATTTTATGTTTTGCCAGCTTGGTATATATCATTGTTTTAACTCCCCCCCCCCCCGCCCCTTTCAATTGGGATGCGGGTGGCACTATGGGTTAAACCACTGAGCCTCTTGGGCTTGCCGTTCAGAAGGTCAGCGGTTCGAATCCCCGCGACGGGGTGAGCTCCCGTTGCTCGGTCCCTGCTCCTGCCCACCTAACAGTTCGAAAGCACACCAGTGCAAGTAGATAAATAGGTACCGCTCCGGCAGGAAGGTAAACGGCGTTTCCGTGCGCTGCTCTAGTTTGCCAGAAGTGGCTTAGTCCTGCCGGCCACATGACCCGGAAGCTGTACGCCGGCTCCCTCGGCCAGTAAAGCGAGATGAGCGCCGCAACCCCAGAGTCGGCCACGACTGGACCTAATGGTCAGGGGTCCCTTTACCTTTACCTTTACGCTTTAAATTGCTGGATTGTGGGCCAGCTCACAGTCTAAAGAAATAATAGAGGTAGAGAGTGGAGGCTGAGGTATGAGAAGATTATGTAAAGGAACAACAACAACAAAACAGGAGAAAATCAAGCAGGGTAAAGCCCTGGTGGGTGGGAGGGAGAGGGTGGCAGGAGAAAGCATTGTTTGGAAAAGAGAACATGAGGGGTGGTGATGCTGGTGGCACCCAGATGTTATTTAGCACATCTGGAAGGTGAGGAATCCTGCTTCTATCCCCTTTTCAGCAGTCCAGTTGCCAGGCCCAGTTATTAAGTTGCCAGGGCCCCCTGGAAATTTCCATCCCTGGAAATTGCACCCACATGCATGCCCACCCACCCCACTAAAATAATTATTTAGCAGAGGGGTGCTGCCACATTTGAGAGTTTTCTTGTTTAGCTTGTTCTCTACCGCACGACAAGCATTTCTTGTCCCTTTAGCATAACCCAAGTGCGCCTGTGCTTCTCTCGAAATCTGGAGGACGTGCAAGGCTTCATTTTGCTCTGAAACCTTCTCCCCGTGTCCCTTTCTCTCCCTGTGCTCTTGCTGGCTTTCGTCCTCATTTCATCTAACCCAGTACCGGCCTGGAATGTTAATGCATCTGCAGCCAGAGATGATTTATCAGTTCCCAGAGCTCTGGCTAGGACAACAGGAAGAAAATATTGTCTCAATGAGCTTGCTTGGCACTGTTCAAATACACGAGTCCGGAAAGACTTTCCAGTGCTTTGGCCTCCACCAGTTTTGCATTGTGCCTGTTTGAAAGGGAGCTTTTTCAACGGGGTGTTTGTCTCTCGATTCAGCACTAACCTGCCACCGTTTTTTTAAATGCAAGAGGTAAATGGCAGGCTCTGTTCCCAGAACCATAACCCTCATCTCGGCCGCACTTGGTGACCTCTCCAACTCAACACAAGCACCTGCTACTGGTTTTGTGCTGAAAGCGTTCCTGGAAACAAACCCTGGTATTTCATATTGCCCATGTGTTCAGGAAGGGCAATAAAACCGAAGCATTTGTTTTTATGTTGTGCTGCTTAATGATGAGCACCTCCCTTCCCCATCCAGCTTTGCTCAATTTGGAATAGGGTTAGGTAGAAGGATTTTTGGGAAAACATACATCCCTAGCAATAAAATGGTTTATTCTTTATTTCTGAGTCTATTTTGAAGTGTTGTATCCAGCTAAGTTGAAATAAATGAACCCGTTGAAATAAATGAACTGAGTTCTACTTAGAATGGACCCGTTGAAATAAATGAACTGAGTTCTACTTAGAATTGACCCATTGAAATAATAATAATAATAATAATAATAGTAATTTTTTATTTATACCCCGCCCTACCCGGTTCAAAAACCGGGCTCAGGGCAGCTAACAACAAATTTAAAACACTTAATTATAAAAGCAGCATAAAATACAGTACAAAAACATGAATAACAATAAAATTCAAAAATCAAATATCAATTTAGGGGAAATAAGCATTAGATAATCCCCAGGGCTAGTTGGCTGAATTGGTCCTACTTGGGCCAGCGAGGAGGCATGGGGAGAATTGGCTGTGGGGTCTCAGAACTGGTGCTCTTCATAAAATAAATGAACTAAGTTCTACTTAGAATGGACCTGTTGAAATAAATGAATCTAAGTTGGTCACTTAGTGACTTCAACATTATTATCAAAATGGTGGCAGGCAGGGAAGCCATGCAGCTGGGCCTTTGTTCGGCCCTCAGCCTTTTTGCAGCAGCATCGTGGGCTCAAGGATCCATAAGAAATGTGGTTCCTGCTAGGACATTTCCGTCATGGATTCTTGGGCCCAGATTCTGCAGCAGCAGTAGTAGTGCTGAGAGCCTAACTGAGCGGCTCTGTCGGTTCTTGGAAGGGAGGAGGAAGTAGTCACGGCAGTAGAGAGAGTTAGATGGCACCAAGTGAGCCTGGAATGAACTGGTTTGGACTCAGTATGTAACAATTCAGGGAGGGAAAACCAGCAGTTTTACCATTCTAACTCGCTTGTATATCATGCATGTCCAACAGGTTGATCGCGATCTACTGGTTGATCGCGGGGTGCCCCTGGTCGATCATGGGTTCCTGATGTTTTGGCCATAATAATAATAATTATTATTATTCTTTGGCGATCACTCGTAGCCGAGTAAGATTAAGAACTCAGAGGAGGAGAATATTCCAAGTGCAACATTGAATTCCACTCAATAATTATCAATAAAAGACAGCTAAAAACAGGTATTTCAAAACCATTCCAAGCTAATTAAAATAAACAGTAAGCTATAAGCAAATTAAGACACATGTAACTGCCTAACCCAAAATGTTTTAAGCAGGTGCTGGAAAGAATCTTCTTCTTAGGCGATCACTCATAGCCGAGTAAGATTGTCTTCCATGAACACGATCTTAACAGTGAGTCCGTAAGTGACTGTGGAGGCTAATTCTGGATCCACACGTCCTTCCACAGTGGGGACATAGGTTTCCAGGTGGGAGTTGATTATGGTGAGGGTTTGCCAAGCGTGCCTTCCTCTTAGCACGTTTCTCCCTTGCGTCCTGAGTTCAAGCGTCTTGACAGCCCATGACACCTTTGGTAAAGGCTGTTCTCCAACTGGAGCGCTCGCAGGCAAGTGTTTCCCAGTTGTTGGTGTTTATGCTACATTTTTAAAGATTTGCCTTGAGAGAGTCTTTAAACCTCTTTTGTTGACCACCAGCATTATACTTTCCATTTTTTAATAATGATAATAATAATAATAATAATAATAATAAAGCTCAACAACTCTGGGTCACCCTCCCCCCCAAAAAGCTCAACAACTCCAGTTTTTTAATAGAGTACATCGCAGTCTCTTGGAAGTTGGACGTGCCTGCTGTATATGAATCTCGCCCTGGAGCGGTATGAGGAGCAGACTGTGATGTCGGCTTCACTCAGCGCTATATCGCTGGTGAAACTGCCTCCACTCCTGAGTCTCTCTTGTTAGCAGTGTCCGCTGGGGGGAATCAAGAGTTCCTTCCCGATCCCCAGCTGAGCAGTGCAAATAAGCTGCATTGTCCCAGACTGCGAGTGCCTAGGTAAAACCGCCTTAGTTCTCGAGGTGAGAGCTAGGGCAGTTTCAGCCGGTGCCCCGCATGCAGAGGCCAATGCATCTTGTTTATCCAGCATCATGGTATATCGCCAAACTGCGATGTTTGGCTGGCGTTACACCGCGATGTCGAAAAGCTGATCTCGCCCCAGCCCTACTCATCACAATCACTAGTGCTGCTTATAAATTTCAATCTGAACTGATTCAGACTGGAACTGTTGCAAGACAAAATATGTTCATCTTAAATTGCAGTAGAACTGAGCTATTGCAAAGTTCTCTGGCTTGATCAAGCATTTCATTTCTTACATAGAGCCCTGCTTCTCTGCCTCCCCCCACATGTGTGTGTAATGAGATTGCTTAGGAAATTTCACGAAAAAAACCTCCAAACACCCAGTGATACTTGAGCTGAATTTTCATTGTAATGATTTAGTCTATAAAGCTAACTGAGCCCATAGAAATGAGAGTTCCGTAACCTGTCTTATCCTCTATGAAGCAGTTATTGTAGCTGGGCAGTTACAGCTTTGCGTTTGACATTATTGCCTTCCGTGTCCTCTTGAGGATTATGTTTCTGCCTCTCATTTATTAAATGCCTTACATGTTGTAGGAATGAGCATTCTCCTCCTCTAGGGAGAGGGATTTAGCTGTCTCTTTTATTGGGGTCCCCAGGAGGTAAAGTGCATGATAATAACCATCAGTGGGAGGTGATAGCAGGAAGACTCATGTTAGCTTAAGGGGGTAAAAGAACCACACGGGTAGCAGTCATATGTTGCTGTCTGCCTGCCTTTGATCATTTGACTCAGAGCTGCTTTCTCTTCCGCCCCTTTCTATCTTTCCTCAGGTAAGGACCATTTCCTGCCCCCCCCCCCCCCGCTTTTTTATTTTGGAAGTGTGATCGATGGTGTGCAGGCAAGGAATCTGCTCAAAAGCCACTGAAATTTTATAGGCTGGTTTTATTATTGTTCTAGATTCAGGTAGGTAGCCGTGTTGGCCTGACACAGTCAAAATATATTAAAAAATTGTCCAGTAGCACCTTAGAGACCAGCTAAGTTTGTTCTTGGTATAAGCTTTCGTGTGCTTCTGCACACGAAAGCTTATACCAAGAACAAACTTACTTGGTCTCTAAGGTGCTACTGGACACTTTTATTATTTTATTATTATTTTGAAAGCAGAATAGTATTACAGTGGTACCTCGGTTTAAGAACAGTTCTGTTTACGAATGATTCGGTTTACAAACTCCGCAAAACCGGAAGTAGTGTCCTGGTTTGCGAACTTTACCTTGCTCTAAGAACGGAATCCGAATAGTGGAAGGACACCGACGGCAGGAGGCCTCATTAGAGAAAGCGTTCCTTGTTTTAAGAACAGTTTCGGTTTAAGAATGGACTTCTGGAACGGATTACGTTCGTAAACCAAGGTACCACTGTCCCCAGTTTAGCAGGTTGCTTAGCTTGCATGCATTGCTTACTACTTCAGATGAACAAAAAAGTATGAATCAAGAGAATTTGTGACTGGTGAATCATGTAAGCCCCAGAGCACAGCAGTCTAAGACTGGGTTCTCAGCTTACAACCGTCTAGAAAAGTTGCTAAAGTATGGAGATTACAGAGTAAATTTAGGGAGACCTGAATTTGGGTCTCACCAACATTTATACTTTTGTGTCAGGTTCTCTCTCCTTCATGCTGGAAAGTGAAGGCATGCAATTTTTCTGTTGTGGTATCAGCATACTGTTCTGCTTGCTTCCCACCTGCTCATCCCAGTTCTTCCTAACAGACTGGCACGGGTATGAACACTCTTACCATGGTGTTTCAACGTTAGTAATGGTACTTCTGGGACACGGGTGGCGCTGTGGGTAAAACCTCAGCGTCTAGGACTTGCCGATCGTATGGTCGGCGGTTCGAATCCCCGTGGCGGGGTGAGCTCCCGTCGTTCGGTCCCAGCGCCTGCCCACCTAGCAGTTCGAAAGCACCCTTAAGTGCAAGTAGATAAATAGGTACCGCTTTATAGCGGGAAGGTAAACGGTGTTCCGTGCGCTGCGCTGGTGCCGGCTCGCCAGAGCAGCTTCGTCACGCTGGCCACGTGACCCGGAAGTGTCTCCGGACAGCGCTGGCCCCCGGCCTCTTAAGTGAGATGGGCGCGCAACCCCAGAGTCGGTCACGACTGGCCCGTACGGGCAGGGGTACCTTTACCTTTAATGGTACTTAAGCAGTTATCGGGGGGCGGGAAAAGGAGAGAATCCAGCACAGGGCTGCCATTTGTAGTTGAGTATAGCATTTGGGCTCATCCCCATTATATGGCTTTGGCCATGTCTCTCTTTCTCAGCCTTAGTTTCCTATATGTAAAATGGGCTCTTGCAAAGGCAAAGGCAAAGGCAATAAAGTCTTGTGGGCAAGAAATGCTACACAAATAATATGAACAGTAGGTGTAGGCACTTAAAGCAGAAGGATTTCTAAAAAGTTTCTATTAGGAACAAAGCCCAGTGGTTTGGTTTTGCTTTCTCAACACTGTGTAAATCCATATCACCAAGTGTGTCAGACTAAAATCTGAAAGCGTAAACATGAAGTAGGAACCAACTGCTTTCCCATTAATCTTCAAACTTTGGTTAGCATGACAACAGGTCACAACTCTTCCATTGCCATGACAATTTGCTGTGAGGTGGTTGAAATGTCATGCCATCAAGTTATTTTTAGTTTATTTGTTCTTCCCATGGAGACCAACTTCGACTGAAGTCGTGAAACAACTTCATTTTAAGCACCGTGAAAGATATTGGCAGCAAAGATCTCCCTGTCATTGGTGTTCCTCTCTTTCAAGTGATGGGCAATACTTTAGCGCTCATTTTCTCAATTATTGGTGATGTAATGGCTTTGGGTCCCTGGCCTGAATGGTGAGAGAAGATTCTGTAGTGTTAAATGTGCGTGGCTTGTACCTAAGAGAAAGGGAGATGAGTCAAAAGCAGGAACCTTCAGAAAGAGGCCGCTCTGAAATACTTTGTATGGCTTTCTATGGTTTTATTTACTTTTCCCCCATTTATGCATGCACATTTTGCATACACATACTCTTTACATGTGCCTTTTGTGTGCTGCTGTTATGGTGGGGACCAATGCATCAAAAAGTGGGTACAGATTTAAAAGAATTAAGTTATATATAGATAAGTAGGTACACTCACCTTTCTAATAGGTTAGAAAGCCAATTCAAAAATGTACTAAAAGTTGTTACAGTGGTACCTCGGGTTACAGACACTTCAGGTTACAGACTCCGCTAACCCAGAAATAGTACCTCGGGTTAAGAACTTTGCTTCAGGATGAGAACAGAAATCGCGCGGCGGCAGCAGTGGGAGGCCCCATTAGCTAAAGTGGTACCTCAGGTTAAGAACAGTTTCAGCTTAAGAACGGACCTCCAGAACGAATTAAGTTTGTAACCAGAGGTACCCCTGTATTTGTTCAAAATAAAATACATACAGTGTGCCCCCACAGTCTGATTGGTGGCAAGCATTATGATAATGTTGTCTATTGTCATCCAGTTTTGCAAAAGCTTCCCTAAATGCTCACATTTCAGGTATTCAACTTGCTATATCAGTGTCTTCAAGTGAAAGCATTTGTTCAGTTTCACATGCAAATGTTTAGCATTTTTTAGAAGAAAAGTCGGACCTGAAACAAATTGTGTCTGTGTGGGGTGCTCCTGTTCAAAATGACAGCCACCCCTGACTTTGCACCAGGATATTCCATTCATTCCATTTCACCTCCAGTTTCCTCTCTGCTCCCCATCAAGCCCAATCAGTATTCCATGCTCAGTGAGCATGCTCACTTTTCATTGACCTGTTTCCCCTCTCTCCCTGGTGGTTCTTAAGAGTTTTTGTGCTTCTGTAAACCTTAGAATTCCTCCAAGCTTGCTGATACATCCTGCCCCTGTGTGTGTGTGTGGTTTCATTTTGGCTGCTTAAGTTTTCACCTTCTGATACTGTCGGATCAAAGACAAGAAAAATCCTGTTCCAAAGCAAAGGGAAAGAACTGCGCCTGCAAGATACAAACAACACATTGCCGCGTGTATTCTGTCGCTCTCCAGTAACCAGTGAAAATAAAATGGGATGTTTTACAGACATCTGAGACACTCAGGGGGATAATTCCGTCCGGCATTTAATTGAGGAATTTCATGCCGCTACAATGGAATTTAATTTAGATTTACAGCCTTGTTAAACGCGCAGCCTTTCTGTTGCTGATTTTATAGTGCCTTGTCAAAAAGGGTTTGTTCCATGACCAAGTGGGATTTCGGTTGGTTACTGTAAAAATGCAGTAGCCGTAAAATCAGGGCTGCATTTAACCACTAAGGTACAGAAAGCTCTCTCTTGTCCCATTCTGTAACCTGCCTGCCACCCTTGGATGTGTCTATGGATTGCAGTGGCTGCCAGCTCTCAGTCTTGCTCACCATGTTTCTTTATGATGATGAACATGTGCACAGTGGTACCTCGGGTTAAGAACTTAATTCGTTCTGGAGGTCCGTTCTTAACCTGAAACCGTTCTTAACCTGAGGTACCACTTTAGCTAATGGGGCCTCCCGCTGTTCTGTTCTCATCTTGAAGCAAAGTTCTTAACCCGAGGTACTATTTCTGGGTTAGCGGAGTCTTTAACCTGAAGCGTCTGTAACCTGAGGTACCACTGTACAGTACATGTATGCAAGGGAAGCATAAAGGAGTAGCCAAGCCAGAGGTATTGGTGGTGGCTAGGAGTGTTGGGGAATTGGGTCCTGCTGTGAGCCCCTCGGGCCAAACTGATGTTCAGTGCACCTTTGCATTTAACACGCTGTTGTGTTAAGATACAAATTATAATTATCATTACTACTGCATGGGTGCTGGGGAAATTTAACTCCATCCCCCAAGCAGTTGCTATTTGCATTTTTTAAAGTCCACACTGAATGGATATACACATTTAACATCATATCTAGTTTGGACTCAAGTTTGGTTTTCAATGGGTGCAAATTCCTTTTCGTTACTTGCAAATTGCAATAGAAGTAACAAGTATACAGTCATACCTCGGGTTACAGCTGCTTCAGGTTGCGTTTTTTTGGGTTGCAGACTGCCGAAACCTGGAAGTACCGGAACAGGTTACTTCTAGGTTTCGGCAGTTGCACATGCGCAGAAGCACTAAATCGCGCTTTGCGCAGGCGCGGGTTGTGAACGTGCATCCCGCACGGATCACGTTCGCAAGCCGAGCGTCCACTGTATTTGTACTTAAACTTGCCTTTGTGTTCTATTTTCTTCATTCACCAGACAGGGAGTTGACTTTTCTGGAGCCCCCCACCCCAGAACAGTTTAAATTTGACAATGAAAACTTATTTCAAAGAACAGCTTCTGTTTCACAAGATTATTGTCTGGATGGGATCCAGAAAGACGTGGCATTTGCTGATCTCTGCACCTTTTTATTGTAGCCAAAAAGCAGCACTTGGCTGACACTGCCAGAGCATCTCTTTCCAGCAGAGCCAGCCAGACCTCTTAATCTATACAGGAGCCCTTGGGGAAGGTAAAAATTTTATGCACCCCAGGGAAGTAGCATGCAGTCTTAAAGGTGGATTGCCAGGACTCCTGGGTTTAATGCCGTAACATGCACTCCTTATCTGGATATTGAAACCTGAATGGCTGCATGATAATTTGTGGTTCAGGCCTCTTTTGTCCCTTCAGTGGTCGCACTACTGATTTAGCAGTGACTTTCCCCACTTCCATCCCTCTGAATAATCAACCTGCAAAATGAAAATACGACTGCTTGAAGATGGTTGGGTCTTCTATGAAACACCATATATTTTTTCTAAGCTTGTGCACTGTTATCAAGCAATTCCTGAGCATTATCTTTAAAAATATGCATTTATTGACCTCTGGCGACAACCTGCCTCTCGTGGAAAGAGATGTTTTGTGGAAGTGGAGGGGAACCCAGTCTGAGACCCTGGAAATAATTGATTTTGTCTGTTGAGCCACTCTTCTGATCTTGTAGTAGTTCATTGTTCGTGTTTGCTTATATGCGACATGACAAATAAAGTGCTATAAAAGTTAACGAATTCTGAACAGCCTCATAAGCAAATATATGTATAATTGCTTCAGTTAAAAAAGAAAATGAGAAAGTGGCACTTGAATCCCTTGCTTGTAGGAGAGGAGGCAGTCTGATCTGTGAGGTGTTTGTGTTGCAGTGCATGCTCTGGTTATCTCCCGCTTGGACTACTGCCATGCGCTCTATGTGGGGCTACCTTTGAAGGTGACTCGGAAACTACAACTAATCCAGAATGCAGCAGCTAGACTGGTGACTGGGAGCGGCCACCGAGACCACATAACACCAATCTTGAAAGACCTACATTAGCTCCCAGTATGTTTCCAAGCACAATTCAAAGTGTTGGTGCTGACCTTCAAAGCCCTAAATGGCCTCAGTCCAGTATACCTGAAGGAGCGTCTCCACCCCCATCATTCAGCCCGGACATGGAGGTCCAGTTCCGAGGGCCTTCTGGCAGTTTCCTCGCTGCAAGAAGTGAGGTTGCAGGGAACCAGGCAGAGGGCCTTCTCGGTAGTGGCACCCGCCCTGTGGAACGCCCTCCCACCAGATGTCAAGGAAATAAACAACTATCTGACGTTTAGAAGACATCTGAAGGCAGTCCTGTTTAGGGAAGTTTTTAAAGACTGATGTTTTAATGCATTTTTATTCTTTTGTCGGAAGCCGCCCAGAGTAGCTGGGGAAACCCAGCCAGATGGGTGGAGTATAAATAATAATAATAGTAATTAATGGAATAATGCCAGCCTCTATGCTTCATTCCTTGTAGGGAGCTGTGGCTACTTGGATGGTGAGAGATATGGGCGGCTGCTGGAGAATTATTAGGAGTAGCCTGGCATGCCAATACAGCCCCCCTCCACTCTTCCAAATTAACTGTTAAATAAATCTTGTTCATTCCAAGAGCTGCTTTTGTGACATCAGTCTCTTCAAACGAACACTCAGTTAATTAATATTGAAGTCCATTTGAAAAACTAGGGGGGGAAACTGTTCATGTAAATGGGTGCTTTGGTCAGCTGCGTGCTTGATAGCTCTGCAGAAGACACAGGCATCCGCAGATCTGGCTGCCAATTTAATACTGAATTATTATTTTTTTAAGCATTCCTTCTTTGCTACTGAAATTTCAGGACGAGCTTCTTGCAGCTGTAAACGTTTCCACGTGACAGCCGGTTAGAGCTGAGATATTTCTCCCGTAGGCCAGTGTGCACATCTGTGCTGGCAAATGACATTAGCTGACCCCCTCTGGTGTTAGTTAGCATGGTGTGTAGCTTCGGCAGCGCAGCATTCACACTATAATGCTGCAAGGATTCTGGAAAGCACGTGACTTGACATCTTCATCAGCTTCTTTGCCCAGTGGGCATGCTTTTTGTGGGACGTCTTTCTCGACGCTGTCCGGGTGTGTGACACTGACAAGCCAGTTTTAAAATCATTATCCTGATTTTAGTTTGCTAGGCATCAGGGTGGGTTTGATTTAAATCAATTTGATTTAAATCACGATTTAAATCACTCGTCAGTAAGACTTGATAAAAGACCTCTCTTTTAAATCAGAACCAGTGAAGGCGGTGAAGGTCCTGTGCGAGTGCCTGGAGGCTGTTGGAGGATGCATGGCGGCTAACAGATTGAGGTTGAATCCTGACAAGATTTTTGTTTTTGTTTTTGGGGGACAGGAGGTGGGCGGGTGTGGAGGACTCCCTGGTCCTGAATAGGGTAACTGTGCCCCCGAAGGACCAGGTGCGCAGCCTGGGAGTCATTTTGGACTCACTGCTGTCCATGGAGGCGCAGGTTAAATCTGTGTCCAGGGCAGCTGTCTACCAGCTCCATCTGGTACGCAGGATGAGACCCTCCCTGCCCGCAAACTGTCTTGCCAGAGTGGTGCATGCTCTGGCTGTCTCTCGCTTGGACTACTGCAATGCGCTCTACGTGGGGCTACCTTTAAAGGTGACCCGGAAACTCCAACTAATCCAGAATGCAGCAGCCAGACTGGTGACTGGGAGTGTCCGCCGAGACCACATAACACCGGTCCTGAGAGATCTGCATTGGCTCCCAGTACGTTTCCGAGCACAATTCAAAGTGTTGGTGCTGACCTTTAAAGCCCTAAACAGCCTTGGTCCAGTATACTTGAAGGAGCGTCTCCACTCCCATCTTTCAGCCCAGCCCAGTGCCGAGGGCCTTTTGGCAGTTCCCTCATTGTGAGACGTGAGATTACAGGGAACCAGGCAGAGGGCCTTCTCAGTAGTGGCGCCCGCCCTGTGGAACCCTTTCAGATGTGAAGGAAATAAGCAGCTATCTTCTCTTTAGAAGACATCTGAAGGCAGCCCTGTTTAGGGAAGTTTTTAATATTTAATGCTGTATTGTTTTTAACACTTGATTGGAAGCCGTCCAGAGTGGCTAGGGAAACTCAGCCAGATAGGCGGGGTATAAATAATAAATTATTATTATTATTATTATTATAAATCACTTTTTTACAGACTCATTCTTGCTGGTATAATCTTAATATTTACAATTGGGAAGAAGGGCATGGATCCATTGAACTCTTATTAGTTGACTGGCAAGGACTTCAAGGTCTCGCCAAGGACTTACAAATCCCAGTTACTATTTCCACCACACACGCATACACCCTTTGGATTTGCTTCTACATTCAGGTTCCTATTCTGTACAGTTAAGTGTTAGTGCAGTTGTTGGAACCCAGTGGGATTGGGAAGAGGTTGCCAGCCCTGAAATGCCTTCAGCACTTGCCTCAAGTCTGATTTGCACGGACATGCAACTGACTTGCACAATCATTACACAAAGATCCCAAGACTTGTGGAGTATTCTGCTCACAAGGTTGCACTTTCATTTTTTAAAATATATATATAATTTTTATTAGTTTTTTTAACATATCATTTTCAACAGTAACTAAACATACTTTTACATCTTATTCAATTTTTTTGACTTCCATCAATCCTGTCTGAAAATTTTCCAGTCTAATCTCTCAGTATTCATTTCTTATCTTCCCTATTACATTTCAAACTCATGACCAATATCTCTATCTTTTTCTCCTTTGTAACACGTTGTATATTTCTTCTTACAAAACCTCTTGTAGTCCTACCAGCGTAATTTGTTGATTGCAGTTGCTCTTCAAATAATTCATATACTTCTTCCAATCTTCTGTGAATCTCTGGTCCCGCAGGTTTCGAATCCTTCCTGTCATTTTGTCCAATTCTGCATAGTCCCTTAATTGGTTGCACTTTCATTTTTACTGCTGCACACTCAGCTACTTCTGCAGATCTATTCCACCCCAAACAATCTATTCATTGAACCTCTTGGAACTTAGCATTTAAGAGGTAAGGGGTTGTTTCTGTGTGTATAAATTTGCAAAGGAACAATGGGATTAAGGTTTTTTCCTCAACTCTGTATGTTCATTTTGTAACATTTTTCCTGTGAAGAAAAGGCATGTTATCTCTGCAGACACAAATTCACACTTTTGAGAACTGCAAAAACAAGCATCTGTGATAATATCTTCTCGTTAGAAAAACTGCCCCAAATAACCTTACAGAAACCTCTGGAAGAGCATGACATTGTGAATGGATTAATGGAATTCATTTACCAAAAAATTTAAACATTGCATATAAAGCCTCATGCTACATAATTAAAAACAAATCCTTTCCCCCCCATGAATAGCCTTTGGACTATAATGTAACTTAAATAGAAAACTATCTTTAGAAAGATTTTTCCTCTGAAAGCATTTTATTTTTTTAAAAAAATCCAATTTAAATTTAAAAAATCTAATTTAAATTTTTAAAAATCTGATTTTTTAATATAAAAAAACCCATTAAAAAAACCATTTTCCACCTTGCCAGGCATGGAGCTGTATGATCCTGGGAAGGGGACACACACTCATGGTTGTGGAGCTGTTTCCTGATAGGCATCTCTTTGTCTTTTCAGCTTATTTTGTTTGGCCCTTTCACCAGCTGCTTCCGATGACTCCTTGGTTTCTGCAACTGGGAAGTCATCCTGTCAGGTTAAGGGGATGGGGCAGCCCCTTACAAAATTGTGTGTGGTTTCTTCTCTCGCACAAAGCTGGAGGGCAACCAAGATTCTAAAGGACCTGGAAACTAAGCCTTATGAGGTTGTTGGATGTATTTAACATTTAACACAGAGAAGCGAAGACTAAGAGGTGATATGATAGTCATCTTCAAATATCTGAAGGGTTGTCACATGTAAGATGGGTGTTGGGAGCACCCTACTCTTGTGTAGGAGCCTGGTAGAGACACATGCCCGACTGGCATGTTCTCTCCCTCCTGGTCAGTCGTTCGGGAGCTTCAAAAGCTTTCTCCAACCCGAACATCACAGCGACTAATACCAAAAGGTATTAGCATACTTAGGGACCTGCAGAGTATTGGCAGTTTGCGTAACAGAACTCAGTAGCACAGCATTTTGGCTAATCTACTTTATTTACATATAATACACTCAGAGCATTCTGCCTTAGCTCCTGCCTCTTTCTCATTAGACAGAAAAGAGAGAAAACAAAGGACAATAGTCCCACTTCATGGAACACAGTGACACAAACATCCTGTCTCTGTCACTTCCCACACTGTGGAATGAAAACATACACCGTCATGTGATAGACTACAATCCCATGACTGCAGACACGGGGAATGAATCTCCAACTTTTGAAGCTGGAGGATGTTCTTTCATTGGAGGTATTTAAACAGAAGTTGGATGGCCACCTGTTAGGGATTCTTTGGTTGGGATTCCAATTTGGACTAGATGGCCCTTCCAGCTCTACAGAAGGTTGGGAAAGGCTGCGTGAGTATCTCTTGTAATGCTGAGGGATGAGGCTTTCACTGATGGAGCCAGGGTTTTTAAGGAAGCAGTTCTGCTCTTTCCTTGCCACTGGGCTAACATGAACAACCCAGCAACAACTGCTCACCACACCAAGTTTACTGGGCCTCAGAAATAACAGATTATCCAGAGTCACCTGAAACACCTTCTACGAACTGGGATTTAAACACAGACCCGCTAAAATCACAATCCAGGAAATTAAATTAGGCTGTATTTATACCATACATTTGAAGCAGATTCTCCCCTTCTCAGTAGTCTGGGAACTGTACTTCACACACATAGCTACAGTTCCCAGCACCCTTAATAAATTACAGTTCCCAGAATTCTTTGGGGATGGATGGGAATGTGCTTTGAATGTAGGGTGTGAGCACGGCTTTAGGTGTGCGAATTTCTTTGGTTTCCTTTTTCCAACCTGCCTGTTGAGAAAGGGTTTGCCATTGTAAGAATCAGGATTGGGGCGATCAAAGGAATTCCTTCAGGTGAACTGGTGCCGGTGGTGCGAAATCGTGTCCTCTTGACGATGCAACCAGATATTTTAATGACAAGGGGACATGCATGCGGAGATCAGTGACTTGAGGTCCTCTTAGATAATAAGACAGGCTGAATTAATGGTGGCAGGAGGGCAGACTTTCTAAAGATGAGGTTTCTAAAGATGAGGTGCCTTCCTTTTGCTTTCAAAGATTGTGCTTTATCTCTCCACAACAGTCAAGAGCAGATTGCATGAGGTTTTTTTTAATGTCTTGCTTGTAATCTCTCAACGTACATCAAAATGGCTTTTCGCCCTCCTGAGTGTTCAGCTTTTGCATTCATATATTAAAGGCTAGAAACACAATATGCTTTCTCCCTCCGCCTCCCCAGCCCGGCTTTGATCTATAACCTTGAAAATGTAGATTGCTTCCATTGATTTTTCTTTGTTTTGTTTTGTATTTTGTTGTGTGTTATCTGTCAGTGGAGTATACGGTGGCCACGATCTAAAATTTGCTTTTGAAGCTTTAACAGTGTTATGTGAGCATACAGTGTTTTGAGCAGCGAGCAGCGGAGTCAGAATGAATTAAGGTAATTTTGTGCTAAGGCTGTGTTCCCCGCTATGGAAGAAGCAATACAATCTGTGCCTGAAGGAGAGTTAATATTTTTTACATTCCGGCAGAGTGATGCAGTAATGAGCTGGTGAATGAGCAGAGTGAAAGTCATGGAGTCAAATGAAGACAGTTACAGGCTCATGCTTCCAATGGCTGGTGCAGAAAGGATATAGGAGATAACCAACACCACTCTTCTGTACGTGTATATTATGTATAAGATGTGATATCTGACCCAGAAATCACATCTTTGTATGGCCTGTTGATTAAACCATTTGGCATAATATTTTAGCTTCTTGTGAAAATCTAGTTGATTGTGTTATGGCAGAATGGGAAATGGCTGCATAATCTCTTTTGTGTATATAATTCTCTCTTTCCCTCTTCCTCATTAGTGTGTGTGTGTGTGTTTGTGTGTACACAAAGAAGCATATATTACATGAAGAGGAAGTTCTTGGAAATGAGGCGAATTCATTACCTCTCCATCATATTGCTAGATTTGAAGAGGGAAATTTCCATGCCTAGCAACATGTGACCTGCAAACAGGCAGCCTAACAGCAACTCTGATTAGCGCAGGCTCGTGTGGCTGACTTGCCATTTGTGGAGTTATTCCATTTAACAATATTCATATGCCACTTGATTGTAATTAAACCTCAAAGTGGTTTACAGAAAATAAGGCATTAAGGGCTGGATTCAACTATATAGCTGCACTAGTGGGAGCCTTCATGGTGAGTCCTGCTAGTGCAGTAGGCCTTTCCTTGCTCTTCCCTGCCCCCCGCCAAGTGGCTATGGAAGGGGCAAGAGAGCTTAGAGGAGGAGAATCTTCTAAGTGCAACACTGAATTCCATCCAATAATTATCAATAAATAACAGGTATTTAAAAAAAATCATTCCAGGCTAATTAAAATAAACAGTAACCTATAAAAAAATTAAGGAACTTGTAACTTCTATGGATAGCTTTGCCTAGCCCAAAATGTTTTAATCAGGTGCTGGAAAGAGTCTTCTTCTTCTTAGGCGATCACTCATAGCCAAGTAAGATTGTCTTCCATAAATACAATCTTAACAGTGAGTCCATAAGTGACTGTGGAGGCTAATTCTGAATCCACACGTCCTTCCACAGTGGGGACATATGTTTCTGGGTGGGAGTTGATCATGGTGAGGGTTTGCCAAGCGTGCCTTCCTCTTAGCACATTTCTCCCTTGTGACCAGAGTTTGAGCGTCTTCAAAGCCCATGACACCTTTGGTAAAGGCTGTTCTCCACTTGGAGTGTTTGCAGGCCAGTGTTTCCCAGTTGTCGGTGTTTATACTACATTTTTTAGATTTGCCCTGAGAAAGTCTTTAAACCGTTTTTGTTGACCACCAGCATTACGCTTTCCATTTTTAAGTTGGGAATATAGCAGTTGCTTTGGAAGACGAACCAGGCATCCGCACAGTATGACCAGTCCAGCAACATTGATGTTGATGAATTCTATTGCTTTGACACTGGTGATCTTTGCTTCTTCCAGTAACCTGGCATTAGTTCACCTGTCTTCCCAAGTGATGTGTAAATTTTCTTGGAGACACTGTTGATGGAATCTTTCAGGGAGTTGGAGACGGCATTTATAAGTGCTCCATGTACAAGCATACAGTGAGGTTGGTAGTACAATAGCTTTGTAAACAGGCATTTTGGTTTCCCTGCGAATGTCCCTGTCCTCAAACACTCTTCACTTCAATCGGGAAAAAGCAAAGGCGCCTGCCTGATGTCTTCTATCTGAAATCATTTTAACTAGATTCAGGGCATGCACACCATATGCAGCTGTTACGTTCCATGGATGGCACGTATACGCAAAAGTGCATATACTCAAACCACCGCCTTGGAACTGTCCCTATGTCCACCATCTTGCCTTACCAGATAGCTTGTAGGCTCTCTGCCTTGCTTAAAGGTAAAGGTAAAGGGACCCCTGACCATTAGGTCCAGTCATGGCCAACTCTGGGGTTGCGGCGCTTATCTTGCTTTATTGGCCAAGGGAGCCGGTGTACAGCTTCCGGGTCATGTGGCCAGCATGACTAAGCCGCTTCTGGTGAACCAGAGCAGCGCACGGAAACGCCATTTACCTTCCCGCCGAAGCGGTACCTATTTATCTACTTGCACTTTGACATGCTTTCAAACTGCTAGGTTAGCAGGAACTGGGACCAAGCAACGGGAGCTCACCCCGTCGCTGAGATTCGAACCACCAACCTTCTGATCGGCAAGCCATAGGTTCAGTGGTTTAGACCACAGCGCCACCCACATCCTTGCTTACTGATATCCAAATTGAATACTTGGAGGGAATGTTCCTCCTGCTATATGTTTGAGGGTAGGATGAAGCAAAAAGTTAATTTAAAATAGTAAGAATTTTTCTTGTTTGTACAGAACATTACTTCCACGTACCTCTGTGAAAGGCAGGCAGACATGTTGCAGTTAGCAATCCGAATAACACTATAAAAATGTGAAGTATGTTGCAGAAACGTAAATCACTGGAACCTGCATTCTCCTCTCGTCTTTTTGGAACACACTCAGAATAATTTGTAGCTACTGGGAGTTTGTGATATTGGCACAGCTCAGCAGAAGGCTTCTGCTAAATTTTTCCTGGTGTTCCAAACTATCATGAGCAGTAAATTTACTCTTTTGAAAAAAATGAATACCCTTTCCTGCCAAGGAATAACACTTCTTAAAGGTTAAGCCTATCTCCAAAGTTATTTAATCTGCTTTGATTTATTCTAGGGCTCCAGAACGCCACACCCTTTCCATCTCGCAAAATCTGTACTTCAAAATTTTCCAAACAAGAAAAGAACAGGATTAAAAAATTGCAAAATCTTCATAATGAAAATAACTGGGTATAGCATGAGCTGTAAAAATCCTGCCCTTCTGAGGGGATGCCCCGGAAGCTATATGGGAGAACAGTCAGCATTTCACTATTAATCTCTTTAACATTGTCTGTGCCAAAAATACTCCTTCATGGCTCCTGAGGTACGTGACAGCTATCACCCAGTGACTATTATCCCCTTTATGGGCAACATGCTGGAGAGAGTGATGGCAGTTCAGCTGTAGACACTTCTGAAAGAAATCAATTATCTGAACCCAGTCCCATCTCTCTTTTTGGTGAAAGTTCAGCGTTCAGACTGCTGTATCCTGCTGGTTCTTCCCCTCCACCCCTTCCCTCTTTTTGCACAAGGACTGTGAATGTCACAGCACTAAGTCGGGCAAACACTATTTATGACTATTTATTACTTACACGATGCACTATTCTCCCCTCCTGCAACCCCCTGGCATCTCAACTGTGTTTGAGTGTTAAATACAATCTGTGTTGCTTCACTGAACGCTGTGCAAGATCCTTATAGCATCTACACCTGTCCACTTAACAATAAAACTATCTTCTATTTTTAAACCTCGGCAGCACAACTCCATCTCTTTCATTACTTGAAAGTCCAGTCAAAACTCCAGGCTCCGCTCAGAACTAAAAATAGGTTTATACAGCTAGACCACTGTGGGTCTCCAATCCTTGTTTTGAAGCTCACATGGTTGAAAATGCCTGCTGTTGTCATGGCCCCGGGACTGAGGTACCGGGCAGCAGTTGAGAAGTAGCGTCAGACTTGCTCCCCAATCCTTCCCACACAGGACCCTCTGCTTTCGATCCTGTGCCCCATCTGCTTAGGAAATACCACAGCACTCACAGCACTCTGAAGGGTGGAACTTTGACTTTTCCAGAAAGCTAGAATGCCTTTGGGGGTAGTGTTTTTCAACCAGGTCCCCACTAACCACAACCTTCACCCACAAGAAGGAGCCAGTAACTGGAAAAGAAGATGCAGGTCCTTCAAGATGGCTGGTTGTAGCACTAAGCGTGGGTTGAATCTCCAGAAATACCTTTGTTGTTGTTTAGTTGTTTAGTCGTGTCCGACCTCCGCTTCAGGATCTGTTCTTCCAGTGAGCACTCAGGGCTGATTTCCTTCAGAATTGATAGGTCTGATCTTCTTGCAGTCCATGGGACTCTGAAGAGTCTCCTCCAGCACCAGCACCAGAAGTACCTTAGGGAAGCTTTTAATGTTTAACAGACCACTGTATTTTAATACTTTGTTGGAAGCTGCTCAGAGTGGCTGGGGAAACCCAGCCAGATGGGGGGGTATAAATAAATCATTGTTATTATTATTATTACTATTACTATAGCTACAGGGTTGCTGTCAGTGGCCTTGAACTGGTGCAAATAATATCTGGGGCAGCATCTGCAGTGCTGCAGTGGAGACAGGTTGTGTATCCCCAGTAGTGACCAGAGGAGGAATGACCACTGGGGGGAGTGCAGACAGAAGAAACCCCACGGTGCACCTGTAGCAGCGAAACTGGACACCTTCATCTCCCTCACCTGCAATAAAACATGTCTCTCCCGTATCAGTCTCTACAGCCACAGCAGGCGCTGTGACAATTCCAAAGGTTTGACATAACCTCAGAAGGTGCACTCCTCCATTGAGACACGGATGCCAACAATTTGCAGTGCTGTCCAGGGTCCTGAACCTGCCTTGCTCCAGATCAGTTCTAGCTATATCCACCTTGCCTTGCATCTTCTGGGAACCACCACCATCCTGGAACAACAGAATCTCTGATGGATCAGGACACCAACCACATACTAAGACATTTCTTTTCCATGAAGTATCTAGATATGTAGTTGGTTTGCTTTGGTATCCCCTGATTGTTTAAAAGATGAATAGTCTTTCCCAGCATGGGGTTTTTTAAAGTATAGCAGCTGTATTTTGCAGGTGATCTAAAAACAATAAAATGATACAAATAGTGATCTGACTACCCATGCCAGAAAGACAACCACATGTATTGGTCGTGTGTTTCACCAAGACTGACTCCGGCTAATTTATTCCGCTTCTCTTTAAACCCTCATTTTACACATTTTAGCAACTGACAGCACAATCTTAACCATGTCTACTCAGATGCAAGTCCTATTGAATTTAATGCAGCTTACTCTCAGGTAAGAATTGCAGCCTAGGCCCTTCAAACTTTGGTTCTGCACACTAAGACAGAAAGGTTTTGTCCCCCCAAAAATTCAGCCCTCCTTTCACCATCTCAGGCATGGCTTTAGTCTCTGGCTAGTCTAGCTAGCTGGATTAGATACCTTTAAAGAGTTTGTCCAACTCTCGGATTCTTGCATATCCCAATGTGAAATTCAACTGTTGCCTGGTACCTATGCCAATATAAACAATCTTTCCAGACATCTACTCCCTCCATCTAGAGATTCAGCAAATACGGTTCATGTTCATAGCCTGATTTATGGGCAGTGCAATCCCCAGGAGTTGATTGGAGCTACTTGCCGCAGTAAATTAGATGTTGAGCCCTTCAGGGCAAGGTCTTGGCCTCTCATGCTTTTGTAGAGTGCCCAGCGCACTTTGCTGATCTGGAAAATGGCTATTAATTAAGCATGCATAACACTGCAGCAACAAGGACTGCTCAACCATTTCTTTGTGGGTCAAGGACTTACTTCTCTTGGTTGGAAGTAGGTGTGCATGCAAATATAATCTTCCCCACCTCTTTCACTTCTTCTTAAAGACTTTTTGGAGTAATAGGAGTTGGAGATTTCTGCTATTTCAGACTTTAAATTATGACAGCCTGGTGGAAAAGTCAAAGTTGGCTTTAGCATGAGGAATTTTTTGGACACCCTCTAGGGACGCAGAACTGACATTAGCTCCTTTCCCTGAGGTTTATAGAGGAGAACTTCCCAGTGTGTTGCATTCCTTATTAATTAGTGGAAGAAGATGTGCCATTTGAATGTTCTATCTCTGACCCCACCGTCCTTGTGCTAATCTTACAGATGTGCTTGAATTTACAAGGGCTTGCATAGAACTTGCCAGTGGATTGTACCCATAGGCCAGAGCTGTTAGTCTTCTACTCTGCCCCTCTTGGCAACCTCTGAGATTCAGCTCTGGAGGCAGCCACTTAGTTCACCTCATGCTGAGACTATCTTCCGGTAAAGGGTTAAGTACAGGTTCTGGTTTGTACTTTGGGAGAAATTATATGCTATGACAGGGGTAGGCAACCTAAGGCCCAGGAGCTGGATGCGGCCCAATTGCCTTCTAAATCCAACCCGTGGACGGTCTGGGAATCAGCATGTTTTTGACATGAGTAGAATATGTGCTTTTATTTAAAAAGCATCTCTGGGTTATTTGTGGGGCATAGGAATTCGTTCATTCCCGCCCCCCCCCCAAATATAGTCTGGCCCACCACATGGTCTGAGGAACGGTGGACCAGCCCATTGCTGAAAAAGGTTGCTGACCCCTGTGCTATACAGTACTTGACCTGCCTTGCACCTGATATTTCATCAGTATTGAAGTTGTGTCATGTTTTCCCAGTGTTTAGATAAGATGCTGGCAAATCAGTTGTGAATCTTGGGCTGCTGTGGTTCATTTGTATGGGAGCTATTTTTATCATATACAGTGGTACCTTGGGTTACAGACACTTCAGGTTACAGACTCCGCTAACCCAGAAGTAGTACCTCGGGTTAAGAACTTTGCTTCAGGATGAGAACAGAAATCGTGCTCTGGCGGCGTGGCGGCAGTGGGAGGCCCCATTAGCTAAAGTGGTGCTTCAGGTTAAGAACAGTTTCAGGTTAAGAATGGACATCCAGAACAAATTAAGTTCTTAACCCGAGGTACCACTGTAATGGTAGAGTTGGTAGACGCCAGGGGTCATTTAGTCAAAATCCCTGCAATGCAGGAATCACAGCTAAAGAATCCCTGACAGATGGCCATCCAACCTCTGTTAAAAAACTTCCAATGAAGGAGAGTCCATCATCTTCCAAGGGAATTGTTCCACTGTGGAACAGCTCTTAACGTCAGAAAGTTCTTCCTGATGTTCATTCAGCAGCTCCTTTCTTGCCATTTGAATCCTTTGGTTCGGGTCCTGCCCTCTGAAGCAGCAGAAAACCAGCTTGTGCCATCGTCCATTTCGCAGCCCTGGGTATGGTCTTGCTGAAGGTATGCACTTTAGAGAGCCAGTGTGGTGTAGTGGTTAAGAGCGGTAGTCTCGTAATCTGGGGAACCGGGTTCGCGTCTCCGCTCCTCCACATGCAGCTGCTGGGTGACCTTGGGCCAGTCACACTTCTTCGAAGTCTCTCAGCCCCACTCACCTCACAGAGTGTTTGTTGTGGGGAAGGAAGGGAAAGGAGATTGTTAGCCGCTTTGAGACTCCTGAAGGGGAGTGAAAGGCGGGATATCAAATCCAAACTGCTGCTGCTGCTGCTGCTGCTGCTACTACTACTACTACTACTACTCTTCTTCTTCTTCTTCTTCTTCTTCTTCTTCTTCTTCTTCTTCTTCTTCTTCCTCTTTAAAATCAGAATCAGGTTGATTTCCGTGGTGCAGATCGGATGTGGTTAATTTTTTGTCATTGGAATCAATGGGACAAATGCTTAACTTTGACTGGATCACGTCACGTATATTGTTCTTCAAGATGTGACTTGCTCTTCTTGCAATGCTGGGACACAGCTGCAGAATTCACCTTCATAAGAAAACCAGTAACAAAGCCTGTCTTGGTTTGTGTGTGTTAGAATGTTATTTAACTATCCAAGCTCCACTTGCACTCTTATTTTTTCTTCTTTAAGTACTCTTCCTCCTCCATGCCTCACTGGTCTTTAAGGAAAGAATATGTCTGTAGTGCTCAAGCTTTCTAACAAAGCAATTTCGCTCTTAAATAGAGACGTTAGGTTTCTCAGACCATCCTAATAGGCTGGATAAGAGGTTTCATACCGCCTTGCTTAGACGGATAAAATAAGGCTTAACCAAATCAGCATTGAGCAAACAATATATGCTTCCTTCATCAACATAATGGATCCTTCAAATGTGTGCATGCCTTAGAAGCAGAGGCCCTTTCCTTCTTAGCAGTGTATTTACTTTGCTTCCCAACAGCTTTCAGGATAAGCCCTGGATTTGCTGTGTTTCTTTTCCACACTCGCTTTGTAACTGCATGCCCAAGACAAAGCCACATCCCCGGCCAGTGATTTTATCCTGTTTTTAAAAGCAGAGATGGCTTTCGTTTCACTGAATGTCACCACCTGCTTGTACAAACTGTAAGTGTTAGGGGGAAATGATTTGAAAGCTACCACTCCATGTATGCCTCAAATCCAGGCCACTAAGACGAGAGACCAGCCAAGGATGGAGAAAAGTCTTGAACCTATAGTAGCAAAATTTCTAATTAATTCTGAGTGGAGAGCTCTGAATCTTCCATGAACAAAGCTTTTTAAAAAAATCTGGAATCCTGGTGAGGCAGGATTTTCCTTTTCAGAAGTTGGGCTGATTAATCCTTGGCACGCCTTGTTCGTTTGTATACTTCATAATTATTACAATGCTTATCCTGAGATAAGACAGTTGGGCTAACAGACCTAGAATTCCCTGGTTCATGTTAGATGGGTCTTTGAAAGTGGCTGATAAATTGGTTACCTTTCAATCCTCTATCAAGGAACCAGCTTGAGTGACAACATGCTTATTCCACATTACTGCTACTTTTTGTTTGAAACATCAGCTGTATTTTATTGTTGATATGACACCTTGCAGCATGGGACCTTTTCAGTTTCCTATTTAAATTTCCATGCAAATGACTCATCAGGCTGGGCCATGTCAATTTGGGCACTTTTGAATTTTACAGTTCATAGAAAACTTCATGCTCATGTGTTCCTACATGAAAGAGTAGGCTGTGCACCTTTGCAAGATTGACAACATTAGCATTATTTGGTGCTTATTTTCATTAAATGCCTTTCTATAGAACAGTCCTTTATAGAAGATTACTTGGCTTTTATAGAGAGTATTGTACAGGAATTTAGGAGTCTTCTGCTTTCATTACTTTTTTTACGTTGTGATTAAGTCTCATCATTCAAGGTGGATGCAGTTCATCATATAAAATATTTGGAAAGCACAGGCAACAACATTATTATTATTTATTAAATTTATTTACTGCAGGTGTCAGGGCAGTTTTATAATCGTAATATGCCATCTCACAGCTCCTTGTGAGGCAAGTATGATGAACCTGATTTTTACAGCTAAAGATGCTGCGGAAACAGATGACTTGCCAAAATCCACAAGTTTTGTAAAAGCCAGATTCTGGAGATGTCTGCACCAGTGTTAGTTGGCTTGTTCTGCCCCAGTCAATGAGCAACTGTTTGTTTTCTATTATTCCATTTATATCCTGCCTTTCTTCCATCATGGAACTCAAAGTGGCAAAAACAACTGTCAGATCTAGTTAAACCCCATGTCCCATTTATCTGCAAAATTCGCCTTGAAGGACTTCAGGTTAAAAATCTGAAATAGAGGCCACGATCCAGGAGATTTAAGCTGCACATTCAACCAACATGTTCCAGTTCTCAGCTGCAGAAAGGGAAAGAGCCCATGAATGTCCCACGTTCTGGTCAACTGCGGTTGGCAATCCATGTGCTCGTGATCAGAAAGACAGAAGTCTCCACTCTCCTCCTCATCCCGCTGTGAATGTTGAGCTGAATTACTGCTGCATACAAGAAACTCGCAGCACGCAAGACATTATACAAATAATAAGCTATTACATTACTGTTTATCTGGAGAAGCATCAGTCAATTATTTTACACCCAGTGCTCATGAATGCACGGCCACTAACCCAGTGTCGACATTTGCACAATCTGAAAAGCTTCCATTGCAAGTAGAGCTGGCCGACCCCTTCCTAATTACTTGTGCTAAGTGATGCAACATCAAATATGAACCAGGAGATTATAGCCCCATGACTCTGTCATTTCCTTGAGCTGCAGAAAACTGCTGCAGACACGATCTTCTGCTTGCTGTTGCAGCTCAGCTCCCAGCGATTATTAATACTGTTAATTAGAGAAAGAACCCCACATCTGCTCAGTGCCGGGGCTAAATTCAAAACGGAGACAAAGAAAATGATGTCCAGCTCCGCTTTGGTTGGCTCACTAAGCAAGGGGCTTATCGTAGGGTGTTCCCCGACACCATGTTTCCTAAGATATCATGACAGCCCCTTTCCTCAAATTCTTTTCATCCAAGTCACCACATTGGCCAATTGACAGGTATTTCTACTGTATTGCATGGAAGGTCAGAAACTGTTTTCGTTTTGGGCCCTAAGATGAAAGCAAGAAGAGATTCCGATGAAAGAAGAGTGGCAGATGAAGTTAATGGACTATGCCAAGCTGGCAAAATTAACCTGGAAAATTCAGAACCAGCAGGACCAGACCTTTCCAAAAGACTGGAGCAAATTTTTGTTTGTATTTGAAAGACAGTTGTCAACAATTAACATCGTTAGTGGGGTTCCAAGAAGTTTTGTAAGGTTAAATGTATCATTTACTATTAAATATTATTTATAATTGATAAGATTTAAGGGTAATAATAATATTAACAAAATGCAATATCAGAGTGTAAACAAGAAAACCATTAGTCGAGGAGGTGGGAAGTCTCAGGCCGAGATGGCCAATTGGTTTATATATATTATATGCAAGACGGATGCTATGTTAAAAAATATTATTAATATTAAAAAATATTTTAAATATTATTAAAAAAAGAAAGAAACTGTTTTCATTTTAACCATTCCATCAGCCATGGGCTCTTCCCAGTGAAAATATATAGTTAGGAATTGGAGTCATTTTTTTCCATGCACGTGAGCATCCATGAGACTCTCCTCGCACTATATTGTTAATATATTAATTATAGGTATTTAAACCAAACCCAAAGACCCGTTTAGTCCAGCATCTTGTTCTCACAGTGGCTAACGTGATGTTACGAGAGAGGGAGGAAAACAAAATGTTGAACTCTCAGTTGTCATCAACCCCAGACAAGCAGGGCCTATGGTCAGGGTTGATGAAAGCCTAAAACATCTGGAGGGCTCCATGTTGGAGAAGGTTGATCTAGAAAATCTGTTCCATGCACAGACACAGAATTCATGAGTAGTGCACCAAGCAGTTTGGTACGTATTGGTAGCAGGGCAGAAGAGAAAATATTCATTGATGTAGACTAGTGGTGGTTTTTGGTCCTGCTGGGACTTCTGCTTATCTGTGCAACAGCTAATTTTATTAACTAATAATAAGTTTATTAATATGCATTCTATTTGCCTCCTTAAGTTTCCAGCCTGTCGTCTTTTCCTTTTCCTTTTGTACTGTAGTTGGAACTAAATGAAATACAGAGTTTTCTACTTCAGTGTCAACTTTTACCCAAAGGGTCATGAGGATTTGGCCATGTGCTCTTGGCTATCTATCAGCATTTAGAAGCCGTTAACCTCCCTTGATTGATAAGGTCACATTCTTTATAAATTCATCAAAGACCAAATTGTGAGACACTGATGTATTACATGAATGGGAATAATCGCACAGATGGCGGAAGGCTGGCAGTGAGATAAAAAAAAAATGGCAGTATTATTTTTCCCCTCTCAAATTCTGTCCTTCAGAATTAATTATCCAATCTGCTTAAAACTGAGCAACCTAATGAAATTTCACACCCACTAAATTTAATCATGGAATACTCATGTGGGTTTTGATTCAGTTAAAAACTGCCTCCAATATTTGGTGACACTTTCATTAAAAATGCAGATTTTAAAATATATCTTTATTTTCCCCTTACACACGAATACCTATTGGCTTCTATGAACAAGAGCCTGGGGATGAAGGAGGTATTTGTGGGTATACTGTAAAAGTATAGATTACCTTATTTCCTCCTATAAATACACCTAGCGCACTATAAGATTGTGGTTAAGACAATTCTTTTGCTTCCTACTTGATTTTAAGGGCTTGGACTGGAGATGCAAGTTTCCTTTGTTGCAAGTTTTTACTGTAGATTAATGTTGACGTTTGAGGCTTTTTGTAACCTGCATCTTAATTGTATTGCCTTTGTTATTACGTGGAAGCAACTATATGCAGAGTGTAATGCAAGGAAACTACTCTGAAAGCTCTACTGTATTGAAGAAGAGCAGGATTCCACTCGACATCTTACCAGCTTTGACTTATCCTGTAGGTCTTCTGTCCAAACTGTACATCTTCTTTCTTCCATAAAGTGTTTGAATTCAGAAAGAAAATTGGGGAACAGCACCTAGAGCTACGATGTACTAAAACTATGGCTTGCATCTTGGATCCCTCCCCTCTCTTTTCCAAATTTTGCAACGCCTCTAACACAAGCTTTAAACTACTCATGAATTCTAGCCTTAAATCAAGATTACCCTTTGATTTTGCTTTCTTGGAATTTTCTTGTCTTTGAGGTGAGCAACTCTCTTAATTCTGCCATTACCTTTCTGTGGTGGTTTTCCTTTAATGTGTGTGAATCTTTTTGATAGTGTTTTGTTTTATGAGTACTATATGTCTAAACCACTGAGCCTCTTGGGCTTGCCGATTCGAAGGTCGGCGGTTCAAATCCCCGCGGCGGGGTGAGCTCCCGTTGCTTGGTCCCTGCTCCTGCCAACCTAGCAGTTTGAAACCATGCCAGTGCAAGTAGATAAATAGGTACCGCTCTGGTGGGGAGGTAAATGACGTTTCTGTGCGCTTCTCTGGTTTCATCAGAAGCGGCTTAGTCATGCTGGCCACATGACCCGGAAAAACTGTCTGCGGACAAACGCCGGCTCTCTCGGCCTGTAAAGCAAGATGAGTGCCGCAACCCCAGAGTTGTCTGCGACTAGACTTAACTGTTGGGGGTCCTTTACCTTTATGTGTACTATATGGCTGCTGATGGCCAGTTTGGGACTCTGGTGCAAAAGTACAACGAAAACAGCCACAACATGATGCTAATGTGAAAGGAGATTTCCAGAGGGGAAATGAAAAAACAAGAGAGTAAGCAGTGTTACTATAATAACATTACTAACTTAACTTTAAATGCATGCAGATGCCAGATCAGCAGTTATGAGTATTCATGCAATTTGCTCTCTGGGTTCCTTTTGCTTGATTGCACTACTGTCTTTACAGCACAGGATATGTTTGAAGCTGATTTAAAAGGTAAAGGGACCCCTGACCGTTAGGTCCAGTCATGGCCGACTCTGGGGTTGCGGCACTCATCTCGCTTTATTGGCTGAGGGAGCCGGTGTACAGCTTCCAGGTCATGTGGCCAGCAGGACTAAGCCGCTTCTGGCGAACCAGAGCAGCGCATGGAAACGCCGTTTACCTTCCTGCCGGAGCGGTACCTATTTATCTACTTGCACTTTGACGTGCTTTCGAACTGCTAGGTTAGCAGGAGCTGGGACCGAGCAACGGGAGCTCACCCCATCGCGGGGATTCGAACCACCGATCTTCTGATCAGCAAGTCCTAGGCTCTGTAGTTTAACCCACAGTGCCACCCATGTCCCTTGAAGCTGCCTTAAAGGTAAAGGGACCCCTGACCATTAGTCCCTCTAGCCCAGTACTGTCTGCTCTCTGGCAAATGCTCTCCAAAGTTTCAGGCAGAGGTTTCTCCCAGCTTTACTATGTGAGTTCCTTTAACCTCAGCACCCATGGGCACCCATGCACCCTCGGGGGGCCTTCCCTGGCGCCCACACAGTCCTCCCGCCCACCGGTGAAATTGGTCTTGAAATAAGCATCTTGTAGCCAGTATAATAGGTTGTGTTGTGTGCTTGGTTGCAGGGTGTGTTTGGTGCCAGTAACAGTTTGCAGGGGTGGCCACAGACCCCGAAAGCTTAGTGACCCTTGCTCTAACTGGAGAGTTTTGGTTAACAGCAGCTCTGAAACTGAGACATGTACTCAGAACTCACATTCCCATTAAAAAGGAATACAATGCTTGTGTGTGTGTGTGTGTGTGTGTGTGTGTGAGAGAGAGAGAGAGAGAGAGAGCACCTGACTGACTGACTGACTGACTGACCATCTGCCACTTGTTGAACATTAAGACCTGAACTGCTGCCATGATAGATCCAGTAGATTCTCAATCTTCAAAGAGATGTGCAGAGTAGGAACTTTTGTTCTTCCCGGGGAAGAAAGAGCTCTCCTTCCAGCAGGATTACTTAGAGCAGGCATGTTCAAAGTCCCTTTTGGGGTCCTAATCTGGCCGGCTGGTCGGTTTAATTTCCTGGGGTAAAATCCTATAAAAGCCACAACAACTTCAACCCTTAAAAAAGCTCAAAAACCTTGGGGTAAAATCATAAAAAGCTCAACAACTTTAATCCTAAAAAAAACCCCCAACAACTTGGGTTGGCCCTTTGGTTGACCCTCACCACCCTTCACTTCTTCAAATCTGGCCCTCTTTGGAAAAAGTTTGGACACCACTGACTTAGAGCAAAGACGGGGAACTTGTAGCCATCCAGATGTTGTTGCACTCTAACCACCAGCAGCCCCATCCCAGCAACATCTGGAGAGATACAAGTCTCCTATCCCTGGCTTAGAGGCTTCATAGCATTTTAAGGTCAAAAATTGGCCGTGTTGAGTAAGTGTTGAATAAAGTTATTTCCTCTGGAGGGGTTTTTGAAGCTTATATCCCCAACAAGAAAAGCAGTGACAAACCTAGACAGCATCTTAAAAAGCAAAGACATCACCTTGCCAACAAAGGTCCGTATAGTTAAAGCTATGGTTTTCCCAGTAGTGATGTATGGAAGTGAGAGCTGGACCATCAAGAAGGCTGATCGCCGAAGAATGGATGCTTTTGAATTGTGGTGCTGGAGGAGACTCTTGAGAGTCCCATAGAATCCTAGAGTTGGAAGAGACCACAAAGGCCATCAAGTCCAACCCCCTGCCAAGCAGGAAACACCATCAGAGCACTCCTGACATATGGTTGTCAAGCCTCTGCTTAAAGACCTCCAAAGAAGGAGACTCCACCACACTCCTTGGCAGCAAATTCCACTGTCGAACAGCTCTTACTGTCAGGATGTTCTTCCTAATGTTTAGGTGGAATCTTCTTTCTTGTAGTTTGGATCCATTGCTCCGTGTCCGCTTCTCTGGAGCAGCAGAAAACAACCTTTCTCCCTCCTCTATGTGACATCCTTTTATATCTTTGAACATGGCTATCATATCACCCCTTAACCTCCTCTTCTCCAGGCTAAACATGCCCAGCTCCCTTAGCCGTTCCTCATAAGGCATCGTTTCCAGGCCTTTGACCATTTTGGTTGCCCTCCTCTGGACACGTTCCAGTTTGTCAGTGTCCTTCTTGAACTGTGGTGCCCAGAACTGGACACAGTACTCCAGGTGAGGTCTGACCAGAGCAGAATACAGTGGCACTATTACTTCCCTTGATCTAGATGCTATACTCCTATTGATGCAGCCCAGAATTGCATTGGCTTTTTTAGCTGCCGCGTCACACTGTTGGCTCATGTCAAGTTTGTGGTCAACCAAGACTCCTAGATCCTTTTCACATGTACTGCTCTCAGGCCTGGTGTCCCCCATCTTGTATTTGTGCCTCTCATTTTTTTTGCCCAAGTGCAATACTTTACATTTCTCCCTGTTAAAATTCATCTTGTTTGTTTTGGCCCAGTTCTCTAATCTGTCAAGGTCATTTTGAAGTGTGATCCTGTCCTCTGGGGTCCTGTCCTCTGGGTCCTGTCCCATGGACTGCAAGAAGATCAAACCTCTCCATTCTGAAGGAAATCAGCCCTGAGTGCTCACTGGAAGGACAGATCCTGAAGCTGAGGCTCCAATACTTTGGCCCCCTCATGAGAAGAGAAGACTCCCTGGAAAAGACCCTGATGTTGGGAAAGATGGAGGGCACAAGGAGAAGGGGACGACAGAGGACGAGATGGTGGGACAGTGTTCTCAAAGCTACCAACATGAGTTTGACCAAACTGTGGGAGGCAGTGGAAGACAGGAGTGCCTGGCATGCTCTGGTCCAGGGGGTCACGAAGAGTTGGACATGACTAAACAACTAAACAACAACAAAAGACCAGATCTGCAGAAACAATTGTATAGTAAAGGGCAACTGAAGAGCTTATGCTGAAGAGGACTAATGGAGAGTTGTTGATCAGAAGCCCAGAGTTCATAAGCTTCCCTGGATGCCAGTCTATTATGTTGAATAGAGATTCTTCAGGGAAAATGCCCACATTCTGGGCACCAGCCTATGCCAGTTCCTTTTGTTTTGTATTACCTTTCTGTCTTGAAAAGAATTTCTGAATGTACCGTTCTCAGTTTAGATTGCTTAGTTAGCTTCAAGACTCTTTTTATTACTCTCCCGTATATTTATAATCCTCCAAAGACTAGGGTAGGGGGAGCAGTGCAAGAGCAGAAGAGTCTCAGCATTTCATATGGAAGTTAATTTCTGATTTCCATATTAATAAAACATAGCTTTATCTTTTTATTTCTCCATAATCCTTGCAACAACAGGGAGAGAAGATTATACTGGGTATGTTGAGAAAGCAATTAGAAGGCTGCATGCAAGAACTTTTAAAGGGAGGGAAGAGACATGAAATTAAGCGACAGTTCTAAATGTTGGGTTCAACAGGCGCTGCCTGTGAGGCAGAATGAACAACTTAGAGTGCAGGTGTTTGTCACCGTGGTCATCAAAATAGGTTTCAAAAGGCCTCAAGCCATTATTCGGCCACTGCACTGGTTCCTGCATTGCTTTGATATATCTTTGGCGATCACTCTTGGCCGAGTAAGATTGTCTTCCATAAACACGGTTTTAACAGTGAGCCTGTAAGTGACTGTGGAGGCCAATGCTGGACCCACACGTCCTTCCACAGTGGGGATATTGCTTTCCGGGCGGGAGTTGATCACGGTGTGGATTTGCCAAGCGTGCCTTCCTCTTCGCACGTTTCTCCCTTGCGTTCTGAGTTTGAGTGTCTTCAAAGTCCATGACACCTTTGGTAAAGGCTGTTCTCCAACTGGAGCGCTCGTAGGTCAGTGTTTCCCAGTTGTCAGTGTTTATACTACATTTTTTTAGATTTGCCTTGAGAGAGTCTTTGAACCTCTGTTGTTGACCACCAGCATTACGGTTTCCATTTTTAAGTAATAACAATAGTAATAGTAGTAGTAGTAGTAGTAGTAGTAGTAGTAGTAATAATTTATTTATACCAGCTCATCTGGCTGGGTCTCCCCAGTCACCCTGGGCGGCTTCCAACAAAGTATTAAAATATAGTGGTCTGTTAAACATTAAAAGCTTCCCTCAATAGGGCTGCCTTCAGATGTCTTCTAACTTGGCTTCTCACAGTGAGGGAACCACCAGAAGGCCCTCGGTGGTGGTCCTCAGTGTCCGGGCAGAACAATAGGGGTGGAGACGCTCCTTCAGATATACTGTGGTCTTCCTCTCCCTGATATTTGGGGATACGTTTCCTAGTTGCTTCCATATGCAAATATTCCCTCCTTTATTAAGAATGTCTTAAGATTAGAGAGTCCTCTTGCTAGTGCGCTTGGAGCATGTCAGGAGATCCACTAGTGCCGTCCAGGTTTACAGCTCAAATCACTGCCCTTCTGAACTTTGTATACTTTATAAAGTTGTTATTGTACTTCACCAAATCTTAACCTATTACAGTATTTGTAAGTATGGAGTCCAAATACTGAATTTGTCCATGGCAAGTCTGTGTTTATATACAAGTTGTTTATATGTTGCGAGTGTGTGTAAGTCTTCAATCCAATCGTAGAAGGGAGCCGCATTTTTATTTTTCCGATTCATCAGTATCAGTCTTTTTGCTGTGGTTAGGGCAAATATTTTGATTCTGGAATGGGTTCAGTGAATGGTGAAAAACTGAGCTAGTGCTTGGGGGGGAGGAAAGCAAGATTTGTGGGTGTGGCCTTAAAAATTCAGGGGGGTGGGGCACCCATAATTTGATATGCTTTGTTTCCAAGTGTCATTTTGCTTGTGCAAATAGGCCTGCATATTGTGCAAATAGGCCTGCATATCAAGGGTCCTCTGTTGTGGTTTGTGTGTCTTCAGGTTGCGTTCTGTCTTCTATGTGTTGGAAGACTCAGGCCATACAGTTGAGTTGCATGGCCAAAGTTCCCATTTAATTTAATATGTGGGTTTTGACTTCTGACCATTGAATCGTTCATGACTCTGTGAATAAATGCAGCTTAAAAGGAAATTCAGAAGCTGAAGAAATGGTTTTTTAAAACCCTCTAATTGCAGAAGTATGATTCACTATAATTTCTACTGTCCTCAGACATGTGCCTTGATGAAGATTTATGTAAAAATGACGCAGCCAGCATGTCGCCATAATTATTCCTTTATACCTCGCCGATTTACTGTTGCCTGTTTCTGAGAGAAACTGTATTATGGATTGCCAAATCATTCTGCTTGTAATTCTTCTTAAAGTGGCGTTTGTGCCCAAGTGGGCTGCTTTAGGCTGGAATCTTGGGCCATGTTAATATGAATTATTGTCTTGTTGTTTTTTGTTTTATAAAATCAATATTACAAAAGGAACAATGAAAAGCAACCTATTTTTTAACCAGTAAATTCTTCTGTGGACTCCTTTTGAAGGAATGGGAATTGAAAAGGTGTTTTGTGTATTTCACTGGGGAGTTTCTGCTGTATTCCTATTTTTTTTTTTGTAACATTGCATTTGTGGAACTTGGCAGCTATCCAGATTTTTGATGGTGCCATACAGTTGCATTTACCATACATTGCAAGGTCTGTGCTTCTATCCATGAATATCCTAAGTCAACCAGGTTCTGTACCAGTAAGAGATGCTTAACATGTATTTCCACTTCACAAGAGCTGCTCAAGGCTGCTAACATCCATAATAAAAGCAATGAAATCATTAAAGGGTTTAAAAGCATGAGTGAACTGCAGGCTGGGAAACAAACTAGTCAGTGGGAATCCAGGCAGAATAACTTCAGGTGACAGGTAGGCTGAACTACAGTAAAGAGAAGTCAGAGATATTTCGGGGCAGGATGTGTCATCCTCATAAACTGGTTTCCTTTGCTTTCCCCTCACTTTATTTGTGCTTTCGAAAACCACCTTCGGAATCCTTCAAGCGAAGACCCTACCTAATGTTGTCATCTAGTTAAAAATCGAGCCTTTATCTGGTTAAATTCATATAAAGTTCGAGATTTTAAGGCCGATTTTTTATTTCTGACCTAAGCTTCAATGTCTCCATCCATCCACCCATCCTCCAACTTTTACATGCAGCCACAGATTTTAACTTTTTGCTCAGCTTAGAGTGATTTAAAATCAGCTGCAGTAGGTCATAATTTCAGTGTGTACCAAGGTGTTTGCTAATTCTTAAATGTCTGTTCTCTTTCTGTAGTTTGAGTGAGTGGAGTTGAGCAAATTGGCAAATGGTCCCATTTCAACTCTGTTTAAAGCATGGGCAGGCAAACTAAGGCCTGGGGCCTGGGGCCTGGTAGCTGGTAGCTAAAAAAGCCAATGCAATTCTGGGCTGCATCAATATGAGTACAGCATCTAGATCAAGGGAAGTAATAGTGCCACTGTATTCTGCTCTGGTCAGACCTCACCTGGAGTACTGTGTCCAGTTCTGGGCACCACAGTTCAAGAAGGACACTGACAAACTGGAACGTGTCCAGAGGAGGGCAACCAAAATGGTCAAAGGCCTGGAAACGATGCCTTATGAGGAACGGCTAAGGGAGCTGGGCATGTTTAGCCTGGAGAAGAGGAGGTTAAGGGGTGATATGATAGCCATGTTCAAATATATAAAAGGATGTCACATAGAGGAGGGAGAAAGGTTGTTTTCTGCTGCTCCAGAGAAGTGGACACAGAGCAATGGATCCAAACTACACGAAAGAAAATTCCACCTAAACATTAGGAAGAACTTCCTGACAGTAAGAGCTGTTCGACAGTGGAATTTGCTGCCAAGGAGTGTGGTGGAGTCTCCTTCTTTGGAGGTCTTTAAGCAGAGGCTTGACAACCATATGTCAGGAATGCTCTGATGGTGTTTCCTGCTTGGCAGGGGGTTGGACTCGATGGCCCTTGTGGTCTCTTCCAACTCTAGGATTCTATGATTCTAGGAGGATCTGGCCCAATTGCCTTCTAAATCCGGCCCACGGACAGTCCGGGAATCAGCATGTTTTTACATGAGTAGAATGTGTCCTTTTATTTAAAATGCATCTCTGGGTTATGTGTGGGGTATAGGAATTCATTCATCCCCCCCCCCAAAAATACAGTCCGGCCCCCCACAAGGTCTGCGGGACAGTGGACCGGCCCCTTGCTGAAAAAGTTTGCTGACCCCTGGAAAGGAATAACCTACAAAATGCCTCCAGGATTGCTCTCCTGTACTATTTCAGATATGTGGTTTATATACTTATGAATGTATTTGCTGTGTAGATTTATGAACATATGATTTATGTATATGTGAGACCTTAGAATTCCTGTAACAATTCCTTTGTGACTAAATTTTTGTTTTAATTAAAACTTTAAAATGAACAAATGCAAAATTAACAGTCATCTATGTATGTTGGTATTTTAATACTTGTGACTTCTGTTATTTTGAGCAACGGCTTCCTACTATTCCAGCCCATGATATTAGACTTTACTTTTACTGGATTCTTCTGCAGACACAGCTGTGCAGCTTTGCCAGTCGAGATACTGTAAATTCCCCAGTTCCCCGAAGCATCATTTTGATTCTGGCCCAGGGACCCAGGAGAGAAGCATTAAGCCTTTTTAACACTCTAAAACTGGTTTTGCTAATATTCCATGCACGCTCCATCTGCTTTTGCCTTTGTCGAAAGCTAATGGATTTGAGAGCAATTTGCTCTGCTGGTATTAGTCCAGAACCGTCCAAAATAACATAGGGACCGTCTGAAGTTAATTAGGGTGCAGAAATTAAGCACCTAAAAGTGAAAGGTGAGATGGTCTTTTAAATCTTCCTCTATGAGGATATGACCACCCTGCTCTTGACGCACAGAGATGTTGTTTTATAATTGCAGAATTTGTCCACAGTTGTTTTGAGGAATATGCATGCTTCCGCTGCCAGATTGACAACAATTTGCGACTTCAGGGAGTGTGTGCTGGCTCCCACAGCCTGCCGTATGGCATGCTGCAATGCTAAATAGCAGTTGCCTGACATTTTCAGTGGAACAGGCTGTTATACTGCAATTGAGTTTCTTCTGAAGAAGAGGCATTGCAGACTACCAATGTGTTGTCTATATTTCATTTGTGGCGAGGATGGGGTCTGAATTCCAGGGCTCTACATTTTGACAAGCCTAACTTCTATTCTTTCCCCTTCCTGTGCTGGAGGGTTGCTCTGAACCGGGATGGAATTAGACGCAAGAGCAGTCAGCGCAGGGAACCCACTCGCAGTATGAACCCTTTTACAGAATGTGTTAACACATCCCAAGGAGTCAAGACGTGTATCAGCAGGTTACTTCCCCATGCTAAGGAGATGATGATGATGATGATTTATTATTTATACCCCGCCCATCTGGCTGGGTTTCTCCAGCCACTCTCGGCGGCTTCCAACACAATATTAAAATAAAGTAATGCATCAAACATTAAAAACTTCCCTAAACAGGGCTGCCTTCAGATGTCGTCTAAAAGTCTGGTAGTTTGACACCTGGTGGGAGGGTGTTCCACAGGGTGGGCGCCACCACCGAGAAGGCCCTCTGCCTGGTTCCCTGTAATCTCACTTCTCTCAGGGAGGAAACCGCCAGAAGGCCCTCGGCGCTGGACCTCAGCTGAACGATGGGGGTGGAGACGCTCCTTCAGATATACTGGGCCGAGGCTGTTTAGGGCTTTAAAAGTCAGCACCAACACTTTGAATTGTGCTCGGAAACGTACTGGGAGCCAATGTAGGTCTTTCAAGACCGGTGTTATGTGGTCTCGGCGGCCGCTCCAAGTCACCAGTCTAGTTGCTGCATTCTGGATTAGTTGTAGTTTCCAGGTCACCTTCAAAGGTAGGCCCACGTAGAGCGCATGGCAGTAGTCCAAGTGGGAGATAACCAGAGCATGCACCACTCTGGCAAGATAGGGCCTCATCCTGCGTACCAGATGGAGCTGGGAGACAGCTGCCCTGGACACAGAATTAACCTGCGCCTCCATGGACAGCTATGAGTCCAGAATGACTCCCAGACTGCGCACCTGGTCCTTCAGGGGCACAGTTACCCCATTCAGGGCCAGGGAGTCCCTCACACCTGCCCACCTCCTGTCCCCCCAAAACAGTACTTCTGCCTTGTCAGGATTCAACCTCAATTTGTTAGCCGCCATGCATCCTCCAACCGCCTCCAGGCACTCACACAGGACCTTCACCGCCTTCACTGGTTCTGATTTGAAAGAGAGGTAGAGATAGATGTCGGTCCTCAGACTTGCCCAATCTCCTCTGCTTCAGGAGGCCTGTGCTCACACACAATCCTTGATTCCCTCCTAAGGCTAAGCTCGAAGCAGATTTTGCTACTGTATTGGCCCGAATCCACACCCCCCCCCCCAAGTCTGATGGTGAAAAGTTAAAGTGCGGCTTATGTTTGCCACCGGCAAAGCAGCGTGGCTCCCCCCCCCCCCCCGAGAGCAGCCCGGGAGTGCGGGGCAATGGCGCACAGCCCGCCCGCCACTCCTAAGCCTCCCCTACACCGGCTGAGAAGGGGGAAGGCCAACAGCAAAGTGAGGTGCCCCCCCCCCCCAGAAAGCAGTGTGGGGCAACAGCACCCGTCCGCGGCTCCCAAGCCTTCCCCAAGCCGCCAAATTCTAAAGGTCCATGAATAACCATAGTTTAGAGGTCCCAGGCACTAAGGAAGCCAGACTATCCTCCTCCAGGGCCAGGGCCTTTTCAGTGTTGGCTCCAACCTGGTGAAATGCTCTGTCCCATGAGACCAGGGCCCTTCAGGATTTAACCTCCTTCCGTCGGGCCTGTAAGACAGAGCTATTCCGCCTGGCCTTTAATTTGAATTCAGCCTGATCTTTTATTTCCCTTCTTTTCCCTCCCCCTCCCCTTTTATGAAGGTCACCCTCTCTGAGACCCCACAGCTAATTCTGCCCTGGCCTCCTCGCTGGCCCAAGTAGGACCAATTCAGCCAGCTAGCGCTGGGGATTATCTAATGCTTATTTCCCCTGAATTGATTTTTGATTTTTGAATTTTATTGTTATTCATGTTTTTATACTGTCTTTTATGCTGCTTTTATAATTAAGTGTTTTAAATTTGTTCATTTAAATTTTAAATTTGTTAGCCGCCCTGAGCCCGGTTTTTGAACCGAGAAGGGCGGGGTATAAATAAAAATGTATTATTATTATTATTATTAGGTATTTGTGGTTAGAAGAGAAGGCAGTTAGTGCTAACCAGGTTCATGTTGGTGTGCCGTAGTGAAACTGCTCTGAAGATGGCTTGCATCCCCAATGCTGGCTTTCAGGGTTGGCAGGGGACCACTGTCAGAACTGCACTGGAGTACGGGTAGTAAAGTAGACCCCTGGCTGTACAGGCATAGTTTCCACCGACAGAGAAAATGAAACAAACAAAAGAAGAGGGAAATGGTGTGGATCAAAGCCGTGCAGGTCATCAATGTACAATCTCAGCAGTGCTGTCTGATGGTCCGTTTCCTTGCAGCCTCTGACTGATGGGAGTTCTTGGGCTGATTAGAATCAAAATGGGTTCAGGGGAGAAAAAGGAAGACTTAATGCGCTCATTATCTGCCTAGGCTTCAGAAACTGCTGCATTCTTTGCCTCTCCCTTTACACTTCCTTCAAAAGGATGGAGTCTTTTGCACACTTCTAATCCTTTCATGTTGAGAGAATCAACACAGATTTAACAGGTAGATGAAAGAGATAAACAAATATTATTTATAGCAGCCTTAAATTCCGGCTTGAAAGAGGGCTCCATCTTCAAAGGCTGACTCAATTAATGGGCAATCTTTCTGGATTCTGAGGTCTTGCCATTCACAGGGCTGTAGGGGAGCCAGCAGTGTGTGTGTGCATACACACAGAGGTTTAAATATCTATAGAGGATAAAATCATAGAATTGTAAAGTTGGACCCCAAGGGTCATCTAGTCCAACCCCCTGCAATGCAGGAATCTCAGCTATAGCATCCATGACTAATGGCCACCCAACCTCTACTTAAAAACCTCCAATGAAGGAGAATCCACCACCTCCCGAGGGAGACTGTCCCACTGTTGAATGGCTCTTAATAATAATAATAATAATAATAATAATAATAATAATAATATTTCATTTATACCCCACCCTCCCCAGCCAGAGCCGGGCTCAGAGCATCTAACAATAGTAAAATTACAATAAAAACATAGGGGGGGGGGAGCCAATTCTGCATATTCCATTTCTGCATATTCCATAAGCTTTTGTATCCATTCTTCTTTTGCTGGGACTTCTTCTTCTTTCCATTTCCTAACACTGTCTATTCTGGCTGGCAGCAGTTCCCCAAGGTCTTAGGCTGAGAGAGGCTTTTCACATCACCTGCTTACCTACTCTTTTTATTAAAATAAATAAATGCTGGAGCTGATGAGGTCTGCACGTGAGCAAGGCACATTCTCTAGCTTCACATCATTGTGCTGGGGAGTAGATTGTGTCGATTGTGTTGCACTTGAGCAAGAGACCCAGGTTCAGGCATCTGAGCTCACGGAGTTGTCTGCTGCCCTGTGCCGTGGGTCGGTCAGTTTCCTTTCTGACATAGATCTCGAAACAATAATGGGTGAACGGCCCCTGAGAACCGAAAAGCAAGACGAATGCAGGGGAAGAAGAATTGATTTCATGTCAGCATGGCTGGCTTTTCGCTTACCTATTTTTACCAAAGTAATTACACCCGATTTGCTACGTGCGATAGCATCTCTGGGTACCATCTCCGCTTTTGTTTTGCTCCACATGTTGCAGTTGCCTGCATGTGACCCTGCCAGTTGTAAAGGGCCTGTCTGTGTATCTCCTGCGCCTTTCATTTGAAGCACACTAGCAAGCGCTAGCTGGACGCCAGAGATTGGTCAGCAGCAATTCACCCTGCTGTAACATGGTGGAGGGGGTTATTACCGTATTGTTTGCTCTATAGGACGCACCGGACCATAGGAGGGGGAAAACGGGGGGGGGATTCTCCCCCTCTCTGCTCAGCGCCCCTTCAGCGACGCGGCAGGAGAAACGGAGCCCCTTCCATTTCTCCTCCCGCTTCGCTGAAGGGGCGCTGCGCAGAGAGGGAAAACTGTGCAGCGCCTCTCCAGCGTAGCGAAGCCTGGAGAGCGAGAGGTGTCGGTGTGCACCAGGCTTCACGCGGCTATCCACAAGCCTTTGGAGCACAGCAGGAACTCCTGCTGCGCTCTGAAGGCTTGCGGATAGCTGCCTGAAGCCCCCGGAGCGCAGCGGGAGTTCCCTGCGCTCCGGGGGCTTCAGGCGGCTTCAGCGAAAGCAACGCAAAGCCTCCGGAGTGCAGGGGGAGCTCTCCCTCTGCGCTTTGGAGGCTTCGCGTTGCTATCACTGAAGCCAAGGAGCCTGCATTCGCTCCATAGGACGCACACACATTTCCCCTTAATTTTTGGAGGGGGAAAAGTGTGTCCTATAGAGCGAAAAATACGGTATTTAACTTATTGCTTGCCTTTTGCCTTAAGATGCAGGGGTGGTTTACAACAATTTAAACCACCCAGTTCAACACAGTTTAAATCAGAGGTTGGCAAATTAAGGCCTGCGGGCCGGATGTGGCCCGCCGGGCTCGTTAATCCGGCCCACGAACCTTGCAGACCCTGCCGCCCGCTAGGTCAGTCCCCGTGCTAAACCGGCGCGGAGCCTGACTTCTGTGGCACGGCTTCTGATTGGCTGCTGAAGAGAAGGTAGCTGCGGCGAGAGTAGCGGTGGTGGGCGTTCCTTTCAGGAGGCGGGTGCTTTGGGGAGAGGGTGGGTCTGCCCCCCTGCAAGGTCTGAGGGACAGTGGACCGTCGCCCTCCTGAAAAATTTGCTGACCCCTGGTTTAAATCAACCAACAAGCACCAAAATAGGATGCGTGTTAAAAAGACCCAATTCCCACATTGTTTGAAGCGGACCTCCATTGTTTGCCGGAGGCCCTCACTTGCAGAGTACAGTGATCTATTGGGTATATAAGAGGTGAGCCGATTTTCCATGGTCCCAAGCAGTCTAGGACTTTGGCCGTTCCAGCCGCAGCTCTCCTGTGGATTCAGCTTGCGGCAGTTTGAGCTGTTCCGCTACTTCCCGGGCAGTTTCCACCCAGCCATATCGAGGTCCTAAGGCCCTGCGCGACTGAGCTTCACTTTCACTGGGACGTTGCGGTGGCGTCAGGGAAGGAGCCCTCGCAGGAAAAGCTCTCGCGCCACTGCGGTAACATCTAAAGGGCACTTTTGTTACGAAACGCTTCGAGGCAAGGAAGATGGATGTGATGTGTAGTAAAAAGACAGCAGCGAATTAGTCATCGCGGCAGTGCATTTGCCTTTCCTTCTTAAAAAAAAGAAGCAGCCAAAAGAACCGCCCTCCAAATCCACAGTCAAGAGCCTTCGCATGAGAAGCCAAGTGCGCATTTCTTCCTTTGACTTGGCCGTGTCCTCATTAGAATTCTGTGTGCCGTTGCTGGTTCTATAAATAACACTCAAAAGAGACGTTTGATTGCCAGAATCCTGTACACCCCACAGCCTCCTCAGTGGCATGGGCTTTACATACTATTAGCGAATCGCTGGCATCTCCGGCATTAACTGCAACCATTTTTAATTAACCTGATTTAGTAGCAGAATTGCAACGCTGATGAAAATGAGAGGTTGGAACAAATAGTTATTTATTCCAGCACAGTGGTAATGACTGTTGAAATAGATGATTCTAATTAACTTCAAGGAGGAGCTTCATAAATTTATAAAGGGGAGGCAAAGATCCCAGACACGTCCCATAGCTACTCAGGATGCCCATGGAGTTGGGTAGAAGAGGGGTCACATCCTGCAAGAACTTCAGTGGGGCGGGTGATTGCTTTCCTAGTCATCCAGTGGCTGCATTTTAATAGGACTTGGGGTTTGTCTACTCACCTGAACAGTGCATTGGTTATCAGGCAAGAAAAACTGCTGGCAGACTGGGCAGAGGGCTTTGAAAAGCATCGTCCGTCCCCCTACAATATGCACCTTTTGCTGCTTCCACCTTTCAGGGGAGCAGAATCAGGAGCTACACTAGTTCAGCATTGGGATTGAAAACATCTGGCTCAGTAAACTTTTTCAGCTGGGGGCCGGTCCAGTGTCCCTCAGACCTTGTGGGGGGCCAGACTATGGGGTTTTTTTGGGGGGAGGGGCAAATGAAGGAATTCCTATGCCCCACAAATAACCCAGAGATGCATTTTAAATAAAAGCACACATTCAGCTTATGTGAAAACACCAGGCAGGCCCCACAAATAACCCAGAGATGCATTTTAAATAAAAAGGCACATTCTACTCATGTAAAAACACACTGATTGCCGGACCGGCCGTGGGCCAGATTAAGAAGGCAATTGGGCCGGATCCGGCCCCCTTGCCTTATTAGTTTGCCTATCCATGATTCTGGCAATGGGGGGATGTTCTGGCAGCAGGAAGAAGAGTTCCTTGTAACTGCTTCTCCCCCCCCCCCCCCCAGCCTCCAACATCCTTTGCCTCTTAGGGCTTTAGCAGCAGCAATAATAATAATAATAATAATAATAATAATAATAATAATAATAATTTATTATTTGTACCCCGCCTATCTGCCTGGGTTTCCCCAGCCACTCTGGGCGGCTCCCAACAAGGATGAAAAATATATCAATGGTTGGGGTATGTAGTAAACTGGGGCAGGGACCCTGAAGAACATCGCCCCCCAGCATGGTTGAATACTATCAGCGGCACCTGGTTTTCTGGATTGCTTCGGGCCAAAACAAATTATATGTAAAGTGTATTATTGTTGTTTTCCTGTATCTGTTGGTGTTTTTTAAATCATGGTAAAGGTAAAGGGACCCCTGACTTTTTTGGGGGTGGGTGGGAATCATGATGAGGACCATGGTGTGTGTCTGTTTGTGAGGGGGGTAGAGAGGGAAGAAATGGGATAGTTAAAACTTCCCCCCTCTGCTCAGTGCTAATGAAAATCTCCTTTTCACAGCTGCTATTTCTCCCTAGGAGAAAACTTCACCAAACATTTTGATTTTGTTATCATGGACCACTTGTGAGAACTGTTAGGGTTGAAAAGATGTATACAGGTGTCATAATTTTTTTTAAAAAATCCTCATTCTTTGCACATGGAATATTTTAGAAATCAGGGGTAATTGTCAGGTAAGGGGCTATTTGTATGTCTTTATGTTTACTTGCCTTTTGCAGAAATTAAGGAGGTGGTGCAGAATCTGAGTCCCTGGCTAGTTCTCCTGCTGACCTGTCATCCTTTTATTGCTTTTAATCACTGCATTCTCTCTCTTTGCACAGATATTTGCTGTTTGACTTTCCCCCAGCTAAAGTACCTCATCTCTCTTCTCAGGTTATCCTGCTGGATATCCCACGGCTGCCCCCACCTACAACCCAAATATGTACCCTACCACCAGCCCAGGCTATGCCCCAGGTAAACGGAGATTTCTATTTTTCTGTTAGCCACATTTGGCGGTATGCACTTCCTTGTTTGTAAGCCACATGTTGTGGCTCTTGTGTCTGTGTGTTTTTCATCAAATCTTTCATTCTCTCAGCACCATTAACAGACCTGCCATTATCAACATGTCTTTTTTTAACAAAATGTCAGGTGCGTTCTCAGTAAGAACTGCATGCACTGTGTAGCTTAACCAAATATACATGGCAATCCTGCCTGGTTTCTTTGATCGCTGGTTGTCTGTACAGTCAAACCTCGGGTTACAGATGCTTCAGGTTGCGCGTTTTCGGGTTGCGCACCGCGCCGAACCCAGAAGTACCAGAACTTCCGGGTTCGGCGCATGCGCAGAAACGCTAAATCTCACTTTGCGCATGCGCAGAAGTGCCGAATTGCGACCTGCGCATGCGCAGAAACGGTGCTGCGGGTTATGAACATGCCTCCTGCATGGATCACGTTCGCAACCCGAGCGTCCCCTGTATTCTGAAAATGGGCAGCAAAAATGTACAAATGCAATTGAGAAGTGTCATAATTTGGTGGTAGTTCAGTGTAGACCGCTAGATGGACCAATGGTTTGGGTCAGTACAAGGCAGCTGCCTTAGTTCCATGATATAGCTTCCCTTGAAGCAGGATTTGGGGGGGTCTACCCCCCCCAAAAAAAAAGAGTCCAAGAAAGGGTAAAGATTGGGAACCACTGATACTAAGCTTTAAATTACAGACATCCAGAAATATGTTGTTGCCTGCATTATGCTTGCACATTCCATCATTCCTACAAGTGGCAAGACCTTACTGATAACTCAGGTGAACTGAATTACCGTATTTTTTGCTCTATAAGACTCACTTTTTCCCTCCTAAAAAGTAAGGGGAAATGTGTGTGCGTCTTATGGGGCGAATGCAGAATGCACAGCTATCCCAGAAGCCAGAACAGCAAGAGGGATTGCTGCTTTCACTGCGCAGCGATCCCTCTTGCTATTCTGGCTTCTGAGATTAAGAATATTTTTTTTCTTGTTTTCCTCCTCCAAAAACTAGGTGCGTCTTGTGGTCTGGTGCGTCTTATAGAGCGAAAAATACGGTACTCAAAATGGATTCTGATTTGAAGCTATATATAGTAACAATATTTTTTAGAAAAAACTTCACTTGGCTCATTTGCATATGAGAACTTTCTAAAAGGTGAGCGCCTTTCCTCCTACAAAGGTGCGTTTTAAAAGGGAGATTTTAACCTATATTTTCCTATATTTCTGTGCTTGCTGGAAAGAGATGCAAAGCAGGTTAAAGCAATTCATACAATATTGATCAAACAAACTTAATGTGAGCCTGACTGTCAGGAAATCTTGTACTAACCTTTTAGCCCAGGGGCCCAAAATGTGTGTGTCAGGAACTTTGCAGGCAGAATGAATGTTTGATAAAATTGCTTATATTTTAATAAAAGATGGGCAAAGAATCCTTCCACCTCCAGCAGCTCCTTTAATTAAAACCTAATAATGTATCTGTTCCTCTTTAGGTTTCTTGCTTTCTGTGGAGGTTTTTTTTTGGGGGGGGGGGGGGGGTATCTGCTTTGCGATTTCCATATAAGTGTACATTTAATTTCCACAGGGGCCAGTTCCTCCTAGATCCATTTCTATTAAATAATACAGTGGATGATAATGCAGGTCATCCATTATATCAGCTTCCACCCAGAAGAGATGTTTGCTAAACTCCAACCACAAAATTGGCTGTGATTGGCTTGACGTTTCCTTCTCTCTCCATTGCACGTGCTCCCCACTATTTGATACTGCATCAATAATAATAATATTATAATAAATTTTTATTTGTACCCCACCCTTCCTGTTTTAGGGCAGCTAACAGCAAATATAAAACATTGATTAAAATGTGACTTAAAAACAGCATAAAACAGCATAAAATGCAACATAAAATGTAGCATTATATCAATAAAATTCTAAATTCAGGGCTCATGGGGGAGGGGACACCCCAGTCAGTAGACATCAAATGATCACCAGGGCTAACTGGCCAAGTTGGTCCTACTAGGGTCAACAAGACCAGGGAAGAATTTTAATGTGGGGTCCCAGAAGGGTTTCTTCATAGAAGAGGAAAGTGGGAAAGGGAATAGAGGATCAGGCTAATTCAAATTGAAGGCCAGGTGGAATAGCTCTGTCTTACAGGCCCTGTGGAAGGAAATCAAGTCCTGCAGGGCCCTAGTCTCGTGGGGCAGAGCATTCCACCAGGTCGGAGCCGTCACTGAAAGGCCCTGACCCTGGTGGAAGATAGTCTGGCTTCCTTAGGGCCCGGGACCTTTAAGCTGTTATTACTCATGGACCTTCGGGTTCTCTGTGGGACATACCAGGAGAGGCGGTCCCGTAAGTAGGAGGGTCCTAGGCTGCATAGGGCTTTAAAGGTCAAAACCAGCACCTTGAACCTGACCCTGTACTCCACCGGGAGCCAGCGTAGCTGGTAGAGCACTGGGTGAACATGCGCCCATAGCAGGGACCCTTTGAGGAGCCTTGCTGCTGCATTCTGCACCCTCTGGAGTTTGTGGGTCAGCTTCAAGGGCAGCCCTGCGTAGAGCGAGTTACAGTAGTCAAGTCTGGAGGTGACTGTCGCATGGATCACTGTGACCAGGTCGGGGCGGGAAAGGTAAGGGACCAACTGATCCCAACTGATGATGGTTTTGAAGGGACGCGGGTGGTGCTGTGGGTTAAACCACAGAGCCTAGGACTTGCCAATCAGAAGGTCGGCGGTTCGAATCCCTGCGACAGGGTGAGCTCCCATTGCTCGGTCCCTGCTCCTGCCAACCTAGCAGTTTGAAAGCACGTCAAAGTGCAAGTAGATAAATAGGTACCGCTCCGGCGGGAAGGTAAATGGCGTTTCCGTGCGCAGCTCTGGTTCACCAGAAGCGGCTTAGTCATGCTGGCCACATGACCCGGAAGCTGTACGCCGGCTCCATCAGCCAGTAAAGCGAGATGAGCGCCGCAACCCCAGAGTCGGCCACGACTGGACCTAATGGTCAGGGGTCCTTTACCTTTTTTTAACTTTCAATGGCCCTGAGACTTTTGGCTTGCTGCTGCCCTTCCTCAGGTAAGAGCAGGACCAGCACAAGTCAAGTAGTCTCCATAGTGCTTACAGGAGCGTCTTCCAGGCTTGTTGGCTTCCTGCATTTCTGATACAGTCTTCAGTCTGCAAACCATGCTGGTATTTTATTTTATTTTTCTACCAGCGTTGTAAGATTTTTCTTTTCTTTTGAGACAGGCACTTGGGGCCAGGATTAAGCTTTTAATTGGGGGTGAGGATTTGTGACATGTTATGCTTAGTGTGATGTTTATATATTTGTATTGCACCCGAAGCCCCAAGGAAGGAATATACCCAAAGTTGAAATAAATTGGCTCATTTGAACTTTTGTCAACTCGTTCCTAAGGGCTTGGGGAGGAACATGCTTGTCTAGAGTTAACTCATTAAAAATACCTTTGCTTAGTCCTGGTTTGACTCCCCGGTGAGCAGTTCCATCTGTGATGGATGTGGAGCTTCCACAATTGAGTGCGATTTACCTGAAATCGGTGGTTTACTAGAATCTCGAAGACCCCTTGATACTTCTTTAGAGGCATTCATTAACTTTATTTATTAATTGGTTATGTTTATATGCCACCTTTTCTCGAAGGAGCTCAAGGTGGCATACATGGTCCTGCCCCCTCAATTAATCCCCTCAACAACCCTGTTAGGTAGGATAGGCTGAGAGGCAGCGACTGGCCCGAGGTCATCCAGCTAGCTTCATGGCCAAGTGGCAATTTGAACCCTGGTCTCTCCCAGCTCCAAATCTGACACTCTAACCCAGCGGTTCTCAACCTGTGGGTCCCCAGATGTTGTTGGACTACAACTCCCATCATCCCTGAGCTAGGGATGATGGGAGTTGTAGTCCAACAACATCTGGGGACCCACAGATTGAGAACCGCTGCTCTAACCACTACACTACATTGACTCTGAATTTACTGAATTTTTTAAAATATATAGCTGCCCCGTAACACAGGATCTCTGGGAAGCACCTGAGCCTCTAGACCAGGGTGGGAAACCTGTGGCTCTCCTGATGATGTTGAAGTGTGGTTCCTTGATGCCATACCATCCTAGCTGGGGCTGATGGGAGTGTGTGATGGTGTTTGCCTGTTCCACCAGTATTTCTTGTTAAAACTGGGCTGCCAGTTGTCTTGTGGCTATTCGCCTCCACCTTTCAAACCAGCCATTAGCTCAACTGCTGTGATGTCCTGGAATGTTACTTCTTGCGGCTAAGAGGAAAATATGAGAAACGAGGGCAGTGGAAGAGCAGTTTGTCTGGAGAAAACCTTCACCTGGGGTTTAGGGGGATGGCGTTGCAGGTTTTGGACAGACAAAGGAGCTTTGAATATGGGGAAACTATAGTGAGGTGGGGGGGAAATGGTATTTGAGTGTGGGTGGCTGAATTTCATATATTGATTTTTAACCAGCCAGCCAAATCTTTGACTGCAGGTCTCTAGAGGTGTATATCTATATTCTATTCTCCTTGCTGTGTATAAACAAAGGCAGTTGCCTTAACACAGGACTATTTAAAGAAAGCCATGCATGAAATAACTTCTTCCCCAACTGTTCTACATTTCAGACTTTTTGCTCTGTTGGATTTCAGCTAAGTAGTATTTTATTGGTGTCTCGAGCTTGTTCAGTTTTGGCAAGTGAGTCACTCGAAGGTCAGGCAGGACTTTATTTCCTTGAAGGAGCCGTTGTGATGTTGAGATGCTCAAAGCCTTTGCAAGAGATCTAGCTGCCATTTTGCCAGACTGGCCCCTGTGTTATATCCTGCATTGGGAATACTGGGATTGGAGAACTCACTCCAGAGTTTGTGTGGCTATCAGGGAGAAGTTGGGAATGGATGAGTGGAGGCATCAAAAATGAGTTGGTGGGCTAGGCATAGCAGTGAATCAGGATTTGGGGGGCAGGGATGGAAGCAAAAGAGAAGGACTGTTGAATGGGAGATGTTACGAGGCAATGATGTGTGTGGCTTCAAGTAGTCTTCCCCCCACCCTGACAGCCTCCAATTCCCACCAGCCCCAGCCAGCATGGTCAGCGCTCAGGGATGATGGGAGTTGTAATCCAAAAGAACCTGGAGCAGGGCACCATGCTGAAGAAGGTTGACCAAGAGCAGGGATGGGTAACCTGCGTCCCACCATGTGTTTATTTATCTGTTAAATTTATACATCGCCCTTCATCCAAAGATCTCAGGGCGGTTCACGGAATAAAATACAAAATAAAAATGTTGTTGGACTACAACTCCCATCATCCCTAGCCACTCTGATAGGAGCTGGAATCTGGCAGCGTCCGGAGGGCCACAGGTCCCATCATCCCTGGCTAAGGGGACAAAGGGGTTGGCCAGAGAGGAGGGACTGTTTAGGAGGGAATAATTTGGCCACTGTGGTGAGCCCTGCAAAGTGAGGATGAAGATGTTACCTTCTCGCCTGAAATTACTGTAAAGGCCAGTGGGAGTGAGGGTATTCTTCCTCAGAGGGAGACCCATCGCACTGAGCTTTGTGGCAAATTTCAGGGGCACCGTGGTGGAGAGAGGCTCTTGCTGGGGAGCCTCACTCTGCCAGGAACCTGCTTCACAGCAAGATCTGTTAATGCGGCCCATTCTATCAAAAGGGGCTATTTTCTCCTGCATGTCTGAATGTGCAGTCATGCTAGCAGTTGGCTGCTGGAAAGTGCTAGGAATTCAGACAAGTAAGTAAATGAAACTCGGCCACTTTCTGCTATGCTATACTCTGCGGCTGCATTTCCTATACTCTTAATGTTTCCCTTCCCTGCTTGATGCAAACTACTAAAGGTAAAGGTACCCCTGACCAGTAGGTCCAGTCGTGGCCGACTCTGGGGTTGCGGCGCTCATCTCGCTTTATTGGCCGAGGGAGCCGGCGTACAGCTTCCGGATCATGTGGCCAGCATGACTAAGCCTCTTCTGGCAAACCAGAGCAGCGCACGGAAACACTGTTTACCTTCCCGCTGGAGCAGTACCTATTTATCTACTTGCACTTTTTGGGGTGCTTTCGAACTGCTAGGTTGGCAGCAGCAGGGACCGAGCAACGGGAGCTCACCCCGTCGCGGGGATTCGAACCACCGTCCTTCTGATCAGCAAGCCCTAGGCTCTGTGGTTTAACCCACAGCACCACCCTTGCAATGCGAACTACTACCTTCCCCTAAAAGAAGCACCTTCTCTGGACCTTCTCCAGGTACCCCCCCACCTTCTGAAATCAGGTGGTCAGGGATAGGGCCTTCTGTCTGGTGGCCCCTTCCCATTTGTGAAATACCCTCCGTGGAGAGCCTATGAGATTCACTTTAATGACAGAGTGCGAGGTTGAAACATCTTTTTTAAAAATGTGCTGAGCATTTGATGGATCATTTGTTTTATTACTACTCTTCTCAGTTTCAAGGTAGGATTTAACGGGTGGGGCAGAATTTTATTTTTGATGTTTCATTCATTTTTATTCTTTGCAAGCCATGCAAAGAAACCCCACAAAGCTGGAAGGAAATAGAAAAAGTAGAATGAAATGCAATGAATATTTCTGATGACTGCTGTTCACAAAGGGCAGCCTCACACATGCACGTTTGTTGCCCGATCGCTGCAAAAGCAAGCGATAACTTCCATTTGCGAACGGGCAATCCCAGTAGATATACGTAGGAGACGCATAGGATTTACACGTCGCCTCAGATGCCATCCTTTCCAGCGGGCTCAGCTGAGCAGCCAGTCATGAAATGATGGGCATGCAAACTGCATGATCAAACCACAGTCCTGAAGCAAAAGCTCAAGGTTTTGCCCCTCGCGTTCTTCAGTGTATGGAAGGTCGTTTTGCTGATAATAGCTGGCTGAAAACAAGGCTGGGAGGGCATTGGAGTCTTTGCTTTGTGCATGAAAGGACAGCACAGCCAGTCAGAAAATTGAAAACAAAACACGCACACACCCTAGTGGATGAATACACCAGTGCTTGAATTGCACTCCAGGGAAGCCTACAGCCAAGGAGAACATTGTATGCAATGGCAACAAAAAGGTGGCATTTGCACAAGCAACATCCTGACCACAGTCACAATACTGATGGATGTGCTTTCAGCGAGAAGGGTTGCATTTCCCAGACACCCTGTGCTGGGAAAATGCCACTGTGATCCACGCGACTGGATTATTGTAACTCGTTCTACGTGGGGCTGCCCTTGAGACTGACCCAGAAACTCCAGCCGGTGCAGAATGCCGCGGCGAGACTCCTTATGGGGTCCTCGCTACGGGATCACATTCACCCGGTCCTAGACCAGCTGCACTGGCTCCTGGTGGGGTACAGGATCAGGTTTAAGGTGCTGGTTTTAACCTTTAAAGCCCTATACGGCCTAGGACCCTCGTACCTACGGGACCGCCTCTCCTGGTATGCCCCACAGAGGAACCTACGGTCTGCAAATAAAATCATCCTGAAGGTCCCAGGCCTCAGAGAGGTTAGGCTGGCCTCAACTAGAGCCAGGGCTTTCTCGGCTGCGGCTCCAATCTGGTGGAACGCTCTGTCACAAGAGACTAGGGCCCTGCGGGACTTGACGTCTTTCCGCAGGGCCTGCAAGACGGAGCTGTTCCACCAGGCCTTTGGTCAGGGCCCAGCCTGACTCCCTCCTCTGGCAACCTGCACAGAACTTTGCTTAATGGTTGCCATTAATTTGATTTTAATTAATTTTTATAATGAAATGTTTTAGAATGTTGGATTATTTGATTGTTTGATTATTTGATTGTTGTTAGCCGCCCTGAGCCTGGCTTTGGCTGGGGAGGGCGGGATATAAATAAAATTTATTAATATTACTATTATATTATTATACCCCTCCGTAGGCACATCGCTTAGGAGTAGCATCTGAGCTATGTTCACGTTCACTGCAAAACACTAACGTTTCAGGAAGGCGCTCAGTTATTAGCCTTTTTCAAGATTCTCAGAAGCCAGAGCCATACCTTTCCCCCACTATATTTTCCCCTCCGTCTGTGTGCAAGCATGGCCTTGAGAAGAGCTCAAAAAGCTTTGCCGACAATAGAGATCAAACCTGTGAAAAGCCAGCTTTCGCTTACGTCTGCCTCAGTGAACGAAGGAGCGCTCCCTTCCACGTCTCGTGAGCCCACCTTCTCAGAGCTGCCCGCCTTGTCTCTAACCTCCTGTTTCTCGCACCCCTCTTGCATCTCCCCACCGGCACAAAACTGCCCATAGTGAAAAGCGCAGACCATTAGCGAATCCACTACTGTTGGGGAACACAGCAGGGTGGGAGGAGGTATGTAGAAATAAGTAGGGCATTTTCCCAGAATCGCACTGTCCATTATGGCTTCAAAGGGGATGGACGCGCCATCGTTCAAGTAGCAGTTTAGAAAGATAGGAGAAGAGAGGCAATGAGAAGGATCGGGGGGCGGGGGCGTTGCTGAACATCGCTTTACGGGTGCTGCTTGGTTGTTTCTGTAAAATGGCTACTGTATTTTTCGCTCTATAAGACGCACTTTCCCCCTCCTAAAAAGTAAGGGGGAATGTGTGTGCGTCTTATGGAGCGAATGCAGGCGGGAGGTTCTGCTCAGCGCTCCCTTTAAAGAGCCGTGTGGAGCCTCTTGGGGGCTTTTCCCTGAGGAGGGAGAAGGGTTGGCACATACTCTGCACGCTCTTTAAAGGGAGCGCGGCTCTTGGGGGAGCTTTAGCCGGGCGCAGCCTCTCCCATAAGCCTCTCTCATAAGCCAGGACAGCCAGTGGGATCGCTGCGCTGCGATCCCGCTGGCTGTCCTGGCTTCTTGCTTAGCCACGCGCAGCCTCTCCTGGGCAAGGGGAGCCTTCATCCCGCTGCCCAGGAGAGGCTGTGCACAGCTATCCCATAAGCCAGGACAGCCTGGCTTCTGGGATTCAGATTTTTTTTTTTCTTGTTTTCCTCTTCCAAAAACTAGGTATGTCTTATGATCTGGTGCGTCTTATAGAGCGAAAAATATGGTGCTTCGCTGTTGCGTTATTCACCCATTTCCGACCATGACATTGATAAATATTCTTATGCCGAGTATGAAGTTTCTTTTTGCAAAATCATACCATTGGCCCATCTATGCTTCAAGCCAGAAGTGGACCACATTTCCCCCCCCCTGTTGGTGAGGGGTGGGGACACACATAGTAGGAGGGGCCAGGCTGGGGTCAAAAGTGGATGAGGCATCTCTTTTTCTTTCTGCCCCCTCTGTCTCCTCTTCCTCCTCTCTTTCTGCTCTCCTTCCTCCCTTCTGCTACCACCTTCCCCCCATTGCCCTGCCCCTTGCCACCCTTGTGAGATTGGGGCAAGGGCGGCCTGTATATGTTGTAAACAAAAATCTGCCCTTTTCCCTTATGAGGTATCCAAGATCCCATATAGAGTCCTTACATAGGTTCCCTATTGGTAGGAGAAAATAACAGAGGCCAACCAGAGAATATTGAGAAGCAAAGCAGCTAGTAAGCCTGATCTTTATTGATCTGCTGCAACAGGGTCCTCACTCACCACACGCAGGAGGGAGGAGATAACCCAGAACAATGGTGCACAAGCCCTTATATAGACTTTTGAAATTGCCCACCCTGGAGCCCAAGACCACCCCCAAAAACATCATACATACATCACAGAAGGGTTGTAGCTCAAGACCACCACCCCTAGATACATTATACCTACATCACAGAAAGGGCGGTCTACAGCAGAAATCTGAGTGCTTTGTCTGCCAGGTTACCTTTTTAATGGTCACTTGATTGGATTGCCTGGGGAGCCTGGCCAGTCTTGTGTAATGATAAATACTTAGTTCCTGAGTCAGGTCACAGGCTCCCACCCTATTCATATCTTAAATGTGCCCTTAAGACAGGATTTGTGAAGGAAAAGGCAATGGGGAGTCTTTTCCATTTTCCTTTGACCTTGCAGAGAAAACATTTGGTCAGTTTGGGAATCAAAAATGGCTTCAGGTCGGTCTTCCTGTGCTGATCTATGTACGTGCTTGGTTGGTACACTTATGAACATTTAACATATATCTAAGACCTCGAAATTCCTGTCACATATATCCCGGGGACCACAGGTTGCTCACCTGTGCTTTCAGCGGAGATGCCAGCACCCAAAACTGGCACCATCACGTCTTAGGCCTTGCTGCTTCTCCTTCTCCGTGTTCCCAGTGGCTGCAGGAGAGGCGATGGATGGGCCCCCTCCATGTCAGGATAGGAATTCTCGTGATGGATAGAAGCGGAGAAAAAGAGAGCGAGAGAAGTGGGGGACTGCAAGTGCGGAGGAGAAGAATAGCGTGAAGGTGGGCGAGGAAGTAACTCACCTGCCCAACCATCTCTTCCTTTTCTCAGTGTCCACTTTTGCAAAATATTCTGTATCTCCCTCCTCCCACCACAGGCAATTAGGCAATTTGAGCCAGCAAAATACCCCCTGCGTCCCAGTTTCAGATCCCCACTTCCTAGACAGCCCCAAATCAGCCACAACCTTTAATTGATGCCCCAGGCAACTGCTTATAACAATCACCTGCTGTGTAAGATAAAATAATTTCGAACCAATCTCTCAGAACAGGTTTGGCTGTCCCTTTATATGCCTTATGTCGCCGCAGCGCAGGGGATGGCTGAACTTCACGAAAAAGTGGTTTTGGGGTTTCGTTTTTTTTACAATGGATGCTTGCGCCTTCATCATTGTGTTTGCCCCCTCGCTGTTTGTCCCATTTGTAACATCTTCTCTTCTGTCTTCACTCAAGCGACACTTCTGATGAAACAGGCCTGGCCTCAGACATCATCCTCTTGTGCCACTGAGGGTACCTTTCACCTCCCAGTGGACACTGGGACCGAGAACAGAACTTACCAAGCTTCATCAGCAGCATTCAGTAAATAGAACTTTATACTTCTGGGGATTTTTTTTCCTGGTGTTTTTCTTTCTCTCTTTCTCTCTCTGTGTGTATGTCTGTGTTTCTTTATTGATTTGGGAGGGGGTTGTATTGCCTGCTTTGCATTTATTATTTCTATTATTATTATCATTATTATTATTATCGTCATTATTATTATTTTTGCAATTAGAGTTGCCAGGTCAAGAGCAGTTTTCAGGGCTCAAGCCTGAGACCTAGCAAGGGCTCCCAGGTCACAGCATGCTACAATCAGAAAACACATTACAGTGGTACCTCGGGTTATGAACTTAATTTGTTCCGGAGGTCCCTTCTTAACCTGAAACTGTTCTTAACCTGAAGCACCACTTTAGCTAATGGGGCCTCCCACTGCCGTCGGGCTGCCGTCGTGCGATTTCTATTCTCATCCTGGGGCAAAGTTCTTAACTCGAGGTACTATTTCTGGGTTAGCGGAGTCTTTAAACTGAAGTGTTTGTAACCCGGGGTACCACTGTACAGTTATCAAGCCGCCACCTCCCATTTTGGAGACAGAAAACCGGTTTGGTGTGGTTTGGTTTTTTAATAGTTTTTATTAAGGATTTTCAGGTGTGTGTGCTTTTAAATTGTTTTTTAGATTGGAAGTCAGTTGTTGTAAGAACTCCTTGCGCTGTTTTACAGAATACTTTTTGCCTTTGGCAAGTCACCAAGAAGGGTAATGATGAACAGCCTCTGAGGGTCTGTGGGCCCTCACAGTCTCAGCTATGTGCATAAAAACAGAAGTTTCATTCACTTTGAGGGGCCATAAGGAGTGAGTGGAGCCCGGCACATTAAGGCCGAGAGGGCGCAGTCCTCACGTTGCTGGACTCCAGCTTCCATCTGTCACAGCCATTGTTAGGTTAGTTGAATAATTTCTGGGAGTCCACAGGTTCCCCACCACTACATGAAGCCTTCATTACCACTGTGCAGAAGAGAGCCCAGGACACAACAACTTTTGCAAGTGCTTCAGGGCTTAGCTAATGTAGCCCAGGCTGTGTAATAAACATAAATCTGCCCTTATTCCCTTATGGGGGACACAAGAGCCCTTATAGAGTCCTTTGCAGGTTCTCCATCGGTAGGAGAAAATAACAGAGGCCTGCCAGAGATTATTGAGAAGCAAAGCAGCTCATAAGCCTGATCTTTATTGAACTGTTGCAACAGGGTGTCCCCTTCACACTCAGGAGGAGGAAGACCCCGAACCAAGGTGTATCCGCCCTTATATAGACATTTTTAATTGTCTGCCTTGGAGTCCCAGACCACCCCCAGAAACACCATACATACATCACAGAAGGGGTGTAGCCCAAGACCACCACCCCAGATACATCATACCTACATCACAGAAGAGGTGGTCTACAACAGAAATCTGAGTGTGTTGTTTATCTCCTGTGTGGCAAGTTACCTGTTAATGGTTACTTGATTGGATACCCTGGGGAGCCTGGCCAGTCTTTTGTAATGACAAATACTTAGTTCCTGAGCCAGGTCACAGGCTCACCCTATTCATACACAGACATACCCTTAAGACAGGATTTGGGAACAAAAAAACAATGGGAAGGCTCCTCCACCTCCTCCCTCCTTGCAGAGAAAACATTTGGTCAGTTTGGGTGTCAAAATGGTTTCAGGGCGGTCCTCCAGTGCTGCTCCAGACATGTGGTCCACACATCTATGTATCGGCTTGGTTGGTACATTTATGAACTATATATATATATATATATATATATATATATATATATATATATGATCTTATTGTTTTTAATTCAGCTGCTCAACCCACCCAAAGATTTGCTGTATCATTTTGTACCGGCTGAAGTTCTCTTAAATAGTTTGTCGTCTTTGGGTTGGTAGCTGCATACACATACAGATTTTGGCTCGTTCCCAGAGATTTGTAGGATAGAAGGCACACAGTGCCTCTGTGGCAAGACTCATCTCGGTAGCTTGTAGTTTTATCTGCTTTTCTGTAAGCCTGTGCAGTGCACTGTCATTTTGAAAACGGACGTGCTTGCACTCCCTCTGGGTTTTTAAGCTGTGGGTTGGCGGTGGTCCAAGCGAGGTGTGCTTCTGTTCCTCTGGGGAGTTGCGTCCGTGTGTGTGTTGGTCATGGTTATTTGGTACAGTGCAGAGGAGGATGTTTCTGGGAGTTCTGGTCTGAGAGATTTGTGAGATTCTGGCTTTAAACTGGAAGGCAGCTTTCAGTTGATGTAGAAAAATTGGGGTTTGGCTTTTGCTGCCCACCTCCCCAAGGGACTGAGTCCCCTAAGTCCATGATCGGTCAGAGATGAATGGATGGAAGCGGGATCCAGAGAAAAGCAAAAGCCAATCTTTATTTTTCCGTTGCAACAGAGCTGCCTCCCCTCCTTGCAAGAGAGACCAAGAACAAAGTGTGCAGGAACCTTTAAAGACTTTGAATTTGCCCAACCCCTTAGCCAGAGACCACCCAAAAAGCACCCAGTATACATCACAGAAGGAGGTGGTCTCCTTTGAGAGTGTTGCTTCTCTCCTGTCTGTAAAGGCAAAGGGACCCCTGAGCATTAGGTCCAGTCGTGGCCGACTCTGGGGTTGCAGCACTCATCTCGCTTTATTGGCCGAGGGAGCAGGCGTACAGCTTCCGGGTCATGTGCCCAGCATGACTAAGCCGCTTCTGGCAAACCAGAGCAGCGTACGGAAACGCCCTTTACCTTCCCGCCGGAGTGGTACCTATTTATCTACTTATCTACTTGCACTTTGAGGTGCTTTCGAACTGCTAGGTTGGCAGGAGCAGGGACCACCCCGTCGCGGGGATTCGAACCGCCGACCTTCTGATTGGCAAGTCCTAGGCTCTGTGGTTTAACCCACAGTGCCACCCGCGTCCCTCAGTCTGTCAAGGTACCTGATTGCATTAACTGTGCAGCCTGGCCATTCATTTGAGAAGGTAAATACTTTGGTTCCAGAATCCCTTATTTACAAACTTACACTTATTGATAGACTGCTTAGCTTAAGAGAAACTTGCCAGGCTGGATTTGGCCCCTACATTCCAGGCAGTTTATTAACTGGATTTGCAAGTGAAAAGACAACTGGAAAGCTTTCCCCATCTCCTTCCTCCTCCTGCAGAAGAATATTTGAGGTCATTTTGGGAGAGTCAAAATGGCTTCAGGATTGTTCTGTTTCTGTGTCTGCGGTGTGAGGGCACCCCAAATTTTTACAACACAGTATTGCTGTGATTCAGACCCCAGAATGGTTTGCCTGTGGCGAGATCCATGTGGCGCTCAGTCCTGTGAAGAATGCAACATGGATTCTGTTTTGCAGGCGTTGCACGTTCAGTTTAGGGTTGCCAGACGATAGTGGTCTTGGAGCTAGATTGATCTTCTTCTTCTTCTTCTTCTTCTTCTTCTTCTTCTTCTTCTTCTGTGATCACAGATTGTCTTCCATAAACACGGTTTTAACAATGAGTACATAAGTGACTGTGGAGGCCAGTTCTGGATCCACATGTCCTTCCACAGTGGGGACATTGGTTTCCGGGCGGGAGTTGATCATGATGTGGATTTGCCAAGCGTGCCTTCCTCTTAGCACGTTTCTCCCTTGCATCCTGAGTTTGAGTGTCTTCAAAGCCCATGACACCTTTGGGAAAGGCTGTTCTCCAATTGGAGCGCCCGCAGGCCAGTGTTTCCCAATTGTTGGTGTTTATACTACATTTTTTTTATTATCAACCTTATAAGCCTAAACTGGCTCCCATCCAGATAGCTTTTTAGCTATGCTTGGATATTTGGTTGACAAATGCAACCTTAAGCGGTCTTTCTCCCGCACCCACCCCTAAAAACCCATTGTTTGCTAATTATCCTCTGCAAGGCAACCTTCCTGCGGTTTTGTGTTGACGTCCCAGATTGCTCTTTTCAGGCAAGGTTGCCGCTTTCTATTTTTCTGCATGTTTGCAAAGAGCAAGTCCTTGCTCTGTTTTTAATAGGAGCCGAGCAGATGCAAGGCTTCTGTCAATAATGCAAATGGGCCTGTAGAGAGAGCAGAGGTGCATACAAAGCTATCAGAGAAATCTCTGCTAGGCTAAGGTGACCTTTGGTGATACAGGACAGCCTAGTCTCTGCAAGGAGTTCAGAGATCTCCCTTCCCTACTTGCTCAGCTTGCTTTGAACTCTCCCCTGCCACTTTGACCCTGTTCAGCAGGTGTGGCTGCTTAAAGCCGAGTCCTTTGTCTAAAAGGAGCTCCTGTTGATTTCAGATGTGAAGGAGGGAATAAGGCAGGCCTGGTGCTATGTGTTTGCTTTGCTTACAGGCTAAGGCAGACCAATTAATGACTCTGCTTGCAGCCTCCTCCTGCCAAGTCTGTGTGCCTGGAAACATAAGTGTTGGAAGGGTGCCTGTTTTTAATCACGCAGAGTCTGCCACCGACAAAACCCGAGTCCTCAAATAATAACATTGGGTGGCATGCATGTTGTACCTGGAAGAAAACATCATGTCAGATGCCTCTGCTAGCTGGCCTGCGCTCACATGCCCCAGACCATCTGGAGCAGCCCTTGCAATATTTATTTATTTAGAAAAAACCCCCTCCCCTCCAGTGCATTTGCTTCCATCAGTGCAGAGTGCAATAATAAAAAACGAACCCATTCGACAAAAGAAATAAACCAGCGCTGTGAAAATGGAAGCAGTGGAACAATGTGCCTTCTCTCTCCTTGTGGTCTGCATTGCATGGGTTGAAATTATGAATGGGGGTGGTGGTTGGTGAATGTGTGTGGTTTGAACGGCCTCGGTCCCGTAGACCTGTAGGAGCATATCTACCCCCATTGTTCTGCCCGGACACTGAGGTCCAGCGCCGAGGGCCTTCTGGCAGTTCCCTCGCTGCGAGAAACCAATTTACAGGGAACCAGGCAGAGGGCCTTCTCAGTAGTGGCACCCGCCCTGTGGAACGCCCTCCCACCAGATGTCAAAGAGGAAAACAGCTACCAGACTTTTAGAAGACACCTGAAGGCAGCCCTGTTTAGGGAAGCTTTTAATGTTTAATAGACTATTGTATTTTAATATTATGTTGGAAGCCGCCAGAGTGGCTGGGAAAACCCAGCCAGATGGGCAGGGTATAAATAATAAATTGCTATTATTATTTTTTATTATTTGAAATTCAGAATACGGTAGCCTACATCTTGATTTGGTTTCATTGCGGAATAAGTGGAATGAAAGAGAATCGTTAACTTCTAGCAAGTTTGAGGACTCACCTCTCTCCTCATCCTGGGATTCCAGTAGGTTGGCAAATACCTGTCCCAGGAATGTGACTGAAGAGTGGTGTGGAAATACTTACGATAAATAAAATAGCAGGAATGGTAGTTCGGCAATATCTGGGCCAAAGGTTCCTCCCATTTTTGTGGGAATGTTCAGGGATACAGGAGAGGATATATTGTCTGATTATATCCTTTTCCAACTTGTGTTAACAAGTTCGCAATTTAGCAGAGTAACATTCCCCCTTTTAAACTTGCAGCAGATGCGTTTGCTGAGGCTCGCTAAAGCCTCTATAATAACTGTTCTGGTATTTTCCACTTATTCCCTCATAAAAGATAAGACACGACACAGTCTTCTATAAAAGTATAAAAAGGTTTACTCACATACCATTCTGTTCACAATAGGATCCCAGAAGGCAGACTTAGCTTAGAAAAGTAACATATACCTAGAAACTATCTCATAAGAAGACAGTCCCTTTGTCCTCTCTTGGCTAGAGACAAGAGAGCATCTTTGGCTAAGCAGAGGTTGCTTCTTCGATGCATGTAGTCAAAAGAGAGAGAGATGTCTGCCCTGCCCTGTGCTTTTGTCGTTACCTGCACAGGTGAGGCCACGCCCACTTCTAGTCACATGCAGAGGAAGTCTGTCCCAGCCCAGAAGGAAACAGGAAGTTTACCTGCTGGCTGGACAAACATTCCCCAAGTGTAAACATGTTCACTCTAGGAATGTTGTACTTGACTGCTCTTGTGTTTCACATCCCACAATTTTTTGTGGGGGGTGGGGATGAGGGTGGACTCAGGAGAGAAGCTGTGCAGCTCAGGCACATGCCAGGATCCCAAGAAACACGAAGCTCATTCTCTGAGCCTGGAGAGTTGGTTTTTTCATCCCATGCTGCTCACCAAATGCCCTTCAAACTGTGAAGGGAGGAGGCGATTTGAAACTAGTTTGTGATATAGCATGGAGCCTACGGGGCAAGCGGGGAGATAGGAGGAAGAAGCCAAACATTGCACCTGGGCTAGCACAAGCTCCCATTGTTAGCCTAAGCAGTCTTTGGATCCTAGTAAATACGTTGCAGTAGTCATTGTACTAAAAAAATATATGCTGAAAGCTCAATGCCCAAGTGCTCTACTCGAGTCCTGGCTGCATGTGGAGTTGCACAAAATCCCACTTGCAAGCCTAGTAATCACCGAGGTTCTGATCCTGCCCCTGTTTCTGCCACTCAATATGCCATTATTTGGCCTTTGTTGTGTTAACCTCCGTATAAGCCCCATGCCGTGCGGAGAAGTAGCAGTGGCACCCACTCTGGGTTCCTAAGTGGTTTTTGCCTTGTCTTCTAATTATGCCGCTGATGGCACACACTGCAACAGATGCTTTGTTAAATACCTCTGTCTTGGAATAGCCCACTCAGTTCATTCCAGGATGCTAATAGCACCTCCCTGACAATGTGCAGCTGCGCTCAGGGAAACAGTGCCCGTGTTCGTGGCGGCAGGATTAATCCAGCCTGAGAGGCTTCTCATGCCCGAAATCTCAAAATTGGTTTGTTAACGCTGGGTCTGACTCTGAGGTCAGTGAAAAGGAAGGCAATTATGTGCCTCTTGGAGGAAATTACTGTATTTGCCATCTGTTTCCTGCAGTTCAGTGTTCTTTCGCCTCACTATCAGATTTTGGATGAATTTTTGCATTTGCACAATTGAGCACATAATGGACATGAACTGGACGCCTTCGTCACCCTCCTGGGGGGTGGGAAGCAGCACTTAGCTAATTTGGGGCACGTTTTCAAGTCCGCTTAACTCTTGTTAGCTGCTGTATTGCTATGAAACATCATTTTGTGCTTTGGGCCTCTTTTTTAAAGAACAGTAACAGTCGCATTCTTATGGATGCAGCAGTTGCTTTTGGGGCTTTTTGGAATGAGACCTGCCTCTTTCTGAGAAAGCCAGAAACAAGCCAGGTGGTTGGTGAAAATTGCTTAACCTCCCCGATTGACGGGCCTTGCTTTTTGTTTCTCAACAGGGTATACCGCTGGAACGCCCTACAAGGTCCCTCCCACCCAGAGCAACAGCGCACCTCCCCCATATTCTCCATCTCCAAATCCTTACCAAACCGCTATGTACCCCATCCGAAGTGCCTATCCGCAGCAGAACCTGTATGCCCAAGTGAGTACAACCGGCAGCCGCGGCGATGTCAAACAGCAAGAACAAAAACAAGAGCCTAAAAGCCACCGCTGTTTGGTAACTCTCCTAATCTAAGCGTAGAAAACGAAATTGAATTTATCTGGAAAAATCTGAACATTCTATGTCATGCCTAAAACACGGCGATCTGGCAGACCTCCCTTGGGAAGATACAGTGGTACCTTGGGTTAAGTACTTAATTCGTTCCAGAGGTCTGTTCTTAACCTGAAACTGTTCTTAACCTGAAGCACCACTTTAGCTAATGGGGCTTCCTGCTGCTGCTGTGCCACCAGACCACGATTTCTGTTCTCATCCTGAAGCAAAGTTCTTAACCCGAGGTACTATTTCTGGGTTAGCGGAGCCTGTAACCTGAAGCGTATGTAACCTGAAGCGTATGTAACCCGAGGTACCGCTGTATTCTGTAATGATGGTGCCATCATTAAGAGCATACGAAGAGTGCTGTTAGGTCTGAACAGAGACCCAGCTAGTCTAGCATCCATTTGTCACAGTGGCCATTCAGATGCCTCTTCTGGGAATCTCTTAAGCAGGAACTAAGGCAAGAGCCCTCTCCCCACCTGTAAGTCCAAGCACTCAGTGTTCAGTGCTGGAGGTAGTTCCCAGCCATCATGGCTAGTAGTCATTGACAGTTTTATCGTCTATGAATTTGTCCCTTTAAACAGGCCTCTGAATCAGCTAGGGTGGCTGCTGAATTTTTGGATGACATTAGTGGGGGGTTCAAAGTTGTGCTAAAAGAGGAAAAGACTGCAGAGAAGCCAAATGAATTATTTGCATCTGTCTCCACAGTGGAAGGTGTAGGGGAGATCCCTGTACCTGAAGCAACTTTCTGAGGAAAGGGAAGCCTCATCAACTAAGGCTAATAGTTGTGAGATGAGATGAGATTCCTGGCCTCATTGACTAATTGAAAAGGAACAGATCCCTGGGTCTGGATGGTATCCACTGAAGACTCAGAATGTGAAATTGCCTATCTTTTAACAAAAGCGCACAAACTTGTCCCTAACATCAGCCTCTATGGCTGAAGACTGGAACGTGGGCACTGTATTGCCAGTTTTTAAAAGGGGTCCAGGGAGGACAGTGCTGGAAATTACAGGCTGGTTAACATATTGTGGGAAAGCTCATGGAATGCATGATTAAGAATAAATTACTAAGCATGCAGATAAGGGATGTGGGTGGCACTGTGGGTTAAACCACAGAGCCTAGGGCTTGCCGATCAGAAGGTCGGCAGTTCGAATCCCCACGATGGGATGAGCTCCCATTGCTCAGTCCTTGCTCCTGCCGACCTAGCAGTTCGAAAGCATGTCGAAGTGCAAGTATATAAATAGGTACTGCTCCAGCGGGAAGGTAAATGGCATTTCCATGAGCTCCTCTGGTTCGCCAGAAGCGGCTTAGTCATGCTGGCCACATGACCCGGAAGCTGTACGCTGGTTCCCTTGGCCAGTAAAGCGAGATGAGCGCTGCAACCCCAGCGTCGTCCGTGACTGGACCTAATGGTCAGGGGCCCCTTTACCTTTACCTTTAAGCATGCAGAAGGACAAGCCTTGCAAAGAAGAACAAGCCTGGCTTCTGCAAGGCGAAATCCTGTCTTGCTCACTCTTTGAGAGTGTCAATAAGCATACAGATAGAGGTGATCTAGTAGGCGTTTTGTCACCAAAGATTCCTTAGTAAGCTTAGCAATTAAGGGATAAGAGCGTAGACTGTCTTACGGATCAGTAACTGGTTAAAGAATAAGAAGCAGTGATGGAGGGATATAAGAAGTGGAGTTCCTCAAAGATGATTTTTGGTGCTTTTTAATGTTGTTCATGAATGGCCTGAAGTTAGGTCTGAACAGTGAGGTGGCCAAGTTTGCTATTGATGCCAATTTGTTTAGGGTGGTAAGAAAAAAGAAAGGAATTACAAGGAGGTTCTCTCCAAACTGGGTAAACAGGCATTAAAATTTCAAATGGGATTCAGTGTCAGTAGGTGTGAAGTGATGCACACTGAGGCAAAAAATATCCTTACAGCATATTTATACACTTAATGAGGTCTGGAGTGGTGGGGGTAGCTCAGTGAAAATGTCAACCCATAATGCAGCAGCCTTGAAAAAGGCACATTCCATGGTAAGGATCATAGGGAAAGGAACTGAGAATAAGAATGCCAGTATCAGAATGTTGTGGAATGCTTGTGTACAGTTCCATCGCATAGGATATTGTAGAGCTGGAAAAGTTCCATAAAAGGGCAACCAAAACGTTGAAGAAGTTGGAGCAACTCCCCTGGGGGGAACAGTTAAAATACTCGAGTCTTTTTAGTATATAGAAAAAGGTAATTCAGGACATGATTTGTAGTGTGGAGAAGATGCAAAGAGGTAGGTTTTCTCCCTTTCTCATAACACTAGAATCTGTGGACATTCAGCAAAGCTGAATTTTGGAAGATTCAGGCAAAAGGAAGCTTTTCCACACGCCTAAGAGAACAGGCAGACAAACCACTTTCCAAAACACATAGTAGATGAGAGGAATGCCAAACTTGCTTTGTCCTTCCTCTTTCTAAATGAAGGATGTGCTGCTCTGCTACGTCCACTAAGACATGGCATAGTCTGGGGTGTACAGAGAGATTGCTTACATGCCTTTTGGAAATACCAGTACAAATTGGAGCATAACTGTTTGACCAGATGAAAAGGTCTTTGGTGTTGTCCTTGTAGGTGTGATGCACAGTATAGCTAGACAGTGGTGCTATAACCTAATGGATGGGCACTGTGCAAAAATTAAAAACAGCAGGCCCTGCCCACAGACATACAATTGAAAGCCAGATTAAATTCAATTGAATGAGCCAAGTGACTTGAGGACTGTGTGGCAGTGTCCGAAGCTCCCGTTGTTCCAGGCGCATTTTGCGACAGGGAATTTCATTACCGCACGAGCAATTTCTGAGCTCTGGGCACGGTACTGCACCTAGGATTTCAGATTAAAACTGCAGAGTGGAAGGAAAGGGGGGCCTTTTTCTGCCTCCCCACTTCCAGACACGCTCTGAAGACTGGAGAAGAGACCCTCTTAAGAAGATTAGGGGATGGCGGGCAGGGGAAGAACTAGACTGTGTGAAAAATGAACATAATATCTTAGCTGCAGTTCATTCATTTTCAGCTCTGTATTCTTGTTATAAAAAAAGCGCGCCTAGACATTCCATCGGGACGTGGGTGGCGCTGTGGGTTAAACCACAGAGCCTAGGACTTGCCGATCAGAAGGTCGGCGGTTCGAATCCCCGCGACAGAGTGAGCTCCCATTGCTTGGTCCCTGCTCCTGCCAACCTGGCAGTTTGAAAGCACCTCAACGTGCAAGTAGATAAATAGGTACCGCTCCAGCGGGAAGGTAAACGGCGTTTCCGTGCACTGCTCTGGTTTGCCAGAAGCGGCTTAGTCATGCTGGCCACATGACCTGGAAGCTGTACGCCGGCTCCCTCGGCCAGTAAAGCGAGATGAGCGCCGCAACCCCAGAGTCAGCCACGACTGGACCTAATGCTCAGGGGTCCCTTTACCTTTACCTTAGACATTCAATCATTGTGCCCGTACCCTCAGTTTAAGGTGCCATTTAGCTTCTAGCTTTCCTACTTCAATTTCTAACACAGCTGTGTTGTGATGGTCTGTCCCACATCGTTGCTGATTTTTTAAAAAGCCAACCTCTGCTGAAATGTGGTTCTCCTCCCCTACCCCCTTTCTGAACAGGGAGCATATTATACACAGCCAGTGTATGCGGCACAGCCTCATGTCATCCACCACACCACCGTGGTCCAGCCAAACAGCATCCCGTCTGCTATTTATCCAGCTCCCGTGGCTGCCCCAAGGACTAACGGCGTGGCCATGGGGATGGTAGCTGGGACCACCATGGCAATGTCAGCAGGTGAGAACTAAGTGGAAATAAACCGTGTCCTGTTAAGCCTTGCGGTAGAGCAGCCTTTGCCAATGTGGCGCCTTCCACGTGCTCCCTGTGGGACTAGAGCTCCCATACAGCACAGTACCACGTTGGGCAAAGGCTGCGTACAGCTTGCATGAAACCAGAACTGTGTTGTCCTGTTTGCAACTCCTGAACAGTATTTGCAGATCTGTCTCTGTCTGCCACAGTACCAGGACATTGCGGGGAATTTGGATTTCTGAGCATCGCGCCTTTCTGCTAAGCAAAACCCTGCCCAAAGTTCCTTTTCTTGTGGCTGTGAAAATATTATTGGAAGGCTGGCAGCCACATGAGACCTCTGAATCTGGAGTGGGAGGCAGAATAAGATTTCCAATAGTTGGGTGTTGGACTTAAACTTTCTGGACTCCTCTTGTCTCCCCGCGACTAGTAAAAAGGATAAAATTATAAAGGGCTGCTAATTCGATGGAATGGCGTCTCTGCCACCAGCCAGCCCTTAAGCCCATTTCAGCTGTTTCTGCCCCTCTTTCTGGAAGGATGAGCCTGGAACCAGGACAGTTGCCAGAACTGGAAGACTCTGTTATATAACTCACCCCATACAATCCTATTAAAAGCTTGCCACTTTGGGCTCCAAGTTTGGCTGAAAAGTGGGGTGCTGACAAGACAAATCGATCCCATTAAAAAGTCAAATAGATGATACAAAATTTGGAGAATCCATGCCAGTGCATTTGATTGCTACAAAATTTATTCGGCTCGCAGGATTTAGCTTTTCCGAGTGCAGAATTCAGATAGGCCCCACTGACGGGAACCGCTTCCTTCTAAGAGCTTCTTCATGCCTGCTGCTGAGTCCCTCTTGCTTTGTCCCCAGTCCTGCATGGAACTGTAATAAACCAAAGTTCTCCCAATACACCACCAGGTTATCTTTCCTGTTAAGCACTTTGTTTCAACAAAGTGAGGCATTTCGCTCTGCTGGCACTATTTGATTTGCTTGCCGTGCCTTCATAGAGTTTTAAAGTTGGAAGGGACTGTGGAAGTCATCTAGCTGACCCCATCAATCAGTGAAGGATGCTGCAGCTACAGCATCCCTGACAGGTGGCTGGCCAGCCGTTGCATAAATGCCTCCAGTAGTAGTAGTAGTAGTAGTAATTATTATTATTATTATTATTATTATTAATTTGTACCCCGCCCATCTGGCTGGGTTTCCCCAGCCACTCTGGGCGGCTTCCAACAAAGATTAAAAATGCATTAAAATGTCACACATTAAAAACTTCCCTGAACAGGGCTGGCTTCAGATGTCTTCTAAATGTCAGGTAGTTGTTTATCTCTTTGACATGTGATGGGAGGGCATTCCACAGGGCGGGCGCCACTACCGAGAAGGCCCTCTGCCTGGTTCCCTGTAGCTTTGCTTCTCTCAGTGAGGGAACCGCCAGAAGGCCCTTGGAGTTGGACCTCAGTGTCCGGGCAGAATGATGGGGGTGGAGACGCTCCTTCAGGTCTACTGGGCTAAGGCCGTTTAGGGCTTTAAAGGTCAGCACCAACGCTTTGAATTGTGCTAGGAAATGTACTGGGAGCCAATGTAGGTCTTTCAAGACCAGTGTTACGTGGTCTCGGCGGCCGCCCCCAGTCACCAGTCTAGCTGCCGCATTCTGGATTAGTTGTAGTTTCCAGGTCACCTTCAAAGGTAGCCCCACGTAAAGCGCATTGCAGTAGTCGAAGCGGGAGATAACCAGAGCATGCACCACTCTGGCGAGGCAGTCAGCAGGCAGATAGGGTCTCAGCCTGCGTACCAGATGGAGCTGGTACACAGCTGCCCTGGACACAGAATTGACCTGCACCTCCATGGACAGCTGTGAGACCAGAATGACTCCCAGGCTGCGCACCTGGTCCTTCAGGGGCACAGTCACCCCATTCAGGACCAGGGAGTCCTCCACACCCACCCGCCCCCTGTCCCCCAAGAACAGCATTTCTGTCTTGTCAGGATTCAACCTCCAGTGTCCAACTGACCTTGTTTGACCTTGCCTGCCTTGCTGCCCTCAGTTTCTGTTCATCGGCTAGAACATGCCGCCTTGCAGGGCAGGAGGTGGGATTGGCCCCACCGCGTCGGTGGTCTTTCCAGGCTGGAATGAGCAGCACAGAGAGCTCATTCGGAGTCCCTCACCTAGGAGAACAAGCCAGGGTTCACCCAGCACCACAGTTTCCCGGCTGTCAGAAAGAGCAGCGTTGTGCAACAGAGAGAAAGCTAGGACCCTCCCTGATGTCCCTGTCCTGATGGAAAGATGGCTAGGCAGGTTTCTGTTTTGAAAGCACCCTGTCTGGGGGGTAAGATGGGCTCTAAAGTAGATGGAAGCCGAGAATTGACAGCCAAGCGACCCTTTCAAAAGCACCCTTCCCATTTGCGGGGAAACGGCAGCTCTTGAAACATCGCCTGCAAACCTAATAATAATAATAATAATAATAATAATAATAATAATAATAATTTTATTTATATCCAGCCCTCCCCAGCTGAAGCCAGGCTCAGAGCGGCTAACAACAATACAGTGGTGCCTCGCAAGACGAAATTAATCCGTTCCGCGAGTATCTTCGTCTAGCGGTTTTTTCGTCTTGTGAAGCAACCCTATTAGCGGATTAGCGCTATTAGCGGTTTAGCGGCTATTAAAGTCTTAGCGGATTAGCTGCTAAAAGGCTATTAAAGGCTTAGCGGCTTAGAAAAAGGGGGGGGGGGAGCGGAAAAAAAATCTCAAGATTCGCAAGACATTTTCGTCTTGCGAAGCAAGCCCATAGGGAAATTCGTCCTGCGAAGCGCATTGAAAATGGAAAACCCTTTCGTCTAGCGGGTTTTCCGTCTTGTGAGGCATTCGTCTTGCGGGGCACCACTGTAAAAGGAACACTGCATTCTAAAATCAATTCATTTTAAAATCAATTCAAAATCAAATTAATGGCAACCATTGGGCTAGAGTTCTGTGAGAATTACCAAAGGACTGTGCTTAGGCCAAAGGCCTGGTGGAACAGCTCTGTCTTGCAGGCCCTGCGGAAATATGTCAAGTCCCGCAGGGCCCTAGTCTCTTGTGACAGCGTTCCACCAGATTGGGGCCACGGCCGAAAAAGCCTTGGCTCTGGTTGAGGCCAGCCTACCCTCCCTGTGGCCCGGGATCTCCAAGATGTTTTTATTTGAAGACCGTAAGGTCCTCCGTGGGACATACCAGGAGAGGCAGTCCCGTAGGTACGAGGGTCCTAGGCAGTTTGGGGGCGGGCAGGACAGCACTCTGCAAAAAAATAAAAAAAAAAAAATCATTGAAATGTACGCACTTTGTTATGTCTGATTTCCGTCGCTAATTGTGCCTGAGACCAGCAGGACGGTTAAGCTGAAGTAAAATGGCCTCCTTTATCTGCCAGCTCCTGCCCCGCCCCCTCCTCCCCCAGTGAAGGTCTATTTGTTTGGTTACAACTCGGGTGCAACTTGGCACATGGTCGGAGGTAAGGGATCGGATCTTCTGCATGGCCTGTGCCCAGGGATTTCATCTGTGCCATGCTGCATCCTCGGGCGTCACTCCCCAAGTCGGACCCCGAAGGGCAAGATCAGCCGCCCGCCAGCCCCACAGGAGGAAAAACCATTGTGTCCCACAGGCCTGCAGCTGCTTCTGCAGTCTCCCCACCCCACCCTCCACCAGCTCCCAGGAGCTCAATCCACAGGTGTGCGAACGCTTGCAAGGGATTTGTGCCAGAGAGCCAATCATACAATCGTAGGATTGTCGAGGGGGAAGGGATGCCCAGGGTCATCTATTCTCGACCCCCAACCTGCCCCCGCAATGCAGGGATCACAGCCAAGCCAAGCCGCACGTGCCAGGGAAATCGTGCTCCCACTTCCTCCGGGGCCCTGGGTTCAGAATCCGCTTCTGACACCTGCTTGAGGGGCCGGGATGCAGCGCTTTGTGCCCTCCTCCCGCCTGACCCCCTCTCTTTCTGTTGCAGGCACTTTGCTGACCACCCCTCAACACACTGCCATCGGAGCACATCCAGTCTCGGTGCCAACGTACAGGGCTCAAGGAACCCCTACCTACAGCTACGTACCTCCACATTGGTAATCCCATTGGCCAAGCCACGTAAGTCGTTGCAAACGCTTGCAGGGAAACCCCCCCAATGTCGCGGGAGGTGGGGGCTGCATTTGGAATACTTCTCTACAGGCCAGTCGGCCGTAAGCTAGTGTCTGAGACCGGAGTCCCAAAAGGCAGCTTCCCCAAATGAGACTGGAAGTCCAAAACGCAACATTCGCTTTTGTACTTGCATCATGGGTTAAGGATGAAGTCAGGAGCCAGCTTTGAAGTGGCTTCTCACCAGGGTGGATTTGATTTAAACCAAATCAATTGAAATCACTACAGTGGACGCTCGAGTTGTGAACGCGATCCATGTGGGATGCACGTTCGCAACCCGCAGCGGTACGTCTGTGCATGTGCTGGTTGCGACTCGGTGCTTCTGCGCATGCGCAACTCCCGAAACCCGGAAGTAACCCGTTCCAGTACTTCCAGGTTTCGGCGGGTCCGTAACCTGAAAAAACGCAACCTGAAGCGTCTGCAACCCAAGGTATGACTGTAGTCAGTAAGACTTGATTTAAATCATTTTTTTACAGAAAGACTCATTCTTTCTGGTATCTTCTTAATATTTACAACCAGATGAAGGCTTCGTTTTTGGAATCATAAATTTCCAGAGTAGTTTTTACAGTTACATAAAAAATTACTGATTTGGTTATATTATTAGAAATACATAGACAGATAATTATGAAGTTATTGTGAGTAAGTTAACTGTTTATATTTGGACAACTTTTCTGCTGTGCTTTATTGGAAGGAGAAAAACAATCACTTCCTTAATAACAATTTAAACAATTTATTTAACCAAAACAATAACATTATAGCATATGCATCCATGTTTGTTAACCGAGTGGTTAAACAATTTTAAAAAACAACTTAGACTGAGTTTTAGCACACATGAAAAACTTAAAACAAATTATTATTTCCTAATGAATAGACTTTGGCCTCTAATGTAACTTAAATAGAAAACTATCTTTAGAAAGATTTTTCCTCCAAAAGCATTTTATTTTAAAAATCCAATTTAAAAATAAAAAAAATCATTTTTTTATTTTAATGATTTTTATCCACCCTGGTTCTCACCTTCAGGGTTTCAAAGGAAATATTTGTCTGTATGTGCAGGTGGTGAGGAATTGCTTTCCCCACAACCCAGCAATGAGAAGCAGCAGAAGAACTATTGCTAGGCGGATGAGAGGATGCCTGAGCCTCCCTTTGCAGATGCCCGAAGTCTCCCTCAGAGGCATTTTGAGACCCCATTGCTCTAGAACAGGCATGTCCAACTTTCAAGAGACTGAGATCTACTCCCACTATAAAAAAACTGGCAGTGGCTGTTGAGTTTTTTTTGGGAAGTCAACATTCGGTTGGGTCAACATTCACGATCTACCAGTGGATCGCGATCTACCTGTTGGACGGCCCTGCTCTAGAACAAGGCCCAGCGACCTCTGCTGAAGTTGGCTCTGCTCCCAGTCTTTCTGCATGCGCCACCAACCCTTTACTAGTTTCCGGGCACATCCAGCTGCTGTGGATTTTTCACAGCCCTCCCTGTGCTGAGTGGAAGACCCACTGGGCTTTCTGCCAAGAGGTGCAGAAGATCAAGGGGTGCATTTATTTATTATTTACTTGTTCATCAAAAAATATTTTTATACCACTGTATCACAAAAGAACATTAAAGCAGCTTATGGCAATAGAGTGTATTCAGGGGAAAGCGCCACCGGGAGATATAATATTCAAGAGCCCTAGCAAATCCCCCTCTCTGTTGCCTTCTGAATCATGACTGATGGGGCTACTGGTGTCATGAAATTCTACTCAGTATTGATCCAGAGCAGAACTCGCAGAGTAAAAACTTAAGCACGTTGCAGGATTCCCAAAAAAGTAGACTAGAGGCAATTGTATTTCATCCAGCAGAGCTTTACTACTACTGAAGGCAAATCAGCATATAATGGTCACAAATCCAAAACGTCCAGGATTGGCACTGTCCATAAGAATTCCAGTTGCATCAGACTTAACTTAAATTTACAATAACTTATAAGAAGACTAAACCTCAACACTGAGCATAGAAACCACACCAGAAGGAAGAGAGAGAAAGAAAGAAAGAAAGAAAGAAAGAAAGAAAGAGAAAGAGGCTCCTTATAGTCAGCATGACCTTGACAGAAAAAGAAAGCAGAACCAGTTTAACCCCACTGTACTCAGCTTCTCAGAAGGAATAACCCAAACATCACAAACCTTCTGCTTGTTTCTTTCACACAGAGAAGCTTCCAGAACCCTCTTGAATTAAGTAGAATAGGAAAGATCTCTGCACACTTTTGTACTAAGAAATGCAGACTGACAAGAAGATCACATTGGCTTTGGAGAGGAGAGGACCTGGACGCATTTGTGTGTGTGTGGGGGGGTGCGCTCGCTCGCCAACACACAAAACTCTTCCTCCTGAATAGGGTCAATTTTTGCCGAGAGAAAGGAGCGATGGCGGAATTGTTTCTTTCTTTAGAGAATGGAAACAGACAGAAGCAGTACAGGCCAAAATTCCTCCACCTGCATCTGTCGGACAGGTTTCCAATTGGTGCCACAGGGCGTGTTAGTCAGAACAGGACCTTCAGCAGAACAGGACTTTAACATGAGGCAGCAAATCGGGCAGGAGGAGTTAAATATAAGCTCCCTCTTACCAAGAGATCTTGTGTTCAGGTCACAGGCCAGCTTAGAAGAGGTTCGACTCCTCCACCTGCCCCTTCAGCTTCTGATAGGAGTGCATAGGTGAAATATCGGAAGTTAGGACCATTGGTTGGTGTGAGCTGGCAGAGTGTCTTCCTCCTAAGTGCCAACTCTCCCTTCCAAAACTGCAGAACGAAGAGGGCAGATCCAGATGTCATACACAGGATGGAAATGGATGAACACCTGTAAATGTGCTTCCTAGTAACATCGGTATTGTGGCTCACCCTACGTTCCCCTCTAGCAAACAGGTTGTGCAGGTTTTTGCCTTTTCTTTCAATAAAGCCTGCACAATCTGTTTGACCGGAGGCGCGACTGTGGGATGAAACAAATACTTGTGTGATGGCAGGATGGGATGTGAATCCTCTTTCAGGCAGCTTTCAAAAGAATCCCACCGTTCACAATTGGGTAATACTTTTCGTAACCCCAAGCCCCTTCCAACCCCCCCCCCCAAATAAACCTGACTCTTTGGTTGTTTCTTAAAAAAGCCTTGCCCAACGGTGAGTTTGGGAGTTGTAGCTTCGCTATAGGAGTGGGGAAACCATGTTTGCTTGCCTTCAAAATGATGGTGTCTCCAGTTGCCACATGGAAACTCATAACCATAGTTTGATCTTGGGGAAGAGGCACCTTGGGTCCTAAATGCTTCTGTTCTTCTGGCAGACCACATCTGACATGCAAAACTCCTCTGAGGTTGTTAAATTGAGCCTCCGCAGAGAGATGCACCAACTTAGCTGAGGTGGGGACCCAGTCTCGCAGGCAAAGGTGTCGACTGGCTGGAAGAGTGAAATCTGTCAAATGCTGGGTCCTTGATGGGAGAGATGTGAATCCAGCCTTGCCTGTCTCTCTGCGTTGCTGCTTCTAACTTCTGTCCTATTGTTTTCTTTCTCTCTCTCTTTCCGGCAGATCTGGAGTCAAACATTGTATGCAACAACTCAAGTCTTACATGGGTGCTGGAGCAACTGTCCCAAGGCACCAAGTCTGTTAGCAAGAACAAAAACAAAAGAAGTGCAAGGGTCACTTTATGCATTCTGTAGGGTTTAATTTTTTTATTATTTTTTTTAGTTGATTTTGTAAAAGCCACTTCCCTGCCATAGCCCCATTCTCTCGCTGCCACTGCCTTTCTCCTCTCGTCTTCCCCCACTCAGAATTGTTTCATGGCACCCACTGATGCTGAGCAATATTCGTGCTTTTGAACTCCCCTCTTCCTCCCCCTTCCATCCCCCAGTCTTCACCTTCCTCTCTTCCCCCAGTTCCACGTCGCAAGTGTCTCCTGATGTCATGCATTTCACCCAGAGTCTAATTTTGGTTTTTTTAATACTAGCAAAAATGATTGACTGGTGATGTTCAGGGTTTCTGAGTGGAAAAAAAAGCACAGTGCTGGCAGGCTAGCAGGCTTCTCCCCCTCGCCCTTTCCAGTTCCATTAATATCTACCTACCTATCTGTCTATATCTGTATCTTCAATTGTTCCATCTTCCACAACATGACACGGGAAAATTGGCGTCTTCCAGATAAGGTGTCGGAATTAGATTTACAGTTCATTATATCTGCGTTGAAACGTGGAGCTCATTCCTTCATTTGCAGGAGCAGGCAAAAGGATGAATGGTGTGTCAGGCCACCCCCGCCCCTCGTGTCACAGGAAGCAGGGAAGCTGCTAACTATTCAGAGGTTTTTTTAAAAAAAACACCTGGGTTTATTTTTAAATTGTGACGTCCCCCTGTCTTCCCCTGATCCACAGGAAGAGGAAATGGGGGGGTGGACTTGCATACAGGCATAGAACCTTAAGTGAGCAAGAGTCATTCTGTTGGTGTTTATGGCCATCTGACCGTGTTCTGGATTCAGACAGGAGAATGATTGGGAGTTTGGTGAGGAGATCAAGTGAGAGAGGTTGGCAAATTATTGTTTGGCGTACAGGCAGGGAAGTTGGGAAGAGAGGGGATGTGTGTTTTATAACCCGTTGGGCTTCAGCAGTTGCTTCCACGGAGCGCAACAAAGGAGAGGCTGAGCTGGTCTCTTGTTTCACGGCCGATCTGCTCAGTCAAACTAAGCGAAGTGGCGTTTCAATAAAAGGAAACGTTCACCCCACCCCTCCCTTTTGGCTTCTCTAGTTTGGCACGTGCGGAAGTATCCGAGGCGTTGGGTTGCACTGAGCAGCTGCCGCTCCTGTTTGCAGACTCGGTATTTTTTATCACGGATTCGCACAAGACACATTCCCGGCATACCAGTTCGGTTGTGTGAATTGGCCCAAGAATGTGTGGAGCTGACTGGGTCTGGGGAACGTGTGTGTGTGGCTTCTTTTTAGTATGAGCCCGAATGAATGCAACTAACTATGAATGTGATTGGAGAGGTTAAGCGAGCGTTGCTGTGGGCCTGAAAGTGGAGTGGGGCAGTTCCTTTGAATTTTCATTTCTGAAGCGTGGGGCAACTCGCGGGAAGGTTGGCAGCCTCCTAGTTGGGATGGCTGCCCACAGGGTGAAAAGGGTGGGCAGCAGGTCAGGCAGAAGGGACAGACTGGGCCCATCATGATAAGGGCAGTCCAGAGCAAGTGAGGTTTAAATATGTGATAGCCCAAGCAAGGGAGGTTGTCTGGAAGTGCTGGTCACAGGACGGGCTCTTCCGCTGTCACCAGGGGGGTGGGCAGAGCAAGGACAGTGGGGGGAATGTAGCAAATTTCGGAGAGATGCTTATGCAGCTGGACATTGAGACTGCCGCTCCGTCATTTGTCTGCTTTCAACAGAGATGAATTGAGCTAGGATTTCCTCTGCTCCAACGTGTCCTCTAGGCTCTTTAGAAGGGCACAGGCCGCAACTGGCAGGTGTGCCACTGCCCAACATCTCTGAAGTTTTAGCCTGGGTCCCTTTGTGCCGTGTGTGTGGCGCTGAGGTCCCTCTGGGCACATGAGGCAGCACTTGTAGGGCGTTTGGCTGGGTGGAAAATCTACTCCTCTGGCAGGATTGGGTTCTAGGTTTCCTGGGAACATCCTGGGAGATCTCCGTTCACCTAGGATGCTCCCGGGATCTTCTTTGTCAGATTAATTGCAGCCCTGGCATCATGTGGCTTCTGATGAAAGGTCTCTGGGGAGAGCATTCATCGGAAGGGAACTCCTTTCCAATGCACAGGGGGAGGGAATGCGGTGCCCTGTGGGCGCCTGTCAGCTCCAGCCAGTATGGCCAATAGAGCACCATCTCAGCTGCCCCTACTCTAGAGAAGCAGCCGGGCTGGAGCAGCATCTGCCAAAGGAGAGAGAAAACGGAATAGTTTAAATAGAAAGCTGGTGTGGTGGAAGGGAAACAACGTATTCGCATCCGTGGAGGGCGTCATCTCGTGATGTCGGGTAGAGACCTCTGCTGGCTTGTTAGATCTGTGCCCAGGAAGCAGCCGTTGGTTCCTGACAAGTCAGCGCCCTGCCTTGGTCCCTGGGTGTTGCTGGAGGCAGATTCTGGGAGCGGTGCAAGCTTCAAGTAGCTGGAGGTTGGCTGGGACGGAGCTTGCAGCCCTGGCAAGGAGCCCAGGCAAACAGCCGAAGCAGAGCATGGTTTGCCAGCTACCACATCTCCCAGGGGCGAAAGGCAGGGGAGGGGGAAAGCGAGATAGGCTTGGGAGTGCAGCGGGCAGCATACGGGACATGGCAGGGGGTCTCGGCGCTCCACAGGAGACAGCAGTATGAAGCCAATGGACAGCCCTAGATGGGAAACCTGCTCACCTGCGCCATGGATCACCTGTAGCCGGAAGGAGTTAGAGACACCAAAAGTGCAAAGGTTTCAGGCTGAATAAACTGGAAGGGACGAGGGTGTGTTTGGTCTCCATGTGGCTGCGCCGCTGGGCTCCAAGCAGCGTCTCTGTCTGGCCTCGCCCTGAAACCTTTTGTGCAAGGCCTTGTGCTTTCTCAGCCACCCTGGCCAGCTGCTGCTGAAGCTGGAGCCATTGCCCTGTGGAATTTTTTAGGCAGGAAGGGGCCCGTAGAGCTGCGATAGCAAAGAGCACCCAGGAGACCCAAATGTCCAGTTCAAAGCGTCCCGTCTTCTGAGCCAAAATACCAGGCGGGCAAGGCTAAGGGGAGCCTGTAAGGGGGCACGGTTCCATGGGGCTCTGACCTGTTCATCTGACACTGGTTGCTCCACACAGGATGGTTGCTGGCTTGTGTCGGGTCTAAAGCACAAGCGCTTCGTTGCTGATGGGGACCTCTGCGAAGGCTGTGAGAGTTTACCAGGGGCCTCTTGGGTCCTTAATGCATCTCTTGCGGTGTGCAGAACCAAGGCAATCATTTTTGAAAACTCTGGTTTCCCCCCCTGCTGATCATTGTGGTTGTTTCATTTAACGTACAGAGCTGTGAAGAAATTGCCCCATCCCAATTTTTGGAATCCTTTCTACAAACACCTTTGTGTCCATCATTCTGAAGGCCAACTAACTTGCCTGGGTGGTCCAAGGTGTGTGTGGGACCTTTCTGTGCTGGAGAAGGAGCTGTGCCAAAGGGGGCTAGCCGCAAGCCAGGCTCCCTAATCCTGCCACCCCTTTTCCTGGGTGCCGCCCCATCCAAAGGCAAGAGAAATACCAGTGGCATTGCGGAAAGCACCCTTCCACTCTGGGCACAGGGTGCTGCCCTGCAGGCAGTCCTCTTGGTACCTTGGCTGTTTCTGCAGTGCTTGGTCCATATAAACTTGGCTTCTGCCGTTATCTGCCCAGCAACCACCCTTCGCATCAGGAAACATTTCATGATTTATGTTTTACGGCCAAGCAGGGAAATGAACCCATCTTCCCCTACACCGAAAGGCAGGAAGCGATTATGGATCCTGCCCTTTAGATGGATCCTAGGCTCGGAGGGTCTACGCAGGGCTGAGAAGTCACTGGAGAGCCAAATTCTACCACCTGGAGCCACAGGGCCTGCTAAGTCCTGTGCAGGTTGTTGTGGGTGGCGGCGGTGGGGGTTTATATTTTTAACCAATGGCCCCCATTTTCACCCTCTCTTTACTTTCTGCTCCTTCTCCTCCTCCTAGCAGTACCCACTGTGAGGCCGGTGGATCTGCTTGGCAGCGGCTGAGACTTCCTGAAAACCTGGCCTTACGAAGGCAGCTCGAAGTAATTGGGATCCAATGTTTAGATAATGCAAGTAATCTTTGGAGTTTCTGTTTGTATATAGCTGTATAAAGTTAGAGCCTTTGAATCTTGGCTGGAAAGCATTTGGGGAGAGCAGTGCTAGGTTGGGGAAGGCAAAAGGGTCAGCGGAGGGCCAGGGAATGATGTCTGCCATGAAATTTTGTGTGTGTGTGTGTTTGAGTCGTAGCCAGATGCCATCTTAGGGCAGTCCCTTTTGCTGCTTCTGTTGGCTCTATATTGCAACACCACCTTTGTTTTTTTGCATTTCAAGAATCCATTGCACCCTCTCCCTTTCCCCGTGAATAATGAAACCAAGAAAATGTTGTGATGATCTCCGCCAATGCTAGTTCCTGCTGTTAAACTGACCCCGCAGAATAACCTTCACTTTAAAATCATGTGCTTGGAAATCGATCGACCCACGAAAGAATGCATATTAATCGTTGTACTGGCCGAAGCCCACCTCAAAGCAGCCTCCCAACCGCGACTCCAGGAAAACGGAACAGTGTGTGCGAGTATTTGCTCCTGTATTTTATGAACCATAATAACCTAGTCAATTTTAATTTTTTTTTAAAAAAAAATTATTTGCAGTTCAGATATGTAATTTAAAAGGCGCTTTTTACCATAAGTGTTATTTAAGTTTTTGTTTTTAATGATTGATGTTTATTATTCTTCACTAGAGGAACTTTATGGTTGAACTGGTTGGAAGCTTCTTCAAGCTACAGGGAGCACTTCAGAACACAAGTCTGTGGGCTTTTGCTGATCAACAGTTTGTTGGGTGGCTCCCCCTAAAAAAAGAGGAAAGAGAAAGCAAAAACGTACTAATGATTTTTTGAAAACACACACACACACACAGTCTCAGCTGTTAATTCTGAGATGTGAATTCAGAAGACCATCATTAATTGGCAATTGCAATGATCACATGTTGGCATTGGGCACTGTGTA